GCGCTCATTGGCCAACGATCCACTTGGCTTACCGGCGGCGTCAGCGCTAAGCCGCAAGCAGGCTAGCGGTCTCAGGAAGGGAGCATTTCCCATCGGTCTGAAACCAATCTGCCAATCCAGCGAGGACTCGCAGTCATCCACCTCAACGCGCCTTAGGTAAGACCTGGCTCTCCATTCACTTCACGTCGCCTGCACTCCTTGCCTCTCTGCTGCCCCCCCAGGCGACATACCGATCCTGTCTCTATCGCATCGCAACGGCTAGCGAACGCCTCTGCCCCGAGCTCTCGATAGTCAGGGCGCTGCGTGGGAGCCGCCGAGGTGGCTTGTTGTTGCTTGCAGCGGCGCCGATCCGAACCAGGACGCCTTCTTGCAACGAAAATTTCTCCTCCAGCACGCGCGCTCACTGCCCCTGCGCTACATCCACTGCTCATAGGCCCGACGGGCGTGCCGTGTACCTTCCTCGTACCGGTACCTCGACCTGCCCAGACCGCTGCGGCTGTCCCGATCCAGCGCGAGGTATCCGTACCTACCTGACACGGGCGCTGCTATTTACCACCTTGCCTTAACCTCCTAATCTCCTGCACCGAGTCGGCCCCGTCGCGGGTATCATTAGGTACGTCCGTTTGTTAGCGTCTTCCGCGGCGCCGCAAGGTACCTCGATTGGTGGCGCTGCCCCCCTCCCTCTCGCCCTCTCGCCCTCGTTGTCTCCCGGCTTCAGCGCTGCTGCGCCGCTGCTGGAACCTGCGCGCAGGTGGCCCAACAGCGACGGAGCGGAGTACCTGTGGCTACTTCCGGCCTGCCTGTGCTAGCGCTGGCCGCGCCTGGTACATGGCGGTACCTCCACTGCCGTGCCGTGCCTCGCAACGCCTGCTGCCATGCCACCACTGCGTGCTGCCGCTTGGTACCGCTACCACTGCCACTGCCTGCCATTACCTGCTACCTGCCCAGCGCCCACCCGGAGCCCCCCCCAGCCAGCGCTCTTTGTCTGGCTGTCGCCCATTTCCCACACGCACACACACATACACATACATTCTCTCCGCCAACCCGCGACGCGACTCAACGTTGTCGTCCATCAAACCACCCACTGTGCCGTGTCACGGCCCCGTCTCCATCCATCCCTGCGCCCATCAATGGGCTCTGTGGCCGCCGTGCCTGCTGATTTCGCTGACGTCGCCGCGCACAGCTTGTCGGGCTCATCGCCATGAGCACCTGGATGAACGACGCAGTCCCGAACCACAATGGCAACGGCTTCCCGCACATGACTGACCCCAGCGCTGCCAGTGCCATGATGGACCCTTCCGTCTTCATGACCAACCCGGGCCAGTTCAACCCGGCCGCCCAGTTCCCCAATCAACAGCAGATGGCCATGCAGAACGGCCCGATGCGCCACGCCTCGCCCTCCGCCTACCAGGCGACCCAGGTCTACCAGACCAATTCGGTCATTCCATCAAAGCGCCCGCGGCCGCGCGAGGATTCCATCTCGGGCTCCCCCAGGCAGAATCCGGGCATGCTCCCGACGTCGCGCTCCGAGACGCCGCAGCAGCAGACCTTCCCCGGCTTCCAGCCCGGCGCCATGCCCCAGCAGAACGCCGGCCAGTTCTCCCACCTGCAGACCAACGGCTCGGCCAACGCCAGCCCCTCGCCCATCATGGGCAACCAGATGCGCCCGGGCAGCGTTCCCCAGCGCGTGGCGACGGCCTCGCCCCATCCCTTCTCCCCCGGCGCTCAGCAGTTTGCCCCCCAGACGTCGCCCATCACATCGGAGCATGGCACGCCGCAGCCGAATCCCTACATGCAAAACATGCCTCAGGGCTACAACCCGGCCTTTGCGCAGTCCCCGTCGAACCCGCGCCCGTCGCCAAACCCTAACGCGATGGCGGGGAACCCCATGATGGCCCAGCAAATGGGGCAGATGGGACAGCCCATGGGCCAGATGCCGGCTGCCATGTATGCTCAACTGCAGCAGCAGCAGCAGCAGCAGCAACTTCACCAACAGCAACAGCAACAGCAGCAGCAGCAACATCAGGCGCACCACCCACAGTCTCAACAGCAACAGCAACAGCGGGCGCAGCAGGGCATGACCGAGGGCCAGAAAATGGCTGCCTACCAGATGCGGCTTCAGCAGCAACTCCAAGGCACCATGCAGATGCAAGCGCAAATGCAGGCCCAACAGAATCTCGGCCGTGGAATGATGGCGAAGCAACAGCAGATGCACGGCATGCCCAACGGCCAGATGCCCCCCGGACCGATGCGACAGCAACACCGACCAACCGGCAGCATCAGCGGAGAGCAGTTCATGAAGAATCTCACAACACTCATGAGTAAACAGGGCCTCCCATTAGACGTGAACCCCATGATTGGGGACCGGCCCGTCAATCTGATGATTCTATTCCAAGCCGTGCAGTCCAAGGGAGGTTCCAAGTCGGTCACTGTCGCGAACGGCTGGGGCCACATAGCCCAAGCCTTGGGACTTCCGGCGCAGATTCCCAACGTTCCTCTGGCGCTCAAGCAGATTTATGACCGCAATCTTGGCAAGTTTGAAGAAGTCTGGATAGCTCAGCAGAAGCAGAGGATGATGGCGCAGCAGCAGCAACAAGCTACTCTCGCGAACCAAGCCACTCCCCAGAAACAGGCTGTACCCGGCCAGCAGATGAATCAGGGCCAAATGCAGCCGGGGCAGCAACAACAGCAGCAGCAGCCGCCGCCGCCGCATCAACCTCCGCCTCAGCCTCATGTGCAGCATCAAACTCCCGTCAAGCCCGGCCAGCCCTCCGTCAACGGTTTCTCGACCCCGCAAACCCCACAGCTTCATCAGCAACCGAATGCCGGTCCTGGTCACAATCGGAATAGCCTCTCGCGCAGCATGGATCAAGCCGGGCCAAATGACTTCTCAATACCTTCCCCGGCTCACTCGAGACCCGGAAGCATTGCCTTGGGCCCCGTCGACGGCCGACCGATGGGTGTCATGAGTGTCGAGCAGCAGATGCCCCAGCTTCCCCCGAGATCAGAGGAATACAGCCCATGCGCACGAGAGCTTTCCACGTATGGCGGAGTCGACCTCCATGCGGCGAACTTGCTGGGCGCAGAGCTGGAGCGGTGGAAGCCAACTGTTCCGCCGGTGAACGACCTCGGTAACATTGACATAGCTGCACTAACGCGTAGCCTGCAAAGTGGGATACACGGAGAAGTTCGCCTTGCTCTGGACACGCTCGCGACGGTATCCCACTCACCAAACCAGGCACATTTCCTGCATCTCCGATACTGCGACGACCTTGTGGATGCGCTCATCGACTGTGCGGAAGAGCAGCTTGAGCTCCTGACTGAACACACGGTGGAAGTCTCCGACGATATCCAGCTCACCCCGTACGAAGAGGTTGTCCGGGCGTGTCGCATCGAGCGATGGGCGATTCGAGATGTCCCTGCTTTCGGTACTCAAGAGTATGAGCTTGATCGAGCTGTCGATCGATTGGTGTGCATCTCCACCATCCTTCGCAATGTTTCCTTCCCAGGGGACAACTTCGACAACCACGTTGTACTTGCCGACGAGACGGTCATCAAGTTTCTCTGCACCGCGATCAGGTATCTCGGCACCAGGACAATGCTCCTCCGAACCCATAACAACACCCTCGACTTCATGAAGGACGTGGTGATCCTGCTCTCGAACATTGCCGGCTCAATAGAGATTCCCGGTCGAGAACAGGCAGCATGTCTCTTGCATTTCTTGCTGGCATTTGCCCCGGTTCCCAATCCGACACTGGCCAACGACACGATCTTCTTCACCAACTATGACCCGAGCGTTCATACATACCTTCCCCATGCTGTGGACGCCTTGGCCAAGCTCCTTGCGCGTGATGAGCCCAACAGGGGCCATTACAAAAACCTCTTTGCTTATGATGCCACCAATCAGCCCCCGCACGATCTCCTCACTCGGGCCTTTGCACTCGCCATCTCTCCCATTCCGGACAAGGCCAAGGAGCGCGATCGACCGACGAATTTCCCGTCCCTTGTGGAAGTCCGAAAGCCGTATCTGATGCAAGGCTTGTTGGCCGCGGAGATTCTTGCGGCCTTGGCGCCTGGTGCTGAGTCGAACCTCGTGAGGAGCTGGTTGAGCGCAGCCAACGGCCTGGCGAACAACCTCTTCCGTCTCGGCCAAGAGCTTAGTCGCATGTACGAACAACCGCAAGCATTTGGACGCGGAGCCGGACGTGCTGCACCCCGCAAAGACCCCGATCACCTCTACATTTCTCTCCTCGCGATAGCTTTGCTTAGACGACTTGTCGAAAAGTCGAGGGACCCCAACAATCCTGCCGTTGCCGCCGCCGGACCTTTCCTTCCCACCACACAGGCGTTGTTGGAGGCATTGTCCATGCATAGCCCTGAGTGGTCAAAGGAGGGCCTGCTGCAACATCTGTCGACAATCATAAGTTTGGCAGGATGAGTCTGGATCCTTTGATTGTTTTGATGTCTTCGAAAAGGGTTCTAGGATACGAGCATTGTTGCGGGATGGGTTATCTCGCCGTCTTTTTCTCTCCTTTCTTCTTTTTTACTTTACCCCTTACAAAAAATCTAGGAGGCGGGGCTTGAGGGAGACAGCGTTCAGGGTGCTTTTTACATTGAACAATGTCAACAGATGATCAGATGTGTAAATGCTATTGTATGGGGTTGATAATGTTTGTTTCAAGCCGTCCGTCACAAGTGCGATGGTGCATAGGTGTTCAATATCAGCGGGTTTGGAAAGGTGGAATTCTCGCGAACTCATCGCGGCGTCTGTGTACATAGGAGTAAGGATGTTATATACACTGATACCTCTTTCTGGTGGCCAGAATAACCCTGTTCGTTTATTGAATTGTTTTTGTACAAATATATGCAAGATCATGCAAGTGAGCCTCTTTTAAGCTCGAAAGTTCTCTTGCCAACGCCAGTGTCGCCATTCCGACCTCTCTCTCCATAATTCGTTCACCTCTTTTGTTCCCAAATAATATACACAGGTTGGGCACCCTCTAGAAGCCACGCTCGAGCAGCCACCCCCTTGCCTTATCGAAGTGATCTCCCTAAAACAAGAAAGAACGTGTGTTAGTCGGCTGTGCCATTCATTCGTCTCTTTTCGGCCGATAAGAGAATAGGCCTGGCCGTGTTATACCTTCAATTCTATATGTTGTGTCGTCGGGTTGATTCTCGCGTCCTCCCGAGCGATACCGAGACCTTGCACCAGATCCTCGAGCAGCCGTATCCTGTCGCCATCGACCTTCTTGATCAGCACCACCTGGCGCGTGCCGCCGGACTGCCACCTGCGGTAGACGGGCAGCTGGACGGAGGGCGTGCGGCGCACAATGTAGCCGAGGCTGACGAGCTCTTCGGGAGTCTTTGTCGGTGGGGGTACGGGGGCGCGGCTCAGCTGGCGGAGGTGCGGAGGGATCTTGGCTTTCTGGTTGGGGTTCTGGCGAGGCGAGGCTGAGGCAGACGAGGGCTTGGTTGAGGAGAAGGATGCCGTTTGGGTCGTGGGACGGAGGAAGGTTATTGATGAGCAGCTGAGGGGCGACTGGAAGACTGGCCGGATGGTTGCGCTCCGTAGGGGGAGGGCTCTGGGGATGAGGTAGCTCATCTTGGGTGGTTGCGATGCTGTTGTATGTAGGTAGGCAGGTAGTTGGAAACGAGAGTTTGGGACTGGCGATTTGGTAGTCGGTTTATCAGCCTTGCTTTGGCGTTACAATGGTCGGAATTGGGTCGCCTCGCTGGTATCAGTGGTGTACAATATCAAAGAGGTCGACCAATTGAGAGGCAAAGTCAGCGCCTTCAACAGTCGGCAAGTCTCAATTCCAATCGGATCTGCTGTTATCAAGCCTTGTTGCTTTGCTCCAAATGGACTTTTTCGACGTAAATCTCCAGATCACATGATGCACTGCAAAACTAGAGTGTCGCTGGCGGCGGATCTTCGGGCAAAAAGCTGGAACCCCCACAACCACTTTGTGTGTTATTCGCGAAATTCACCAAAAATCTGCCCCTCCATTTGACGGGCGAGCGAATCTTTTTCTCCAGCCGTAGCGACGACCTCCTCTCCACGACAACCGCTCCCCCATACCCCGGCCGCGGTCAGATTCTACTTGCCCTGCGACGACGATCCAATTCTTATATCACCATGGAGGACATTCTGAAGGCCCTGCCAGCCGATGGCTCGTCAATCCTGCACAAAGTGGCGCCGTACCTGAGCCGTCACCTGCTCTTCCCGCTGATCCAGTTCGAGGGCGAGCAGGCCGAGGAGAAGGGCGATGCCGAGCTGGCCAAGAAGATCCTGTCGGGCAAGATCAAGCTGCTGGACGACACCAACATGACCGACTACGTGGCGAGCCTTTACTGCGAGCTGCACGGCGTGGCCGAGGCCCCGGCTGAGTACACCAAGAAGAGGCAGGACGTGCTGGCACAGCTGGACAAGTACGAGAAGGCGACGGAGCAGATTGCCAACCTGCTGACCCAGGACGAGGTCGTCAACGGCCTGCGGAGCGACAAGGTGGCCAACTTGGAGTTTCTCAAGAACCAACACGGAGTATGTGCAGTCACTGGCAGAGCGCAAAGCCCTTGAAGGGGGGGTTTTGTTCTTTGCTTGCGTGTCCCTTCAGCCCCTAGCAATTCTGGATGGACATGCTAATTGAGTTTTCTTCTGCTCTCACCAGGTCACCATCGAAATGGTAAACGCTTTGTATGACTTTGGCCAGTTCCAGTTTCGATGCGGTCAGTACGGCCCTGCCGCCGACATGCTCTACCAGTTCCGAGTTCTCTCCACCGACAACGACAAGGTGGCCGCTGCGACCTGGGGAAAGCTTGCTTCCGAGATTCTGTCCACAAACTGGGAGTCTGCCGTTGACGAGCTCAAGAACGTCCGAGAGGGTATCGACACCAGACTCTTCAACAACCCCCGAGCCCAGCTTGACCACCGGACCATGCTTATCCACTGGTCCCTCTTCCCCCTGTTCAACTTCGAGGGTGCCCGGGAGCCCATCCTGGACATGTTCTTCTCCGCCTCCTACATCAACACCATCCAGACCTCTTGCCCCTGGATCCTGCGGTATTTGATTGCTGCCGTTATCACCGGCCGCACGCGCGCGCGCAACAGCTCGGTCCAGCAGAAGCAGCTCAAGGACATTGTTCGCTACGTCCGACAAGAGGCCTATGAGTACGCCGACCCCATCACCCAGTTCGTCAACGCCCTCTACATTGCCCACGACTTTAACGCTGCTCGCGAGGCTCTTCGCATGGCCGAGGAGGTGTGCCGCAGCGACTTCTTCCTGGCTGCGTCCACCGATGCCTTTGTCAACGCCGCCCGCCACCTCATCTGCGAGAGCTACTGCAAGATCTTCAGCCGGATGAACATTCGAGACTTGAGCGCCAAGCTCGGCCTGAACCCCGATGATGGCGAGAAGTGGATCGTGAACCTGATCCGCGAGACTCGCCTGGATGCCAAGATTGACAGCCAAGACGGTACCGTCATTATGAACCACCCTCCCAACAACGTTTACCAGCAGGTCATTGAGAAGACCAAGGGCGGTTTCTTCAGAACACAAGTCCTCAACGCCGCTGTCTCCAAATAAGAGAGAAGCGATAGAAGGAGCTTGCAGATGTGTTTGACATGGCAAAGCAAAATTGCCTGGCGCTGAACAAGGGTATCATTCTCGAATAAAACTTTGATGCCGAGTCTGGGAACTCGGCCACGCGGGTGAACGCTCTTAAAGACCAAAAGGAAATACCAATGTTTCTTTCTCAATCCAAAGCTCCTCGAAGACGGTCGGTTTGCCAAAAAGGGAAGAAGATCAAGGGAGGGAAAAAGCAAAGAAAGACTAGACCGGCCCCTTGTTTTATATCACATGTTCTTTATTTTTTTATTATCTCTCTTCCTCTCTCTGGTGATGCGGTTTGCATTGCACGGCGTTCAATAGGTATAAGACAGGGATGGGGAAGATGTCTTCTTGAGGGAGGAGAGGGCCAGGGTCGTTTTTCTAATGAGATTGACTGTTTTGTGCAATGATGCAAGAGGTTCTTGATCTTGATTTCCTATTCGCTCTTTCTCTGGCTCTTGTGATGACCTATGTCAAGCTTCTACTCAGACACCGTGGTTTGATGGCAGGGTGAAGTTGTGAGGTCAGCGTTCATGCTTGTTTCAGTGCTGCAGTATTTGACGACCATTAGGCCGTTGTTGCCTGAGTGCGTGAGCGAGGTAGCGACACCACACTAGATATGGCCTGTTTATACGTTTCCATCATCAGTATAGACCTCTTTTATTTTCTAGACATGTTCTCGCAGACTTTGTCTGGAAATACTAGCATCTAAATCAAACAACAGTATCTTCAACTGAAGCAATTTCATTATTCCAGACACGATAAAAAAAGACCGGGAGTACTGGGCTACTTCAGGGCCTAGAGGCATCTCTAGAGCACTCTAGGTAGATCTGCTAGTGCTACCGTCCCATGCTGGGTACCTGCTAGGGATCCAACCCCACTAAAAACTGCTGCCAGAGCTCTCCAGCATGCTCCTACCAGTCGGATAGCCTCAACTACCTATCCATCACTCAGACATCCACCTGAAGCCATCGCCAGACAATAACAACAACACATGGCACTCCGGCATGGCCACCGTCCAATCTCTGGGGCTGCACCGGCCGGCCGGGCTCCAGCATGCCATTGACGAGCAACTGCTCCCTCCAGACGCGTCGGCCTCGTCCTACGCCTGGGATGTCGTGACCGACGACGACAGGGAGGGCCCTGTGGAGGACGAACTGTTGACGACGGGCAACTGCGTCGTGTGGTGCCGCGGAGGCATCTTCCGCAAGTCATTCCGGTTCGATCTTGAAAAGGAGTCCATCACGCAAGCCCTCCTTACCTACTTCCCGACGTCTGAGGATGAGGGCGGCAGCCGCAAGTCTTCCACGGCCCTCGAGAAGGGCTTGGTCGTCTTCCTCAAAACCCAGGCCCATATCTACATGCTGTCAGGGACAAGCCACGTCGTCCACATGCCTTTTGAAGTGGAATCAGCCTGTGCCGCTCCCGTGGGTGTCATCATCCAGACGAAGCCAAAAGCCGAGAATCTGGCGCCGATATCCCTAAAGTTCCCCCGAGTTCCCCCCAACTCCTTTGTGTCGTCCCAGTTGACTGCGTTCGGCGGCTCTCAGCAGACGGCCTTCTCGACGGAGGGCCTTGGAAAGCCAAAGGCGCTGCCGGTGGGACTCAACATGACGCTGGAGAACATGTGGGATGCGCCCTTGGAGCAGCCAGAGTCACACTGGCCTCGGTTGGTGGCTCTCACAGATCCGCTGTTGGACATTGGGCTCGTGGTGACCGATGCAGAGAAGCCAGCGTCAAAGGGCGGGAAGAGGGACAAGCCTAGAAAGGTGCATGGCTTCCTCGATCCTGCAGAGGAGCTGCTCTACGTGGAGAAGGTCGTCGTTCCCAGCACATCTCCCGAGCGTCCCCATGAACCACTGATACTTGGTGTCACCATCAACCGCGAGGCCAACACCTACACCATATGGCGCCTGTCATATCTGGAACACCAGGATCACTTCATCAAGCGCCACAAGAGTCCAAGTACAAAGGCGTCCCGTCGACGAAGCTCCATGCAGCCTGGGTTCGCTAGTGGCGCATCTACCCCCGTGCAGGCAAGTCACCGCGATAGCTTCGGCGCTCCGCTTCCCGGCAAGCGGCCACGCAAGAGCGAAAGGGCCGAAAAGCCGTTGGACTTGGTTTCCACGCTGGAGAAGCAAGACATGGAAACCACGGGAGTCGGGCGGAGGAGTTCGCACAGGCTCAGCTCAGTGCTTGCCCGCGCAGACCTTTCTGCCTCCTACGACAGAGCGATGTTTCCAGACCAGTCATCGGCCGGCGGTGTGTCCTCTAAACGACATGACTCTCTCGGAAACCATGGCCGTTCCAGTGCTTCCTTCGTCTACCAAGCCCATCACAGCCTGGGTAGTCTCCTTGAAGCTCCATTGGACGCTGGCCTAGATGAGCGTATCAATAACATACGGCTCGATGACCATGAGTTCGACGGGCTGCAGCATGAAATCCTCTTCAGCAAGATCCACGTCATCTTGATAGATAGTCCAACCGTTCGCTATTCAGCATCCGGTAGCAACTCGCGGGGCCAAACCAAAATCTTCGTTCTTGCCGCGCCCCCTTTTGCGACGAATGATCATCAGACTGGCCAGTTGCTGATAGGCATTCAAGAAGTAATGGAGAAGCGCCTCCAGCTTGTTACCTTTTCTCTCAAGCTACAGCGAAAGTCGGATGTTGTGGTGAGCTCCGGTAAAAGGGAGCCGTCATCGATGTTTACCGTCGCAGTACTACCGGGGGAATTGCGGAGGGGAGAGAATGTGGTCGACTCGTGTAAGATCACGGATGGAGGCCAATCTGCTATCCTTGTGTTGTCGGAATCCAAGGATGGACGGCATGAGCTGAGCATACAAGCACCGTGGAGCGAGATGACCAAACTATCTCTTTCTCTCCTTTTTGTAGACGACACGAAAAGTTTGCAATTCCGAGGAAGAGCAGTCGACAGAGACGTCAGACAGCGGAAGAGCGAGATTATAGACCTCACCAATGGCAGTATCGTGGGCGTCTGTCATTCCAGGCATCGTGGGGTCGTCGATGTGGTGGACACTCAAGGGCGCCTCCATCAGCTAAAAATTCAACTACGGCCATCGTCCAGCTCTGTGTCTTCTATTCTCAATGTATGCAGAAGCGTCTTGCCCGACTCGCTTGGAGAGCGCATCCACACAGGGTGGCTTCACGTCATGCAATGGCTCTATAGCCAAGGCAAAGCCGAGGCCAACGTAGAATGGTCGGCCTTGACTATTCTTCTCTTATCGCTATTCTTGAACCTTGATCGGCCCGAGCTCCGAAATCCTCCATCAGAACGACTCACGGTTCGGAAACGAAGAAACCCATCCGGCACATTTGGGTCCATCCGAGACTCTGATGATTGGAAGGCGCTTGAGATGGGTGAGGCAGTCAACTCTCTTGGGTGCCCGGCGTGGATGATCAACCGCGGGTGGCAATGGGTTCTTGACGATGATGTTGAGGAGACCTCATCCCAAAGCAGCGCACCGGGCCTGGGCACAAAGTTCATTTCCAGGCATGTTGTCCTGGCCAAAGAATACATGGGATCGACACTCGGTATCAACGCCTTGGGGCCCTCCGGCTATCTCCCAACGTCTCTAGGTCGGACCGCGGACTACAGACGAAAGGCTGCCGTTGACATTTTCATGGCTCTTCACTTGCTATTGGAGGAGCAAAAGCTCGATATCATGTCTGCCGAGTATCTACCATCTGGGCGAGCCGACTTTCGGGTGATCTTATGCCAAATTGCTCGATGGCTGAAGTGGCATGACTTTGCAGCAATCTATGACCTGGGGATACAGGAAGACCTCGACCCGCGTCACGATCAAGGTATGGTTTCACTCGTTCCCATCTACAGGTTCGAGGCCTTAGACTAATTGATTCTTGCTTTAGAATTGCGCCTAAAGCCAGCCATCCCTGAACCGCCCGAAAGGCCGGATATACTCGAATGGATCCAGTCTCGGTTTTCGGGCATTCGCAGCCAACAATACCCCATTCCAGCAGACATATTCTACGCCGCTACACAGCTACCCGAATCTGATAAACTGTTCGATCGCCGCTGGGACTCCATTCTTCCCCGAACTCTCACGTTCAGGCGCTTCTTCAGGCTTGTGCAGCCAAACGCTACAGCAGTGCAGATGGTGGAGGCTATGAAAGAATGCGGCTTGACGAACCATGTGCTCGACACCCTCCCAGAAGCTATCTCAGTCCCTCTTCGAGATGCTATAGCACTCTGCCAACCTCACCCTCCCTCGTCCTGGCCAGAAGAGATGCTGGAATTTGTCAAGCGGACAGATATCAGCCTGGTTCTTACCTCAAACAAACGCCCGCGTCCTGCCGTGTCAAATATTTTGGTAAGTAACACACCCTAGAATTTACGCTGTATTGCTAACATCAGGAGTAGACGCCCACACACACTGCAAGCTGGGAATTCAAGCTGCTCTGTGAGAGCGTTGAGCAGACAAATAGCCAGGGCTATGACGAAGGCGAAGGGACGGAGCGGCAGTCTGTGATCCGCGCGCTCTTTAGGGATGACCGTCGCCTTCAAGAAGCTCGAGACTTGTTGGCAACCCACAAGCCCAGGATCGTGACCTTGCCCCAGGATCCAGGTTTGCCGGAAAGTGAATATCTGGAGAAGCAGAAGGAGCTGGTTTCTAGGATCGCCAACGGAACCTTGGCTATTCCAGCGGGGCGGGGGCTTCTCTACTACAGTCTACGCTTCCCTCTCATCACACAGAAGTTCCACATTGGAGGTTTCAATCTGAACTGCGTTGTCAAGCCCAACAATGTCACTGTGGGCGTGGATAAGACGCTCTTCACGGAGGAGAAGGTCTGCTGGGGTTTCTTTCATCAAGGCGTCGCAGCGGGACTGGCAATCTCGCCGTTGGCAAAGGGCATTGATACCTCGTGGATCTTATACAACAAACCAGGGCAGGATCTGAGCAACCGGCATGCTGGATTCTTGCTCGCGCTTGGGTTGAATGGACACCTCAAGGGCGTTGCGAAATGGGTTGCTTTCAAATACCTCACGCCAAAGCATACGATGACCTCGATCGGCCTGCTGCTTGGCCTCGCCGCGTCGTATATGGGCACCATGGACTCCCTGATAACGCGCCTCCTCTCTGTCCACGCCACCCGCATGCTGCCGCGGGGGGCGGCGGAGCTCAATTTGTCACCCCTCACTCAAACTTCTGGCATCATGGGAATCGGTCTCCTGTACTGTGGTAGCCAGCATCGGCGTATGAGCGAGATCATGCTCTCGGAGATTGAGCATGTTGACGACGAAGACGAAGAGGAGCCTCTGAGGAGCGAATGCTACCGCCTTGCCGCCGGGTTTGCACTTGGCTTCATCAATCTTGGCAAAGGAAATGATCTCAAAGGCTTGCAAGACATGCGCCTCACCGAGAAACTCATTACGCATGCCACCGCAACAAAGAACGTTGAGATTGTGCATGTTCTAGACCGGGCTTCAGCCGGCGCGGTCATGGCCATTGCACTCATCTTTATGAAGTCAGAAGATCAAATCGTGGCACGCAAAATCGACATTCCGGAGTCTGTGCTTCAGTTTGACTATGTTCGCCCTGACATTCTCCTTCTACGAACCATGACACGAAATCTCATTCTGTGGTCTCAGATCGAACCTACTTTTGGCTGGGTGCAGAAGAACCTTCCTGCGCCCTATCGCTCACGTCACAAGCTGCAGAGCACGACCAAGCTGAGATCGTCCGATTTGCCCTTCTTCAGTATTCTGACAGGCCTCTGCTTTGCCATTGCTCTACGTTTCTCCGGAAGCGCCTCTCCCAAGGTACGGGATCTACTCTTGCATTACCTAGATCAGTTCATGCGCATCACCGGGCTTCCTGCGACGCCTAGAATGCACCCAGATGCCGCTCCGCTCTATGATGAAGAACTGGCCAGAACCAATGCTCGTATGTGCCAGGACATCCTCGCAGTCTCTTGCTCGATTGTCATGGCCGGCACAGGCGATATCCCTGTCCTCCGTCGACTCCGCGCTCTGCATGGAAGAGACGATCCTGATACGCCCTACGGGTCACATCTCGCAGCCCATTTGGCGATCGGGGCGCTCTTCCTTGGTTGCGGCACCGCGACCTTTGGCTCTAGCAACAAGGCAATTGCTGCGTTACTGGTCGCCTTCTACCCGATCTTCCCGGTCAATGTTATGGACAACCGGTCTCATCTTCAGGCGTTTCGACATTTCTGGGTACTGGCGGCCGAGCAGCGCTGTCTCGTGGCCAAAGATGCTCTTACGGGGCAACCAGTTTCTGTACCTGTACATATCAAGATGCGAGGCGGCTCTTCGATTGAATCGGTGCTGTACAGAACGACGCCGTGCCTACTACCCCCTCTTGATCAAATCTCGAGCGTGACTACTGCTGGGGGCCCGCAGTTCTGGGACGTTGAACTCGACTTTTCAAATGAAGAATTGAGAAAGTCCTTTGCGCAGACACAGAGCCTCTACCTTCGAAGGCGGCCACCCCGAGAAGGCGCGTTTACATCCACTCTGAGAGCTCTTGGTGAGCAAGGAAAGGGCGAGAATCCCTTGGAATGGGTCCTCAACCTGGATGCCTTGCGAGACCTGAGTTATGCAGAGAAGGCAGCCCTGTTGGATACCGGTGATGAAGAGCAAGGCGGTATCGGAAGCGCCGTTGATGCAAGACTGGAAATGGAGCGGGGAATAGAGGAAGGCGGTGACAGAGAGCGCCTCGAGGGGGCGAGGCTGCTCTTCGCTTGGGGGGATGCTCGAGAGAATCTCCGGCATTCGTCATCATCTATGGCTGATAGCCAGAGTACCGTCAAGGCGGCAAAATCTCAGGATGAGTCGACGGCCGCCGAGGAAGCTGCCGCGCAGCATGACGAGACGGAGGACGAAGGGGAGGGTGTGTGGTGGATGAGAGATAGTGCTATTGAGGCTCTCAAGGGAAAGGCATGGATGGTAGCCCGGCAGCACGAACAGTGAAGGCGCTTGCTTTATACGTAGGCTTGGGATGGTTCAATCTACGATTATGATGGTTTTGATAGCGTTAGGGATACCAATGGCATATAGAATGAGAAAGGGTGTTGCCTTGAGTTTCTGATGTGCGTCTGTCGTGCATCCATTGCAATGAGAGAAGCTTTCATGTACCTTATGTTGGTTACCTATACTGGCTGATTAGATGGAATTCCGTCTGTAATGAGGTACCTGAGGTTGACGTCCGTGATCGGCCATGATAGGTACCTGGTGGAGGCGTCGTTTTACATGTGAATATAAGATTAGGTTCCTACTAGTTACATATCGCTCAATTGATAAGCCCATCTAGAAGGAAACATGGGATACAGGTAATCTTGATTGCTGCTGGTCTGACAAGAACGAGGGCTTTGGTTGGGAGGCTGATGAGTTCTTGGTGGTGCTAGTTGTATGTGTTAGCCGCAGTAGGTGCCGTTTTAGGCAGGGCAGCTCCCTGCAAAAGCTCCCAGGCTGTGACGTATCGGATAAGCTGCTACATGCACAGGACCTTTAGCTCGGGCTGCAGCACAGCTTGCTTTCAGGTAGGTACCCAAACTGCGGAGGACCTACACTTACCTTACTTGATTGGCAGTCTAGCGGCATCACCACGATAACCAACCTGATCATCATCATAAACCGCGTTGCCCTCGACCCCCTCCGGCTTCCACTGCCGTCTGCAGGCTGCAAGGCCCGAGTCCTACACAGGGATCCCGCTGAGATTCCAGAATGACACTTGCTGCACCGCCATCATGACAGGACCGTCGCCTCAGCCGCTCGACGGCCAGCAGCAGTCTGGAGCTCCCGAAGCTCAACCCGCGCCCGATGCGCACGACGACGGCGGCCCCTCGCCGGCCGACGACGAGGCGCAAGATCGGAGCAATGTGCAGTCCCCAGCGCTGTCTACGAGGATTCTAGGGGGGGAGAAGGCGGAGGATGGGCCGGCTGAAGGGGCGGCGAAGGGCGTTGGGGAGGGTGCGACTGGGAGGGAGGGCGGTGACGGAGATGGCGGAGCGGATGGCCAGAGAGCGGGCGTGAAGAACGTTGCCGACAATAATTATAGAGATAAGGCTGGGGCTGAGGATCAAAAGGGAGACGATAGCAATGGCGATGAGGAAGAAGAAGAGGAGGAGGAGGAGGATGAAGAGGATGACGATGATGACGATGAAGAGGAGGATGACGAAGAGGAAGAGGAAGAGGAAGAGGACGAAGACGACGACGACGACGATGAGGAGGAGGAGGAGGAGCCGCAGCTGAAGTCAACGAGGCTGACCCAACATCTCGGCGCAGTCTATCGCAACGGCGATGCGACCAGCGCCTGTCTCGTCGCAGGCGACAAGATGGTACGGGCCAAGCCCACACTTGCTTCTGCACAAGGCCAGACATGCATGCTAACTAGACTCATTCATAGATTATCGGGACGCATAACGGTAACATCGTAAGTAATTGCAAGGTTTCATTTCGCAGCCCGCGTGGCTAACCGTCGGCTCAGCATGTTATCCAATTGCCCGGATTCAACACTCTGCGAGTATACCATGCACACTCTGCTTCCGTCACTGCCATCTCGATATCGCCGTTTCCCCCCCCTCTCCCGGACGAAAAGGCCGAAATGCTACAGCGAACACAGACTGGACTGGCGGGACCGGCGACAAGGCCACCTGAAATGTCTCCGTCGGCAGCATCGAAAAGGATGAGGGAGGTCCCGCAGGTACCCCGAACTCCGTCGAACGATATCTACATTGCCACGTCGTCAATGGATGGCAACGTTTGCGTGCAGTCGTTGGTCGACCTGAAGGATGTCCAGCTTCGCAACTTTGCCCGGCCGGTGCAGGCCGTGGCATTGTCGCCAGAGTACAAGTCGGATCGGACGTATCTTTCTGGTGGACGAGCAGGTCAACTCATCCTCACAGTAGGCGGTGGTCCGGGTCGAAGCACCTCGACCACAGTCGGCACTGCGGCCGCCGTGGCATCTGACTGGCTTTCTACCATAGGCGTCAAGAACAGCGGAGGAAAGGACACGGTGCTCCATTCGGGTGAGGGAATCATCAACGCCATCAAATGGTCCCTCTCGGGGAAGTACGTTGCTTGGCTCAACGAGCACGGCACCAAAATCATGAGATCCAAGCTTCATCTCGACAGCACCGAACTCGAAGATGCTTGGAAGAGAATTGGTCATGTTGACAGGCCGCACACGAGCGAATGGGAAACGATGGCTGGTGTCTGGAAAGGCCGCGCTGAGTGGATCGACGAGAAGCTGGTCGAAAGTGATGAGTCGGAGCAGGGCTCCCACGATCCCGTGGCATCTCCAACTATCCCCAACACAAAGGCCGTTGAACGGCTCTTGGTCGGCTGGGGAGGAACAATGTGGATTATCCATGTACATCCGGGGGGCGTTGGCCATGGTCGACAAGCTGGTGAGAAGACCATTGCGCGTGCTGAGATTGCCAAGATGTGAGTAGCCCTCCCCTTTGCTACGGATGGACGAAGAGTATGAGGTGTGCGATATTGACAACTTGATCAGTCTCCATATCGACTGCATCATTTCCGGAATTTCTCTATATGCCCAGAACCAGCTGCTTGTGTTAGCATACTGCTCTCCAGAGGATGAAGACGATGCCGCAGATGACGACAGATCTGGTCCATCACATGCGCGGGACACATCCAAGCAGCAAAAGTCTAAGCAGTCCACTTCATCTGCGGAGCGTGATCAGCACCATGGCCAACGGCAACGCTTGAATGCCCTGCCGCCAGAGTTGAGGCTGATTGATCTCAAGTCTCAGGCAGAGGTGGACCGACACAGCCTTGCCATTAATCGCGTCGATAGACTATCTGCGGCCGATTATCACATGTGTCTGTTGCCTGCTCGCAATGCCGCCTCTGTAGTGGCTTCGACAAAGAGCGCCTTGGAGGCACTTGCCGGGATTGGTTCCGACATGTGGAATGTTGCCATCAATCCAAAGGCCCTCTTCAGCTCAGGCGCCAGCATACTCAGTAGGGAGAGCGGCGACGACAATGCTTCCGTCTCGAAAGCCGGCAGCATTGCAGGTACCATCCGATCGAGCGCCATGAGAGCCCGGGTTCCCACCGTGCACCCTACACTATCTAAACCAGGGGTCAAGATATTCATCCACAGTCCATACGACTGCGTCCTGGCCACTAAGAGAGACCTTTCCGACCATCTTACTTGGCTCGTGGAGCGCGAGCAGTACCAGCAGGCATGGGAACTTCTCGACGAGAATCCTGATATCCTTGCCGATTCGCTCGATGGCGTTGTAGATTCGGGGGTGCCTTCTACCCCGTCCAAGCATCCCTCCGGAGCCGACGACTTCTTCGACGATGAATCTGTGGCAGACACGACTCAGAGGGATCTATATTCTGCAGTGGAAAAGGAGAAGAGACGGATCGGAGAGCTGTGGATTCGAGAATTGATTGACGAGGGCGATTGGGAAAAGGCTGGCGAAGTCTGCGGCAAGGTTCTCACGACTCCTGATCGGTGGGAGAAGTGGGTGTGGACGTTTGCAGGCGCCAACAAGTTTGACGAAATCACCAAGCACATGCCCACGAAGCCGATGAAGCCGCCGTTGCCGACGACCTTGTACGAGGTGCTCCTAGGACATTATATCCAGAACAACAAGCCTCGGTTCAGAGAGCTGATAGACACCTGGCCAACCGATCTTTTTGATATCCCCGCCATCACAACGACGCTTGAGAATCAGCTCAAGTACCGTGATGTTCGCGAGAACAGCGTCGAGGACGGCGAAAGGGGTCGAGACTGGCGCATCGTCGTGGAAAGCCTGGCCAAGCTGTACGAAGCTGGCGGGCGGCATCGCGATGCGTTGAGGTGCTACATTAGGCTTCAAGATGCAGATTCGGCTTTCCGCTTGATCGGCGATTACCACCTCGCGGACGCCGTAGCAGACGACATTCCCGCCTTTATCGGACTCCGAGTCTCCCCCGATCAACTGAAGCACATGACCGAGCATGAGCTTGTGGCGGCCACAAGCGAGGCCATCACTCTCCTGGTGGACGAGGCTCAGCACGGCCTCGTGCGGCCTGAAGTTGTCGTGGAGCAGCTGCAGGCAAGGAACCTCCAGCTGTACCTCTTTTTCTATCTGCGTGCACTCTGGAGGGGCCAAGGAATCGCAGAGCACACTGGCGAAAACATCGAACGGCTGGTTCAGGATAGTCAATCCCTCGTGGACAACTTTGCGGACCTGGCCGTTCGGTTGTTTGCCATGTATGACAGGCCTCTTCTCATGGAGTTTCTGAAGACCTCAACGTCGTATGGATTCGAAAAGGTAATAAGAATCATCCCCCCCTTACACTTGTCCCTCTAGCCCCCTTGTCATTGACCTCTTCCCCCCGGAATACTTTTACTGACTCTATCCATCTCCAAGGCCGTCCAAGAATGCGAGCAATACTCATACTACGATGAACTGGTCTACCTCTACTCCAAAACGGGCCAGATGAAGCGCGCGCTCTACCTCATCATCGACCGCCTCAACGACGTCAACAAGGCCATCGACTTCGCCAAGGAACAAGACGACCCCGACCTATGGGAAGACCTGCTCAACTACAGCATGGACAAGCCCAGCTTCATCCGCGCCCTCCTCGAACAAGTCGGCACGACCATCAACCCAATCACCCTCGTCCGGCGCATCCCAGAAGGGCTCGAGATCCAGGGCCTCAGGGAGGGCCTCATCCACATGATGAAGGAGCACGAGCTCCAGCACAGCATCAGCTGGGGCGTCGCCACCGTGCTGCGCAGCGAGGTCGCCACCGCCCAGAGCGAGCTCCGCACGGGCCAGCGCAAGGGCATCAAGTTCGAGGTCATCGAGCAGGTGGACGCCAACGCCGCCGCCGCCGAGGACGAGAAGAAGGCTGACGGCGGCGCGCCCAAGCCCGGGCAGTGCGCAAAATGCCTCGAGACGTTTACAGAGTACGAGATGGAGGCCCTGATGGGGTTCGTGTGCGGCCATGCCTTCCACGTGAGCCATTTGCTCGAGATGCTGCATAAAGGCAGACAGGTCGATCTCGACCTCGGACATGGGCCTGAGGAGGGAGGGCGCTATTCGATCGGCATGAAGGTCATGAAGGCAAGGCTGCTGAGGGACAGGGTAAGAGGAGGCTGTCCAATCTGTCATCCGGCGGAGGCGTAGAGAGGTACACGTAATGTTGCATTGTCTTTATGTACGTGGGCGTTTATATATCCCGGGATTGTTCAAAGGCCATTGGCTTGGCATGCAGAGAAATAAAGCCTCATAACTAGCTGTTCTTATCAACGTCATAATGCATTTCGTTCACCAACTAACGAAGTGAGTGCCGGCCAAAGAATGAAGCGAGAGAATTGAGGTAACTAGAAAAGGGGGGGACGAGGTAAGGTCAGCATTCACACGTCAAATGTCGGTATTCACAGCTGCACAAGGCATGCAAAGCCCACAATTTGCAAAGGGGAATATCGGGCAAATCTATTCCTGTTCGCCTACCACATTGTGATGCCATTAAAAAATTTCCCAATCGTGCAAATCCAGGGCTTTCAACCACTCAACCTGTGCCAACTGCCGATGCAATATTCGGGAAGGTCCGTCAAAAGTACCACATATATGGCGAGGCTGTTGAAAGCTGCGAGTCTCTCGAGCACGCAACATGGAGTGTGACCCCTCTCCTTTACATGAACAGAGCCATGACCATGGCGACAGTGCCAAAGGCCACTCCGGTGAAGGCCTCGAGGACAATGCCAGCGTTGGTGCGGTCCGGAGCGGCGGGAGCCGTCATGCTGCCGGAAGCGCTGGTATGAGTGAGGATCGAAGTCGCGTTGCTCTGCTCACTGGCCGTGACGGAGCCCGAGGCTGAAGGAGCACCGCTGGATGTAGCCTCGGAGGCGGTGGCGGCAAGGACCGAGTTGGTCTCCGCAGAGCTGCCGATGCTGTCCGTGACGGAATAGACGGTGGCAGTAGGCTGAGACACAACGGTAGCAGCATCCGACCAGACCATGGTAGGCTTGGGCTCACCAGGGGCGGTAGACGCTTCGACAGCAGAGGTGGCCGAAGACACGGCCTGAGTGATCGAGTCGACGGGGGCAGAGTAGCCGGCAGAGGACTCAGCGGCAACGGAAACGGCCTCGGTAGCGGTAGCCAGACCGACACCGCACTCGGTAGTCTGGAAGACAGTGCAATAGTTCACGGAATACAGGAGGATGCCTGGAAGGGGTCAGTCGGTGGCTTTGGAGGAGCAGATTCTGGAAAGGGGACAAACCGTTGGAAGTGGTGGTGCCGAGCTGCTGAGTCTCGACGGACACGATGGACTGGCTAGCCGCTAAAGAGAAGTCAGTTATTGTTCAATGGACAAGTGTGAGGATGAAGCTTGATGGGAGGGTTGAATACTCACGCTGCGAAGTATGGGCAAACGCGCCGGAGAGGAGGAGGCTGGCGAGAGCCATGGTCATCTTGGGTGCGGCCATTGTAGTATTGGCAGGCGGATGAATGCTGAAAATTGGTGATGATAAGAATCAAGATAATGGTTGCCTATCCTCAAAGTATTAGCAAAGCAGAGACTAACAAGATTTGAACTCGAGAGAGAAGCACAGAGGTCGTGTCGAGTGCTGGGGATATCGCGTGAATGAGGTTGGATGAGAATGGCTTGGATGGCAATGATGACCAGGCAGGGGGGGGCTGAGATATTACTCGCAGGAATAGAGAGTAATGTGCTATCAGAGGATACGGTGCATCATGAACGAAGCTTTGGGACAGCTGGATTACCTTGAAAATGTTGTGAAGATGCTGTGCGCGCAGAGATGAAAATGCGGGATGTTGGTGAGAAAGAGAGGAAGAGGAAGAAGAGAAGAGAAACTCGAGAGCAAGGTAAATAAATGCAGCCCCACAATTCACCAGGTGAACAATCAGTAGAACAACGCGTCGTAGATTCTGCTTTTCTTGTTTTTTTTGTTTTTCTTGCTTGGTGCAGGCAGAAACTGGATGGGAAATGGCGAGTGACGGCCAGGTGGTGGCCAGCTGGCGGCTGGAGAAGGAGGCCTGAGGGCGAGTGAATCACGGCGGTTGCTCAGGGGACTGTGTGGCACGAGGAGGGGAAGGACGGTAGGTACCTAGCAGAGAAAAAAGGTTTGTGAATTGGGAAATACCAGTATGAGGAGCTGAATTATCTTGAAATGCAACTTGTGGTTGATATGACAGATGTGTTGTGGGAGAGTGGGAAAAGGGGGGAGCCATCACTACCTATAGAGGACTGGACAAGACCGTCGACAACCTCAGAGACTTCATGATGGTGATTTAAATGGGATTGGACAATCTAATCACATCAAGATACATTGAAGTGCAATTACGAGTATGATTATGAGGGAGCATTTCATATGCGGCCTGTCGTTTGCCGCTTCCCGTCCAGTTCTTATGCCTGTCTCTGTGTGTGCTTCATTTCCCCTTGCCGCTCAGCTTGTCTAGAAACCAACGTTCCGGACTGGCCCGACAGCAACTTCTGAATTTCTAGTTCACGAAGAACAAGCCCCGGTAAGGCAATTCAAGATACCGGGGAGAGGAAAGGAGAGTGTCCTGCTCAGAGGAAAAAGTCGCTGTGAAACTCCTTCACGAGGCCACGCAGCTATCCGGGGCTGCAACACCACAAACGGCTGATACAGTAGCACAGACTGGTCTTACCTTTGTTCAGACAAAACCCGGCCCAACGAGGCGATTCCTTCCATCCACCATCCAGTGATCTGTCTAGGTATCTTGGTACTCATCCCCTGGGTAATTCTGGGCATCTCAGATATGCAGCCTTCCGCCTTTCGTCAACTTGTGAGGCTGTACCTGAGAAAGTAAGTAGCTACTTTGGGTACGAGTTGCAAGTAGATAGTATTAGGCAGTACATAAGGTAGTACTTGTCAACTCTAAGGCAAGGTACCATCACCTCATGTCAGGTGATTCATCAAGGCCGGACCAGAAACTCCAGAAACTCAGAAACTACAGAAACTCCAGAAACTCCACGATGGTCCTCAACAGCATCAGACAACAAGAACAAGACACCAAAAATGATAAAACTCTTTCCCGCCATCACCATCAACGACCCGTCACTTGACCATCCAGCAGCCCCGGCTGCTTGTTGTGCCGAAGCTGTCGTCTCCATTCTCCCGGTCTCACCCAAAGGTCCAGCCTCGTGTTGCTGCGACTCGGGCGCTCTGCGGACATTTGTCCGACTTGTGCGTGAGATGCCTCTCGAAACTCAACGCCAGTCGCGGCTTAGACTTTTCGCAGGTCTCTTGGCAAAGCGGCTTCAGACCATCCTGGACCCCCAGAGAAGCTCGTACGGAGGCGCCTCGCTGCAGAATCCGGCAACTGGGCTTACTGCCACCGTCACGGCTCCCACTTCCCCCTCAGACGGCCGAGAAGGGAAAGCTGATGGCGTCCGACCATTGACTCGATCCACGTTCCTTAAAATCGAACTCTGTCGGGCGTTGAGACCTCGGGGCTACGCTTCCCCAATGGAGAACGCTGGGGGGGAGCGCCATGTGTTTCCATCAGCCACGTCTGACCCGAGGTCGTCGCCATTGGCTGTCAACCCGGGCACATCACGATGAGCTCAAAGGAGCACGGATCCCTGCTGCGTCGTGATGCCTCGAGGCGGGGCCCCGGACCCAGAAAAGATCCATGGACGAGCTATTGACGCCACCAAAGCTCCTCTGCCGGCTTCTCCAACTCGCTGCTCCTCCACGTCCCCCGCCAAATCCCACCCTCCATGCCGACGCCTCGGCACTCTTAGCTCTCGTCTAGCCCCCTGCTGCAGCCGCAGCGATTTGCCGGAGCTCTGGTGGAGCTTGACGAGCTGCTCCGTCCGAGATTCGATTTGCTGCCACCGCAGCCCGACCAGTGTTAAAGCGTTGGAGCATCAACAAGGCGTGCGAATCGCGGCCGTCACTATCATCGCCCCTCGACCGTGTCCCGAGAGTTCCGGCCGCTAGCCCGGCCAAAAGTCACACGATCGTTGACATGCTACCTTACGAGTACGTCGAGATAGCTTCGTGGTCTCACCCGGCGTTTAGCAGAGCCAATGCCATACCGCTGCTCCCATCAGGCCAGCCCTGCCCAGCCCAAGCCAGCCTAGCAATAAGACGGCATTCCTAAACACCGACGTGGAGTCTGCCCTCCGATGGCTGCAGGATGTACTCGATCTAGGCTGATCACTGCCTGCTTGGACGGGATCCATGGCCTGTGGCATCGACACGTTCGCCCAAAGGGGGCGTCGCGAGAGGGGGAAATGCTCCATCACGACCCTCCATCACCACTCCAAAAACATTCAACGACTCTTCGGGACAACGGAAATAGCCTAGGACCGGCAAGCCCGATATGAGGGGAAACGAGATGGAGCAAAGGCATTGGACACGGCACGAGGAGCAATGGAGCCCTGCCGTGTTGCATATAAACGAGGCAAGCATTGCCCTCGACCCATGATCAAGATCTTCCTCTTCTTCTTCTCTCCCCTCCTCTCTGTAACGACCGCCAAGCTTTTGCAGTCAGTAGGCGTTACCCCTGTCTCCTCCTCATCATATTCCAACAACTACATTGATACAAGGCCGGAAGCAGCCTCTACAGCATGGCTACCCCAGGTGACGACCCCGTCGAGGGGCAATACAACAAGGAATCAGCCGGTAACGTGCCTCCCACCAACGGGAATACTTCCAATGGCATGGGCCCCGGTCAGCAGTTTCCGCAGCAGTTCCAGCAGTATCCCGGGTACCAGTTCATTCCATTCAGCAACACCATGAATCCACAGGCCGGGCCTCACCAGGCCATGGTTTCCCAGGTCTACCAGCCTACCCTTGGCAAGATTGGTAACCCAGGTCCCCTTGGCCTGCTCGGCTTCGCCTTGACGACCTTTACGCTTGGACTGTATCAGTGCGGTGCTGGGTAAGCTTCAGCTTGTCGTCCAAGACTTGTCTCTCCCTTGTAACAAAGCGTACGGCTAACTCAAGAATAGTCTCCCTGGCTCCAATCCCCTGGGTGACGTCGGCCCTGACCAGGCTGTCTTTGGTGTTGCCGTCTTCTTTGGAGGCATGGCCCAATTCGTCGCCGGCGTCATGGAGTTTGTTCTAGGCAACACCTTTGGTTGCACCCTGCACTGCTCATACGGGGCCTTTTGGCTTGCCTTTGCCATGTTCTCCGTCCCCACGCTGGGCATTCAAGCCGCATATCAGGGAGACCAGCGCGCCTTTAGCTTTGCCGTCGGCATCTTCCTCATCATATGGTGCTTCCTGACCATCATCTTCTTCATCGCGGCGCTCAAAACCAACATTACCATTCTGCTGGTCCTGGGTCTGCTCACGCTCTCCTTCTTCTTCCTCAGCATAGCCCAGTTCGTGTCGACCGAGCACCATACGGCAGCCATTCGCCTGAACCGTGCGGGCGGGGCCTTTGCTGTCTTTTGCTCCATGTGCGCATTCTACGCCGGCGCGGCGGGCATCATGCTCAAGGACACCACCTTTGTTACCTTTCCGCTTGGCGAGATTCCGTATCCATCAGTCAGGCGCGAGAGAGCCGCGGCCAAGGCCAGGGCCAACAATGTGTAACAAGATTTGTGGTTCGCATTGTATTTCGGGCTTCTGTCTACTGGGTCCTGCAATTCGTTTCCCGTGACCCGGGAGCAATCGATGTGATGTGAAGCGAGGATGGGCTTTTCTTCAAGGGGGAAGGATGTTTCAAAACTGCGTTCTGATGTGGACTGATTATACCCTCACTTTTGATACCCACCTATTCCTCTACGGTAAATTGCTATGTCAGGTTGGAAAACTAAGTGATGGTAATGGTAATGGCAGTCGATCACTAAGAGGAGCAGCAGAAAAGGAGTACTTGTCACGGAGGGGGCAATGCGCGGTATACCCAACGGTACGATGTTGCTGATAACAAGGATAGCTTGTGTCATGTATTTATTTTACAATGAGAGAAATGATTCTCATAATATCAGAACTCGCAATGACTGATAAGTTACACTGATTGCTTCCCGGCATCCCAACTTCTCAAGTATGTAGTAAATGGTCCTTTTTTGGGGGTCATACAATTTGTTCATTAAGTTTCATGCTCCGGACCATATCTCCCCTTTCCTCTTTCAGTCGTACAAACTGCTCTGGACCTCTTCGGCAGTCTCTTTAGCCTTTCCCTTTGCCTCGGCAGCGGTGCCCTTGGCCTTTCCCTTGAGCTCCTCAGCCTTGCCCTTGGCTGTGCCCTTCATTTCCTGCGTGGAGCCCATCATCTCGTCGGCCTTGCCCTTTGCGGCGCCCTTCATCTCCTTGGCCTTGCCCTTTGCGTGGGCCTGCATGCCCTCGACTTGTTCCGCGACGCCGCTGTTGGAGAGATCTTCGGCTGTTTCCATGACTTTGTGTGAGGCGGCGGCTTTGGGGCAATGTGGTTAGCAATGGAATTAAGAAACATGACGTTGTGGCGGGGGGTTATAGGAGGGTGTACTGGAAGAAGAAGAAGAAGAAGAACGTACTGGCCATGTTGATGCCGTCAACGAGCTTATCGCTGACGGCCCTGTCCACGCGATGGAGGCCATCCTTGACGGTCTCGGGGACGATCTTGTGGACGGCGTGGGAGGTGGTGAAGGGGCGTGTTGAGCGGGTTGCGGCGATTCGGGAGATGGAGGTTGTGAGGGAGGTGGTTTTGGGGAGGACGGATCGAGTGAGGAACGACATGGTGATGGCTGTGTGCGTGTTTGTATATATATGTGTGTGTTTGTTTGATTCGGTCTGATTTATTTGGTGGTTGTGTTTGTGGTTGTTTTAGTTGTTGTGGTTGTTGAGGTTGATGATGGATTGGTGGACGAGACAGAAGATGAAATTGAAGAGGGGAAGAACTGTGTGAGGAAGGAGAAATGGCAAAATAATATATATATATGGATGTAATTATGATGATTAAACATGTGATGTGATAATCCCCTAGAGAGCAGCAAAGCTGGCAAAACTGGGCAAGAGCAGCAGAGCTGTGTGAGCTTGTCCTGTGCAGCAAGTTCGCGGGTGGCACTGGTGGTGATGTCATTGGGCTGGGAGTTTGCCTCCACATTCACGCTGGAGAGCGGCGCAATGATGACGCAGATGCGATTTTTGGCTGTTGAATTGAGGAGCTGGTTGTTTGTTTTCTTTATTACTGTTGGTTAGGTTATGTTTTTGGTATTCAATGATTGAATCGACTTTTGACTGATGTAATGCGTTTACTGTGTCATGGACTTGATTCTGGCTTAGATAGGTGGTTTAGATCTTTGGTTTGGTGGGGTTGGTGATGGCTGAGGAACGACGTTCATCATTGATAGAGATCGATCTTGGTTGCTAGGAATTGTTAGATAGATCTAGGTAGGCACCTACAATTGTCGATTATCATTATACAGGTAGTAGCTACCTAGGACTTGAATAGAATGGGGGGGCTAGCAATTGTTACAGAAATGGAACTGCTTAGGGAGCTAGCAATGGCTTGAATAGTGATGGCTTCGTTTAAGGACAATATGGTGTATAGAGGCCATGATACTGCGAGATGCATTTAATCAAAATCATCCCACATCATGGCGTTGCGTCTATAGACTCCCGTCCTATTATTTCAGGTCAAAAAGCTACGCTGCCTCTCCTCTGCCATGATACCTCTCAATCCACAGCTTCATCGTCTTCTCCGCCGTGGCAGGATCAATCCTCTCGGTAGGCCCAAGCCGCATCATCTTGCCTACAAGATACATGAGCTTACCCCGGGGATACTTGTCCTCGTCGGCAAACTCCTCCAGCATCTTGTCCTCGCCCTCGGCAGCCGCTTCGGCAAGGGCCTCGTACTCTTGCTGTGAAATTTCCTTGAACCACAGGTCGTTGCTTTCAATGGCTTCCAGAATACCCCCCTCGAGCTCGCCCAAGTACACCGCCATGAGGAGCTCCTTTGCTACTTTGCCGGTGATGTGCTTGCGGTACAGGTGGTAGAGAAGCTGTGACAAGTCTTCCTCGGGCACCTGAGCGCACTCGCCGAGCTGAGTGAATGACAGGTCTCCCGAGGCCAGCGGGCCGGCCTTGTATGTCGTCAGGCGGCCCAGTTCGTGAAGGATCCAGTTACCCGCCAACGTCGCATATGACTTGACCTCGGGAAGCTCTGCAATATCGGGCTCGGCCTGCAGCTTGCTCTCCAGCAGGGCCAGGACACGGTAAAAGTACTGCACGCGAGCTCCATTGTCGAGCGTAATGAGCGAAAGAGCATCCTTGGCGGTGAGGCCGTAGTGATCCACCAGCTTGTCCAGTTCCGTGTCCGGCAGAACAGCAAGCGACGTCTGCAGATGTTGCACAAGATCACTCCCAATGACGAGCGGCGCCAGGTCAGGGTCGGGCATGTAGCGATAGTCAACCTCGCCCTCCTTGCCGCGCAGACGGCGCGTCTCCTTGGACCCAACCGTCCAGCCTCGCGTCTCGCCAGCAATCAAGCCCCCCGCTTCCAGCTGTTGGATCTGGCGATCGCGCTCGGCAATGATGGCGTCCTCCACGGCCTTGATGGTGCTCAAGTTCTTAATCTCCGTACGCGTCCCGAGCTTCTTGCTGGGGTCGTCGGTCCGCCGCACAGAGACGTTGACGTCCGCTCTGAGCCCGCCCGTCTCCATGCCGGACACGCACGAGTCGACGGTGTTGAGCAGCAGCTGGATCTTGCGCACAAATACGGCAGCCGTGCGAGGGTGATGGATCTCGGGCTCGGTGATTATCTCAATCAAGGGTACGCCCACCCGGTTAAAGTCCAGCCAGTGGACGCTCCCCGCCTGTGCGAGTGTCTTGGCCGTGTCCTGTTCGAGCTGCACTTGTTTGATGCCGACGGTGACACTCTCCCCGTCCTCCGCCGCGATGCCATCGCGAGCAAGCAGCGTGATGTGTCCCTTTTTAGCAAACGGCTCGTAGAATTGCGTAATCTGATATCCCGAAGGCTGGTCCCACCAGAAGTAATGCTTCCTGTCAAACCGGCTGACGGGCTGTATCTCGCAGTTGAGGGCCAGCGCGGCCCGAATGGCCGGTATCAACGTCTCCTTTTGAAACAGCGGCTGGCTGCCTGGCATTGCAACGTCAAAGAGCGCCACGTGGCTGTTTGGGTCGTCGTTGAAGGACGTTGCGGCCGGCGAAAACAGCTTGCGGGAGGTGTTGAGCTGGGCATGGATCTCGATGCCCACCGTCAGCTCCCAGCCATCTGCGGTTTGGGAGTCGCCCTTGACCTTCTTCTTGCCCTGCTTCTTGGCCTGCTTGGCCTGCTCCTTGAGCTGCTTCCTCAGAGGGACATGGCCGGCCTGTGGTGCTGTCACAGTGGCTGTTGTTGTTGTTGTTGTTGTTGTTGTGTTTGTTGTTGTTGTTGCTACTGCTGCTGCTGCTGCTGCTGCTACAGGCTGTGTATGGAGATGCCGCAGGGCATATGGCAGACGCAGACAGGGCCAGATGGGCACCGTCCGAGATGAGAGGCGCCGGCCATTGATGCAACCGCGCTGCGAGAGACGGCCCTCGAGCAGATAACTGCTGAGCTCGCCGAGAGACCTGCGACTCATGCTGCAGCCCGGGGCTCGCAAGCCAACGGCAGATGCAATGCGAGTTCGTGCGTGTTTGATGCCACCCTCACGCGTGCCACAGCTCCGGCCTCGCGCAGTCTGCAGTCTGCCTGCCTTGTCCGAGCGCACCGCCACGTCGCCCTGGTTCCGGCCTCGGGTGAATCTGGTGAAATCTGGTGCGTCGCAAACTTCAAGCCGCCGCTTCTGCTGCCCATCAGGGTGAGGCGGAGCTGAAGTGCGATAAGGCAGAGCCGGAGTTCGAATTGCATGCAGTGAGGCCACGAGCCGGCCCGCTAGAAAACCCGGCAGGTCCGAACCCACCTGCAGCCACTATATCGATAGCAGAAACGGGGAGTTTCGTCCAATGACCACTTCATCGATGATTTATATCCATCATGTCTTCTGTTCAATTCCTTGTCTCGATTTGTTCTTCTTCTCCAAGGAATATACAATCACACCAGATGCCGTGACAGAATGAAAAGCAACGTCGTTGATACAAGCTCCCATCAGGTCACCAACTGACTCTCTCTCTCAACCCCGCTCTCTCACAAACCAGCAAGACACCGAGCCTCCAAGCACGAAAAGCCTCTGTTGCACAACGCCCGCGGTTTGTCTCTGATGAGCAAGGACGCTCTGCAGTCGATGACCCAAGACCGTCCCAATGGCCCAAGGCGAACTACAGGGGAGAAACAGCGGCCGGTTCTGCCTCAGGGCTTTTCCCCCAGCCCGGCCATGTGCCCTATCTTGCCATACCCCCCGATCCGAGGCAGCCAATCCCGGCCCGGTCTGGCCTGAGCTGGTACAGAGTGTGTGAAGATTGTACGCATGATTGGAGGCCTAGCAGCGCTTCTTTGCGTCTCCCTCTGGCCCTTATTTACAGAGGCTGGCCCCCCAAAAAAAGCCAGGAGATTGGGTTCTCTCCTTGGTTTTCTCTTTCCTTGACCGTTGCTCGTTGCCACGCCTGCACAACTTATACCGCAACATGCCTGCCGTCGTGACGCTATCTGGTAGACACGAAGCTGGCCCTCCGAGTGTATCGTTTTAGCCGCCACTGTTGGAGTGTCCATTCTGTCAAGAGAAGTACGTCTGGACGATCCCTTACTCATAAGAGAGTTACGCACGCGTTTGTGTGAGTGTGTGTGTGTGTCCCGCAATCCTTCGGCATCTCAAGAAGTGCTGTCATCGCGCTCGGCTCGAACCGTCGGGAGCTCCAATGCTCCAGCTCTCATTGACCAGCTCTGGGTTCAGGGGGCATAATTCATACGACACCATTTACCTCTCTATCCCGTGTCTTTCGCTCCATTGGAACTCACATCTACGCCGCGAGCAAGCCCAAGAATTGCCACATCCGCATTGCTTCCCCGCGCCGCTGCGAGGCCAATTGCCACACCTGGTAGCGTCATTGGAAGCTGCAACGGTATAAGTGACGATAACCTCCTCGACTTACAGCGTTCAACGACATGCCTGTTGAGGTTGATCCAGTGAACCCCGGCCCGCCCAGGGGGAACAAGGGCAAAGGAAATGCAACACACACCCGCCATGCCAGCATCGATGAGAACATGCTCGCGGGGGAACACCCGAGGTCTTCCAGCTCATCGTTTCCTTCATCGTCAACGCAGCAGCGACGGCCTCCAGCGAATAGCTCAGGGAGACTTAGTTTCCATGGGGAAAGAAGAATGTCGGAAACAGTCTTCTCGCAGCACTCTACCCAATCCGCCTCTGCTGGGCCCAGCCATCCGCCCATCGCTGCGGTGGCGGAAGCAGCATCTCCAGCAACGGTGGATAGAGAGGATGAGGCTCCTTTCGATGAAGAAACTGCAAATCCCCGTGCCAAGGACAGAGCGCGGAAGCACTACAGGCGCCCGAGCACTAAAAGACATGACAGCCCTTCTCGACTGTCCAACCCCATGGACTATGGAGTGCAGAATCCTCAAGATCCAACAAGAGGTGAGTGTCCCAACGTGATTTCGTCAAGGACAATCGATACAAGACTGACATGTTTCAATAGGGCCAGCTTATCATCATCCATTCAACGGAAGGCCTCCTATGCCCAATGAACCACCCATGAACGATGGCGGTCACCCTCGCTTCCCGCCTCTTCAAACCGTTCCAGGAAACTTTCCCAGCGGATACGGCTCACCAGAAAGACCATTTGCTGCCCCTGACCCGCCGCCTGTGTTTGTTCCATCGCCCATGCAAGCCTCATTTCCCCCAATGAGGCCACCACCACCTCATCCGCCACCGCCCCCTCCGCCGAACCATCAGCCCAACGGACCCCCTCTCAGTGGTTACGAACTCCTGGCAGCCAAGCTGTCGGGGAACTTGGCCGGGCCAAGACTAGCACCCATCTACCGACGGTTCGAATCTCTCCATCACCGGCTACTATTGCACATGCAGGACGAACTCATTGAGTTGGAAGAGCAGCTACATAGCCTCGATGCCGTGGACACGGAGAACAGAAAGTTTCCAGGGGGCATATATCCCGCATCACGGCGGCGAGAAAACATGAGCCCGACCGACGCGACCTGGAAGAAGAAGGAAATCATGACGCACCTTGCTCATAAGCTGTATCAATACAGTTTGTACCCTATTTCCGCCTCCCCAGGGTAATATCTAATCGGAGAGCAGATCAAGTCATGACTTCGTTCAGCGCAACCCATGTCATGGCCGAGCCGAGTATCAAAGATGTCTTCGATTACAAGGCCTATCTCCAAGACATCAACCCTCTCGTGGACGTCGAATGCCAGTTTCTGGACGCCACAGACGACCTCGTCAACTTAGTGCGGCGCAGACGACGCTCCAATGGCAACCCGCAGGATGATCCTCTCAGCCCCATGCCCAGGTCATCCAGCGTAGTCGGGTTTCCGCCACCGCCGAGCAGCCAAATCTCCAATGCCGGCAGCTCGCTCTACCCGGGCCAAAGCGCCGCGCCTCCTTCGGTCAAGGGCCTCGCGCTGGCCATGGCAATGATCGTGCTCGCGCCCATTGTCTGCTTCTCCGTGATCCCGGGATTCGTCGGCCGTATGACGGTCGTCCTTCTGGTGGGTCTCGGGGGAGCTGCTGCGTTGCTCCAGTCCGGGCTGTTTGCCCTCGTGGCGGAGGAACGAAGCACGCTGGACTGGGTTCTCTGCGCGGGGGTTTATGGAGGAGTCATGGCTGTGATTGCGGGCATTATCTAGGAGGGAAAGCGGTGTTTGATGAGATGATGGACATCGAGCGGGATGAAGCCGTAATGGTTGAAAACGGTTTGAGAAAGGCGGGATGTAATTTACATGGCATCAGCCATCTCGTGATGATTGAATGATTGAACGACTGCTCTATAGGAAGATCAGTTCAGAGAGACGAGCACTTCTAAACTAGTGAGCAGCAGCAAAAGGTTTACCCAGCCATGAGCTAGAACTGTTGACTGGCTGGCTGGCCGAGTCTGCAGAGAGGTATGTCTATCTTCGTCCGTGTAAGTGAGCCAAAAAGGAGGACAAAAAAGACAACTTCTGGACGAACGGGGAATCGAACCCCGGACCTTTCCCAAGCGATTATTTCTGATGCGGAGATCAGATTATGCTAAGGGAAAATTATACCACTAAACCATCCGCCCATTTGCTGATGGAAGGATTAGATGGATTTGCCTACATGAAGCTAGTTCCAGCGTGGAGTGGACCAATTCTGCAAGCCCACTTACACGCTCTTTCAATATCATTTTAATCAAGAAGAGCATTTGACAGATCGTCAGACAAGCTGATATGTAACCCTTCTTCGTTGAATTCCCGTTTTCAACAATTCCTCTCTCGCGAGTGTCATGTTTGCCGTGTCATGGCAAAATTACGCATGTTTAGTTCAAGCAGCTGCTTCATTCACTCGTTCACGATACATGTCCATCCTCAGCATCAGATGCATGTTCCAGCATTGTCCAGCATCAACCAACAGCAAGTGCTATTCCGACGATCCAAACCTTCGAAACACCAAACCCTTTGGTAGCGGCATAGCAGACGGCAAAACATACAACAGCAGCCTCGTCACGCCGTCCTCGTACATGATGCCGCCCTCAACAGGCACGTAGCCCAGCCGGCCGGCCACGCGCGGGCTCTTTGGGCTGTCCGGGTGCACAACGGCCATCATGTCGCGGACGCCCAGATCGTCGCGGAAGTATCGCAGGACCTCCCCGGCGGCCTCGGTGGCGTAGCCCCTGCCGCGGTGCTCCGGGAGGAGGATCCAGGACTGGTCGGGCATGGGGCTGCGCTGGACGACGTAGACGACGCCGATGCAGTCGCCGTGCGGCGCCGCGAGGCGGACGAGCCAGATGGCGGGCTGGTCGGCTGCAATGCGGCGGCCGCGGAGGATGGCGGGCTGGATGCGGCCGTGGGAGCGGTAGAAGGCGAGGGAGGATTGGGCGTTTGCTGTGGCTTCTTGGTCTGTGATGTTGAGGAGGTCGCTGGCCATTGTTTTGAGCATTGTGATGAAGGTCTGCTCGTCGGACTGCTTGGTGAAGTCGATGAGGGTGAGGATGAGTCTCTCTGTTTGGAGAATGGGCGCGAACTGCAGGGTTTCATGGGTCATGTTTTTTTGACGGCTTGGGTTTGATGACTTGTGATGATTTCTTTTGGGGCTCATGGGACGTCGATTGAGACGATGAGAAGATGGTGAGCTTGTAGACATGCTTGAGTTTTACAGCCTGCTTACGTGGAGTTGTCAGATTTTGCAAAATGAAGGTATTAGTAGTTGAGGCATGCTGAGTGAGCATTGGCTCGAACGCCTGACATCTCTATGGACTTTGAATACGTTATACGCGAATGGAGATACTACAATGTATGCTCGTTGTTAGAGAATTATCATGCTTGCAGGTCAAGAATGAACGCTGAACGTTGAGCTTGTAAGCCGAAGCTCCCGGAGACGCTGCAGCCGTTGAGTGGATCTATGGAGAAGCCGTGGAAGCGGGTAAACGGCCCATCTACCACGTTCTAGAATGATTGTAGTTTGTCCTTAGCCTTCAATTCGAATGAGGGTGGACGCAAAAGCCACGAGTCAACAAGCATCAGGGGATTTCGGGTCTTTCGTCTCTGGCCCATTGCCATATGGTTCCCTTGTCTAGAGCTAGGCCTTTTCTCCGGCCTCGATAGTTTGCAGCTAGCCCATCGAACAAGACCTTGCGGTCGTTTCTTTGTGTACCTGTAGTAGTTCTGATCCATCTGAGACGGGTCAAGAGTACAGTACAGTAGAGGAAAATGGAAATGCTTGTGGAGCAGAATTTACTCTGCGGCAGAGGCACACTCGCTGTGCCATAAATGTCTTTGGTTGGCTGCGCAGACACGACCAATGCTGCTCAGGCGCTTACAGGGTAGGTAGGTCGATATCTTGGGGAGGATGGATGGGTGGTGTTGCATCACAATAGAGTGGCAAATTTGTCGCTTAGAAGTATCGAGTACGCACAGCTCCAGGGACAAACCTATTCGATCTTTTTTTTGGGCGATCTGTCGCAGGCGCCTCGCTTGTCCATTAGCGGACGAGACGGCGTGGTGGGAAAAGGGGCCGGCCAATGAGGGCTGGAGGAAATGAAGCCATCACCGCCGCCAAATAAGAAGTCGACTTTAACCCTTACATGAACTACTTTACCCGTACCGTTGTTTTATATTTTCCGATATTGCCATCTCCAGACTTTTTGGTCGCAGGGACGAGTCGTATCTCTTCTTTGTGGTCGGTTGTAGTACTACCTAGTTTGGCTCCCGCTCGTACGATGCAAACAAAGAGACGAATGCCTGGCTTTGCCTCTTTCAACGGTACACAGACACGGCGTCAATTGTCGGTGCGCATGTGTTTCAAAATGAGAATCGATGCAGCAAGGGGTGGTTATTGCGAACCCTGTGTGTGTGTGTGTGTGTGTATCCGCAGCCTGTGGATGACTTGTGACTCGAGTCTGTGAGGTTCTCACTGCTTATGTACCTATTATATATTATCCATCGTGATCTGATGTGCTCAAATCCCCTGCCTGCATCTCCGGGGTCCTGCTGCAGACTGGGCCCCGAGACACGTGCCGTCGCCCAACTGCATCTGTCGCGGCGGTGGATCTGAAACAGGTATAAGGTACTAGTACCTAGTACTAGCACTAGGTAGGTAAGGTAGTACCGGTACCTGTCCGGCCGGGAGCCAGAGGTCGCGTTTCACGTGTCCACACAGCAGGTTCTGCACTGGCAGGGGACGAGACGGGATTTCAAGGGGAACATGGATGAGCTGGATGGAGCACATTGATGATGATGCACAGCACAGCAGCAGCAGCAGCAGTACTAGTAGCTGGAGCCCACTTCGACAGCAGCGTCTACTGTAAGTAATAATTAGTGGACGCGGCTCAACGGTGGTGCAGAAGCCTTGCTGCAGGGCGGCCCCTCTGTTCGTGGGCCGGGGGGGCCAAGACACTCAAAGGCCCCCTTGCTTGCTTTGTTGTGTCTTGTTTGTATGTATGATTATGACCCTCATTTGCTGTTGTCTCGAGCGTTGGAGCAACGAGCACAATGATGTTACGTATTCTGAAGTGACTGGGTATGAAAAAATATTCCAGCAATACCTTGAGCATCTGATAGCACTTGACCGCGGAGGGCATAAAGGGACCAGACGGTGACTCGCGCTAGTATCCAGGTGCAGGGACGGGAACAGGCACAGATTCAGGTACAAGTACAGGTACGGGCGCGAGACTGGCCTCTTTGTCCCGGCTTCGAGGCTACTAGCACAATTCACATTGTCAGGTACCGTAGGTACCTAGGTACCTAATAAGGTACTCGCGTACTCGTAGTATGTAACTCCTCCCAAGAAGATGAAACAAACCAACACGATCCGCATCCATCAATCTCAGGCTTTCCTCTCCTCTCCTCTCCCCCGTCCTCTGCCTGTCCTGTGCCTGGCGCCACCCCCCGACTGACACTGTATACCGTCCGATCGGCCTCGAATCGCCCTCTCGGATCGGCTGTGCGACCGACCATCATTACAGCGAACGGCTGGCCACTTCGCCAGGCACCGTAGCCAGCCCGCCCGCCCAACCGCCACGCCCCCTGGCCTGGCCAGAACCTCGACTGACGGGGGCGGAGCAGATCCAGCGCCATCAAATCAAAGCGGCGTGCAAATGCCCCCACCGGCGCAGGCAGAGCAGAGGCACAAGGCTCGCGCTCCCAAATTGAGCCTCGTCACGTCCATGTCCCTTGCGTCGCGGCCCAGGAGCGAGGTTCCGCCCTCAACCACCACTAGCCCTCCGGCCAAGCCACTCATTTCCACCGATCCAAACGCCCAAAGGCCAGAGTCGCACTCGCAGCTGCAGCTGAGCACGTCCCCGACGCTGACGGCGACTGTGACCCGCAACGTCAATGCTTCCTTTCTGGATGACCCGACGCCAATCGAACCCGCCATGGCCGACCAACACGCGTCTAGAGGCAGAGTCCGCGACTCTCACGACCTCTCGCTGTCCCCACGCAACGTCACCCGGGACTCGCTGGTGAATAACATGCTGCTGTCCCTCGACCAGTTTTCATTGGGACACACCTCATCCACCACCACCCGCTCCTTTGGCGGCAAGGCCCTGACCTACGACGACCCGCGGCCCTGGGCCCACGACACCATCACCGGCAGCTTCTCCCACGGCTTCCAGCCATCAGCCGCCGCCGCCTCCTTCTCCTCCTCCTCCTCCTCCCGGCACCCGCAGCCGTCGCGACACCAGTACTCGTACAGCTCCGACTACGACGACGACTCGACCCGAACCTCGGTCCAGCTGCCCAGAGCCCGGAGCCGCAGCCCCAACCGACGCAGGAGCAACAGCAGCTCGACCTTCCAGGCATCCTTCCCCAAGCCCCCCGGCGTCGCAGATTCTCCCATCCATCGCGCGCGACCTCGAGCCAACACCGGCAGCAGCACCAGCAGCGCCAGCTTCGACGCGGGCTACCCTCAAAACATTGCTGGACCTGCCAGCTGGGATCGCACCGGCTTCAGGCGCTCGGCGAGTTTTGATCTCGGGCCGCTGCAGGCGCAAACGCAGCTCAATGCGCCCTTGATCTCCCCGTTCCACATCGACTTCCTGACCAACCCGTCCAGCTTGGACCTGGATCCCGTCGACGGCGCCTCGGGACACACCAGACGACCAGCAAACCACCAATTGGTGGCACCTGCCATGGCCTTAAGCGACTTCGATGCCGCCCCGGCGCCCAGCGTCAGCTACGGCAAGTCAAAGACCGACCAGCTCGCCGCCTCCCAGTCTGCCGGCGGACTTGCCCAGCCCAAGGAGCGGCACGGCTTCTTCCGACGTGTCTTTGGTGGTTCCTCCAAGAGCACGACGCCCGCCCCCCCCGCGGAGACGTTGACGTCGCGCCTCACTGGCCAAGGGAGCATCGTAGCTGCGCCTGCCCCCAAGGACCCTCTGCCGCAGCCGCAGCCGCAGCAGACGCAGCCGGTGCTGCAGAAGAAGTCGTCGTCCTTCTTCCGCCGCCGCAAGAAGTCAGTTGCTGACGAGGCGCCGCCGCTGCCTTCCGATGTGCCTCCTGTACCCTCTCTCGCTGATGTCAATGGCAACCTCCATCCCGACTCTGACCGGACCACAGACAGCCCTGCTGGCAGCCTGAGGCAAATCATGACCCCGTACCTGAAGGACGGCGCCGCGCACTCGCACTCGCACCCTCTTGGCGACATCACCAACAAGGCAGCCCCCAGAGCGGCTGAAGACGACGACGATGATGATTACAGACCAAATGTCCAGCGAGAATTCTCTCCCGACTACGAGCTGAGCCCCAATGCCAAGATTCGGGTAGTGCGCAACTCGGATTCGGACCTAGATCAATCGGCTTATGACAAGCCTGGCCGAGCTCCCAACAAGCTCGTGCACAGGAACAATTCCTTCCTGGACCTCGACGGAGGTAGTGACAACGAGGAGCCCCCTGTTCGCCGAATGTCTGACAAGGAAAACGATGGCCGATTAGCTTCTCCCACCGCCCACAAGAGCAAAGACACTGCTGGTACACTGCGCGGTAAGAAGTCGCCGCGTATCACCGACCAGGAGAGGTTTGGCGACGAGCCGCCTCGTCCTCACAGGGCTCCGCCGGTCAGTGAATGCCGGTCGACGTCCTATGCCTCGGCATCGACAGACGACGGAGACTACAAGACGGCCCCCAGTGCGGCCCCCAGCGTTCGCGTTGAACGATCGAGCGAGTCAAGTGTCAGGGGTCCGGGGACGCTGGACATGCTTAAGAATCGAGACTTGGACGAACCTGAATTTGTTATTGGCGAGCCGACCGAGGATGAACGGCAAAAGGCGCAGCAGATATTCGACGGCTGTGAGGACTTCATCCCCAAGGAAAAGGCTGCCTCCTGGATGGGTGAGGAGGGCCCCATCCGGCAGCGCACTTTGCAGGCATACATTGAGCTGTATGACTTTACCGACCTGAGCATCCTCAATGCTCTGCGCAAAGTGTGCGGCCGCTTAATCCTACGCGGTGAGACACAGCAAGTCGATCGCATCCTCGTGGCCTTTTCCAAGCGTTGGTGCGATTGCAACCCAAACCACGGCTTCAAGGCAACTGGTCAGTTACATCATCCCCCCCCAAATTTCCCTCAGTGCAAATGGTTTCCATCTCTAACATTGTCTAGACGTCATCCACACCATATGCTACTCTATCATGCTGCTCAACACCGATCTGCACCTTGCCGATATCGAGCAGAAGATGACCCGTAGCCAATTTGTGAAGAACACACTGACGACAATCACACAGGCTGTGGAAGAGTCTGTTCCGGATGCGTTCGACCGCCCCAGCATTTTGCCTGAAAGGGGCTCTGTGCTTCATGAGGGGGGACGGGCTGTATCCGAGCCGCAAGAGAAGAAGTCTTTCCGCAACTCGTTCCGACCACCACCTCGCATCGATACCCAGCTGGTGGATGCCCACGACGACTGCGGGCCACTTGTCAAGTCGTCCTTTTACGGTTCGATGAAGGCTTGGGAGGAGCAGATTGAGATCGTCTTGAAGAGCATCTACAACTCCATCAAAGAGGATAAGCTGCCCCTGTTTGGTGCAGAACCAGAGAAGCACCTCCATAACATGCCGTCGCAGAGCAACCTGTCTGTCATGGGCATGCTCAAGAGGAGCCCGAGCGTCCTGAGCAAGGCACCCTCGGAAAGCCAAATGTCGACGCGAGGCCGGCTCGCAGACAACAGCCGCAATGGCAGCTCCCGATGGGCGTCCAAAAGCCGCTCGCGAACCGGGCTTGGGCGCCAGGGCTTCAACTCCAGCCGGACGAGCTTCGACGACACCAATTCTCTGTGGAGCCCGGCCATGTCCTCTGCCACCTGGAGCCGCTACTCCCTGGGGCGGACTCAGGGCTCCATGTCTCAAGATTCATTCGGCTCGGCAATGCCCCGAGGAGACTATCAGCAATCCATCGGCTTTGCAAATGCTCTGAGCCAAGCTATTGTTCGTTCCGACGATGCGAACGTCAATGATAACATGTCGGTCATGAGCGCTGATGTACCTGCTACGGGATTGCTGGACGACGAATCGCTCGAACTGGCCGGCCCTCCGTGGATCAAGGAAGGTCGAGTCATGCACAAGCATCACCTGGACGGTGTCGGCAAGAGGGCAAAGGATCGAAACTGGACCGAGGTCTTTGCCGTCATCCAGAGAGGTCAGATGAGCATTTTTTCGTTCAACGCCCCCAAGTCGACGAGGCAAAAGAGCCGCACAAGGAACGCAGACAAGGCCAACGCCCCCGTTGGAGGTGGTAACTGGCAGGACAACGCCGTAAACCTGGGCACGTTTAACTTGCGACTGACCCTGGCGTCGGCTCTGCCATCGCCCGGATATTCGCGGTCGAGGCCGTATGTGTGGGCGCTCAGCTTGCCCACGGGTGCCGTTCACCTGTTCCAAGTCGGAACGCCCGAGATTATCAAGGAGTTTGTCAGCACGGCCAACTATTGGAGTTCGCGGTTGAGCACGCATCCGCTGATCGGTGGCATAAGCAACATCGAATACGGATGGAGCGATAGCGTCATCAACAGCGCGCTCGCTGGCGCCAACAGTGACAATGCCTCCATCATGAGCGGCGGCCGAACCTCACGCCCTGGCAGCCGTGCCGCTCACGGTCGCCAGCCGAGTGTCCAGAGCGTCAACATGCCTTCCTCTAGCATCGATCTCGGATCCGGGCCCTTTACTTCCGGCGGACGCGGCAAGCTGCCCGGTGATCGCATCACCATTTCCGAGTGGGCACCTCCGACGCAGAGCATGCGGCCGAGCCATTTGTCCGAGCCGGAGCAGCTGGAGGCTCTCACGGCATATGTCAAGAGCATCGAGGATGACTTGCAAAACCACAACCAACTGCGCAGCCCCATGCTTCTCGCCTTTACCCCCAGGGGCAGCAACGCGAACAAAGCCATGGCAAACTGGGAGCGCAAGAGCGCCTACTTGCTTAGGGAGATTGTCAAGTTCAGAACCTACGTTGACACCCTGCAGCAGGCAGAGGCCCGGAGGCGGGAGATTTACAAGGAGCGAGACTTGGCTCAACGGGCGGCCAGAGGCGAGCTGAGCGATGGCGACATGGACCTCAGCGATGAAGATGGCGACGAGACTCTGCGGCCCTGAACGTTGCTTGAATGTTGTAGGACCCGGGACTTCTCCCCCCTGTTTCCGGTTCGATGCTGTTGTTGTCATTCCATTATTATTCGTTTCATTTGTGCTTCGGCTATTAGCCGTCTTTGATACCTCCTCCTTGGACTTTTCCTTCTACTACTGAAAGCAGTCGCGTCGGTTAATGCTGGTGAGAGAGGGGGGACATATACTGTACTATTAGTTGCATTTTCACTTGCCTGTGTTAGTATCTCTAGTTGCCTGTTTGAGACAGCGTTTTGGAATGTTGGAAGCATAAGCGAGCATTTGCCTATGAAAATAACAAAGAGAGTAATGGCCGCTGCAGCGGAACGGTCAAGCGCTTTGCTTTCACTGAACCTCCTACCCTCCCCCGAAAGTCTCCTGCGTCGTCGTGAGTGTGAAGGGTGACGAGCCTTTACGAAAGTTGGGTCAACGCAATTACCATTACTACTGGGTGTGAGACGAAGGGCTGGAGCGCCTTGTGGCGTTGAGCACCGATGTCCCTCCTTTGCTAAGATGTGAAGCTGAATATATATCATTGCAGAGAAATACCGATCCGAACCAACTCCAAGACGTGGCTGGTGTGCTTTTGACCTGTGTTTTGCCCGTCCTTTTTTCACCCCCCCCCCTTCTCACTCGGCTTTCTTAGACAGCGAGTAGCCAGAGAAGAAACACCACGGCACCTAATGGCGAAGACGGTCTCCCACTCGGAAGAGCAGCGTTGCCGCTGTCGTCGCTGCTGCCGGTCTCAGAGGGATCCGGATTCTGATTGCCCGTCTCCGATGGCTCCTGGCCTTTGCCGCTGTCGGTGGCAGTATTGGTGGGAGATGCCGATTGCTCGCCCTGCGTAGGCTGCGGAGAGGACGAAGAAGAAGAGCTGCCACCGCCCGAGGACGTTGCCGAAGAAGAAGAAGCAGGAGGAGGAGGAGGAGGGTATTCTCCCGGGGCGGCCCTGTTGGCGCATCCCTTGAGGTCAATGTCCTGCCAGCCGGTCGTCCGCTCGTCGTACAGGTACTCGATGCCGCCGCCGCTGCCGCTGTCGGTTTCGTTGCACCCGCCTGCGTAGTCTTGGAGCTGGAGAGAGAGAAAGTGCGCGGCGTAGGAAAGGTCGTCCTTGTCGGCTGCGTGGGCGGCGGCGGCGGCGGCGGCCCCGGACCAGTCGGGCAGGCCGCCGGCCCAGGAGATGGTGCCGGGGTCGCTTGCGTTGGAGACGGACCAGATGCCGAGCTTGATTTGCATGGGAGTCTGTGGCCATTTGGACGCTGGGATGACGGAGTCGGAGTCGGAGTCGGAGTCGGAGTCGTCACTGGGGTTGTGCCAGGTCTTGCGGACGACGCCGTCGATGGAAAAGGTGAGGCTGGCGGGGGTCCATTCGATGGCGTATGTATGGGGTTGAGAGAAGGAGGAGGTGTCGAGGTGGTGGGTTGTGTTGTAGGTGTTGAAGAGTGGCTGGCCGTCGTAGAAGTAGTTTGTCTGTGCTTGGTTTTCGTAGGCGCCGAGGAGTTCCTGTTGGTGGTTTTTGTTAACTCGAGTGTGAGGATTTGAGTTGCAAGTGTGATATAAGGAGGGAGAGAAAGAGAGAGGGGGAGGGTTGGAAGTTGGAAATAAGGGGGGAAAAAGGGGGGGGAGGGGAGAGTTTGGGAGGGCTCTGCTGATATGAGAAGAAAACGAAGCTCACCCAGTCAATCTCGTCTCCAGAATCCGACTTGAGGACAATGGCGGTGATGAGGCCGGGCCCCTTGGCGGCCTGGGCCTGGACGCTGACCTTGCCAAAGAGGAGGTACTTGGTGCTGGTCAGGGTGGGCGCCTGGCCGTCCTGCCAGACGATGAAGGCAGCGCCCTTGCCTTCGGTGTTGTCGAGGGCGAGCTGGCGCTTGTCCTTGATGGTGGACGAGTCCGCGGTCCAGAAGGAGGTGAATTGGTCGTCGTCCCAGGAGGTGCGGGTGAAGTCGAAGGAGGTTTCTGTGGCGAAGGCGGGATCGGGGGGGCAGTCTTTTATCTGGAGAGTAAGCTCTTGCGTGTGAAAGATTTTTTTTTGGACTTGTGGAGTTGGGGATGGGGGTTTGTTTACGGGCGTCTTTCTTGAGGGGGTCGCAGTTTGAGAGGTTTTTGAGGCTGGCGAGGATGGGGAGGGCTAGGGGGGTGAAAAGGAGGAGGAAGCGGAGGAGCATGTTTGAGGCTCTGAGAGATGTTCTGTTGAAGTTCGATGGACTTTGAATGTTTGAAAGCTGTAGAGGATGGATTAAAATCTGGCATTTGGTCAATGAGAGAGAAACGACGTGGAAATCATTTTTACTTCTTTCTTATACTAGGTATAGCGCAAAGAAGCAACACGGCTGCTTGCCTCCTCGTAGGCTCGGTTTTCTTTGACAAGCTTCTTCTCTCGGCAGCATGATGGTGTACATGTAGCAGTGAATTACCTGGCACAGCATGACTGGTGAGATGAAGCACAACTGGCGGCCTTGCATGATGACAGGGGCAAGCCCCAAGGAGGTGGAAAAGAGAAGATGCTGGCTCTGAGATGGGAGGAGCTCATGAAGCTGATACTGTGGTGATCCACGAGCGTGTGACAGTGTAACTGGAATCTTTTTGATGGCCTCAGACTTCGAGGTGATACAATTTCACAGCCTAGGTATGTTGAGCATACATTGGGATCAGAGTCCAGCTGCCTTGAAAATCCAGTATCTAACGATGTTGTCAGCCATTGTGCTGTCACTCTAACAGCATACCCATCAGAATCGTAAACATGCTTCACCCGAACATTACAAGGAAAAGCGGTCATACAAAAGGCTGTTTCGGAAATGTCTGACAGGTGACATCAAACAGCTGCCGGCCTCCCCTATGAAGATACCGCTGTAACCCCTGAGCTCTCGGCTGCGGAGCGAACGGATGGCCTTCCACGCGACGAGCTGTGACGCCCGGTTTAATGGCGAAGCGTAGAAAAGCTGTTTGTTGAGTGGAAAAGCACCGCGGATCAAGCTCGTCCCTTGGTCAGAAAGTGTTGAAGGAATGGGAGATGTCGCGTCGATTGCCTCTGCGGGCATCCGTATACGGAGACAACAAGTGGGTGGATGAATACTGGATTGGAACTGCAACCGGAGAGGTCGTAGATGGTAGTGGAAGCAATATACCAGCGCCATGACTTGGTTATCCAGTATCTTGTTGAGTTTATATGTGTCTCTATCACCGCTACTAACATGAAAAATGTACCTATGTAGAGCAAGCGGCGTCTGTTCCCCCCTGCTATCGTGTATATATATACGCATATATATATTGCTAGTCTTACTAAGTCTATAGACTTGCCATAATGATACTCAATTTCAGCGTTATTTTGTACTCAGAAGCAGACTTGGCATAATCGACAGCCGGGTTGAAATGCCGATAGAGACGGGAAGAAACAGAACCATCATCTTCTCATCATTAATTAGCAAGCTTCTAGCAGGTATCCAACATGCTGCTCAGCGCCGTCTTCTCCGCGCTCGTAATAGTCAACTTGTAATAGCTCTTGACGTCAATCCACGACTTGGCGTACGTGCAGTAGAAGCTGGTCAGCGGGGGCTTCCACTGGTCGGGGCTGCGGTCGCCCTTGGAGCGGTTGGAGCTCGCGGAGACGGCCCAGAGCTGCGGGCGGGAGACGTCGTTGGCGAGGGCCTCGCGCTGGGCGGTGGTCCAGGTTGAGGCGCCGGACTGGGTCGAGTCAGTTGGTGTAATGAGATGAGATGAGAGGGGGTGGAAAGAAAGGTCGAAGGGGAGAATAAAGTAAGTAGAAGAACTGTAGTGAAGTGATGAGTGTGACAAAGATGCTGAGGTTATGTGGGTGTGAGGCAGAGGTGAAAACAGTTCCAGGGGTATATCAGAGGGCAACGATGGACAGAGAGGGACATGGAGACTGAGACCACGGAGAAGCAAGATGGCAGACTCACAATCCAGGCATTCTTCAGAGGCACCATGTGGTCAATGTCCAGGCTGGACGCGTTTGTGAAACTGGCATTGTCATAGGGGCTGATCCAGCTCCCAGACTGGGCCTCGCAGGCATTGTTGACCTGGACGCCCTCGCCATCTCGCTTCAACACGTACTCGCTGTTATGGCAATATGCCAGTCAGCCTCTTCGTATTTTATCAGTAGGAATCCAAGGAAGCTTGACGTACCGAGCATTGCAGTTGCCGGAGATGGCATCCCAGGTAGGAAACAAGTCGCGGGAGTAGCCCGTGCCAGAACCAACAACGGCGACTGTGAGGCCGGCGAGCTGGGTTCTCGCCGTGTCTTCGGATGGGATCCCGGGCTATTACAGTTGGGTCGTCAGTATATCTGATGTGTATGTAGATTTATGGTGCTGAGACTGGTCGGAGGAGAAGTTACGCACCGGTGCAGGTAGAGGAGCCGGAGCAGCGAGAGCCGCGATGGCCGAGGCGAGGGCAATAGAGAAAGACAGCTTCATGGTTGTCTTTATAAAAGGGTATATTGATCTTTGTATAATGCAGCAGCGATGTGGTCGAGATATAATATGCTATCAATCCCTTGTTGCTCTGTTCCCCCTTGGAAGCAAAATCCCCTCAAAGTCAAGCAGAGTCCAAGGGCAACCAGCTTCTTTATATATCCTGGTCGACCCCATGGCGGATCTCATATGCCACCAACTACTGATGCACATCGAGTCTCAATGTAGGATTCTCCTCTTCGTGGCGCTGCCTAGGCTCCATCACATAATATGTCTCAAGCTGTGCAACTCACGCGCAATAAGCCGCATGAGAACACTATCATGCCTGATCCCCTCATGACTAGATGCCGAGGAACATCACCCGCCGTATCCGCCCAATGAGAGCAGTGGAAGTAGAGGGCAAAGCATGGGAAATACCGAGATGGAGACGCGCCGTATCGTCCTAAGCATGGACATATCGCCGTTAGCAGCGCACAGTATACCATAATCGATTCGGCCCCCTGGCTTTTCATGATGGACTTACTCACATTCTGAACTGATAAAGGACCCCCAAAAGAAGTCGGAAAAGGAAAAGAAGAGCCACACCAGGATAATTTATCCCAATCACAGCCAATGCCGCTACAACGTGTTGATAGAGGCATCTCCACAGCTCGTCGCTTGAGCATTTCCTCTTTAGGAAGGTTGGCGATTCAAGGAGCAGAACGGCTGGGGCGTTTCCCCTCGATCTCGAGAAATCCCCGCCACTGATCCTCTGTAGCAAGTCCTGCCTGTAGGTCATCCCAAAGAGCCGTCGCGTCGTATAAAAAGAGCCTCAAGACTGGGCAGTTCCTTTGCTCTTGGAAGCTCCTGAGCGCTTGCAGAGGCGTTTGGCCGCGGGCATTCGTCTGGTTGGGGATCGCGCCTCGCCGAAGCAGCTCGCATGCATCGCTTCTCGCTTGGATGTCCCTGTACTTCAGGTTCTTGTCCAGCCGGTCGACTATGCAATGTAGGAGGCTATTTCCATGCTTGTTAATATAGTTGCCATCAAACCCCTGCACGTCAAGAGCGAGCTTGAACCATCTGGTTCGGCTCGAGGGTCCAAGGAGAATCTCCGACACAACCCTTTCGGCAATTGTAGTTCGTGGGAAGTGCTCCTGAAGCTGCTTCCAGGCCACCTCATCGTACCCGAGAACGTTTAAATACATCAAATCGATGGCATTTTGAGAGACTTGAGTCCGATACTCTTGTACATAACCATCGAGCGATTTGCGGAGACTGAACGATTGTGCCCACTTGACGAAGACGGCGTCTACTTCCGAGGGCATGAGTGGTGCGTGCATCTCTAGGAGGAGCTGGAAGAATCTCAGTGGACGTTGATTGTGTCTCAGCATGCAGGTTCCCAGCACAGATCTTCCGCTAGCAAAAGGAATCGTGAGATCTGCACCGTTGTCAACACATCGGCGAAAGATGTCCAGGAGTCCGTTGATGCTGAAGCTTTTCCTGCATATAACGTCGCACAGAGCATGGAGCATGGTGTTTCCTTCATTCGATTTCTCGTTGATGTCGGCCCCATGCTTCAGAAGCAGATCAATCATGGCCTCAACATCTTGAGTTGCCCTCTTGTAATCAGCGGGGATGTTTTCAAGGGCCTTGATGGTGCAGGTCAATGGAGTCTCCCACGCTTCTTGAGGGCTGTAGCCGCTAATCTTTGGCTTGCGAGACTTGACCAGTTGCTCTGCGACTCCATTATACCAAAGCCGCGCTTGTGCATCACTTGACGTGAAGCGGAGACTGATAGCTTGAGTGAGTAGAGTCCTTCCAAACTCATTCAGGGCCTCGATGTTGGCACCGTTGACAATGAGCTTTTTGAGGGCCCTGCCGTTGTGGTGGCGCAGAGCCAGGAACAAAGGCGTCGTCGACCCTCGCTGGATTGGAACATCGATGAGCTCCTTGAGCGACTCAGAGTACGATTGATCGGCACCATCTGTAATGTTTGCGTCAGGATCCGCGGAAAAAATGTGTAGAATGTTGACGGTGCCTGGTTCATGTGCAGTGGCCGTCGGGTTATCGACTGGGACTAGAAGCACAGGCGAGGCACCAAACCGCAACAGCAGTTGAATCATCTCTTCATTTCGAGAGACCAATGGGACAAATAGAGGTCGCCACAGACCATGATCGGCAGCATGTCGTATCGAGGGATCAGCCACATCTTCCGGGTCGAGGTTTTCACGTCCCAACGCGTTTACCTCGGCGCCGAGTTCCAGGAGTCTCCTGGCTGCTGCCATGTTTCCTATGGCAGCGGCTATATGGAGAGGCGTGGCCTTGGGTGGTGATCGCCAGGTGCCAAGAAAGTACAGGCGATTCAGGTCCCCACCATATTGTTTGGCGAGGTCCAGGACTTTGGTGATTGCCTCATCGTCAGCTTCAGTGGTGCTCGCAGCCCAGTAGATGGCACGCGGTCGCTCCTCGTCGGCATCTTGCTTGTAGAGAATCGGAGTGACAATCTCGCGAAACAACTGGGAGACTCGAGCCAAGCGGCCCAGGGTCTTGAGAGGGAGATGCCGAATGACCTCGTACTGAAGTTCAATGGGGAGATTGCTGAGACAGTCACGAGACACCCGAGACCGATGCTTGCAGAGGGCCATTGTGCAAGATATGTTGAAGGAAGGAAGAAGAAAGAAGAGGTCGGAAGGAGACAGAAGCCAAGGATGAATAGAGCGAGAGAGTGAGTTGATGCCTGAGGAAGGGCGGTGTAAATGGCAGAATGATGCCGATGTACCTACCTATAGTACTTATCTTGAGGAAGGGAGCAGAAGGAGGAGAAAGTAATTCTGCCATCGTAGGTACATAAGCCTATGTGATGGTTTCTTTGTTTGACCGAGGTGCCCAAGGTATCTTGCTCAGCTACGGGTCTTTACTTTGTTCAAGGTGCGCTTGATGAAAGGTAAAGCATTACAGGTGTTTAGAGATGAAGTAAAGGCTACTAGGATAGATATATTCAAGAAGGTATTCATCTACCTTTTTTGCATATTTATATCTCTATACTTACTACTGCTGTAAGGAGGCAGTGTATCTCAGTCTTTGCTACTGCTAGATTCCTCTAGGTTCAGTACCTTGAGGCTTGTATGACTGTTTATCTATACCTGATGAGTGAAGCAGCCTAAGAAGTTCGGCAGCGTTCGACCTCTATAACTAGGTACCTACCTACCTACCTACCCTACCTATATAGAGGTAAGCTTTCAGATGCTGAATAACAGAGCTAAGGTCATGGATAACTACCCCCCTTCTGTTTGTATATAACTAAATACACCGAGGTAACAGCATATGTTAAGACTTTAGGAAATTGCGATAGAAATTTTTAGCCTTAACTTTGCTCTTCCATCTTCAACAGTAGTAGTCCCTAAGTTAAACAAGGTGCCAAATTGCTACCTACTTTCTATGCTATATTGAGACTGCCATGTCTGAATCAGAGGAGCAGGAACTCGCTTGACAACATACAAGTCGTTCAGATAGGTAATGATCCAGCATTGACGAGTGCTTCAATCAACTTGATCTTCTCCTAGGTATCCAATAATCTCGACTCTACATTCAAACATAATGTAGCAAAAAGTCATTCCAACATCTCATGATCAATTGGTTTCCTCCGCAACTTCAAGATATCCCGACGTGGTTAAAGCTGAAGTCGAACCAAGGACATGCCATGGAGCGTGCTGACTCAGCAGGGATCTGCCGCCAACGACGCCCAAGCGCCGCCCGCCGAGAGCAAGCGCTGCCGTCACTGCTCAGCCCTCGAGAGGCTTCCAAATTACATGTACACACAAGCTCCCAACAATCGAGGCTGCGTCAGCCGACGGTGACTTTTCCAACAACAAACGCGCAACTCGGGTCGCCACCGGGACACGCAAGCAGCTGCCACAGCGCCTCCATCGACTGCTTCCTTTGCCCGAGGCTGGAGGCTGTCCAGCTACAAAACGCCAGCTAGCTGCAGCCGCCTGTCGAGCCGTCGAGGCCCTGGCCAGCCCATCCATCTGCACCTCGACAGACTCACTGGGCGGACCAGAGGCGATCGCGCCCTGCAGCTCGTCTCTGCGCTCTTGTCACATTCATTAGCGATTTCATCGGCCGTCAACAAGCTTCAATCGCCAGCATTGTAGAGCACGGCATCGGGTGCGGCGTTTCGCATCTTGGACGAGCTTCTCTCGCTACCCCTCCATCCTTGGATAACCTGCGAATCCTGGCGTCATCCAGACAAACGCACCTCGGTCCCGACCAACGTCGTACACATCACGCACAATGGGAGCAAGATACGATTTGCGGTCGCAAGACCCCGAACCCCTCGCCTATGCCGCGCTGCCGGGCACGCAATCTGGGTTTGTGCCAACCAACCCGACGCCCATGAAGTCTGCCCTGGTTGGGCGGGATGTGATTGGTATGATGCCCCTCCTGTTGTACGCTGCTCTCGACTCCTCCCACTGACACGGCGCGTATAGGATGTCACCCGAGCCGCTGGATATACGAGCTGATACACAATAACTTTACTGTCTGCGACCTCTTTCAGCGAGCCCGCAATGCCAATCTAGATAGCCACTACAATTGGGAGCACCCTCACCAGCTAGTCATCAATGGAAACCAGTCCTTCTCAACCGCGTCGTCAAAAGTCCTCTCCGCTATTTGCCTGGACTGCCATTTCCACTTCATGTTCCGGGTCGAGTGGGAACGCGAGCAGGAGGACCTGTCGTGCCATCACAGCCAGAGTCAGTGGCCCCTCGGAGACACCCAATTTCCCTGGCACCATTTGGCTTGGGCATGCTCCGAGGATGAGAAGCGCATCACGCAGGAGCGATCAAAGTACTATCCGCTGCTGGCTCGCGAGTTCTTCGTCTGCACTGCTGCGCCATGCACGGTTCAGATTACACTCGAGGTCTCGGAGCCGCGGATGCCTTCATCATGGGTCAAGCTCCTGCTGGACCACGAGACAATTCTTCAACAGCTCAAGGCTGCGAGGGAAAACGAGCCTGCACGGTATGAAACCGCGACAGACGACTGGGCCTACCAGGCACCATCGAACCTCAACACCTATCTCAAAAACCTCCTGGAAGCGACCCCTGATTCGGCTCGGAGCATATCCAAACGAAACAAGCGGTTTTGTGTATTGTTCGGCCCACGTTGCTTCCACATATTCCGAGAACTAGAGTTTAAGGAGGTGGTAGACATGCAGGATGGGGTCGACGAGGGTTCATTCACGCCAACAGCTCCGCCACCAGCCGACGGCCCGTCCAAAAGCACGGAAGTCAACACCTACCGCGCCTATCTCGAGGACGTGCGCTCCGAAGTGCAGAATCTCATATTCAAGTCGGGCAACACGGCAGAAAGTCCTACGTTCTGCATCGCCGCTCTGCATAATCACTTGGGCTGTGCGGAAGTCCCTCGTGTCAGCGAAAATGCGCTGGTGAATCTGGAACGATACAAGCTCATGGGCGTCCTACCGACCCAGTCCAAAGAGATCGTAGTGAATGCCTATAAGAGACAGTGGGATCTGCTTCCCTCTAGGCGAAGGGATCTGGTGGAAGCATTGATGGCCATCGCCAATGATTCAAACGATGACCTCTTATCCGACTATGCCATTACCCAATCGTCCGTCTTCGAGAGCCAACTCCAGAGACACAGCGGAGACGACGACGACGGGCTTGTCGCTCAGGCGTTGGAGTACTTTTCGCTGAGCCCGCCAAACACTCACAGCGCGGATGCCATACTCCAGGCATTCAGGGAAAAGGTGGCGCGAGATCCTTTTGATGCGAGCACTGCCAGGAGCATGCTCCTCTTAATCGCCAGGTCTTCGAAGGATGACTCTTACCAGATGAAGCTTGTTCTAGAGGCTGACCCCAAGATGACGCTGGAGACTTGCAAGGTTGTCCTTCGCCTAAAGACTCTGGATGGCCCATGGGAAGACATGGTTCGCGCCACCAAAGAGTTGGTAAGTTGACCAGTCTGCATACCTTCAATCCTCGGGGGAGGAGTGCCGACACCTCCCAATACATTGTTTGGTGGAATTGTAAACGGGTACTAACAGGAGGACCTTCTCAGCTAAACAACGCTCCTTCAAGCGAAGCCAAGGCTACATACCTCGACGCTTTGGACTCCATTGCCGAGCATACAGCTTCACCGTCACTCAAGCAAGCCGTGCTGGAACTTCGCAATGAATTCAACCTTGGCATTTCTGAGTCCGACGGCACCACCTCTGGCGATGCCAGGGCGACCAACTTGAACCTTCCCCTAGGACTGCACAATATCGGCAACACTTGCTACTTGAACAGTCTACTACAATATCTCTTTACCGTGAAACCAATTCGAGACATAGTGCTGAATTATGACAGCTTTCGGCTCGGTCTGGATGATGAGAGCATACGAGAGCGCCGACTTGGTGGTAACAAGATGCAAATGGACCGCGGAGAAGCCGTTGTTGCGCAAGCCTGTAAGTGCCGTAACCTCCCGAAGAGATGTTGCTGCGTCTGAGTGGCACGCGGAAAAGGCCAAACACTAACACAATTGCCAGTTGCCGAGGAAATGGCTACTCTCTTTAAGACACTTCGTACTTCAGACCGGACCGCTACCCGGCCGTCTCAGAGGCTGGCAAACGCGGTTCTGCTGTCGACACACACGCTCTTATCCAGTCCCAAACAGCCTTCGGAGACGCCCACAGCTCCAAACCCTCCGCCGCTGCCTGCGCGTCCGTCACCTGCCCCCCCGACGAATAGCCAAGATGATGTCAACATGGTCAACGTTTCGGTTCAGGCTGTATCTGACTCGCTTGAAACCCAAAGTAGCTCTAGCACGCAAACTCTGGTCAACCAGGATGATGCACGGTCTGATCACTCCTATGAGAAGGTGGAGACTGTCATAGAAGAAGAAGCAAGCCAGCCTTTCCTGGCCGCTACGGGAGGCTCGGGAGATGATGTCTCGATGGTCGAGGCCCCGCTGGACGACAAGAAACCTGCTGTCGACATGGATCTGGACGAGTCCAAAGGCACGCCCGTCAGCGCAGGGCAAGAAAATCCTGACATCGACATGACTGACGTGGAGAAGCCTCCTGAGACGGTGGACCAAAAAGTTCTCAACGCGCTCGAGCATCAGAAGAGGTCTTCGGGAACTGACCAGCAGGACGTCGAGGAAGTCATGGGGAGCATTCTCAATCGTCTCCAAGCAGCAATTCGCCCAACATCGGTCGATAGCGAGACGGGCATCCAGTTCGAAAAGATCATGGAGACTTTCTTTGTGACAACGGTCAACTACACCAAGAAGTTTGACGAACAGGAGTATCAGCATGAGATTAGCTTTGATCGGTCCATCACGGCGTTCCCAGCCACCGAAGGTCCTTGCTCACTATACGACGCCCTTGGAAGAAACTTTGATCAGCAGATTTTGGAGGACAGCAAGCTTTCGCGATACACTGCCATCAAGACACTGCCGCCTGTGCTGCACATTCTGATTCAGCGTTCGCAGTCCATGGGCAACAAGAACGGCAACCCGGTGGTCATTCCCGAAACACTGTACCTGGACCGGTACATGGACGCTCCTCACGATTCGCCCACCTTCCGTCAAAGGGTGCAGGACTGGATAACGGCAGAACGAATCGGCGACTTGAAGTCTCAACTATCCAAAGTCGTGGCCAACCCTCGATACATGACATTCCTTCAGACGTACGGGAGCGGAGATGGAACGGCCGAGGAGACGACGAATGAGCCTGCGGTGGGAGCTGAAGAGCCATCGAAGCAGCAAGAGAACTGGGATTTTGATGGGCCTGTCGAAGACGACTTTTTGCTCGTCTCACCAGCAACCATGAGAGCGGCAGCGGTCGGACAACCAGTGGCCAGGTTGGAAGATATCCAGAAAACGCACGCCACAGTGCTCGAAATGATGGAAAAGGAACTGCGACAGCGGCAAGAGGCGCTCGACAACAGCCTGAACAGCCAGAAGCAGATTGCGTACCGGCTCCACGCCGTCATTTGCCATCGCGGCCACCTGATGTCAGGTCACTACTGGGTCTGGATCCACGATTTCGAGGCCAATGTTTGGAGGTGGTATAATGACGCGGACGTCAAGGAAAATAAAGACACGGCAGAGGTGCTGCGCACTCTTAGCACGAGCGGGGAGCCGTATTATCTTTGCTATGTCCGCGACGAAGACAAGGAGCAATACGTCAGCATTCCCAAGAGAGAAATCCCCAAGGAGCAAAAAGTAGACAAAAAGCAAGAAGGGGAAGTCGGAAACACAGCAGAGAAGGAAGCGCCGGCCAACGAGGCTGAGGCGACGGTACCTTTGACGGTAGCGGACAAGGACGGCGACGTCGAAGTCGGCGACGCAAGGCCTGCAGATGGCCCAGAAGTCGCTCCGAAGGTGGATGCAGTACCCAAAGAGCCGCATGAAGAATCTTAGGAGAGCCATGGTTGGCGGGAACTCAGCTGCCTCTGAGAGACGAGACGTAAAAGACGGCACGCTTGTTCATTTGTCCATTGACATGATGATTGAGATTGTGAGTAGCAATCACAAGGGGTCCGCGGTAACACTATGGTGGGATCAAGGCACACGGAATACACGAAAAGAATCGGGCCGCGGGCAAAAGGGGCTTGTAACGGCATTGCCTGTCAGGTAGTATCATGGCCGGACGATGTCAGGATTGTGGTATTACATGTAGCATTCATGAGAATTATGTATATTAATAGAGAGCACGGCGTAGAAGGGGGACTTTGTCATGCCTTTCGTCTCTAACACAGGAACTCACTTGACTTGGATTCTTCAGATGTTATCTTTCTACTGTTGCTTTTTCCAGATCATTGCTATATGTACTTTCCAACCTATGAATTGTAAATTAGTATTGTTGCAATGTCGACCCCAGATTACCGCCCCTTGAAGACTGGCTTCCGCTTGTCCTGGAACGCCTTCAGAGCCTCGTTCCTGTCCTCCGTGTTGACGACCCTCTTGTACATTTCATTCTCCTTCTCCTCTCTCGCCCAGGCAACGGCCTGCAAGGCGGCACGAATGGCGACGGGCCCGCCCTCGCAAATCTCCTGCGCCAGCCTGACGGCCTCGGAGAGGGCAGCCCTGCGGGCAGTCTGCAAGATGTTGTTGTTGTTGCTGCTACCCTTTGACCCGTCGCCGCCGGAGGAGGAGCCAGAGGCGTCGCGCTCGTCCTCGGGCAGGACCTCGACGAGGCGGTCTGCGATGCCGAGGAAGTAGGCCTCGGGGGCGGCGACGCGGCGGCCGGTGAGGACGAGGTCGCGGGCGCGGGAGAGGCCGACGATGGCGGGGAGGCGGTATGTGCCGCCGGCGCCGGGGATGATGCCGAGGCGGGTCTCGGGGAGGCCGACGGTGGCGTTTGAGGAGAGGACGCGGAAGTGGGTGGAGAGGGCGAGCTCGAGGCCGCCGCCGAGGGCGAGGGAGGAGATTGCGGAGATTGTGGGGATCTGGAGGTTGGAGAGGTCGGTGAAGGTGCCGCGGAGGTTGGCGAGGAACTCGGCGGTTCTGTTGTTGTAAGTTTTTGACAAGTTGTTAGCGGGTTCGTTCTGAGCGGGAGCGGGCGTCGAGGGGAGGTGGGAGAAGGAATTTAATGTTGAGAGAGGGGGGAGAGAGAGGCCGGGGATATATATAGGAGAGGTAAGGGGGGGAAAATGCCCATGTCACGCAGAGAGAGAGAGAGAAAAACGCACTCTTCCTGGGTAAACCCGCGCCGCTCCTTCAAGTCGGCGCCGGCGCAGAAGCACGTGTCGACGGCGCTGGCCACAATGAGGGCCCTCGTGGGACCCTTTTCGTCGACGCCCGCGGCGCCGCCGAAGCGCTGCGGCGGCGGAAGCTCCTCGCCGTCGGGCCCGTACTGGCGCTGGACGTCGAGGATCTCGGCGCGCAGAGAGGCCAGCAGGGCCTTTGAGATTGCGTTGCGGGCGTCGGGGCGGTTGAGCTCGAGGATGCGGATGTGGCCGTTGGACGGCTGGCCGGCCGGGGCCGTGGGCAGGTTGGTGACGCGGACGAGGGGCTCCGCGGTGGTGGAATAGAGGCGGCGGCGGAGGAGGGAGGAGGAGGAGGAGGAGGTGATGAAGGAGAGTCGGATTCGAGGAGGCATTTTGGTGTGAATTTTTGGGGGGATCGGGGGAAGGAAGGTTGAATTGGACACGAGGTGGGAAGGGAGGGATTGGGGGGAGATGATGATAAAAGAGGGACGTGGTTTTGGTGTTTTGAGGGTTGTTCGGCTTAATGGGTGACGTCGATGTGAATGAGCCGAGCTTGGTTCTTTTTTGGTGCGGCTTGTGTCGGAGCTGAAGCTTTTGGTAGGGGAGACGGCATTATAAGATTGCCAATTGACTTTGTTATTGCAATTCATCATATGGTGCAGACTTCATTTACTGGATATATTATGTTATTCAATTGCTATCTGAATCGTCTTTTCAATATTTGCTCTCATCATGTTCCGGTGTGTGAGCCCAGCAGTGCCTTTTGCCGAGGCTGATACGCAGCTGGCCACGCTCAAGCTCGAAGAGAGCACCAGAGGACAGCAGCAGGAACGAGCAATTGAACTTGGCCCCTATAGCTACCTATTATGCTGCAAAAAACTGCAGCAACTGCTTCAAATAGGCAAATGACCTTTTGTTTAAACCCTTCTGCATAGACAAGTACCTTTGGTACCTGCAATCGCCGAGGACAAAAGGTTAAGGTACCTCCTCCCCAGAAGTACAACCACACTGTATGTATGTACCTCGTCCTCTCGTCCATCTGCCTCTGTGGCGCTCCTTGATCAAGCCTAGACCTGCGTTTCCCCACAGCGCTTCCGGACAGCGGGGAGCGGCGGCGTGACTTTTGATCGGTGTCCTGCAGCTCAAGCCTCGCGGCGTCTCGTGCGCAACCATCTGCCGACGACATCATACATCGACTTCGCCTTGCATTCAACAACAATCCAGCTCTTCCTCAACCACATTCAACACCACCATATCAACGGACATGCTCCCACACACCCGCCTCATCTAAGAAAACCGATTCATCTTGTCCTGCAAAATCTGTGTCTCATCATGGCCATCAAACCGCCCGCCCTCCTGCTCCCCTCCCTCGTCTCGCCACTCTGCAGCTCTCACCACATCGCCCATTGTACCCGACCACCATCATCATCATCATCATCATCCCAATGCCAGCGCCTCCACAAGCGACGATACGCAACAGCTTCCACCCCCGACTCCAAGAAATGGTCCGACTCCAGCCCGTCCCCCGAAGAAGCCGCCCACGAATGGCCCAAGTCGCCCCGTCCAACGCCCTACGAAGTCCTCGGCATCTCCAACAAGGCCGCCGCCTACGATAAGCGCCGCTTCTACCACCTCGTCAAGCTCTACCACCCCGATACACACGACCATCACCATCACCATCACCACAACCACAACCACAACCACAACCACAATCAAACACCATCCTCATCCACCTCATCATCATCATCACCATCACCATCATCGTCGTCGGCAAGTAGCATAAAGTCCCTCTCGCCCGCAACCCGCCTCGAGCGATACCGCATGATCGTCGCCGCAAACGAACTCCTCAGCAACCCCCCCAAGCGCCGCATGTACGACACCCACGGCCTCGGCTGGTCCCACGGCGACCAGCCCTTCTCCCCCCTGCGCGACATCGACAGGTCCTGGCGCCACCAGCCAGGGTCCGCCGCCAACAACGCCACCTGGGAGGACTGGGAGCGCTGGCGCGAGGCACAGCAAGGGGGCGGCGGCAAGGCCGGCGAGCCCGTCTACATGTCGCACGGCGCCTTTGCCTCCATCGTCGTGCTCATGTGCCTCGTCGGGGCCATGGCCCAGACCAACCGCGCAGAGGCCAGCGGCGCGCAGTACGTCGGCTGGGCGGACCAGCACAGCGCCGACATTGGGGGCAGGCTGAGGAGGAACGGGTCGGCGGTTGCTGGGCTGAGCAAGGATCAGAGGGTCGATTACTTCTTGCGGGAGCGGGAAAACGTAAACTTTGGCTTTGCGCCGACCAAACACGAGGATACTCACCCATCTAGGCCAACCTAGGTTTCAGGAGCGGGAGTTCTTATACTCGGTCTGGGCAAGAGAGGAGGTCCATCATCCGAGGACCAAGTTCCTGTGTATAACTATAATTAATGATCTAACGGCATCTTCTAATTCTATATCAACTCCAGTCATCTCTGCATGATACATACATTTTCCATCGACTTCCAAGTCTGCTACATACATATTAGGTCAAACTATAAACACGCTACATTCATCATGACGGCGTCAGTCATTATCAAACAACTCGTACAATCGTGAACAAAACTCTTCACTCTCTTGAACCTGGGACAAGTCGTTCCCTAGGTTCGTAAAACAGCGTCTCTGGTCGCGAGTAGGCTGTTCCCGCAGTCTTTAGGTCCGGCCTGAGCGTCTCCTCAGGTCGAAGCGTCTCTTCGTCGTCGTATTCCGATATCAGTCTGTTGTTAATGATATTGTCGATACGCAGGCGCGGCGGGCCAGAATTCAACCGCTCGCCATTCTTGGGAGGTCCGGCTACAGCATCGTCAGAGCAAGAAGAGACGTAAGCGTCATCGGGCCAGGCAGGAATGGACTTACATATGATGAGGTCTATCAGTTTAACAATGACGGGACCCCAACAGGTAATGGCAATAATCTGCCCATACGACCACTTGTTGGCCTCGAAGCTCTTCGCGTTGATGACTGTGACCAGCGAGACCATGTATAAAATGTTAATCACGAAATAGGACACCTCGAGGCCCCTCCAGAAGTAGACGGTAAATTGCTTCCAGTGCCGCTGATAGCTATTCTCGGGCCATCGGCCGGGCGTCCAGCGACCGAACCTCAAGTGCCGTGTCAAGTGATGTTTCCGCAGCGTCCAGCTGAGCTGATCAACCACCAGCGCTATGAAGGCAACGCTGTCCAGTGCCAGAAACACCACCTTGTAGAGCAGTGGATGAGGGAAAAAGGTCAGGTGCAGGCCCGAGACGCCATGCGTGGCGGCGCAATATGTCCGCGGGCTTGGGTTGTTGCCGCAATCGGGGATGCTGTGCTGCTGCTTGAACAGATCAAAGGTCGACCCAAAGCTAATCTTCTGCGTCGATGCGACAATGGCCAACAGATACTCTGCGCAAAACCCTAAAAAAGTATGCCAGTTGCGGATGCCTTCGTTGTGCAGGCAGACTTGGACGAGGAACATGGGGAGGACGCCGTTGAGGCTGACGTGGAAGGCAACGGCGCCATTGACGATGATCTCGCCCCAGAACGTGCCTTCCTGAGAGTTGATGACGATGGCCAGGATCGAGGCGATCTGCAGGGCGAAGACGAACCAGCACTGGGCTTCCTGGAACTCGACCAGGGTCGTCGCCATGGCCACGCTGGTCCGCGACAGGGGAGAAGTGTCTCTCCAGATCAGCGACTGCGCACGGGTGAGGCTGAAGGGCTTCCGCTTCTTCTCGGTATGGCGTGCCCAGAGGGTGAAGCCCTGGACAGCGAGGTACAGCGACCCCGAGAAGCAAACTTGGAGCACATACGAGATCAGTACCTATGCCAGCAATGTTAGTTCCAACAACCTATAGTTCTATAGCTGCAGCACGCATGCTGGCTGATGTGAGAGAGCCTTACTCCAGGCCCAAAGATGTCAGGATCGATATTCGCAGGAATATCTGGGCAAAATGTATCCATTGCCTCGAATACTTGGTCGGCGGTGGAATGGTTTCTGGTCAGAGCTTTGATCGAGGAATTGCATGACACGCTCAGCAAGTCAGTCCCGCATGCCGCCTGGGCGCATGTGATGAACGAATCCAGAGTCGGCTTGTAGTCGAAGTCGGCGAGGCTGCCCGAGCCCATGATGCTGCTCGCATTCTGCTCCGCCTCGGGAGTGATGTAGTAGCTCTGAGTGTCATGAGTCCAGTGGGAAATGGAAGCCAGTGCGATGCAATTATAAAACGTCTCAAGAGAACCAAAGAAGGTGTCGGTACGGTTGCAGGCCCGAGTGCAGTCCTTGACGCCGTCAATGTCGCAGCCGGTGCTGAAGAGCAAGATGCTCTGGTCCCCGTCAATGCTTGCTTGAATCATGTTCCTGAAGCTGAAGGCATCATCGTCCGACTTCCCGATCGCGGCCAGGTCGCGAAAGGGGAAGAAGTCCAGCGTGCCCCCAATCTCGGGCTCAATGACGACCGTGAGCGGCAGCGAAGATACAGTAGCTGCCGCGGGAATCGTGGATGAAACAACCAACGACGGGGTCAGACTACTGCTAGTCGAAATCATTGCCATGGCTCCTCCGCAAGACCGCGCGTCGGCCCCCGGCGACGATCAAGGCCAGATGCCAAAACCATAGACTAGAACGCCCTAAGTAATGTGTTGCGGGAACAAGTCGGCCTGCTCGACCAGTCCAGTGTTCTCGCTAGAGTTGCACCAACAGCTTGGAGCCTGCGTGGGTTAGCTAATGGCCTGCAGCGAAAGTCATCTCCCAGCCGGCGATGGTACAAGGAAGACAGAGTCGGTGAGGTCGGCAAGGTGCTGCTGTTTTTCGATGCTTCTTTATATCATACTGACAAATATTCCCTGAAGCCGGATAAGAAAGTGATTTGCTGTCACTTGTCCAGTAGTGGGTCGATACGCGGCCAGGTCCGGTTGGGCCAATTGAGTCCTCCGTGAGAAGCAGGCATCATGTCGATAGCCAGCTTGGCGAGTGCTGGACCCCGGAAGACGGCAGCTCGCAAGAGAGATGTCGGGGTGCTTGGCGAGATCAACCTCAGGTCGTCGCTGCGAGGGACGCTGTCGACCCTGCACATAATATATCGGACACAAGACCAAGCCGGGGGTCTGCCGGAGCAGATGAGATGCGATCCTGCAGGGTTGTCTCCAACTAAAGGCACCCAAGCAGCGGCTGACGCGATGCTGCAGTTGCTGCGCCTCCCCCGGATTCGACACACGCGACCATATTGTGGTGCATGACTGGACTTGCCAATAGCAGCTTCTGTAGACTGAGCACTGGAGGAGGAGTAGTGGGGGGCCCGACGAAGGACAGCGAGGGACTGCAGCTTCTCGCCTTTGCTGTCGATGAATTGTTGCTTTGAGGTTGCTGAGGATGTTATGGGTCAGGAAAGTCGGGGTCTTGCAGCGATAAAATCAAGTCAGGTCGTCAATCATGACTAAGAGGAAGCCATCTCGAGGTCAAAAGAAGGTGCGGCTGCCGCGTGTGGGGACTTTCCCCTTCCTTCCTCTCTACCTTAGCCCTCCCGAGGTACAGTGACATTGGATGCTACATCAAGATACCTAACCCCGAGTACCTTACCTTACCCTCCATCCACCTTACCTTCTGGTATCAAAGAGCTCTATCAAACTCGTCAATCACGCTCCTCGGCTTCACAAACGCACCCAACGGACGAAACGCGAGGTGGTCGATGCCGAATCCCGCCGGACCCCCAAGATCGATTCCTCTCTGGCTCCCGGTCCATTTGTCACTCGCCGCCAGCCCCAAGACAACCACCAGCAGCCCGTATCGATACTCTGGAGTGCCGATAGCCTCGCCGTTTTGTGCGTCAATCACGGTGATGAGGTCCGGGGCAATGGCCAGGACGTCCTCCTGCCCCTCGTCTTGTCCGTCTTCTCGCACCCTGAGAGCGGCAATGTTCTCGTTCTTGAAGGGGATCTTGATCCTGCCCTGGAACGACGGCGGAGCGGCGCCGTCTTGCTGGAGGCCATCGTCGTCTTGTCTTACATCAACGCCCTCGATGAAGCACTCACCGTACACATAGCCTCCCCTCAACGTCCTCTCCACGCCCACAATCTTGCCCTTCCAAAGAACGCGGCCAGCGCCGGACCCACCGCACTCTTCAATGATGGATTCGGCCACGTTGTCGACTCTGTTCTCCTTTCGGGCTCGAGCAACGCCTCGCCCGATTCTCCAGGCTTGAGAAATGGTGTGTTCCACTACCCACCGCTTCGTCTCTGCCCCTGATACCGGCGACTCGGCACAGCCCGTGGAAGATCCCATCTGTGCAAGCGCCGCACGCAGAATGCGCTCAACGGCAAGGTCAGAGGTTGCCCTTGGCATGACAACAACGTTGCCATTGCCGTCAGACATGGCGATGGGAGACCAGATGGGCGACCGTTCGTTGAAAACCACGGGAGTTGTCTGCCACTTTGTCGGATAAGCCCGTCCCATCCAGTCTCCATCCACGGCAGGTAGGTCCATATTCGTGCTGGCTCCCAGTATCATTGCTTGGAGGCCGTTGCCGCCTCCAATCTCGATGGAAATCATGTGAGTAGCAGGGTTGGGACACACTCTGAACAGCTCGTCTTGGGCTTCCAACAGCTCATCGGCGGGTAGCTTCTCGATGCCAACCGTAGGGCTGCCCACGCCTCCCCCACAGCCGACCTGATCGTCGTCGGCAAGATCGTGCGGATTTACGACCCTCACAATGGCACCCTTACGGAGCTCCTGCTTGAGACGGACTAGGTGGGAATAAGGGGACCCTCCACCACCAGTTCCAAGGATGTAGCAGCCCGTGGCGATCCATTCGGCATCGGTCTCTGAGATATACCACACGCGGTTCTTGACCGTTGGCCTATATGTAGATGTGTCGATGTCCACGTCAATGTGCTGCTTGGGTGTAGTCTCTGGCCGCTTTGGCAATCTCTCATACTGGCCCATGTCATTGTCGCTCTCACCATGATCCTCTTTGGAAGCTTCCTGCGCCTGGATCTTTTCTTGGTCAAAGTCGCCTGCTGCACGAACGATGAACCTCGTCTTATGTGCGATATACTAATCAGGATCCGAATTAGCCTCAGGAATTCGACCAGTCTTCATCTACCTGTAGAGACTGCTTACCTGGAGCGGGAGGGCTTCTTGTTCCACAACCTCCACCGATGCACGAGATGCCCCGGCAGATACTGTCTTCTCAATAGCTTCCTTGCTGATTTCTTCCAGTAGCTGAGCATTGGACTTGTGCTCAGTGGATTTAACAGTGTCCACAACTGCACTGACTCTGGCCATGGCTGCTCCGATCGCGTTTGCAACTTGTGACCATTCCGGCTTCAACACTCGACTTGCGCCCCTGAGCTTGTTGGGTGAGAGTATAGCTCCGCCGCCGACAAGTAGCACGGGTATGTCGTCGGGAGATGTTTTCATCTTGTCAATGGCTTTTTCAATCTTGCCTTGAAGAGCTTTTTTGAAGAGGCTCAGCTGCTCGTCAGTCAGGAGATTCTTGGCAAGTTCGCCATTGCCAATGTCCAAATCAGGCTCTGCCTGAACCATGCAGTCCGTGGCGGTGATGGTACTGCCGCCGAAGATGATCGCCTCCTGCTGAAGCTTGTGCCCAACGCTATCAGGACCGATGGTTAGACCTCGATCAGTCTTCCTGACAATGGACCCTCCCCCAAGACCAATGCTCTTGATATCTGGGCAGGAAAAATTCACCCTGATACCCGCAAGATCGCTATATGCAGCCTGCTGCCGGGGAAACCCATTTGCATGAAGCAGCCCAACGTCCGTCGTCGTCCCTCCAATGTCGACGACCATGACGGCTTCGGAGATCTGGCCCTGGGCAAGGAAGGCCGCGCCTCTCATGCTATTCGTCGGGCCGCTTGAGAAGGTCCTGATGGGTAGCTTTGCCGCCATTTCCCCTGACAAGACGGTGCCGTCATTTTGCGTGATGAAGACGGGACAATGTAAGCCGAGACGCTTAATTGGCTCTTGGAAGCTCTTGATGGTCTTCCTAGCAAAAGAAAGAATGGAAGCGTTCAGGATGGCGGCATTTTCGCGCTCCAGGAAGCCCAGGTTGGCAACGTCCTTGGAACAAACAACATCGCATCCGGGCAGCTCTGCCTTGACGATGGCTGCAGCCCTCTCTTCTTGCCTTTCAAGGGTGTCTATGGGACTGAAAACTCCATTGATAACGACGCTCTTGATGCCCATTTCGCGAATAATGGCACACTGCTCTTTAATTTCTCGCTCGTCAATGTCCGAAATGAGGTTGCCATCCACCTCCAAGCCACCCTTAAGCAGTGCGTAATGCCCCAGAATCATCTGCCTCATGTCATCCGGCCAGTCGACGCAAGGGGGCGCATGCTTCGAAAAAGGCCCGCAGAGCCTGAGAACGGCCACTGCAGCCAGCCGCGAGGCATCTCGTTCAACGACGGCATTGACAAAGTGCGTCGTGCCAATGGTCACACTGGCGACCTCGGACGGGCTGATGGCCGCTGACTCAAACATGGCGGTAATGGCATCGTTGATGCCGGCGCTGGGGTTCGTTGTCGTGGGGGCCTTGTGCCAGGCGAGGATGCCTTTGCCTGGGGATGAGGCCTGGAGGGGGTCGAGGATGACGCCGTCTGTGTTGGTGCCGCCGACGTCGACGCCTATGCGGAGGTGTCTGGTGGGCTTGGCGGCATCTGTGGAGGACATGATGACGGGGATGAGGTTTCTTGTTGATGGAGGCCGGTTCGTTGAGTGGTGTATTGTGTTAGTTGACTTGAGGGTGGGATATGGAGCGTTTTATCTGTAGATCAGATAAGATGGGAACTGCAGATGCATCTCCACTGCTATTGAGTACTACCTAGTACTACTATTTGGTAGTACCTTACCTCGAGGGGTTACAGAAGTACAAAGGATCGGCTTTTCGATTGCGGGGCACAAGTATAGCATGCATCGAATTGATTGGCAATTGAGTGGTGTTGAAGAGAGGAGGAGTCGAGGGATGAGAGATTTGTTGCGTGCTGGTCATTGAAGGGCTCCCAGTGCTGCCGTCTTGAATACCGAGATACCTACTTGGTGATAGATAATACTTACAAAACCCTGCAATAGAGGCTGCACGTCTTCTCTGCCTTTCTTACCTCTTAAGGAGTGGTTATCCAGCATTCTGACTTAGCTATCTACCTAAGTTATGCGGTAGTATCTACCGTCTACTTCCTAGAAGTGCTAGAAGTGGGTATATCATGAAAGTACTGGAAAAAAGAAGCCTCTTCTTCTATTAGAGATGCACTTATAGTAGCGATGATAGATATCTCTATTCCCAGATGCTGAATAACTATCTAGTAGATACTAGCCATAGGTATTCATAAGCGTACTATCGCTTACTATTATAGTAGGCATCAGATCAACGATATACTATCATATAACATTACAATACCTGGATCAATCAAAACCCCTAGAAATAGGCAAGAGAGCAAGAGAGATATATTACTGATTATATGAATTGCCACTAAAACACACTGCCTGATGAATGAGAAAGCAAATTATAAGATGGAAAGCCAGTTACCCTATAGAGATTCAACGTGTATAACCTCGCGACTCGCTTGTACGAGCCCTCTTGACACTCCCCAAACCAACATCCTCCCCATCGACAATTTCCCGCTTATGGGGCCCAGAGGGCACCTCATCCAGGTTCTCAACCGGCAAGAATCTCTCTGTCAGGTCCTCTTGCTGCATGTCTCTGCTCTCGCTCGACGCCGTCGGGCTGCTCCTTGTTCGGGTCCCGGCAACCGATCGTGGCAGACGCAAGAATGACGGCTCGCTGCCTACGAAGAGGCTTTCTTCGTCTCCGGGTCCACTGCTTGCCTGTGATCTAGCCTCCCAGTCGGACCTTGTGGCTATGTGGTCGAGAGTTGTCGGCGATGGCGAGTATTCGGGATGGAAATCATCGACAAACATCGGGCTGTCTGCTCTGCTGCCACTTGTCGGCGCTGTAGTTTGACTGACAATTTCTTGATCCGGCTGCTGTTCAGTGAGGTCCATGGTAAGGTCAATGACTTGACTTTCAGTGATAGATCGATCATCTGGAATGATGGTAGACTCATCGTCAGATTCTCCATCATCGGATCCTTCATCATCATCATCACTTTCATCATCAGATTCTTCATCATCATCCATCTCCTGGTCACCGTCCATCTCCTGGCCACCGTCCATCTCCACGTCATTGGTTGCATCAACTTCCACCTCAGGTACTTGTGGGTCCGGTTGAGAGTTGTTGTTGTTGTCTTGTAACGGATGATGGCCAAACTGAGGAAATATACTGCTGGCTCGTGAGCTCAGAACACCATCATCCTCTCCATTGTTCTCTCCATCATCGCTGCCATCAGCAGAACCTGAATTGGAGTCAGAGTCAGAGTCAGACTCAGACTCACTCTCGGAACTTGACTCAGACGAAGAGCCACTGTCGTCCACCATGATCGCATCCTCAGATGTCCCAGATCCGTGTCCTTGGGCATCTGGTTTCTCGAGACCATCGAGCAGAATTGCCCAGTCCTCTTCAGATGGTGCAAACGATGGGATCAAAGGGAACAGATTCTTCAGCTGCGATCGAAGCCGATCGCCAGCCTCCTTTGGCCTCCGGACAGCGTTATTCACGTCTTGGACGAAATGCCAGTCTCGCACTGGACGCTTTCTCTCCGCCGTCTCCAGCCACCGGTCAAAGTCCCAAAAGTCGGCTCGGTCGAGGCCTCGGAGGCAAGAGACATAGTCAAGCCCCTGCAGCGTGCGAAGCTGACGAAAGCCCCTGAAGTTGGGATGAAGCTGGGACTTGCGCTGCATGTAACGAACCACTCCATTTGTTTCGTGTCTGCGGCGCGTGTAATCCTTGCTAGACTCAGGAAGATAGATTCCCAGAGTCTTGAGGCGAATGGCCTCCGGAAGCCAGATGAGCGAGTATGTGCGGCGCGACGTGTACTTGTTACGCTCATTTACCCGGTGGGTGAGGAACTGTGATCCTATCCAGACAATCTCGACATGCTGCAGCCTTTGCACGTTTGCTCTGATGCCCTTGGCAAAGCGACCCTATTCGCCCAAGGATGAAAAGGCAAACGTGTTTTCTCCGTAGAATATGTGGCTGCCCCAGAAATGCCATCGCTTGCAGACGAGTAAAGGAGCCAGGAAGACGTTGGGATCTGGCGCAAATCTGATGCTCACCGGCTTCCTACCCACGTGGAGCCGATGGTAGAAGCTTGGTTTCCCATCACGACCCAATGGCGCACTATCTTCCGGGTACTCGGGATCAAGGCGAGATATGGCATGGACAACATTGCCTTTGAAGTGGAAGAAGTGCTTCAAGATCCGGAACTGAATGTCTGCAGGTAACTTCAAAGTTTCCGGCATCATTGGGAGAGAAACTTCCGTGTCCTCCTGCAACAAATCTTTCTTTCGCTCCTCTGATGTAGGCTTTCTCAAGCGAAGATCTGGATGTATCTTGCAGACAAGAGGCGAAGCATTGCCCTCCTTACACGCAGTCGCGTAGATTGTCATCCAGCCAGGCCTGACTTCATCGTCGAACAAAGATGGCCAAGTCTGCTCTGTCGGTTAGCCAAAGATGAAGCTTCCTGAATCTTCCCCAAGTTTGACGAGGTCACGTACCACTCCAGTGTGTCTCAATTTCGGCGCTCTGAGTTGCTCGATCTCGGCTTGAAGTTTCCTGTTCCGCTCAAGGTACTCCTTTTTCTCCTCCCTCAACAACTTCAGGTCTCGCTTCCTGCAGCGGGACTTATCAAGGAGACTTTGTAGTTTGTAATTATATTCAGGGTGCGAGAAACCGGACCAATTTTCCGCTTCAGAGTCGAGTTCAGCGTCCATGGCTTGATCGACAGACGGCCGTGAGCCTGCGGAGGTTGGTTCGTTCACGCCAACGCTGGGTAAGTTGTCAGGAGCTGGACCAACAGTGGATGTAGAGCCTTCATTGAATCGTGCAACCAGTGCCATACCCGCGGCTGCAGCACATCAGTATTGTATACAGGGCACCGGATCGTGGAGGGTAAGCAGGCATTACCAAGAGGGTCATCCATTTCCTGTAGTGGGAGGTCCTGGCTCTCACTCGATTCGTGGGTCTCCGAAGGCGTCAGGTCGAAGGTTTCGATATTGTCCTCCATGGTGGCGGGAGGCCAGGCCGGATGATGTGGCCTGGGATGGATGGAGGAAGAAAGTGAACAAGAAGAGAAGGACGCGGGGGATGAGCTTCGAAAGTTATAGACGATGCTGGCTCACGTGAAGAACTTGACTCCTTATGCGTAAGGCATTCAGGCTGCCTTGGATCCGAGGTCGCAACAAAAGGAAACCAAAGGCACTTTGAGAGCATCGATGAAGGAGAAGGACAAGAAGGGAGAGGAGATTTGGAAGAACCTTTAGAATTGATAGGCAAAGTCGACTCATGTGAGAAGGATCTCGACTCGTATGTAAAACACCCAGGCTACGTTATACGATGAGATGGCAAAGAAGGAACTGGACAAACATTAATTAAGAAATGAGAGTAAAGGGAGCTTGGGTCAGTGGAGAAGAGAGAGACGAGCTCCAAAATCCATAGGCACTCTCGGCTCACTTGGTGACAAAGCCTAGTCCTCGTGTGTAAGGTATTCCAGACTATTGGCCGTTTGAGCATCACAACTGAGGTCACATTGTCGTGAGCCTTAAACTCCATGCCTGACAGATATTGCTGGGGTGCCTATTCAAACGTATAATGTAATTCTGGAAGCTTGCTTGAGAAAGCAAAAGGGTATGTATGTATGTATCTCTCGTTCTAAGCAGCCGCAGTCCCACTGACTCTTTCTCTAGTACGCTCCAACACCGTCCTAAGAGCAGGATCCAAATCCTCCAGCTGCAGGTATGCGTCTATCCATGCCGCGGTTTTCTTCTCCAGCAAAGCCCTATCCGTAGTGCTCTCCAGGTATGGTCCCAACCGCTGCAGGGCCACCGCAAGCTGTCGGGGGAACTCGACCGTGTAAGGCGAAACGCCCAAGAGGGGCTGTCTGATGTGGCAATTGCAAGTAGACGGATCGTTGGGGAACTGCTTATCGAGGACATCCAGGACATGCTGGGATATCCTTGGCTGGACCGAGAGCTTGTGAAATGAACAGATCATGAAGTAAAACTGCTCCGCAACCTCGGCGTTGAAGAAGGACTGCCTCTGCGAGATGTCGAATATGGCCATCGGAATAGCGCCATCCATGGCGGGATTGGACGCAAGCTCCTGCGTCGCCTCTTCGTTGAAGATCTTTGTTTGCTTTGCTGATGGCTCCGGAAGCGACAGATCCTCGCCCTCGTCCTCCTCATCACTGCCCAGCAACAGGAGCTCGTCGTCGTCATTTGCCGGGCGCGGCGGCAACACCGTTTCTCCCTTGGCCTTCTTCTTCTCCATCTTCTCCAGCCATTTCATCTCGCACCTCGCGTACTCGAGCCACAGCCCGCAGTCCGAAGTACAGAACCGGCAACCCCTCATGAAACAATTTCTGGCAGACGCCATGTCACCGTCGCTCGCGAACCGATTGGCTGCCAGCGTCCACAGCTCAGGGTCCTTGGGCATCATTCGGATGGCCCTCGTCATGGTCTTGCGCCAGCGCTTCGCCGCCTTGATCTTGGCCAGGTACGCAAGGTATTCGCGCCAGAGCGGCCCAGATCCAGAGTGCTTGTTCACACCGCGGTTATAAATGGTGAGCACACGAGTCTGGCTGGCATGGGCGGAGTTGAGATTGCGAAGTTTTAGCCTCTGGCAGCGCTTGGAGCAGAGCGTCTGGAGGGACTGCTCCCACCGGGCGTAGGAGGACCATTCGGACGGCGTGCTGCCCGGAGAGAGCACTCTGTGTTCGAAGTCGTTTCGTTTCTGGACAATTGCGCGTATCTCATCCTATACTCGCCGTGTTAGTCACCTGTTGAAACGCTCGCTTTCATCGTGATGGCAGGCTTTGCAGGTGCAAAATTGTGGGACAGGTCTTACCTTTGTGAAGATCGACTTGGTCTCCCACTCCCGCAATTGGTTGACTGAGCGCTCGAGATAGAATCTCGCCTTGTCAGCTACTCCGGCCATGGTTGAGACGGATGAAGTCTGGAGGTTTCTTCTGCGGATTGGTGTGGTGAAAGTTGAGGCAGACGCTGGCCGAAGTTTTCATGAGGCTGCCAGAAAATTTTAGTGGAGCTCTCAGCTAGTGCGCGCCTTTTCCGTTATCGAGCTTTGACACATGTTTCTTCGGAATAGATCAAGACACCGCGACTAGTCCCTTTACAGGAACCGTTATAACTCCAGCCGTTTACTCAGGTACCAAACTGTGTGCCTTGAGTACCGGCTCGTACCTACCAGTCGATACTGTCTTACTTCGGACTCGGAGGTAAGACTGGGAGCTCAATCGCTCAGCTGTGCAAATTGTGATTATGCAAGCTCCTGGATGCTATGTTCAATGCCATTGTTTAATTACGAATCAACGAACTGAGCCGATCATGCCCGTCATTGCAATGAGCTGCGGCTCGGCTCTGCTGACGTGCATGTGCAAATGTCGGTCGTCACAGCAGCCGGTCCAGGATCGGTAAAGTACCTAGGTAGGTACGTAGATTGAGGTACTACTTACCTAAGGCACTTAAGGTAGTCTGTCGTCACAGCCGAAAGCGGCCTAGAAGGGCGTGCAAACCCACCCGCGAACCGACGGATTCACTCGTAATCCTCGCTCAACGCCATTAAAGCTCGCGCAAACGACGTGTTTCCACCATCCAATCCTTGCCATCCCCACAGACAGCGGGCTGCCGGGGGGGTCAAGTCGCCTGTTGACACGATCGCGAAAAAAAAGGCCCTCGGCTCGGGCAGCTTAAAAGCCAATCTCTCATGATTCAGAACTCCGCTCGTTCACCTCTCGCAGTCCCCTCTCTTCGGATGCTCCGGACGCCCGTTTGATCGCGACCTGTGCCTCTCTCTTTTGTCGCGATGGCGTCGAGATACAAGGACAAGGACGGCGGCGTTGTCCTCAGCTTCAACGGCCAATGGGTTAGCTGGGCGCATACGGCTGTGGCTTACAGTGAGTGACCCGTGTGCTCGCTAGCCTTGGATCATCGACAGTTGCGCGACCAGAGGCTGGTGGTGGTGGTGCATTGTCGCCTCTTGTTGCTGTTGCTAACCAAGCGCAGCCGCCTTCATCAGTGCATTGATCGTCGGCGTCTCTCTGCATTACCACAAGATCGTGCAGAATGAGTTCTATGGATACCCCGACGAGTGGTTCCCGTCTGTCTCTGCGACGATCGGCGATCGATACCCGGAGCGCTCGTTCTTCATGATCTTCATTGCCATCACATCAGGTAGAGGCGCCCAAATGGCATTGCGCGAGACGAAGCCGAAGCTGACCTGAATCGACCCCATCTAGGGCCTCGATTTGCGCTGGTCGGCCTGTGGTACATCTTGACGCGCAGGCCTGACTCTAGGCTCCCGGGCTTCATCGCTTCCATGGGCCTCTTGCGGACATTGACGTGCGGCGGATGGACATACATTACATCGACGGACGATCACGATTGGCACGACATCCTCATGATATCCTACATTGTCTGCACCTTGCCGTGGACGACCGGCTGCATTGCCTTGAGCCCACCGAATCCCTCCGCAATCAAGTGGCGCAAGCGCTTGGCAGGCCTCTTCTTTGGAACTCTGGTGCCATTGATCTATTTCTTCATACAACACAAAGTCCACCGTGTCGCTGGAGGTAACTATCCTTTCGCCGTGAATTGGTTGGACGCAGAGAGTCGGAACTGACGCGATTCTAGCTTACACGACATACGCCTTCTTCGAATGGTCCTTGATCCTCTTTGACGTGGCTTTCGATGCCGTCACTGCCCTCGATTTTGACACGTTTGAGATTTTGGTAAAGGACGTCAAGGGAACCAGCAAGGGGTACGTGCAATGGCTTCCCAGATAATAGAGTCTTGTCTCGCCGAGCCGTGTCCAATGTAACTATTCTACAAGAACAAGACCCTCTAATAAGTCGTCTTTCTTCGACAGTGAAAATTACTCTTCGGTCCCCTCTGCAGTTCTGGAGAAGGAGTAAGTTCCTCCACGCCTGGGTGATGTACCTATCTCCGCAGTTGCTTACCAGAGGGGTCATCTAGAAAGGAACAGATTACCGGCGGCTTCTTCTCCATCCGGTTCACTTCCGCCGAAGCTCTGGACACTGCCGCCAGCGTTTACCATGGGGTTAGCCGCCTAAGCGCGTTGTTCTTATACTCGATCCTACGGATGCTGACCTGTTGCAGTTTGTCTTTTGGTCCATGCTTACCAGCCTCGGCCTTGTTGTGTGGTGTAAGATTCCTTCCACCTGAGAGCCCTTACGTTTCGATTCAGGCGCTGACATGCAGCCAGACTTCCCACTATGGCACATGGGCATTTCAGGCTTCGAAGCCTTCGTCATGGTGACTGTCGCACCATCGCTGCTGGGCATTGGAGTCTTCCGCTCCTTTGTAGTGAACAACTTGCGACTGATTCACGTTCTGTCGCTCTGCGGTGTTGCTGCATATCTGGTCGTCGACCCGGTGCTTCGTCTGTGCGCGGTTGGCCTCGGTGTCGGACTTTCATGTCTCGGCTGGGCCAGCTCTCTGCATGCAGACTCAGTTCACAATGTCCGACTTGAGACTAAGCTGCTCGGGTGGATGATAGGACTGATTCTGTCGTCTACGATGAAGTTTGCCTGGACAACAAACAACCCTATCTGGCCGATTATGCATGCCGCCAATGGTGGGTGGAACGGCACCGGCCTGGTGTTGGGCATTCTGGCCGCTCTCCGTTTTACCAGGAAGGGTCCTCTCACCGGCGGCTCCTTGACCGATGAGCCAAAGCAGCAGGGCTCAAATGTGCTTGCCGCCCTCGGCGTTGGCGGCCTGTTCTTTGGCCTGCATTCGTTGCTCTCCGACACGAGCACCATGATCCTCTGGGTCTGGGAGGGCTATCCGATTCGCGGACCGTACTTTTCCACGCATGGCTGGTTCACCGTCGCTGCCATGTCTGTTGGCATTTTCCTCGGCATCAACAGACCCGGCCTTGCTGGAAGCTGGCCCCAGTACGCCGTGGGAGCCATCAGCGCCACCATTCTGACCTTCTTCAGCCATTGGTTTGGCTACTATGGCGGGCTCGGACTGGCGGTTTACCTCATGGCGGTGTCTGTGCCGCTCATCTCCAACGCCGCGAAGAAGGAGCCCGCGGTGACATTTGGCCTGGGCTTCCTGTTTTACAACTTCCTGGTGCTGTTCCACGTATGGGTTGTCGCCTATGCATTTGTGCCCGGCGGTCCGCTGGTGCGTGAGCATACCGACTGGGTCATGCTTACCACCATGTTGATGATCGGTGCCGGCGTGTACGACTACCAAGTATCGCAAGGACGGCACCACACCGCTCGCCGCTCGTCCCCCTCGCAGCACAAGAAGTACTTCGGACTGTCCACCATCATCATCAACGTCTTGTTCATGTGTGCGGCCTTCAGAAGGTTCCCCACCAATGACTACAAGCCTTACCACCCTGAAGATCGAATTTTGACGGCGGGTATCTGGACTATTCACTTTTCCCTGGACAATGACATGTGGTCGTCAGAGTATCGCATGCGCGATCTGATCAAGGAGATGGAGGTCGACGTGATCGGCCTCCTGGAGTCGGACCTGCAGCGCATCATCATGGGCAACCGGGACACCACCCAGTTCCTGGCCGAAGATCTGGGCATGTATGTCGACTATGGCCCGGGCCCCAACAAGCACACCTGGGGCGCTGCCCTCCTGTCCAAGTTCCCCATTGTGGAATCCAAGCACCATCTCCTGCCCAGCCCAGTCGGTGAGCTGGCACCGGCAATCCATGCTACTCTGGACGTCTATGGCCAGCTGGTCGATGTGTTCGTTTTCCACTCTGGCCAAGAGGAAGACCCTGAGGATCGCCGCCTCCAGTCCGAATATCTCGCGAAGCTGATGGGCTCCACGAACCGGCCGGCGTTCCTTCTGAGTTATCTCGTAACCGAGCCCCTCGAGGGGAACTATAACACCTACGTGAGCGAGACGTCAGGCATGCACGACGTTGACCCAACCGACTGGGACCGATGGTGCGAGTACATCCTGTTCAAGAACATCAAGCGCGTCGGATACGCACGCGTTAGCCGCAGCACAATCACCGACACAGAGCTCCAAACGGCCAAGTTTGTGATTCCGTCGTCGGAAGCTGAGATTGAAGCGCTGGAGGCCCAGTCACCCGAAGAGCGGGATCGCCGCGTGGAGGAGCAGGACGTGCCCGAAGGCTGGCGCTATCCCGCCATGTTCAGGGGAGAGGGCGTGAGAGATCATCGATACCACGTGTTTGACGAGCCACGGTATTACAACTGATGTAATTTCGGCACCGGCGGGATTGTAAAGCTTGTCTGGGCGGAGTTATTTGGGCGGTGAATCAGGCGGGTTAATTTTGGCTTCTTTTTCTGTTCTTTTGGCTTGTTTCCCGGCCTTGTTGGGGCGGGAAAGTGGTGAAAAATAAGGGATTCGATAGGGAACCGGCTACGGCTTTTATTGATTAATGACTGGGGGAGGGCATGACTGTGGCATATCACGTGTGTGGTTGTAGAATAATAACAGACCCTTACTTGACTGTATGTGTTCTATTAGGTAGCTTGTTTCGCATGGTTCCGATGGCTTCATGAAGCGTCGGAATAGATTTGTGTCATACCGCATGTCGCCTAATAGGTAGCGGTATAGCAGGTGATATCTTGATCACTGCTGGTCCTGCCACAACCAGATATACTCTACTCTCTGCTGCTAATATCATATTCTATTCCTCTTGAGTATCAGCTTCTATCAATGTCCTGGGTACCTAGTAGATGATAGAGGTTGTAGAGAAATTTGATTCTAGCAGCGCTTGAGAGCATAAACTTGGCATGCTGGATATTCAAGCTGAGATCTTGGATACCGCGCCAGGTCCCTGGTTGACGCACCTCTTCCGGGGCTTCTTCCTCGGCATCTCGTTACGGGCTACCCAATAGTACCCCAGTTGTACAAATGATGAAACTATCGTCATCAGTCTCACATCTGACTTGAGTACTACTCCGCACATAGATACCTAGTATACTCTCTCTAGCACCTCATAACTGCGCCTGGGACGGACGAAGGCATGGAGGCGCCGCAAAAGGAAGGGCCCACAACTGTCCCGGACCTCGGAAAAAGTGGAGAGGCAGAATACTAAAGCAAAACCCACCTCCTGTAGTTTCGCATCTTGCATCTGCCGGCGGCATCCGAAGCTTGTCAGGTCTTGTCTCTCGGCTCCCGCCCCCTTTGGCTTGATCCAGCGATGGCGGAACGGGGGCGGAATTGGTTCCAAGGAGCGGCTTGGATCGCTTTTCTCGCTACTACTAGTAGTCGAGTTGAACTAAGCTGCCATGCTGCTTATCATGGCGCTTTTGACTTTTTTTCTCTTGTATTCAGTTGTGACGGGAGAGGGCTACCTTGGGTACGGAGTTTATGAGCGATGAGGGTCTTGTCCCCTCTGCCTGAAAAGATTACTGATGAGGTGTGAAAGGCGAAGGCCATGTCTTGCTTGCTTCTGCACTTGATGTGAGCATACTACCTAGGTAGGTAGCATAGAGTCCACAGCTGAATAATCAATTGCAATTCTTTCATAATGTCCAACAGTTCTTCTCTCCCTCGGCGCATTTCTTCTCACCGATTAAAGGACATGCATCGATACAGACAAAACAGACGATGCACGTCCCCGTGACCAAGACGCACCCCAGCAGCCCCAGCAGCACCCGCCGAGCCGATAAGACACAAATCAGAACAAACCCGGCAAGAGAAGTGACGCCGACGGAATCTGGATCTCCTTTCGCTCTCTCCCAATAGCAAACCGAGAAATTCCAAGCACAGCCCGAAAAAAGAACCACCCCCAAAAAAAAGTCCCCGCACAGACCCCGGAGTCTCGGGGGTTGGAGAAGGGGGAGGTTGAGGGGGGGGGAAGAAACAAGAGAACGTCCATGCTGGAAACGAACAGCTTTCCCCGCCGAATCTAAGCGCCAGTAGGGCTGACTTGGGCCACCGATGTCATCAACTTTTGCTGCGAATCGAGCGCTGAGCCCTGCTTGGACGGGTGTAATCGATAAGCCTCTGCGCGCAGTGTGCCGTGGAAAGCCGAATCCTTGGACTTGGAGACTGAGCAAACGCCAACCTTGCAGCGAACAGCCCCAAATCGACGAGTCAAAGCACACAGCGCTGTTGGACAAGGGGGGAGGGCCTGAGCTTCCTTAGGGGGGAGGCGGACTGGATCAAGCGGGATGGACGGGTGCGGCGGACGGGGAAGGACGCTTTCTGTTTGGTGGAATAGATAGTTGATCTCATGTCTTTCTTATTTGTAGGTGTTGTTTCGCTTCTCTCTTCTCTTCTTCTTTGTTCTATTTATTCCCCCTTCTTCTTCACCATCCGGCAATTCTGCTGCTGGGCTGGGTCCAAAACGCAATCTCGGCTCGTTTCTGAAGTTGCTGCAGCAAAGATGCTGTCCTTCAGCGTACAACACGCCGTCACCTGGCTGGGGCTCCTATTGGGGGCGGGAGCCTTCTATGTAAGTTACGAAGCGCATGAGGCTCGTCAATAACATTCATGTTGTTGTTGTGCTAACGCAGACTCCAGCTCTTCTCCGTCGCCATCTACCGCATCTTCTTCCACCCTCTCGCCAAGTATCCCGGCCCTCTCATCGCCAAGCTCACGGATGGCTACCAGCTGTACCACGCCTGGAAGGGCGATCGTCACCTGCAATTTTGGCGACTGCACCAGAAATACGGTAAGGCTATTCCCCAAGCTATTCAAGGCAGATATCAGCACCAGTCATCTAACACGCCTGAACAACGCACAGGCAAGGTTGTCCGCTACGGCCCCAACTCTCTCTCCTTCAGCACCAACCAGTCCCTCAAGGACATCTACGGCTTCAAGTCCAACGTCCGCAAGGCCGAGTTCTACAACTCCTTTGCCCACCCCGTTGCCAACACCCACAACACGCGCGACAAGGACGTCCACGCCCGCAAGCGCCGCGTGCTGTCTCACGCCTTTTCCGAGAGCGCCATGAAGGAGATGCAGCGGTACATCCTCAACAACATCCGCACCTTTTGCGAGCAGATTGGTATCCAGGACGGCACCAGCGACTCCAAGGGATGGACACAGCCGCGAAACATGGCCAACTGGTGCAACTACCTTGCTATGGATATTCTCGGTGATTTGAGCTACGGCAAGGCGTTTCACATGCTGGAGAGCCCAGATAACCGCTTTGCCCTGGATTTGGTTGAGGCCGCCACTACCAGGCATCTCCTTGTAAGTTATACTGATGCTACTTTAATACTTAGTGAAGGATGCTGACATGTCGCATCGCAGTGCGGCACCATGCCCATCGTCGACAAGCTCAAGTTTGACAAGATCATGTTCCCCAAGCTGGCCGCCGGACGTGCCCGCTACATGGCCTACAGCAAGGCTCAGCTGACCGAGAGAACCAAGCTGGGTGAAGAGACGGACCGCCGCGACTTCTTCTACTACCTCCTCAAGGCTCGCGATCCCGAAACCGGCCAGGGCTTTTCCACCCCCGAGCTGTGGGGAGAGTCCAACCTGCTGTAAGTGGTTCCATGATGATCTGTCAATGCCAAACATGTTGTGAACGCCAGCTAACGTGGCAATAGCATCATTGCCGGATCCGACACAACCTCGACTGCCATGGCTTCCACCCTGTTCTACCTCACCCGCAACTCCCACGCACTGAAGAAGGTCACCGATGAAATCCGAGGCAAGTTCAACGACGTCGAGGAAATTGTCCAGGGCCCCACCCTCGCATCATGCACCTATCTGCGTGCCTGCATCGACGAAGCCATGCGCATGTCTCCCTCTGTCGGCGGCATCCTCCCTCGTGAAGTCCTGCCCGGTGGCATCACCATTGACGGCGAGGTCATCCCCGCCGGAATGGTCGTCGGAACCCCTCACTACAACATCCACCACAACGAAGCCTACTACCCCCAGCCTTTCATGTATGCCCCCGAGCGCTGGATCAACGGCGCCGTCAACCCTGCCACCCAGAGGACCACGACCGCGGACGACGTCGCCGTGGCCCAGAGCGCCTTCTGCCCTTTCAGCATTGGACCCCGTGGCTGCATTGGCAAGGGATTGGCTTATGTCGAGATGACCCTGACGCTTGCCCGGGCCTTGTATCTCTACGATGTGAGGAGAGCGGTTGGCGTTCAGGATCCTAGCGAAGGCCGTGCCGACCTGGAATGGGGCCGACACCGTCCTGATGAGTTTCAGCTGGCCGACATCTTTACCAGTGCTAAGAAGGGGCCCATTGTTGAGTTTAGATTGGCCGAGAAAGCTTAAGCTGTGACTTTGGACTTGGAAACTCTCACCGTGGCTGCACAGGTGTAAGAAGGATTGCATGAAGCAACGACATCTGGAAGCATCTGGATACTCATGACAAGGAAATAGTTAGCCATCATAAGTAAAATTAAGAAAAAAAAAAACAAGAAGAAAAAACAAGGAAAATGTCAAATTGAAAATATGATCTTGATTCGCTGAGAATGTAAAATGACAAAAAGCGTGCAAATCAGCCATTACAGACGCCGCAATGCTAGGCATGATGTGATTGGTTTACCATGTCTGCGATGGCGCCCAACAGCCAATCATTGTCCAGGGCTGCGCGAGGCTGTCTCTGCGAACAACTTCGCCTTCGTCTTTCCTGCCTGGTACCTTATCTAATCGCCAACCTTTAACTGCGCCGACATCTTTGTTGCTTCTCTTCCTCTTTTGTCACCACCATCGCGAGACGCCTTCAGACATTTGATATTTCGCCATGGCATAATTGCTGCGAACATACTGGAACCACCCTCTGCTGCCCATCATGGCGGTGTGCAGATTCTACCAGCAAGGCTACTGCAAGTTCGGCAGTACGTTCACGCTCCATCCGAAGCTGTCCATGCCAGAATGCTCCCTTGCAACACGACATGCTAATCATTTCCCGTCCCTCAGACAGCTGTCGCTACGAGCACCCTAACGCCGGAGGCAACCGCAATCAGTCCTCGAACCGCTTCGGCTCTCTGGGAGGAACCAACACGGGCACCAGTGACAGCGCGTTATGTGAGAGATGGCACGGATCCGAACCCGCCCTCGACGGAGCTGACCGTTGCAAACAGCGAAATATAGCATAACCCCCGAGGTCATTGAGAAGGACCTGACGTCTGACGCGCCCCAATGGATCCTGTCGGCGTATGCCCCGGGGCGAGACGCTCCGGACCAGCTCTTTGGAGGCTATCCGCGCGAACAGAGCTTCGAGGAACTCAGACTCCACTATCTCATGGGCAAAGCCTCGGGAAACGAACAGCAGGCCGTAGGAATCTCACCTTTCTCTCTCGTCCCCCCGCCCATTGCTATTCTAACAGAGGCGCGCGCAGCTGAACGAAGCACAACAACTATACCAAAATGCGAAGCAGCAAATGGAAAGCGCGGCGCGAAATCCAATGGAGGCGGCACGATTCATTGTCGAGGGAGAGAACCGACACCCGAACAGACATGATATATGCAGAGAGGGAACCCAGGGCGCGCCGTTTGGGGTCTTCGCCGTAGGAAAACGGTCAAACGCAGCCGCAAGCCCATTTGGCGGGAACACGGCGATGGCGACACAGACAACAGCGAGTGCCTTTGGCCAACCGACCGCTCTTGGACAACGGCCGAACCCTTTCGGCCAACCCTCACAGCCAGCGTTCGGACAGCCAACGCAGCCATCATCAGCGTTCGGACAACCGACTCAAACGGCCTCTGCCTTTGGTCAACCACAAGCGACGTCGGCCTTTGGCCAGCCGTCTGCTCTCGGGGCCAAACCTAGTCCGTTTGGTGCCCCGGCTTTTGGCCAGGCCCCTCAGCCAAACGCTCAGCCCAGTGCATTTGGGCAACCGCAGGCGCAAGGAAGTGCTTTTGGCCAGCCTAGTCAGCTTGGTCAGAAGCCGAATCCGTTTGGTTCTGCAACTGGCGCTGCCGCAGGTCCTTTTGGCGCAACAAACGCCGGCCCCTCTCCTGCTGCCAATCCTTTTGCCAGCTCACAAGGGCCCAATGCACCGAATCCCTTTGGCTCAAACATCTCGAACCAACCCAACAATGCTCCCAGTGCATTTGCTCAGCCGACCCAACCTGCATCTGCCTCTCCCTTTGGACAGCCACCCGCACCCGCTGCCAATCCATTTGCGTCCGCAAACCAAGGCCCGACAGCCCCTGCCGCCAATCCATTCGGCCAACAGCCGCAACAACCTTCTCAGCCGTCACCATTTGGGGCGGCGGCGAATCAAGCTTCAAGACCAAGCTTTGGGCAAGCTAACGCGAGCCCGTTTGGACAGCAGCAACAGGCCGGCCAGAACCCTTTTGCAGCGGGCCAGCAATCTGCTCAGACGGGAGGTGCGGCGAACAGCAATAACCCATACCCTCCTAACAGCTCAAAACAGCATCCTCCTATCGAAAGCTATAGCACAAGAACAATGGATGGGCGGCTCGCCACGTTCAAGGGAAAGCCGGTGACGTATCAGGGCGGACAGCCTGGTATCCGTGCCTTTGACGGTACTTGGACGCGGATCTGGTTCCCTAATGGTCCTCCAGGCTACAACAAGGATACAGAACTGCCTCTTGAAGACTATAGCGACGTGGTGAAGAAGCAGTGGGCTGCCTTTGCTCAGACAGGAGTATTCGCCGATGGGCTGATGCCAGAGCTACCACCGCCGCGAGAATGTACACAGTGGGATTTTTAAATTAGCCTTGATATTTACGGACGTCCAATAATGGACTAGGGGCTCGACCGGGCATGAGATGGAGTTTAATGAAGGGATCAATATGGCGTTCCAATACGAATAACATGTTTCTACGATTATGGTGGACAATCTATGGCGTTTTCAGGCTGCAACATTCGGTGACTGGTCAATCAGCGGACAAGCAAGATCTTTTTTGAACATGTTGAGACGATGGTTGGGATTGGAAGGGGTTGTGGGCTCCTCCCATTGGCTCTTCAAGTCGTCAGATAACGTTTTTGGGCAAAGAGAGGCAAGGAAAGACCAAGGTCACTGTCGATACGGAAGGAGACCAAGGATATATGTCTTGAACCAGTTTATTGAGTGCCTATCTACTTCGAGAGCAGTCCCAACTGCGCTCAAAGCCACTCCAACATCTTTACGAGATTGGAGCTTCGCTTAAGCAGCAATGGTGACCTCAACCTCGACACCAGCGTCGATGTTGACAATGATCTGCTTGACGACCTCGGTAGGGGCGTGGAGGCTGTATAACAAACACAAGATTAGCTGTTATCCCCTCCCCAGATGAATGAAATGCCATAGAAAGCTGAACAGAGCGGAACAGAAACAGGGAAATGCAAAAGGGGGGGCGGGTGAAAGACGCACTCAATGAGACGCTTGTGGATGCGCATCTCGAAGCGGTCCCAGGTCTTGGAACCCTCACCGCAAGGGGTCTTGCGGGGAGTGACGGTCAGGCACTTGGTAGGCAGGCGGACGGGGCCCTTGGCGCGGAGGTCCTTGGTCTTTGCGCGGTCGATGATCTCGGAGCAGACCTTCTCGAGAACCTGGACCTTGCGGGAAGACAGGGTGATGCGGATCTTGTGGCTCTTCTGCAAAAAAAAAGATGGGATACGTATTAGCGATTTGTGCTGGATGTTGTTGTTGTCTTCTCCCGTGCTTCGGCAGGGGAAGACGGCAGAAGAGGAGGAGATGATGGGTGGTGATGACGAACAGCCGGCTCCTGGACGTCCTTCTCGTTCTTCTGGTAAGACATTTTGAACGGCTTCACGACTCGAACGGATCGGTTTGAATGGGATTGAAGATGGCGCGATCTGCGTTGCGGCAAAGTGATGAGGCCGTTGGCGATTGTTGAATTGCAGCTGTTTGTTGTTTGAGAGCAAGTTCAGGAAAAAACTAGGCCAATTGTCGCGGAACTTCTTTTTTTGGTGGGGTTGCAAATTGTAGGGCTTTCGCTGTGCGCTGCGCTAGTCCTGTTTAGGAGATGGCCAGTTCTGAGTGTATTGCAGTGTTGCGATTGGATGACGCTGGCTGGGGGGTCGAAACTTGGTGGTCAAGGGTGGGTCTGATCTTGACTAACCGGATAGAGAGGAAGCTTGGGTCCAGGTGAATCATCCGGCGATGATGCAGATGCTTTGAGTGAGTTGAGAGAGGGTGTGCAAGAGAGAAGCTTCAAGGGCGGAGGATTGCTTATAAGTGAGACGGAACAGCTGTTATTTTCCCTCTTCTGGACATTGAACTGCTCATATTGTCTTCTTCAACATACTCACACACTCGACTCGAAGAAAAGAACACCGTCATGAGCTCCTCTCTACCGCCCTTTGCGCCGTTCCCAAAGGCTTCGTGGCGGCAGCACATCTCCCCAGATGAGTGGGAAGCTCTATCAGAAGCTTGGATCGCCCTCTCACAAGCCTATCTCGACCTGGACGATGCCGCATTCAAAAAGGAGGCCACAGACGACAGCTCTCTAACGACATTTGTATCGACCTTTGCAGAGGAGGCGGCAGCAGCAGAGTCCGATGCAAAGACAACAACAATAGCGTCATCATCCCCCCGGCTCCTCAAGACGATATTCCGCCTCGCATCGCGCATCCTCACAGCCTCGCCCCCTCCTCGTCTCCTAGACGCCCGCTTCCTCGCCGGACTATGCCGGATATTCCCAAAGAATCACACAGCGCCTCTGCTGGCGCGGCTCTTCTCCAGCAGCCACGCCGCCGCCGCTGTCGAATCCTCTCTGCTCTCCCTCAAGAAGCTCCTCATCCCGCACCTCGACGCCGGCAGCAAGGGGGATCTCAAGCTCGTCGAGCGGGAGCTCACGCAGCTGAACCCGCTGCTGCACGCCTCGCCCGACGCGTGCATGCTGCTGCTCGCGGGTTCCGACTTCTTCGACGGCCTGGTGACGTGCTTCCGCGTCGTCAACCCGCCCCTGCGCAAGGCCATCATCACCACCGTGTATCTGTGTCTCGTTGGGTTGACGGAGGTGGAGCCCCCGAAATGGTCCATGATTAGCGATCAGCTGTATGCCATTCAGGTGGCTGCCGAGGCGCACAGGAAGGGGCCCCTGAATGCCAACGACTCTCTGGGAGCGGATCTTGTGACGAATACTCCTATACTGAAGACGCTGCTCCGAAAAGTTGAATCATCAACATCGGCACCGTCCAACATCAAGAATCGCATCACAGCATTGGAATCCTTCAAAACGGGCATCATCGTCCGGCCGAAGAAGAAGCTGGTCAAGAGAAAGTTGGACAAGGGCAAGGGGAGAGAAGCACCCGAGGACGTGCATGCCGAGATGCATGTCCACCAGATGAGCCGGATAGCTCATGTGCAAGACCTTTTCCCGGACCTGGGCGCTGGCTTCATAGTCAAGTGTCTGGATGAGTATCACGACGACGTTGAGCAAGTTATTGCGAACCTCATAGATGAGACACTACCGCCTCATCTCGCTACTGCGGACAGGAGCGAGCCATTGTAAGTCCCGATCCTTCATGTCTCTCATATATGAGAGGTGTGTAATTCGTACCTACCTATAATCAAGCTAACCATGTTCTTTAAAAAAAAAAGATCACATACACAACCAGACATCAAACCACACAAAGACCTAGCCCCTCGCTCAACACCCCCCCAACTACCCACAAGGCGCAACGTCTTCGACGACGACGAATTCGACCGCCTGGCAATCGACACGTCCAAGCTCTCCTTTGGCAAGAAGAACCCAGACAAGACGGCCGACGACGTCCTCAGAGACAAGTCCACCGCCCCCAACAAGGCCGCCATCCTCTCCGCCCTCGCGGCGCTCGACCCGGACGACGACGAGCGCGACGACACCTACGACGCCGCCGACGTCGGAGGCACCGTCGACGCGGGCAGCAGCGGCCAGGATGAGGCGGCCGACGCCAACGAGGAGCTGCTCTTCCGCGCGTTCCAGGGGCACGGCGGCGTCTTTGGCCGCGACGCCGAGACGAGGAGGAGCGGCGCGAGGGCCAAGCTGCGCGACGAGACGGGCATGGCCGACGAGGCCATCGAGGGGTGGGCTCTCATGCTGCAGCGGAATCCCGCGCAGATGAAGCGCCTCGAGGCAAAGTACGCGTGGAGCGGCCAGCAGGCGCAGCTCGAGCGCACGTCGTGGAGGGCTGCTACTGCTGCTGCTGCTGCTGCTGCTGCTGCTGCCGCCGGTTCAGGCGCCGAGGAGAGCTCGGATCCGGACGGAGGCAGTGCCGGCAGAGGCGGCAGCAGAGGTGGCCGCGCAAGAGGAGGAGGAGGAGGAGGAGGAGGAGGAGGAGGGCGTGGTCGAGGAGGTGGAGGTGGAGGTGGAGGTGGAGGTCGCGGCAGGGGAGGCGGCAATGTCGCCGGGCCGACAGGGGAGAAGGAGACGGAGGCGGCGAAGAGGAATAAGGAGGCGCATAAGGGGGCGCGGGCGAATCACAACAGGCGAGATGCGAGGGCGAAGAAGATGGCTCGCGGAGGGTTTGCAGGATGAGCGCTTCATGGTATACAGGAAGAGAGGCGTTTTTTCTATCTTTTACTTTGAACTGGATCAGCTAGGTACTAGAAGGTCATGGGCATACGGGTAAACGTGATGGGTACTGGACGAGAGATAGAACACTCAAAGCATACATCAGGTTTAGACAAAGATAAGGAGTCGAGGAGACAATCTATGCTCGAGATGAGCCTCAGTAGTGCATCAAACCATACTATATTCAGTCTGCCAAAAAAACGATCTTATAATCCGATGAATACCTTATGTCCATCAACTTCAAACAACCCAGAATGCAATAGCAGCCCATCATAACGCCTCCTCCTCAATGACCCATACATATGTCCGTCCCCCTTCACAACCCCTCGTAAAGCCCCTCGACCACATTCCCAAGCATCTTCAGCCCATAATACCTCGCCACCCTCCTCATCACACCCAGCTTCCGCACCACCTCCTCCCTCGACAACACCTCCTTCCACCCCCCGCTGCAGGTGCAGTGCTCCATGAAGTCGTTGACCCTCAGCGCGCCGCACCGCTCGCACTTGAGGTCCTGCACGGCCCATTCCGTCGCCCAGCCCTCCACCATGGCCAGCAGCCGCTCCTCGAGGCCCACCCTGTCGAACTCGCTGCCGCAGAAGCCGCACTGCCAGCTCTGGCCGCCGCCGCCGCCGCCGCCGTTGTTGTTGTTGTCGCCGGGAGCGCCAATCAGGTCCTCGTCGCGGCAGAAGTCGAGGTCTCGCGCCATGGTGCAGCTGTCGCAGGAGACCTGCAGCAGCTTCAAACTCTCCGAAGGATTCGTAAAGGTGCCCTCCTTGGAGAACTCGCGTATCTCAAACAGCGCGAGCAGTTCTTTGCGCAGCAGTCTTGCTTCGAGCGTAATGTTCTTGTCCAGGGAGAGGACCTGCATGATGGACTTGACGAGCTCGAGGATCGGATTGCGCAGCTGGAGGTGCGAACCGGGCAACGAGGGGAAGCTATAGTCTTCCGCCAGCTCCGGATGCAGGAGCTCGCGCTTCTGCTGGTTGATCAGGCCGACAATGACCTTTTTGAACGGCTTTTCAAAGGCCTTGCCCAGGATGATTTGCGTGTCGCCGTCGAGATCTTGATTCCTGTTCGGTAGCTGAGTGAGGCGCGGAGTTGAGTCGGGATCATTGTTCTCTGGGCGTTTGAGCTTATGCATGAGCTGGATGAACTCAATCACCCAATCCTGGAAGATGGGCTGCAGCCGAAGAGGCAAGAACGTGGCCATTTGCCAGTGCATAATCGTCTCCAGATTCTGCTCGTCGGAGTCGGCAACCTGCTGGCAGGCTTTTCCACCGTAGTTGAACTCGTCGTACCACACCAGATAATCCCAGTACTCCTTGATTTCCAGGTCGATGAAGTGGAATAGCGACTTGCTCTTGATGGACTTGATAATGTACTGGCTGTAAGCAAAGGCGTTGCCGACCTCTGCCTTGGTCGTCTGCAGAATCAATCGGTTTGCACTCGCAAAGATGACCTGCGAGCCGACACGCCTAAAGTCCGCCATGAGCTGCTGGAACGCCTTCCGCGACATCATCTGCACATAGTAGTGCAGTGCTCGGTCGTACATGAACGAATCCGGGTTTTCGACCCAGCGGACGAGATGCTGAACGAGCACATCGGCCATTGTACTGCCCTTGCAAGCTTCTGCCCACCATGCTTTGACCATCTCGCGAAGGACCAGCACTCCGGCATTGGCGAATCCGTTCTCTGAGGCCAGAATCTCCGATCCGTCGGCAGTAGGGTTGAACGAAATGGATTCAGCCCCTTCGAGCTCGTTGATTAGGGATGAGGTCAGTATCGTGTTGATGGCGAGGTTGCGAACATCTAGGTCAATGCAGACAGACGAAAACGTCCCGGGGTTATTGATGCTAGGCATCTTGACAGTGTCAAGAGACCCGGTGATATCGTCCTTCTCATAGCCAGCATGGTCAGGCCGGGGATCAGGAGACCACCACAGCACGACCCCGTTTGCCTGTAGCCGTCTGGCGTATGCAATGTCGATGAGGAACCGGGGATCGTCACGCTCCAAGTTGCACAGGGGCACATCGCCGTAGCGCGCCAGGGCCGTGAGGTGCAAGATCCAGGATCCCAGCCCCAGATAATGCCCGACCAAGCGCCGTGCAACAACCGCCTGCCAGCCAAGAGGCGGTAATGAGCTGTCAGAGGCATCGTATCTCAGCGGCAACACCGGGAACTCGCCCAGAATCGGAATGTCGTGGACAAGAAGGTTTCGCTGAGACGACTGGATAACCATCATTTGCGGCCGTGACTCGTCTTTGCGGAGCTTTCGGACCACATCGGCAACCTCTAAATGAGCCTTGCGCCGTATCGTCACCTGTGTGACTTTGAAGGTGATTTTCTCCTGATACTTGAAGCAGTCCTGCCAGTTCGTTCCCGCGGCCTCCTCTGCTCTCTTTGCCAGCAGTTCCGAGTACAACTTGGTTATGTTTGGCAGATCTGATCCCGAATCCCGTCCTTTCTGCAGTATCACGACGTAAGCTTGGTCGTTTGTCGTCGAGAACAGACCAAAGATTTGACGATCTCCTGCAGTAATGTGCGAGATGTAGATGTAAGCCAAGGGAGACGACTCCAAATAAGCCTTCGGTTTTGCAGGGCGTTTCAGACCCATCAGGTCGAAGCCTTGCTCGAGACCTTTGCCAAGCACTGCCTCTTGTTCCTCGTCAATGGTACAGAGGTTACCCAGCCGTAGCACTGCACGGATGTTCAGGGGCACTTGCTTCTCATACACACCCTCTACACTAGGATGGTTGAACAAGAGCGAAAACTTTTCTGCTTCGTTAAAGTACACGTCTTCGGGGACGGTGAGCTTGAAGAGATGCTTAGACTCGTGGCCGTTGGGGAGAGTATAGTTGACTTGTTCGACCTCGCACCCCGCAATTTCAACGTCTGGCAGCTCTTCTTTCTTGAGATTGAGGAAGACCTGGCGGGGGACGTTGATTTTCAGCGTGTGGATCTTTGCGTCAATCAAGACGTGCGCCGTCACGATGCCGGGAGTATCAGTGGCTTTGAGATGAAGCAGCTGCCACGTATTCATAAACGTCAAGTGAGCTTGCTTCATGAACGTCTGCTGGATGTTGCTGCTGACGTTGCCTCTCCTTTCACCAAACAGCTGCCTTCTGCGAATACGTGCCTGTTTCTGCAGCTTCCACTTCTTCTTCTGATACTGCAGAAATCCAACATAGTCGTCCGATGGATCGGGCATGGCGTCTGGCAAAGTGGCAATGGGGTTTGGCTCCTCTGCCGGCTCGGGAGACTTGCGTTTCTGGGAGGAGGGGGCCTGTACCTGCGAAGACGCGATGAGTGCCCCGAGCTGCTTGGGTTTCAGCAGCTTGGAGCCAAAGTCCTCCATGTCCTCCGCGCGGGGCCCGTTAATATTCGTAATATCTGCCAGCGGCTCTTTGCTGCTAAAGAGATCCGTGAGTTTCTTCTGCTTCATCTTGTCATCCTTGATGTTGATTCTTCGCTGGAGCCAGTCGGGATGAGGCACTCGAGGTACGGGATTGCGCACTTTCTGCAGGGCGGCAGGGATGGTGATGAGTTTCTGAATGACGGAGCCAAGACGCTCCAGGTAGTAATCCCAGTCCAGCAAAGCCCGGGGGTCCGTATCTGCAGGCTCCTCCTTGAGCCACTTCTTGAGATAGGCGCGCTTCACAGTCTCTTCTGCAGAGAAGATGGCGACAGGAACGGCACGCTCCGTGACGGGTGCATTTCGAGGTCGAGAGCAAATGATGAACTTGCAGTTCAATCCCTTGTCCTTGACCATCTGCTCGCCCAAGAAGTCGGCAAGACGACGTGCTGTTGTGATACTGGTCGACTTTTGACTGCCGTACTCCTCGAGGGTCTTGGACATGCTTCGATTTTCGGAAATTAGCTCCATCAGCTCTTCGTCTGCAAGCGTAGATCCCTTGTTGTGCAGTACATCGAGCCACTGGTTTGCAACTTTTGCCACAGCAGTGTAGCATTGCGTCAAGTCTTCTCCTTCGAGGAAGAACTTGAAGATCTGTTGCTGGAAGATCTTGATTAGCTTGAGCTCACCACGACGCTTCACTTCAAAGCCCTTCAGCTCTGCCAGACTGCCATCGTCGTTGAACACGGCATATCTCTTCTTCAAGTTCTTGTCTTCTTCTTTTGACGTGGGCAAGATCATGGCCTTGTACGGCCCATCGACTTCAAAGAAGATGGAGTTGTCGCTGTGAGTTTCGTATCTGAAGGTTTTGGGGTCGACCAATGTCTGATACTGGTGGTTGGTAAATTTGTCATGCACGAGATGGTTGAGCATGACGCAGGGGTAGGAAATGTTCATCTTCTTCCCGTTCTTGAGCTTAAAGGCAAAGTTCTCCGGGAAGGTCGCCGGAAGCATACACCAAATTCCGTCGGTGTCCAGCTCAAGAGGACGGCCGAGGCGTTCGACAAGCTGACGAGCAAGCTGAATGATCGTGGCTCCCGTTAAGCAGGTAACACCCGCCATCTCCATGGAATACCAGCGAGAGCCTTTCCTCATGACGTATCCGTAAAAAGAATTCAAGATGACCTTGTGCGCAAGCTGCAGAGAGTCGTACACAATACTCATCTTCTTCGCATCCTCAATCTCACTGCTGGGGGCACCAGATGCCTTCAGCGCATCCGTCTTGCCTTTCCAGACCTTTGCCTTACCCTTGTAGTCGTATCGACGATCACGGAAGTCGCGGACAGTGTTGATGTAGAAAGGGTTTTCTCGCTGACAAATGATTGCCTCCCGGATGATTGTAGTAGAGTCGTGGATCTTGTGATATACCTTCTGGGAGTAGAGCTGGAGACGTTTCCTTACCAGGCTCGCCTGTTCATCAGCACTCAGCTGCTGAAATGTCCTAGGGGGTGCCTTTGGTGTTTTGCCAGGGAACTTTTCGTTCTCCAGAGCATGCCTGATCATGTTGTACTCGTCTCTCTTCGCCGGTATGTACTCTCCTCTCCAAGCCCAAGGCAATCGTCGATCACAAGTCTTGCCTGGACGGTTGAAATCACAGGCAGCGCAATCTGATTCTGAAATCATCGAGTCCGGCTGCAATCTGTTTGTCGTCATGATATTCGGATACATGGAGGCGACATCCAAATGGTAAATGAGTGGTCTCTCGTTGCGATTGGGCGTCTCTTTGAGATTCAAAAGCTTGCTCATGATCTGCTGCTTGACTTCATCATAGTTGGTGACGTCGTCGAGAGACTTCTTCTCTTCCACTGTAATGACAAACTTGAGCGCATTGTCCAGATCTCGCAAAAGCTCGTCCACTGCGCCGGGGTCAACCGCAAAGTTGACGGGGATGTCAGACCGAAAAACGCCGGCTTCGATACTCTCGACGTGGCCGCCGACATATGTCTCGGAATCGAGGAGATGGCCGTCCCAGAATGCTTCTTTCGGGGTGATGTGCTTATTCGGCAGCACAATCTCCTGCTGGTACGCCTGCACCATCAGAAGCATTTCACAGAGCGTACCCGTACCCTTTCTGAGGACGTCATCTGCTCCTAGAGGCAGAATCGTACAGAGTGAGAAGATGAAGGGGTGCACATATTTCATGTACAGGTAGTAGGTTGCCACGGCATCGGAGACTGAGTATTCTGCGAGCGTTTGTGGTCTTTCTGATGCATATGGAGTCATCAATTCCGGGTCGAGTTCATCGGGGTCGTATCCCAGCTTGGCGACTGTGACGGCCTTCAAGCCTCGAGATCCTTGCGGCAGATAGGAGTCTCGGTTGACCCAATGAAAGCAGTCCATGTGAACACTGTAGCTGCACTTGTACTGGTCTTCGCTGTCCTTTTTCCAGCCAATCTCATGGTACATGTCGATGCCGTTGACGCTCGCCCTCGCCTCGACAAAGGGCCAATCGAAGAAGTCACCGTTGTACGTCGCAATGACAGTCGGGCGAGCCTCCTTGATGTGGAGAAAGAATCTCTCAATGACAGACTTTTCGTCTGGCTCGTTGAAGATCATAAAGGGGCCGGGGTACTCGGGCTTTGGTGTATAGTCAAAGTCGCCAATGTCTTCGGAAATGATTTCTCGGTTGGTGATTAGGAATCCTTGGCCGTCAATCATGTATGAGATCATCATAATCTGATCGGTTGCGGCATCGGGGAACTTCAAGGGCAGCTTTGATGTCTCGATATCGTACGCCATGACCACCGGGTCGGCTGGCAAAGATCGGCCCTCGTTTACTGTGACTTTCGTAACGCCATGCTTTGCTTCGACAAAATACCACTTGCCCACTCTTATGTCTGGGAAGCCAATTAGCCAAGCCCAAGCCATGCCGTAGATGAGGACATGTACCTAGGTCTATCATTACTCTAACGTGGTATGGAACATCGTATTCGCGAATGTCGACGATGAAGTCGCTCGCTTCAGAAATGGAAGTACTCGTGTTTCGCTCGTCATCTCGTAAATCGTTATCGAAAAGATCAAAGTTGCCATTGTTCCTGTAATCATACTTGCGTGTTAGTCCCCGCCACAGCTCGCAAGAAGATCTCAACGGAAGGGGGGGGAGGGGGAGAAGGATACTCACGTGGCAACCTCGGCATAGGCGTCCATGGCATTCATGTTCTTCTTGTTCTTCTCCGCAATCGGCAAGATGTCTCTTCTCGCGGCCATCAGGTCGTTGACATTGGCAAATCTGAGCTCAATGAATGTGCGTCGGTAGCCCATCAGGTGATTCGGCATGCTGAGATCTTCCTTCTCTATCCTCCTGATTGCTTTCACAACGCCTCCGCCGGGTACCCTCTTCACCCACTCTTCGACTTCAGACTCGCGGCCCTTTTTCACCGCAATGATGAAGTAGGGGTCATATTCAACCGTAGCTTTGAAGGTGCTTCCGTCGAGCTCGATGAAGTAGCAGTCCAGCGCCGCTCGGCCGCCCGGTATCCTCTCGTCTTCGACAGAGGTGGGCTGAACGTTGACCAGCCACCCTTCCTTCTTCTTGCCGCTCTCGTACCGGGCAAAGCCCATTCTGTCGTCGATGCTCTGGGCCAGGCGGGTGCGCTCCCACTTCTCGTCGGCAGAGGTGCCTTCGGCCCTCGAGGACGCAGCGAATGTCCGGGTTTTGACGCCATGATATGCAGCTTTGCCCCCTCGCTTATAGCCCTTTGTCGGGCGCCGAAGAGATGTGTTTGGCATCGTCGGAGGCACTCAATGGTCAAGCTGCCGCTGCCGAGCTGGCAATTGAAGGAAATCGAACTTAATCGGTCGATGGGTCCGTCATGGATTATGGGCGTTCCGCACAATACTGCTAACAAAAAGGGACCGAGATTCGCGTGAAGCAGCTGTTGTTGCCCTCTATGTTAGTGCAATGCAGGTTGCTCAGAGGCTTTTGTCGACGCGGGCAAACAAATGTCCAACAGAGCTCAGAGCCCCAGCAACAAAATGGTAGTGGCCCGCACAGGCTGTTCGGCAAAGATGTGTGTATGTGTGTCCAGTGAGACGCGTCTATACGCGTGAAAACGCGAACGGCTCTGGGCAGTACGCGCCACATCTTTAATTGATTCCAGCCACAGCCGCAGCTTCGCAACAGCCACACCCCCCACCAACAACAGCAATTCGAGTAGGTACTAAGTATAAATCGTTCCAGCGTCATAGAGCGAATCTGCTCGCACGAAAGGCGAGTGCCGTCCATGCCAGCAACTCGACAAGCAAGGTAGCCAGCAATGGCCCCGACCAACAACGACGACGAGCGGCCCAATGCAAACGAAAAGGTGCTGCATGTGTGGTCCAAGCCGATAGCGGAGGGCGACCAGGTTCCCGGGCCTCAAGTGCCGGCCAAGAACCCGGATGGGACTCCGAGAGAGTCCAGGTCGGCCTTTTCAGAGGCCGTGTCGATGATCAAGAAGGAGGACTTTGCAAACGTCGCCAACACGCCCTGCGCGCGGCAAGGATTGCTGACGGGGATTGGGGCGGGCGCCGGCTTGGGCGGCCTGAAGTTTGTGATTCAAGGTATAACGCCTGTCGACACCCGAATGCCTTTGGGGTGGATAGGATCTGGGGTAGCTGACGGTTTGCGATACGACAGGCAATGCCGCCAAATCGGCGAATTGGGCAGTTGGCTTCTTCATGCTGGGCAGCATAGCCTCATACGAATACTGCCAGTACCGACGACGTGCCGAGAAGATCCAGATGAAGCGGCACATCGAGGTGGTTACGCAGAACCGGAAAGAGCAGGCAAGAAAACTCGCCGAAGAGAGACGTGAACAGTTGAGGATAGAAGAAGAGCAAAAAGCACGAAACAGAGCTTGGTATAAGTTCTGGTGAAGGGTAGGCAGACGGGCTGCCATGTACTATAACGTGTAAAGATATAGACTATGCTTGAATAATATCACGGCATTCTTCAGCACGATCCGTTGTACACGAGGAGCTTAATGGGTATATGCTGGAGATTGAGGCGCCAACGAACTGATTGGCCCAACTGTGGTATATCGAATGCCAATCAGAAGCAGGACTGCTATGGACTCTTTGAGCTAAAAAGAAAAGAAAAGAAGAGACAAAAAGCAGTGGAGAGTAGAAAGAAAAAGAAAAAGATCTCAACGCCAGACGGTCTACCTTTGTAGATGCCGTCCTCTTATCCTATGTCCCTTGTCCGCCCCCAGAAGCCGGAAATCGTTCATGTCGTCAATAATCTGCCCTCAAACGCCGTCATTGATTCAATATCCCCCAAAATCCGTGTCCGTCTCGATGCCGAACCATATGTATGCCCGATATACCTGTGCTGAAATCGCCATCGCGGATCGCAGGTGCCCATGATCAGGCCTTCATGGTCAGGTTCCTGCTCTCTCCATCCATGAACCTGACTCTCCTCGAAGGCGGCGACTTGCGATCCCGCCTTGCCGAAAGAGTTAATTCTCCCCGGCGTCTCTGCATTCTCCTGTTTCTGGCTTCGTTCTCCTCCCGTTTTCGATATTCCGCCATCTGCTGTCGTCTCTTCATGATCCGCGCATGTGCAAGAGCTGGGGTTGGCTTGAATCCCACACCGTTGATGCCCGTGCCATCGTCGTCTTTGTCATCAGGGTCGTAGATTGTGATTTCGTCCTCGTGCCAGGTCAGCGAGGCGCGCAAAGGGTCTGCGACCTCTGCTTCGTCATCGGCGTCCGATTGTCCGTCTTGAGGGTTCCCTTTCTTGAATCGGAGAGGCGGAGTGCCGGCCCTTTTCTTTCTAGGCTGAGGCTCAGGCGTGCCATCAACCGAAGTCGATGCGGTGTCGGTCTGTAGCAAGCCTTCGGGCGAGGGCAGTGTTTGCGGCGGCAGCACGCAACGATCGACCATTTCCACTGAGCGGGTTTCCATCTCCAGTGGCGACTTGGGCTGCATCTCAGCCTGTGGCTGTATCGATGTGATCATGTGTGCTTCAGGGTCTGGTTTATGGCGCTTTCTCGCAGCGCCATCCGATTCCACGTCCATCTCATCAGCAGGCTCGACGACCGAGCCGCCGTTTCCAAGCGCAAGGCCGCGAAACCTGTGGACCACGGTTGACGAGCGAGGGCTGCCTGCTTCCTCCGATGGGCCAGCAGCGGAGAGATCAAAGGAGAATGCCAAGGGCGATACAGAGGCGTGTGCTCCTCTCTTCCGCTTGGGCGTGGCGTTTACGACCTCTGTCATGTTTCCAGGTGTTGGCTTGATCGTTTACTGAGCAGATCGAGATGTGGAGGATGGAGGGCGACTTGGAGCTGGTGAGGAGCGTTGATGAAGAAACGCCGTGAGAGTAGGAGCGAGAGAGAGCGCGAGGCGAGCCGGCAGATTGTCATTCAACGGGGGGCTGCGCAGGGCGGTCAAGCAATCTGCGCTGCCGGCGAGCAGAGAAATGTGAGTTTGTTGTTCTGAGAGCAAAGTGAGAGACGCGCAGACGGCCTGGTGGAACGCTGCAGCTGCCACATCGGCGACATGAGCGGCGTCCAGTGAGAAGCGAGGTCAGTTGAGAGTTCGGTTCAGTTCAGGTCAGTTCAGACTCAGATTTGTCGCTCTGCTCTGCTGCAGGGTGAGCTGACTGTGCCTGCAACTGCAACTGTAACTGCGACTGCGACTGCGACTCTGCCTCAGCCTCAGCCCTCTGACTGGCTCTGGCCAACGTTGCAGGAGCAGCGTCACAAGACCAGCGGCGCCTCTTGCGACTTGGATCCCGCTGGAGCGCCACGTGGGGAGCGACGGCGATTTGATGTGATTGATGGATGGTAAAAGGAACCACTGGGCACTTCTGGCGGACAGTCGGCGTCTGCACGGGTACAGTAAGGTAATAGTACCTTACTTACTACCCAAGGTACAAGCGACAGCTGTGGGGAACTTCAAAGGGACCAGACAGAGCAACTTAAGCCCGCTGTAAGGTACCTCTGTACAGGTACAGGTGCAGGTGCAGGTGCAGGTGCAGGTACAAGGCACCATTTGGTGAAGAATAACTGCGAGGCTTACATTCAAAACGTAGGAGGGCATCAATAATAATAGCAGGGTAACAGCATGAGATTTCTACTGGACGCTTCCCAGCGCCGTTTGCCCGAGCTCCACAGGGGTCTCGCACATGTAAGGTACCTTACCTCATGTATCCATGTGTATCACGCTGAGCTGAGCTTGAGTTCCAATTGCCACCAACCATTTGCCCGTGTTTGCTTCAAAGGATACACATCCAAAAATACCCGATCAAGAGTACCTCATATATAGCAAATACAAAGAGCACTGAATGTGTACAGTTTATGTGAAAATGGACAACTTTGCGAATTGTCCGTCTTGTGTTTGTCGCTCATCTAATCACTTGGATGCAGTTTGCCTCCTGTAAAAACGACGTGTCTAGGCGGATACCTACCTAAGGTAGTCACAGGTGCAGTGCAGCCTTTGTACGTCACGGCATGGAAGATGAGCCAGGAAGCGGCTGCTGTGTAACCTGACATCATCTTTTCAGAATGGCAAAAAGATACCCTTTTCGATATACTATGTACTACCACAGTATGATAACGTAGTAAAACATGAGCTACATGCCCGTGATGGATCAAATCACCGCTACTAACATGATACAAGCCTCGGTGCTAATGGGAGGCATTCCGGCTATATTGACTGGCAAGACTGGTTCAGGCCCCCCCCCAGCTTGGAGAATCTGCAAAAGCTCCAAATTTCCAACAGCCGAAAATTCTCCAACAAAAAAAGCACTCACAAGTCTCCAAAATTTACCCCGCCATCTGCCCCGCCGTTCATGGCATGTCCCTGTGCGACCGACGCGGTGGATCGTCCCAAGGCGTCGCATATCCGCTCAAGCGTGCTAAGATGACGGAGCTTCCAACGTCGCAAAACAGCCTGAATGAGGCATATGGGGGGGGCGGGATACCAAGGCGATCTTGGCGATGCTCAATATATCCGAGATAATCGCCATATAATGCGCATAGCTTCTCCATAAATTGACGCCATCATATTCTTATTTCTTCTTCCGACAGGCACCTTGCTGTAGACTCCCTTTACATGTGAAATATAAACATCGCCGAGCTCCCTTATAATAGGTACTATCCCGCTCAACCACCAACCACCAACTCGCCACATCCTTATCCTCATCGTCATCTTCACCTTCTCATCTTCACCACCATGACCGACGCCGCCTTCAAGTTCCTGCCCCTCGGGGCCATCATCCAGTCCTTCAAGGTCAAGGACACCAACATCGTCCTCGGCTTCCCCGAGCAGGAGCACTACGTAAAGTACAACACGGCCTACTTTGGCGAGACCATCGGCCGCATCGCCAACCGCATCAAGGACGCGCGCATCGACAGCCTCAACGGCGGCAAGTCGTACGCGCTCGCCGCCAACGACGGGCCCAACCACCTGCACGGCGGCAACGAGGGCTGGGGCAAGCGCATCTGGAAGGGCCCGACGCCCGTGGGCACCAGGCAGATCCCCGGCGTCGACGGCCTGCGCGGCGGCGAGAGCGTCGAGTTCGCCCTGCGCAGCGAGGACGGCGACGAGGGCTACCCCGGCACCGTCGAGGCAAAGGTCGTCTACACCGCCGGCAACCAGGTCGTCGACGGCAAAAAGGAGGCCCTCGTCCTCGGCATCGAGTACGAGGCGCGGCTGGTCGGCGGCGCCGACGAGACCGTCATCAACATGACCAACCACTCCTACTTCAACCTCACCGGCGACGACAACATCGCCGGCACCACCGTCACCCTCGCCACCAACAACCACCTCCCCGCCGAGGACGACTCCATCCCCCTCGGCAACCCCGTGCCCTTCCCCGGCCTCGACACCTCCAAGCCCTTCGTCCTCGGCCCCGAGGAGCCCAAGTTCGACCGCTGCTTCACAACCACCACCGACCCGTCCTCCGTCCCCATCGATACCCGCTCCCAGCCCCTCGCCCTCAACCTCTCCGCCTTCCACCCCAAGTCCGGCATCCACCTCGAGGTCCTCAGCACGGAGCCGTCCTTCCAGTTCTACACCGGCGACCTGACCAATGTGCCCGCTGCCGAGGGTCTGCCCGCGAGGGGCGCGCGGAGCGCCTTCTGCTGCGAGCCGGGCCGCTGGATCAACGCCTGCAACGTTCCTGAGTGGAGGAACATGGTCCTCTTGAAGAAGGGCGAGACGTATGGCGCGAGAATCGTGTACAGGGCGTGGACAGAGTAGAGCCAACATGATTGCTAGCGGTTAGCGTTTAGTATATAATGACGGGACGACCTTTTTTCTTTTTCTTTTTCAAAGATACTCTTTCCTTTCTGTATGCCATTTGCCGACTCATTGGGTTGCTACTACATAAATTTGTACATGGAAGACATGACAGAATGAAACAAATAATTCTGCAGTAATTGGTGCCGTGTAGCCCTCCTGGTCGTAAACTCAACGCCATGCCACATGATTCGTACAATGAATATTCCGCCTGCTCCCTAAAGAAATCAAACACATAAAGAAATGACCAGGAGTCAGTCACCTCAGTCGGAATCGCTGTCGTCTCCCAAAAAGGCCAGATCTGCATGGGCCTTTCTGCGTCTCGCAGCAAAAGAGGTCGGCTCGTCCTCCTCATCATCATCATCATTGTCGTCGTTATTCTCTCCGCTTTCCGGCTTCGCTTGCTTCGTAGCGGCCTTGGTACCGCTTCTGCTGGCCCTTCCGCCAGAGCTTGTTCCCCAGAGTCGATCCATCTCCTGAGCAGCCTCGACATCTGCTTGCAGCTCTCGCATCTCCCGGATCTCACGGGCCTTGGCCTCGGAGAACCGCCCATCCATGCCAACGTCCGCCAGCATCTTCTTCAGATGGCGGATCTTTGCGTTGGCATCGTCTCCATACTGCTTCAGCTCGTTGTGCCACAGTTTTCGAACCCCGCATTTGGTGAGGTGTGATTGCAGCTTCTTGATTTCTGCTTCCTTGGGGTCGTCTGGGACAGCCTCCTTTTTGGCTGTTGACTTGGATGCCTTTCGCTTTGATGAAGCCTCCTTCTTCTCGCCCCTCTTGCGCTTGGGGGGCGGCGGTTCGTCGATGACGTCGGAATACTCGTCCTCCTCATTAACCTCGGGCTTGGACTCGTCTTTGACATCGGCCTTTGAATCCTCAACTCCTGAGTCGGACTGAGCCTTCACTGACGGCTTGGTCTCGTCATCCGAAAGCTCCCCCTTTTTGACGCTTGCGCCTTCACCAGGCTTGATATCGTCTTTCGCCCCATCTTCTGATTCTTGTTTCAGGCTTCGTCTCCGCTTTGCAACAGGCGATGGGCTCTCTTCCAGCTTGGCATCTTCATCGTCGGAGTCGTCCGCCTTGACCTTGCGACGTGATACGAGCTTCTTGGCCTTGGCTTTTGAATCTTTTTTGGGGTTCTCGTCAACATCGGACTCTTCCTTCTTCTTCGCGCCTCCCGATACTTTCTTTCGTCGTTTGGGTTCAGGAGACTCGACTTCGGACGATTGCCGCTTGATGCCGGCTTTGGTGTCTGGCTCAGACTTCGGTTCGGAAGCGTCTTCCTCGAGCAGTTTGTCCTACGAAGCATGGCATTAGCGGGGTCGGGTGAGAAGGGCAAGGGCAGCAGCAGCTTGTTTGGATTCTGGTAGACTTACGACTTGTTCCTTGATAATGGTCTTGCTCTTCTGCTTCCAAGTTTCGCTCGTGAAGAAGCCATTTTCCAGCCCTAGCTTTTCCTCAACGTGCCGTCGCACTTTGTTGACGGACGTGGCATCGGGCTCTGCTTGGTACACCTCCCGAGTTCCCTCGATCAGCGCTTCTTTTAGCTTGGCGGCTGAAGGCGCCATGGTGATTGAAGGAGATGATTTAAATTGCGACGATTCCGCGACTCTTTGCGCTTCAGTAGCAACAGTGGCAGGCGATGCATACAATGTTGAAAAATGATGCGCTCGCTGCTGTTGAGCTTTCCCCCAGAGGCGCGTCTGGGACGCGATCGGATTGTGATTGGAGAGATTCAATTGAAGCTGTTGCTGGGCTGGAGCTGCAAGTCGACTATGGGGCTTCAGGCTTGGGCGAACAAGGATCAGCCCGCCAATCAGACTGGGGACCAGACACATGATGGATGCGGCCAATGACGGAGCACAATCAACTTTTTAGTGGAGATTTAGCCTAGGTAGGCTTGCCATGACTTGTATATCGCCGCCATTCTTCGTACTGTGCACAGTAATAGAGAGCTAGACATTTTGATCTTCAACTTGACGAAAATACCAAGAGCCGCTTGATTCATTCAGCATCTGCCTGTTATCAAGGTCTTTGACAAACTCAAGGTTATTCATATCATCTCTACATAACCCATCATCTTGGCCTGTACGGTAGTCAAGACACAAAGACGCCCGATTTTGGACGGACATGTCGGCATCACTTGCGCCAGAGTGTAACGAGGTGAAGGAGTAAGTGTGCCCACGATCTCTGATCATAATGTGCATAAGCTCATATTTGACATCAAGGCGCTATGATACATGCTTTTTGAAGTGGTATAGTGAAAGTGAGAGACGTCCTCGCTTGACCCAACATCGACAGCTGTTCGACTTGACTTACACATTCTCAGAGTACCTCCGTGGAGCCGAAAAGGACAACAAGGAATGCGCCGACTTGTTCAACGAATACCAGAAATGCCTAGGTGTACGAACCCATCCGTTCGAGCAAGGACTGGAGAATGAGGAAAACTTGGGAGACGTGCTGACGGTTGCATTTAGGTTGCACTAAAGTCCCGAGGCATCGATAAGCTTCTTGACGAGGCCAGGGAGGACAACAAGGACAACGACGTAAGGTTGACAGCGCCGAAGAGTAAGTCCACGAATCAAGCAACAGAAGACGCGTGTTTCCCGTATCTAACAGATATTACAGAGTAGACGGAACAATACTTTGACGTGGACTCGTTTTGCGGGGAAGAGACTTGTCCATCCATATTGCATACCTTCCATACCTTAAACGATGCGGTGTTGGCTTTTGCGGAGAGAGGCTTAGACCTGGGACCTCGTATTTACAGCTCATAAACGTGTACATATAAATATCACAACGTCGTTTTTTCCGCACCGATTTGTAAGGTCAACCGTCTACGTACTCGCCAGCTGCAGCGTCATGTTGTCACTCATGCAGCCCTCTGGCCCGCAGTCATCAATCGTGAAGTGAGTACGCAAGCAGAGGTCATGGATGAGCAGCAGCATCGTCGTCAACTGCGCGCCACGTGATTCGCTGGCGGGCGCCAAACGCCTCCAAGAGCCTCCACTCTCTGGCGGGCGGCGGGCTTTTTAGTGGACGAGCTGGTCGCCCTGCAGCGGCCGGCAGCTGTCCAGGTTGTGGCTACGTGCCATCAGGGACCTGCAACTGGAGCTGCAACTGCAACCGCAACTTGGAACCGGACTCGGACTCGGACCTGGACCTGGACCTGGACGGGACAGCAAAAGCACCGCAGCTCGACAAACCTCGCGAATCTCCTCCCCTGCGATCGATTGCGCCGCCCGCACACGACGAACATAAATAATCCCCCCGAGCTTGCGGCTTCGGGCTTTCTGCTGGACCTGTCGACCGTCACAGAGGCGTCAAGTTGCGACTGCGGAGCTTGTCCAGGCCACCACCCATTGATATTGATCCCACCCAACGATTGACGCGCGCGAGAGACATAGACGCAGACAAGGAGCCAACAGCCAGCATCCCACTGCAACCACCTGCGGCCTTTGACATCTACAAGGAGCAATTGCTGCGCCCAGCGCCTCCGTCTTCAGCTCCCCCCCTTGTGGCCAGCGGCATGTCCTACCGACCGCAGTAACGCTCTATGCACCCCTTCTCGACCTTGACCCTCGGCATCTTCGTCGCTGGCTACATCACCGCGCGCTGGGACCTCGTTACTCGCCTCTATGAGCTGGCCATCTTTGCCGTGGAATACGGAGTCGTCGTAAGTCGCCGCCAGCTTTTTGCGCCAGTCGCAAATCGCCATTTTGAGCTTTTCTTGGGGGGCGCTTATCTGACGTTGGCGTTGCTCGTTCTTGCCCGCTTCTAGTTGCGTGTAGCCCGCGGCATTGTGGTTCTGACTGCCTTTTTCCTTGCCATCTTCGTGCCGGTGGCCCTCCTCGCGAGGAGAGAAACAACACTTGTATGTCTCCCGTCTACACACCACCCAAACACACCACCCAAGCGCTGCCAGACGAACGTTCTGCGAAATAAGTTGCCGAAGCTAACATGCCGACGACTAGCACCCACGAGACCCTGGAGCTGGAATATCTGCGCGAGAGCAGCTCAAGCGACGAGGCTCAATCTGAGTGCTGGGCCTCGTCCTGCCGATAGCCATCCTTTGTCATGGTAGAGCATGATGGGTTGATGAGAGTGTTTTGGCCGACAGACATTCGCAAATCCGACCGCACTGGCGTCGTCGTTGGTTGGAGGAACTCGACGCTCGATGTATTCGTCGTCACCATTCTCGAAGATGTCGATGTTCGTCCTTTCATTTCCTACTTCTCCCTTCCGCCCCCATCCCTCGCCTTGTATCAAGATGAACCCTCGGCTAATAGGTCCATTCGTCATCTGTAGGCGCACAATGTCGAGTTCCATCTCAGGTCCGGCACCTTCTTCAGGAGTAGCCCCCACTCCCCAAGCCGGATCTACGAGCTCTGTGGCCACTCGTCGATGCATGTCCTGGGCGTTTCCAATGCGGCAACGCAAGACGCGATTGACCCTTCCTGGGTCTGCGCCAAGGCCAGCACCTCCAGCCGCTATCCTCGGATTTCCTGCGCCAAAGCTTCCAGCATTCAGCTCATCCTGTACGATAGGCCTCGCCCCAAGGGCATGCAATACATATCCCTGAACCCGATAGCATTGGCCTTGGGGGACAAGGGGACATTGCCCGAAGATGTCGCCAGCAGTGAAGACGACAGCGAAGAGGCCAAGCACGAAAAGGCAATCAAGGAGAACCGGCGCATGCTCGTCGAGAAGCTCAAGCAGCACAGCATCGTCAGGCGAGTTGCGTCAGCCAGAGACAAGGCGCTTCCCAAGATCGTCAATCAAGTCAACTGGTCCTGGGAACTGGAGCAGGCGCTGCAGCAGAACGTGGGACGGCTGGGCCCGAGGCCGAAGCGCGGCCTGAGCGTCTCGGAGAGGGTGGTGGAATCGGCCACGACAATGCGGAACTATGTGCTCGTGCAGCTGTGGACCCTGTTCTCGGTATACCTCTTCCCAATCGTGCAAAAGGCCTTTGTCCTCGTGCTGCTCTTCCACAGGATGGTGGCGGAGATTTTCCTCATCATCCTAGAGTTTCGGGCCAAGCCGGGCTATGCCGCCCTCAAAGACATCTCGGCAACGGCCCAGCAGATTGAGATCCGCCTCCAGCAGTTCTGCTACTGGCCCATGCAGTACGTCACTCTCCGCCAGCGAAAGGCCAACTGGGCGAGCGTCACGACCAGCCATCCAGACTATATCCGCTTCTACAACAGTCTGTGGCTCGTTGCCAACGACGTCATCATCGGCATGGCTGTGGGCTCGTACATCATTGAGCACAAGGACTGGGTTGCGGACCAGATCCGAGATCTCCTGCGCACCTACACGGTGGAGGCTCTCCAGCGCGGCATCTCGTGGCTCATGGGTTGGCCTGCGGGCTTGAAGCTGAATGGTGAACTGGCTGCCTTTCTGGGCGATTTGTTTCTCTGGGTCATTGACTATTGGTCGAGTAAGTCCTGCCACATCCGCTGACCGCTGTGGAACGTCTGCAAGCTGACACGACCTCGCATGATATAGGCTGCATCGAGACGCTCAGCCCCATGCTGCCGCACATTATCTGGTTCATAGGGTTTTCGTCCTTTGCCGGGGCAAGCATGCCCATTGCCATGTTCTCCGACCTGTTGTCGGTCCTCACTCTGCACATCTACTCGTTCTACCTCGCGTCAGCCAGGATATACCACTGGCAGCTCACCATTCTGCGGTCTCTGTTCCACCTGTTTCGAGGAAAGAAGCACAACGTCCTCCGCAATCGTATCGATTCGTGCGACTACGACCTCGACCAGCTGCTCGTGGGCACGATCCTCTTCACCTTGCTCTTCTTCCTTCTGCCCACCGTCATGGTGTTTTACCTCAACTTTGCCATTGCTCGGATGATCATCATATCACTCAAGGCGGGCTTTGATACGCTACTGTCATGTTTGAATCACTTTCCCCTGTTTGCCTTGATGTTACGGTTGAAGGATCCGAGCAGATTACCTGGTGAGTACCAAATCCCACTACATACCATATAACAACACTCAAGGGGGGCTAACTTGAACTTCCTAGGCGGCATCCACTTCGAGCTTCGAGATACCCATTATCCCACAACCCCCGACGCTAATGATAACCTCCTTAATGAACCCCCCACCTCCATCATCTATCTCAAGGTGAGTTTTCACGCCTTAAACTCAGCAACAACAGGCAGTGCCGAACTGACTTGTTCTCGGCAGAACATCCCCCTTCCCTTCCGCGACATGTTCCACCAATACTTCCAAATGGCCCATCGCATCCGAAAACACTATCTGTCGCCGCGCGTGCTGCTCTGCCTGGTGACTGGGCAGTTTGTGCCGCCCATCAACAGAAAGAATCTGTATAGTCTGCAGTACAGCATGTTGCCGGCGAGGAGGGCGACCGTGTGGGAGATGTGGCGGGCGGTGAATACGGAAATCGACATTCCGCAGAAGAAGCCGTTTCAGATGCCCAACATCCCCCAGCTGCAGAACGGAGGTAAGCGGCCTACGGGATTTGGGAGAACGAGGTCATAGACAAAGTATGAGGAATTCTGTCCGAAAAAAGAAATAACTTTCCAATGTTCTGTTGATCCATTCGTCCACCTAGGTAGCAATCACTGTCACATGCCTACCTGGTTCTACATAACAGTCCCACGCCATGGAATAGTTTCCATTAGGAGCTTTGCTTGTATAAGGCCAAACCTTAACGCAGCACCAAACTGTATCACAACGACTAAGAAGTTCTTCTCGGGTGCCAGGCCTTTAACAAGCGTATTGTGGCGCATTTACAGTATGAGGCTTCGCAGGATCTGGCCGAAACGCAGAGGGGCTTTGACCATCCCAGAGCTCTGACCATCCACCCTGTCAGAGAGTAAGGCTGTACAACCCCCCCAACATGGCGCAGCAGGAAGGGTATATAAAGAAGGCCGGCACGCCCAATCCAATCTTTTACTATTACTACTCTCTCTTCTCTTCTCTTCTCTTCTCTCATACACACATCCTTCACACGATTCAATTTCCAAGTCAAGGCAACAAACAAAAATCCATCTCGTTGTCCCTGACTTCCCCAACAGACACAACGTCAACCACAACCTCCCTCCGAAAACACCTCGCCTTTTTCCCTTTTCGGAAAATATATATATATATATTATATATAATTAAAAAAAAAAAAAAAAAAAAGATGCGTTCCGGCCGCAAGCGCACCCTCGGCGACGAAATCGCCGACGCGTACATCTTCCCGGATTGTACGACGCGCCGACCAAGGATCCCCGAGATCCGCGTGGTGTCTCCGGGCGGCAGCGACGCGAGGCCACTCGGCGACATCTGCCAGCCGCCGTGTCCCGACGGGCCTCTTGAGAGGCAGCGGAGGAAGAGGTTACGCGAGAGCTTGGCGGAGCTCGAGGAGCTGCTCGGGGGTCAGGCCTGTCTGGTAGAGACAGAGAAGGTACGTTTATGGAAGACGTTAAAAGAATGTCTTGATATCTAACGAATGAGAAAAGCACCAGTCTCCTGACGCCAAGCCCACGGCAAACAAACGGGCTGTTGTCCTGGAGGAGAAGCCTCCACAGAAAGAAGAAGAGGCTCCGGGGGCGAACAAGCCTCCCAAGGGAAAAGCCCCTCAGGCCGCAGGCCGGACGGGGACTTTCAGAACCTTCCTGGCCTTTGGACGCCAGCTCATCTCTTCGCGCCACACCACAACCTCGCGAATGGGGCGCTATTCAGTCATGGGATGAAGGGTCGGCTGTTGCTCCAGCTCAAGAGTCTTTTCGTTTGATCGGAATGGCGATATTGGTTTTGGTTTCGGTTTGGGTTTGATAGAACGATCTGTCTGGGATTTTGGAAGGCTTTAATTCTTGAGTTGCCTCGCCTTGCAAGTCGTCGGCGTTAGATACCCCCTTTGTTACGCCTTTTATAATATGAACACGTCTGAAAAGATAAGAAAAGACTTGCCAGTGAGGCAGAGTCCCCTATTACTGCCTACAGTGACAGAGTGCCCATATCTCATGGCTCATATATTGGCGATAGTCTCATAGGTAGTTGCATCACAACTTTGCCCCCTCGTTGTGCAGCCATGGCAGTACAGGTTGACTCTGTATACCTACCCAGGTAGGTACCTTAGTAGGTACCTAGGTACAATAGGTGAAGGTATCTACCTAGGTAGGTAATCCCAGCTTCCTCATCGTCAGTGGTCACACGCAAAGATCGGGATCTAGACAGCTGAGTCAACGAGGTAAGACCGGCTATTGGACAGCACCTTCCCCTTGTCTCCATGCCCAACAGATGACGATAGCTCCTGCCTCAATCCAGGCAGGCTTGGATCAATTTTGTACCTCAGGCATGCACATTTACCCACAAGCGATACCTCAAGCTGCCTCCTTACCTGCACTCTGCTTGCACCTACAGACAACATCCTCAATCACAGATTTTCAAGTTCAAGCCTCTTCATTTGATTATCTTCCTCACAATGCCTAACTATACACGTTCGTGGAACTTCTTTAAAGATATCCTCTATAATGCTGTTCCTCTTGGCTTTCCTGCCGTATCAATCTATTCAGAGTTAGACAACGAAAGAGCAGATGGAAAAGGGCAACACGCACAGTCTGCATCAAGTCACCATCGCTTAATGAATGGAGTCTCCCTCTGGGTGTCTCGAACGCGGTATGATTCCTTCAAACAACATACTTGATCCATGCCTAACAGCCGTTAGTGCCTAGAGCCTTGAATCGTGCGGAAGCAATGGCATACCTATCATCATAATACCAACAATACCGTGTCTTCGATAGTTGGTGTGCTCTCTCTCGTTCGCTCGCTCAGTCTTCGGCATCCGTCATCTCCGTGTCTTCTTGGGCCGCCTGGGAGGTAAAGGAGCCCGCGTTGGCGCTCGTGGGTGCCGGATGATAGGCGGTTCCCATGGCTGCTTGACCGTGACCGAGGGACTCGTGGTTGGGATAAGCGATGGGACGGCTCTGAGCTCCATGCTGGCTGGCGGGCAAAGCATGGAACTGGTTGCTGCTCCAAAGCTGCTGCTGTGCTCCAGAGCCCACGGTTCCAAAGGTGGCATCCCTGAATCGTTCAGGGACGTTTACGAACTGGCCCGTGAAGGCTGGGGCCGCAGCTCCGGGGAATATCGACGACTGTGCGCCGAGAAAAGAGCCATGACCGTACGGAGCGCCCATGAGCGGCGCCGCGGCTTGGCCAGCAGCCTGCATTGAACTGGCGTTCAAAGGGTTCTGATACAGCTGCTCTCCAGGAAACCGTTGTTGAGTTGAGAAACTGATGTTGCCTTGAAGGGCGTTCATCTGCGAATGCATGGAAGGGCCAACAGGCGCGCTTCCAGTGAACATGCCGACCCGAGAAGCTCGAGGAGTCTCCTGGTCATCTCCACTGGGCTGGGATGGATCGGCAGGAGTTCCAGCGCGAGGAGTGCGGTTTCCAGGCGCACTCCTCTGCTTGGCTCGAGCTGCCGCGTCGTAGGCGGCCGAGCCTGGGGCGGTTCCGGTAACATCATATCCCTTTCGAGGCATCTTGTCCTGGGGTTCGTTAAGGATACAGGAAAGGAATATCTGATGGAAGATTAGCTGCGGATGAAGAGAAACAATAGCCAGGAGCAGGTTGTGAACTTGAAAAGCCAGGCTGGTTTGGGATGAGGCTCACTGAAGTTATGTTATGGATGTGGCAGTAACTGTTACTGAAAGGCGAATGAAACGGTGAATCAAGTGCGTTCGTTGAACTTGAGTGAAGGAGCGAGAGGTTGAAGAGTTGCCGTGCCCTCGAAAACTGCGGCGAGGAAATATGCGCGGATTCATTGCGCAAAGAGGGAAGGCCGCTCACTTCTGGCTCAGCTTGAGAGGTCGTCAGCCGGCCGAACCGAGCTGGAGCTGAACCGAACGTCACTCTTCTTCTTTTCCAGAAGGGCCAGGCGGGTGCTTGCCTGTTTGGTGGCAATGGAAAGCTCAATGGGAGGAATCATGCACTGATAACAATAAGAGTCGGAAGAAAGCAGCCGGCGAGGAGACTCTCCTGGTCTACGATATCACGAGGGCTTCATAGTCTCTTCTGATTGTTCTCGAGTCAAGAGGATGGATTCAGAACACTGGTAGACTTGGAACAGTGACAATAGAGTAACAGTATATTCAAATAGTGGCTGTCTGATATACATGGATTATCTTCGAGTCGTCTCTACATAAAGCTACACAAACACTACTAGAGGGAGGGAGGCAGGCAGGCACCCTCTACCACCATTTAAGGAACATTCCATGCATGAGAAAGAAGGTCTCGCCAAACGAGACATGCCAAGCTGCTCTCAAGCGAGCTCATCTCATGCCTCTGGCCGAGAGAAGAGGGAGAGATCGGGTAGTGGTAGGCAACTGCGCGTCTCCAGGCCTAACTATACGGTAACCTAGTAAGCAAACAGGGTGAGATGGCGGGTATTCATTCCTCGACATCAGCCATCTCAACGTCCCCGTCCTTGGATTTCTTCTTCTCTTTGCTCTTCTTCTTTTTCTTCTTTTCCTGCGGTTCGCCGCTTTCTTCCGCTTCTTCCCGCTTCTTCTCCTTCTTTTCCTTTTTAGACTCCTTATCCTTCTTGTCTTTCTTGTCTTTCTTATCCTTCTTCTTCTCTTTTCGGGCGCTGGCATCTTCGTCGGCGCCGTTTCCGTTTCCGTTTACCTCTTCCGCAGCTTCAACAACCGGCTGTTCGTCTTTTTTCTCAGCATCCTCCTCGTCCTTTGCCGCCGTCTTTCTCTCGTCGTTGGCTTTCACGTCGCCCTTGTTCTTGGGCGCGGCCGCGGCCGGCGCCTTCATCTCGTCGAGCTCCTTCATCCAGTTCTTCCAGTCGAAGCGCCGCGTCTTCCACATGTCTCCCTTCCACGTCCGCCAGACGCTGCGCCCCATCCACGACTCTCGCAGCTGGGACTCGTGCGAGGCGAGGGCGGTCATGACCTTGTCCTTGATGTGCTGGGGTATGCTCCAGTCCTTGCCCTTGCTGGGGATCTCGGCGATGGCGTTGACGAGGTTGTGGCCGTACTGTGACGTGGCCAGCTCGGGTATGTGCGGCAAGAGCGTGTTGACGAGGCCCTTTTGGAATAGGGAGTTGGAGGACGGCGTGTTGATGGCGGTGGTGAGGACGGTGACGGTGGGCAGCGATGTGTCTGCGAGGCGGAGGACGAGGTCGGATGGCAGAGCGAGGATGGATTCGTGGACGGCCTTGGATGGGCCGGGGATGGATAGGAGAGTAGTCAGTAGCTTGGCGCCGTGAGATTGGACGGCATATTGGTTCTTGGTTAGCTGCTGCACGTCCTTTTTCTTCTTCTGCTCCTCCTCCTCGCTGCCTGAAAGGGAGCACAATGTCATGACTAGATCGGCGGGCTGACTGCCACAGCCCTCTTTCAGGCCCTTCATCAACTTCTTGATCTCGTCATTGATGTTTCTGGCCGCGCATCGCTCGAAGAGGGTCGACAGGACGTTATATCTGGCTTTGGAGACTAGCTGTGGAACGGTCGGCGCAATCTGATCGACGGCCTTGGCGAGATCGTCTTTGCCGAGCCGCTGTAGTACCCGGATGGCAGGGTAGCACGAGATGTCGTTGCGGACGTAGCCTTGTATCCTAGGTAGGAAAATGTTCTGGTTGAGCGCCTTGAAGATCTTTCCCGGCGCGTGCGTGACGAGGGTCTCAATGAGCCGCGAACCGATCTGGTCGTAGATCATGCCGTTGACGAACTCGGAGGCCGCAGAGGAGCCATCGGACAGGGACTTGGGGGCACCAGGGAGGAGCTTCTGGAGGAGAGAAGGCGAGGCATCGTCAGTCTTGCCCTCCTCACCCTTTGCCGCGCCCTTGGCTTCGCCCTTGTTGAGAGTCAAGTCCAGCTCCAAGATGAGCTGCAGAATCGGGTTGCCGATGGGGTGCTTGGCCAGGACCTGGATCGCCGTGGCATCCATCCCTTCCACCGAATCCTGCATGATCTTGTTGGCCGCCATGATGAAGGACGCCGGCACCGCTCGCTTGCCGCGGTTCTGCGCATCCGCCTCTGACGACCCGACAACTGTAATCTTCTCCTTCCTCTTGCTCTTGAGCAGCGTCCGCGATGACTGTTCTTCCAGGGGCATCCCGGACAGGACGAGCAGCAGGACCCGCAGCGTATGTGAGGCGAATCGGTCGGTGATGAGGTACCCCAGGCTGCCCTCCAGCTCATCCAGCGTCGCGAGGAACAGGTGCTCCATGGACGCCTCCGGCTGCTGGCCCTCGACATCCGCGCCCTTTGTGTCCATGACGAAGCCGGTGAAGCCGTCGGCAAGCTCCTGCGTGACGACGCCGGCGGAGCGGAGGAAGAGCGCCTCGCAGCAGTGGCTGGCGAAGCGGTGCTGCACCAGCGACAGGAAGTGGCCGCCAAAGGCCTCGAAGAGCTGCTTCTTCTGCGAGGTGCTGGCCAGCTGTATCAGGCGCTCCATCAGCCGCGAGCAGGACTGGCTGCTGGCGATCTTGAGCTCCTTGCCCTTGGCCTCGCGGTAGACGCTCTGCAAAAAGATGTCGCGGTCCTCGGGGGTCGGGAACTGGTTCAGCTCGAGCATCTCGTCGGCTCGGCGGAAGTACTCCTGCTCGTCGTCGGCCAGCATGCCAAAGAACTCGCGTTCGCCGGGGCCGCCGCCCTGATGATGATGATTGTGCGATGATTCGTAGGTGTCTTCTTCACCGTATGGGGCGTCATTGTTGGTGCTGTTGTTGTTGTTGTTGTAGTAGTAGTCGTTGGTGTTGGTGTAGTCGCCTTCGTCATCTCGGCGCTGGCGCTTGTGTTCGTGGGAGTTTGATTTGGCAGTGTCGGAATGCTTGCGCTTGCGCTCCTCGCGCGCGGCGCCTCTTTTTGTTCGCGGCTTGGGCATTGCTGATCTGACAGGCAATTCGGCAGAAATTGCGTGTGGGAATCGGGAGAGGGAGACGGACAGAAGAAGAGCTGGAGATGAAGTTTGGGAACTTTTTTTTTTTGTTAGACGGAAGATTGCCGTTGATAAGATCTTATCGCAGCTAGCGCACTTGACAGGGGTCACTCATGCAGCAGAGTGGGGAGCTGGGGTGTCGATTCTTCAGAAGGCGATGGTGGTGATGCGTCAGTGAAGGTTGAGCTCTCACATAAACTGGTGGTGGGAATATTCCAAGAATCTGTCAGAAACGATCGAGCAGATGATATGGATGTAAATTATGCGGTATAAGGGTGAGAGCGGCTATTCGAATTTCTGACTTGGCTACCGTCGAGTGTACCTCATATGGGACTGATCTATAAGATACAGAGCAAGTGTTTGTAAGTATCCTATGCGAAATCTATATCCAAGTCTTTACAGATTTCAATAAGTGGAGCGTAGTAATCCAATTGCAAGTCAAACAGAATGAAAAGAAGAAGAAAATGAAGACATGGCTCAAGTCTATCCGTCAGCCGCCTCCCTCTCGATCAAAAGACCAGTTCCTTTTTCACAAGGGAATGGCCTGGCTGATCTCATTCATGGCCTTAACCAGGCCCTCAACCGTTCCCTCCAGCGTCTGTACATTTACCACGACACGCAGAAAGCTGCCGTGGTCGCCGGGAGCGTAATCGACCATGAAGCCTCTCCCAATCAGCGCCTGGGCAATCTGCTGCGTTCTCCGCGTGTTCGCCTTGCTATCAGAAGGCAACCGGCCTCCAGGGGCCGAGTAGAAGCACACCTGGAGACAGGGAGGGGGGTTCGTCGACACCATGACATAGTCGCCAGTCTCCTCGAGCAGCTTGTACAGGTAGCTTGCCATGTCGAAGGCATGGTCAATCTGCCGCTCGAACCCCTTGGCGCCGTAATAGATCCAGGCCAGCGCAACCTTGAGGGCGTCTCCTCGCCGACCGCACTGCAGCGTCAAGTCCGCCAGGTCCCAAATCTCCTCGTCGACGTCGCCGCCGTCGTGGAAGAGATATCCCGCCGATGTGCTGTTGGCGCGCTGGAAGATGCGCACGTCCGGGCCCAGCAGCAAGGAACACGTGCAGGGGGCGTTGAGCATCTTGTGCGGGTTCACCGTCAGCGAGTCGGCCAGGTGCGAGCCCTTCATCTTCCAGCGCTGCGCCTTGGAGAAGATGACGCTGCCGCCCCAGCTGGCGTCGATGTGCATCCACAGGCCAAACTCCTTGCAGATCTTGGAAATCTGCTCAAACGGGTCAAAGGAGCCCTTGACCGTCGTGCCGGCCGTCGTGTTGACGTAAAGGGGCGTCTTGCCTTGCTTCTTGGCGAGCAGGATGAGCTCCCGGAGAGCTTGCGGCCTCATCCGGCCCTCGCCGTCGACGGGGACTGCCCACACGGCGGAGGAGCCCATGCCGGCTGTCATGGCCGCCTTTTCCACCGAATAGTGGCCGTGTTTGCTGGTGAAGACGACAAAGTCATGCTTGCCGTTGCCGTTCTTCTTGCTTTGCGGGTACAGCGTGTTGCGAGCTACGATGAGAGAGGTGAGGTTGGATCCGCTGCCGCCGGGACATGACACGCCGCCGGCAAACTGCCCGTCAAAGTTGAATAGGTTGGCAAATGCCCTGGTTGTTGTCTTTTCGATGACAGTCAATGCCGGAGAGACGCTGTAAACGTGCAGCTAGAGGAAGCGGGTTAGACGGATGAACCAGGCAGTTGAGTGTGCATGAGTCAGGACTACGACTCACATTGGTGTTGAGAACAGACAACAAGAGATCGGCAATGACTCCCACCTGAAAGTGTCCATCAGCATCTGGTTCACAAGCATTCAGCGCGGGGGGAGGTTGTTATTGTCGGCACTTACGGGAGTATTACTCGAGTAGAGCTTGTCCAAGAAGCCTTGATCCCAGGTATTGACGCTGTACTTGAGCAGCCTCTCTATGCTCTCTAAAAGGCCATCTTTCCCCAGCCCTTCCTCTGGCAGCAGAAACTTTAACCTGGCGACCAGATCCGAAGGCTTTTGTGAGTCAATCAGGACGTTGTGAGGCTCTCCGTTGGCATCGACGCCCAGGTTCCCCGTGGGCTTGTCAGCCGCGGCATCGTCGGCAGCCTTGATAAACGGAATGATGAGCTGCTGAACAGACTCTAGGAGCTATAAAAAAGCGAGATTAGTCTCCAGCCAAAAGGGTAGAGCTGAAAAGGGACCAAGAACGGTCAGGGAAATGGGCTCGTACATCGGCAGTCTCCACAGCCCTGTTCAGCTGGAGTTGAGGCTCGCCGTTGCTGGTGAGGCTATTGCTTGTCGCAGTCATGGCTGGCGATTATTTATTTTTAGAGCAAAGCAAAGAGAGAGAAGAGAATGGTGTTTGCTGTTGTTGTTGAAAGAGAAAGGGGGAGAAAAATTGCAGATGAGAATCGCACACTAAAAGATAGCAGGAGTGCCACCGGTCTCTTTATTTACTAATTCGCTCAGCCTCGACTTGCAAATGCAAAGAGGCAGCGAGGATGACAGAATCTACCAGGTAAAAGGGAGCACGGGGAGCAACAACAACAACAACAACAACAATGCTAGTCCTGAGCCAGCCTGACACGATTCCATGGAGCTGACGAGGCAAAATCCAAGGGTTCCGAATCTCGGCCAGATGGATTGCAGATGGAGGAGCATCTTGATTGCTCAAATCTCAATCATCCTGCATAAAGGTATATCAGCACTACAGCAGAAATAGAGGCTTTGGGAAAAGCGAAAAGTCGATTGAGACTTTGCTGCTGCTGCTGCATCCACCAACCAGACACCAAAAAAGCCCAAGAGAGAGGCGTTTCGCATAGTCACTTTTAGCCACTCTGCGACCTCTTGTTGCAATTGCGCCATTGAGCGGCCTTCTGTCGTTTTGCAGCCTCGGCCTGTCGGGGATATTTCGCGCGAATGAATCAACAACTTTTGACAGTTGGCGGCTAAAGATGCCGCCGCTAGGCTCTGGCGTCATGCCGCTCAAAGTTGAAAAGCGACGTTCCGAATCTCATACAGATTCTGCTTATGGAGTGACGATGGCTTCATCATACAGCATCATTGACGATAACAGTCTCATCTTGTTTGAGATCGCTGGATTGACAAAGGTGCTGTCATACTGGTTACCTTATGCTTACAAAATCCACTTGCGAGTATGACGATTATGGCAAAACTTGCCATCATTTAGGCCACTCAGTGAGACAACATTAAAGACATGACGAAACTGTGGAATAGGCGACCAGTGATATCGCGGCTCGATGCCCAAAAGAGAAACGCATCTATCTTTCGATAGCGCCAGCCTTGGAATCACCAAATCGTGATACATACCTACTATATTTTCCGTCCTGGCCAAGAGCAGGCTGCATCACGCTATAGACGCAGAATCGGTTTCCATATGCATTCTGCATCTTCCATGCATCAGCCTGGCGTGGCAACAAGACGGCGGAGATTCCCGGCCAGCCTTGCTGATATTGCATCGATGACGACTATCAGTACGACACAAACGCGTTGGCTATATGGCTGCCGCACTCATAATGACCAAGACAGCTGAAATCTCAAGCCGCCGTCAACTGAGCTCCAGGCAATAAGCTACCTACCTACCTAGGCAAAGTTCAAAAATATTCCTTTCAGCCGTCACAGAGCCGTTGTTCTAGGGTCAGTTTCCGGTGTTCCAGGGCGCAATAAATGAGTCCGTCTCAGACAAGACGGCAGAGCAAGACCTGCAATGCATCTCAATGGCATGTCTGGATCGAGCGGCACTGCCATCTCAGGCAGGAAACCCTGTCACAACGTCGGTATATCCCGCGTGGAGGTAGGGCGTTAATAGCGAAAGTAGTAGTACATAGAATGAACCGTTACCGTGATGCATGGGGCAGCATCTGCAAGACCATCCATCTGCTGTTTGGCGAGATGATTCTGTGTCCGAGGAACGCAAGGGAAGCGGCAGCGCGCGTTGAGCGAGTGTAGCGGCGCGGTGCAGGGTAGGGAGTCATGAGCATTGGGCGTGTGATGGTGATCTTGATCTTGTACTTGTTATGCAGCGACGGCTCAAGGGGATCCTGATTTCTGTACCTACTCGGTACTATGATGTAGTGTGAAAGGAGGCAGCTTTTTTGGGAGTCGGCTATAAAACGCATTGGAGTCTTGCCTGGCTAAGAACCGAGAGCATTGTTCCCTGCCGCCACGATGGATATACAATGTGGTTCAAGTGCTGGTAAACGTCAAAAAAGAGGCTGTCTGCCAATTACGATGCTTACCACGGGAATGCCCATGTCATCCGTCTCTTTCGACCGTCTCTGAATGAGGAATGATAGTATCAAAGTATAGCTGTCCCTGGATCAGTCAAAAAGAGGTAGACATGGTTCGCATTGGCTACCAAATTGCAAGCCTTGAGATTCTGATACTGCCAAGGTTGATGCGGCATCTAGCCGATGATGCAGAGGCTCCAGGGGAGCCCATGACTTGCAGGCTTCCCTGGAGCTCCACACAGGCCAACGCGCCGTGATTAAACAACCGACAAGCATCAGTCGAGGGAATGCAAGTGCAGTTACAACAGCCAGTGCTGGTGCTTGTGCTTGTGATGGAGGCACCTGTATGTGTATGTACCTAGGTATGCAGGCAGGGGTGCGAGGTATCACAGCCTCACAGCCTCAAATCGCCGACCTGGTACTATTCTTCGAACACAGCCACAGGATCAAATAGAGGTATGATGAGAGAAGCAACTCAATGCATACCTAAACTGCAAAGATACTCTCTGTACTAATGCTGTTGTCTGCCACTCTGCCTCTGTGTGTCAGGACGCAATCATGCTCTGTCCGCTGCGCCCGTCTCCCTTTGTTAGTACTAACTCATCTACATGCAAACCATCAAGCAACCCCCCATCCCGGAGCATTTTCCCATCATTCAATCACTCAAAACCACCCATAAGACCTCTCACGTCCCCCTACAGGCTTCATCCCCGTCACTGAGAAACTAAGCTTCAGTTGCAACGGGGACAAAAATTGGCGGGGGGCCTGCCCCGAGTGTCTCTCGCCTAAGTAGCAGCAGCCCCCGAACCCTTGTCGTTGTCGGCGACGAGCGAAATTGCCCGCGATGCACAGCGCCCAAGTTGGATTAATGCCCAGCTTCTGCTGCTGCTGCTGCTGCTGCTGCTTCTTGCTGGAATCTGCATGAAATGGTCCTCTTGCGGCTCTTGACGGAAATCGACAGACGTCAAAATGCCAGCGGAAACCCCTGGCCCGTGTGTCCACTCCGCTCTTCACGGGTGCTCAGGCTGCATCTGCATGCCCTTTTGCTGTCTCTCTTGTTGGTCTGTCATTATGTAGCCTCTGTACAGATAAGAAGAGTCTGGCCGCGTATTACAGGTGAGACCTTGCTTGTGCTCTCCTCAGCTGGTCTCTCATCATCCCCCCCCTTTAGCTGCCAACCAAACCCCCCCCTAATAACAGCTCTATGCCTACGGCCTCCTCCTACCTTACTGTACCTCTCTCTCTGGGGCATATTGTATCTCACCATCAAGCCTCTGAAATCCTCCCAAAAAAGGAAAAAAAAAAAAAAAAAAAAAAAAATCCCGGACCCGAGCCCATCCATCCAATATCAACGAATCCTGCCACGAGCATCCCCTGATCCCGGCCCTTGGCGTCGCTTGCCCCGGACCCCTTGACGCTCCTTGTCCTCTCTGGGCCATGCAAAATTTCGCCTCCACAGGCCCGCCAGCTCTCCGGGAATCCCTGCATTGTGTGTGTGTGTGTGTGCCCTTTTCCTCTCTCTTCTTCTGCTTTTCTGTTTCCGCTGTGATGGACAAGCTGCCCTGCTGTTGAGCTGTTGAGGTATCATCAAGTGAGGACCTCGGATGTATTCTTACCAGGAGGAACCGAAAGAGACTGACCTTTCTCTCTCTCCTCATCTGTCAAATTGTTAATACCTACCTAGTCCAACATGCATACCCAGTAAGGTATGTATGTAGTGCTAGCAGTTATCTGCCGGTGAGTGGATTCGCAAAGGGATCCCCGAGCCCCAGATTTCCAGGCCCATTCATTCATCAAAGTTGCAGCAGTAGCCTTTGCCAATAATAACGATTCCAACCTGCAGCTGGCGGTTGGTGCTAGTAATAATACATAGCAGTAGTACTTCTGCCAAGTTGGTGTTGCTCACGATCCAAAGCGCGGGTCGTACGGGAGGCACAGCCGTTCTTGTTTCTCGTGTTGGCGGTTGAAAATCCCATCGCTTTTCCTTGCTTTTCTTCTTCTTTCCTTTTTTTCTCCTCCCTCCCCCCCCCTCTTTGCTATCCATACTTACCTTATTCTGTCTTGACTACTCTAATTCTCATTCTCCCCTGTTCTTTATTTTCTTTCTTTCACTTGTTTTGCCAGTGTCTTTTTTTTTCCCCCGCCGTCTTATTATTCCTTCAGCCAGCAAGTTCGAGTTCAACAGCCGAATTGAGTAAGCGGAGCTCACCTCGCTCGTACCTTGCATACAAACCACTCCTTTGCGAATACTACCCTACCTTCAACCTTGCCTTGACCCGGGCTTCTGCTCTCTGCCCGCTTGCAACGAACGAAAACACTGTCCTTTGACAGACATTGTCACCATCATCGACCGTCCTCCGTTGTCCTCTGACTCTCTCCCTCCAACTCTTTTGCGCCTGCATATATCGCCACATCTCAGCTCTGTACGGGCAGCACAACAGCTCAAACCGTCCAACTCTCCTCATCCTCCGGCGCAAAACACACGGCAAAAAAAAAAAACACCACAACCACTCACACACACACACATACCCATCTTTCCGCCATGGCATCACAAACACAAAGCCCCGTGCCCATCTCCATCACCATCTGCGGCGACGGCGGCTGCGGCAAGTCGTCCATCACGCTGCGCCTCGTGCGCTCCGCCTGGACGTCCGACTACGACCCGACCATCGAGGACAACTACAGCGTCACGCGCGTCATCGACGGCGTCACGTACCACCTGTGCCTGACGGACACGGCCGGCCAGGAGGAGTACCGCGGCATGTGGGCGTCGTCCAACCTGGGTGCCGACGCCTTCCTCATGGTCTACGACATCACGTCGCGCGACTCGCTCGACGCCCTGCAGCACTTTGACGAGCTCATCGACATGGAGGCCGAGGTGCGCCTCGACAACGCCGAGCGCGCCCGCGCCGCCGGCATCTCCCCGGCCTACACCGGCTCCGGCGCCGGCGCCAGGACCGTCCCGCCCGTCAAGATCGTCGCCGGCAACAAGTGCGACCTGCAGGAGAGCCGCGCCGTGCCCGCCGCCCAGGGGCTCGACTGGGCCCGCAAGCACGGCGCCGGCTTCATGGAGACGAGCGCCCGCCTCGAGGTCAACATCGAGGAGACGTTTGCCCTCATCGTCAAGCGCGTCGTCGAGCGCCGCCGCCTCGCCGAGGAGGGCGTCCTCGACAACACCGAGATGAGCTCCCGCGGCATGACAAAGCCCCTCACGCCCCTGCCCGCCGGCGCCGACGACGACGAGAAGCGCGGGCCCGGCGTCCGAGGGCCCATGATCAACGGGGACAAGGTCGGCCGCGGGCAGGGCGGCTTCTGGAAGAAGTTGCGGTGTTGGTGATACTAGAACAAACACAGACCAACGCGCTTGGAATGCCGATGAAACCACAAGGGAGGAAGAGCAGAGCGGCCGAGACAGACGAGATCAAAGCCTTTCATTTCCCTTGCACACAAATTTTCTGTGTTTTTTTTTTTTTTTTCTTTTTCTTTTTCTTTGTGTTTGCTTCATGTCTTGTTTCAATGCTTGCTGATCAGCCGGGAGCACATCTTTTCTTATGTTATTTGTCATTTCCCCCCGTGTTTCTCAAGTTCGGTCCTTGTTCACAGATACCACATGGATACGTATGGCGGGCGTCAGGGTTGAGAGTATGATCTTTGGAACAAAAAGCATCGTCAGCGGAGGGACAAGCAGGTCTGTTTTTTTCTTTTATGTAGTTTCTTGTGTTATTGAAAGCGTCATGTATAAACAAGAGTCATGTATATCTACCAGCACAACTGCTTCCTCGCAGGCCTACCATACCTAATCTCTGGAAAGCAACGTTTAGATACCTATGCTTTCTGTCGAATAGAAACATCAGACCTGAATCACTGGAACCTTGATCGTGCGAGCACCGAGTCAAACACTCAGTTGGTTTCAAGATGAGAAAGAAACAAATTCCCAGTTGCAAAACCTTCCACCACTCTGCTTTGCAAGACACACGTCTATAAGCGCCGCAAGGTTTGGTGTATATCATCCATTACCGTCCCTGATAGATCCCAGAATATTGCCCATGCCCAATAAAACACCAAAAAATAAAAAGAAAAACTGACGTCGTCTTTCCCTTGTCTATAACAACGCCCGGCCAAGCTGCATCACCGCAGACGGGGGCCATTCCATTACTGCCTGCTGTCGACCCAGTCCCTCCACTTCTTATACTCGGGATAGTTGAGGCTGACTTTCCTGCCTTGATACCGCGTCAACTTGATGTCCAGATCCTGCCACTTGGAGCGACTGCCCATCCACCCGGCCTTGCGAATCAAGCTGAAGAGCGCCTCGTCCTTTGTCCAGCCCTGCTCCAGCGCCACATCTGGCAAATACGTCGCGCCGTAGCGGCGACCGCGATCGGAAAACGAGATGCGGATGCCGTGCTTGCCAACCTCCCAGTCGTGCACGTCGTCGGCCTCCTCAAAGTCCGTGAGCAGCGTCACGGCGGCCTGGAGCGTCGGCAGCTCGCGCTTGGAGATGGGGCGGAACCGCGTGTCCTGCAGGGCGGAGATGAGGGCGTACTCGGGGATGCCTTCGGCCAGCGGCTGGGATTCAAAGGTGCCGATGCAGCCGCGCAAGGAGACCTCGCCGTCCACCGGGTCGACGGTGTTCCAGGTGACGAAGAGGGGAGCCGCTGTTGGCGGGGCGTCGGGCAGAGAGGATGTGGATGTCGCCGCAGTAGAAGCCGCTGCTGCCGAGAGCGATGTCGAGGAGGAAGACGACGATGAAGAGGAAGACGAGGCGGTTTCGGCAGCGAGACGCCGGAGGGCGGGATTCAAGGGAGCAGCGTCAGAGGGGCCGGACGCGGCAGCCGAAGCGGAAGCGGAGCTGCTGGCCTTGTATTCGGCCCACGAGGACTGGATCTCCTCAAGGGAGAGCGGCTTTCTGTTGTTGAGCTCGGCGTCGAGAGCCTCGAAACAAAGGAGACAATGCTCAACGGTTGCCATCGCGGAGGGTGCTTGCAGCGGAGAGACACGGAAAATGAGAGGATAGAGCAAAGCACGAGAGAGGAGAGGAAGTAGTATGTTGTCACGGAGGAGCGAAGAGATGGCGAGAAAGTGGGAAGAGATTGGTTTTGTTTCTTGTTTCAACGCCACTTTGAGCGACTAGAGGAGAGTATTAGAGGCAACCGGATAGAAAGAAAAAGTTTTTCAACTTTACGGCAAGGCAAGAATTTTCCACGAAATAGCGAGCAAGAGAGGGGAGGAAGAGGAGGAAGAGGAGTGGAAGCACATGCAAGAAGGGCCAACGTCCGTGATTCATTGCATGCCTTCTTCCCGAGTCCAGCGCCCCCACCTGTGACTGGAGGGGACCCGGGCGACCCCGCGATTCGATGCGTGAGGTAGTACCTTTTGCTGGGCTCGGGACTGCGGTGGCTGGGAGAGAGGCTGGAGAGAAAAAGGAAGAGGGAATCAGAAAGAATTCGCTCCTCGGGACATTGATTGATGACGAGATCGATCCTAGAAGCAAGCCACGGTGGCGCAGGAGGTGGCGGTGTGGCGGATGCTGGGTTTTTTTTTCTCTACGGTTCTTGCGATGTAGGTTGGATGATGTAATCAGCTATAACGAACTTTGATTTGCGGGGAGAAGGATGGTTCGCCGGGATGCTTTTTTTGTTTCGACTGGTGTTTCAACCGGCGTTCATCAGACGTTGGTGATGCTGGGGATTTCATTTCACCTGCTGCTGGGGATGTATTACCTGTCTCATTAAGAAGGTGCCCTTTGGTGTGGTAAGTAAGCTTGAGATACACATTAGCCTTGCTTATCTGCCATCTCGATAAGCTGTCCGGCTCTCAACAAGGGCTACCAATAGAAGTCAGTGAGAGATCCCGAATGAGACCTGTTGTTCAATTTTCAAGCTCTGTAGCAGCGTCCTGCCAAACGTTCAACTACCAGTCCTTTCAGATAGTCCCTTTTGATCAAATATCGCAATAATATACTTTGAGCAATCACTGGGCCTTGATTTGTTTTGTTGACAAAATTCCATCTGCTGCGACTTACACCAAACCAAGCAGCCCCTCCACCTCCATGCTAGAGGTATCTCTCACCCGCAGACCCCAACACCACGCAATTCACTCTCTTCCCGAAATTGACGCTCTTTCGTAACCATGCTACACATCCATACGCGCCGTGTATTAAACCAGTCTCAAGGTTCTTCTCGTCCTTGTCAGCGCCCAAAAAGGTACTTGTCCTATCTAGCTGACCCCAGGCCCGAGGGAGGCTTCTGAAGCACGCCTGCGTTTCAGGTCCGCTGCCCTCCCCCCCTTTCTCCGTAACCGTCTCCCGATCGAAACGAAACCGGAACCGCCATGAATCATCTTTTATGCCATTTCCAGCAACTGGATTTCACCCACTCTGTAGCAGCACTCCGTAGCATTCAATTCGGAAGCGTTGTCTTGTCTCGCGTTTCCCCCTACGCCGCCGTTGCTCAGAGCGCTAAATCGCTTGTTCATCAAAAGGCTTTTCCCCCTCCTCCGTGCCTGGTTTGGTTTGGTTTCGACTTGATATGACCCCCTCGAAACGTGGCCAAGGGTCCCAATTGATGGAATTCGCAAGGATGGAGGCCGCTCGCCTCTGGGCCTCTTATTAGGTATTCCCTGCCTCTTTGTTGTTTCGGGGCCTCAAGACGCCGTGTTTGAGATCGCTTCCGACTTGCCGATAGTGACCAGGAGAGAACGTAGTGTGTTTGACATGTCCATCCCATTCGTCGTAAGTTTCGAAACCAGCCAGGGCAGGCGGCTCTCCCATCCGAACATATAAACAAACTGCTTTCTTCCCTCCTCTCTTCTTGGGGTTTCTCTTTTTTTTTCTTTCTTTCTTCATTCCTTTCAAGCATCCTTCACTCACTCCTCGTGTTTTCCTTCTTGGTTCTATCTTCTTGACTCTTGTCGCCGGTCGACTTTTTTTCCAATCAATCGCTTCATTCTTCTTCAATTCAATCTCTTTTCTTTTTCAAGTTCACCCTTTTGCCGAAAAGGAAAAAAGTCACACGTATCCACATCATTCAAGATGCAGTTCTCCATCATGACCGTTTTCGCCCTGGCTGCTGTTGCCATCGCCATGCCCACCGGTACGTCCCCCTCTCCCTTCAACAACACCACGAAAACCACATCTCTGCTTACCTCATATATACCCCTACTCTCAACGATGCTAACTCTCATCAACAGCCAAGCACAACACAGTCGCCAAGCGCCAGATCGTCAGCGACGCCATCCCCGCCAACGCCCCGGCCATGACAGACGCCAACGGCAACGTGATCCCCTTCGTCGCCAAGGACGTCTACGTCCACCCCGTCGGATCCAAGGCCAAGTAAAACAACTTACACGGCTTCCACGGCGCTTTATGGTTTCTTTGCAGCAGCAAACTTGTCAATATCACGAAAAAACAACAATCAGGAATGGGAAATGTATAATCGCATGCAGTGCATTTAAGGAAGATGCGGTTATGGCTCTACTTCTTTTATTGAAGGGTGATCAAAAAGAGAGGGGAAAGAAGAAGGGGGAATGTGCAAGGAGAACCAGATGGTATGGAAGCACTTGGGGAGAGTGAATTAGTTATTCGCAGGGTGTGATTCTTCAATATGGCGGCGCATCTCGCAAGGGGTGCGTCGTCCTTCTTTCTACCATGATTCCCTCGTATGGTGCTTTGTGCTTTGAACGACAATAATCGTGACATCCCTGTGATGGGAAGACAAATTGTATGTGCAAAATAGGGTACGGAAGAGCGACATGCCGAAACGGAGGATCAAGAACCTAGAGCTTCTCCGTCTGCTCACTACTAATTCAGGTTAATTCAAGCAACTAGAGCCGCTGTCAGTGTCCACTGTTGTCAGTTCGAGAACAAGTAGTAATTCATGATTAGTATTTGTCGATGCAGCGGGAATAAAGCAGCCAAATGGTAATGTAGAGCGGCTCGCATGGCTGCCAGTATCGCGGCAACGTGGCGTGGCTGAGCATCTCTAAGCGCGGAAGAGCGTATTGTCGACTGGAACCTTGCTTCTTCGGTGGGCGTGCTGTTAAAGAATAGGTACCTGAGGAAGAGAGGTGCTAATAGCATCAGGAACAGAACTGCCTCGTGACAAGGCCCGCTTCCCAGCGAGCACACTTGATTCGATCAAGCGTCTTGTATCCGGACGAGCCTCTACCAACAAGCTTTCCACGGAGAATATTGACGATCGGATGCATGTCGGACTTAGCAGCTTGCACCGCCTCTCGATCCTGAGGGGACCATGGGTAGTGGCCTCCTAAGGCGTCTCAATCCAGAGATGAGTCTACAATATGATATACCCAGGGAAAATCCTACGTGGCAATGTTGATGCTGCTTGGTAGTTCGCTTCCAGGCATCACGTACTTCATACACAACCTCACAAGCTTCTCTCACCGTTGCCGATGCCATGATGGCCTTGAGAGAGGGCACATGAGGTAATACGCTTTGCTCGCAGCGATGCATCCAGTATGTGCTCAACTAGATACCTAGTAGCATTTACCAGGTAGTGCTTCCATCGTGTGAGAAACTGGAGGCTCAAGCATGAGCTCCTCCACCGCTTCTCTCTTGAAATCCTTTCGCCAATCAAGACTCAACCATGAGCTGAGCACGACTCCACATTGGGCGCCCAAAATAGTACAACCCTACCGTCATTGTCAGCCTGGGATGCCGGAGCCAGCTGGCGGGTTCGATCTGGCGAGCTTTGGCTCCGCTGCGACTCTGCAAGACGCGCATCTTAAATGCTGACAGACATGGGTGTCCGTTGCTTGGGATCCAGCACCAAAAGACAAATCCTCTCGACGGTTAGGACCAGATGGGGATGATCGTTTCCGCCCTTGGGGTCGCCTGTCGTCGGGCAAAAATAGAATCTCACCAGAGGCGGTTCTTTTTCAAAATGGGCAGCATCGAGATTTGGGGGGTGAAGAGGGAACACATCCTGCAGAATAGTTGAGCAACGGAGAGGAAGTGAAGGAAGAGGAGGAAGAGAACATTCAAGAGAGACCCGCGCTTACGCCTGCTCACCAATGGCACCATGTCGTCTTGAAAGTCCGCCAGGCAGCCGAGCATTGATCCGTCCGTTGCAAACTAGACTCAGGCTCCAGTTTGGGCATCTGCTTGTCTAGACAGGATGAGCCATTCGAGCTTGGGCTGCATGATTTCACTGGTCGTGGCACAGGATCGTCCCTAGTGTCGCCAATAGAGAGTGCAAGCTCAGCTCCTTCAGCCGCAACAAGCCCCCCCAATTCCCCGCGCGTCTACGGAGTAGGTGTCCACACAATAGGCTGCTCACTCCAGAGACGAGCCCGAAGCCCTCCCCTGGTTCGTGAGACGGCGGTGCAAGTTGTCTGATCACTCATGGGCGGATGAGGCGCCGAGGGCGGCTCGGCTAGCCCAAGTCTACATAGCGTATTCAGACAAGCGGTCTCTGGTGTTGAGGAGGGTGGAGAGTTCCACGCCATGTATGGCTTAAATGAGACGAGGCCAGGGCTTGGCCGCAGGGCAGACTCGATGAGGCTGGAGATGATTAGTTGATCAATATGGATTCCATCGATAAATGAGTAAATATAATTCTGTGCCGGCCCGCCTGCTGCATGAGGCTTGAGGGGGAGGACCCAAAGGTGCTTACCTGCGAGCCTAAACAGCCCTACCGCACCCGAGCAGACCTACCCAAAGCACTCAACACTTGGACATGCAAACTATCCAAGAGCCCTGACGAACAGCAGCTGGCATCGGACCTTTGTGCTGCTTTCCTGCGCTCGCCAGCCATAGGCCAAAAGAGCGTTCCGTATATCCGTTCAGGAGCTCATAGCCACACGTCGAACCATGGGCAGCCACAGGGCACAGGCACAGTTTGAGCGTGCAAAATGGCGGCTGCTGCTTCTTGCCCCAGCCTGGTCGGTGCAGCTGACGCTGGCGCTGGGAATGCTGGGGCTCTTCTCATGGAGACTAGGTGACACAATCCGTTACTTCGACGACAGAGACACGGCCGGTAAGGCTCCTGTCATCGAATATGTGTGAGTCTCAGCCCTCTCGTGCCCAGAAGCTGGACCAGTCGAGCAACGACGCTGATGTTTCGAAGCTGGGAGGCGACAAATATAGCACTGTCGGCCGTCGTGGCATTCTGTACCATCTTTGAGATTGCCAGATACTTTGCCGAATCGTTGACGCCATGGACCATGCTGTTTACCCATGTTGTCAAGCTAGCTTGCGCATCCGCCATCCTCGCTCTCGACGTGGTCATCTATGTGCAACGAAGCGACTCCCATTATTCTCTGATTGGCCTTGGCATGGACGCCCTGTTGATGTAAGGCGCCTCGTATCTTGTGGTGATGGGGGTCGTTGGGGTTCGCAAAACTGACAGACGCATAGGGCTGTTGCCATTTCGCTCGCCATCTATGCCATCATCGCATATCGTCGGCTGTCCAAGTATGACGACTATGCTCGCCCCGTCAACGTCAAGCCCTATGGCTTCAGTGATGGGCTGGAGACCGATACGCCCTACTCTTCGTACTCGAGCCGAACAGGAATGCTCAAGTCCATGGAGAAGCGAAGTTCCCTCGGATCAGAGCGCCTTAGCGTCGGATCGTACACGAACCCGTCCGTGGTGCAGCCAGCAGAGCAAAGGCCGAGACGCTACAGCCATGAGAGAGACACGCAGTTTGACGAATACATGGTGCGCAAGACGTCCATCAGCTACAAGCCAGATATTACTTTGCCAAAGTCTCCTGGAGAATCGCCTTTGGGTGATTCGTTGACCGCGGTCAGCACACCGGGGCATTCTCGCTCAAGAGGGTCGAGTGTGTCGCAGGCAATGAGCTACAACAGCGACCACGTCTTGGTTTCGGTGCCGGAAGAGGAGGCTGAAATGGTTGACGCAGAGGCTGATCAGAAACGGGATCGGGAGGCTCTGCTGGGACACGCCCCATCCTCGTGAAGCCAGGGACCATCGATTCCACAGGATGAGAGGTGCTGCGGAATGCCCAGGTATCAGAACTGGCGGAGCAACGAGCTCAGGCAACCCGAGGCGAACACACGCGGAGCTGAATAAGCGATAAACGAATTATACCCGGTCAATATGGGAGTTCGACTCCCTCGAGGATGGTGATGGCACATGGTCTCTGGCGTTATGCATGAAATGGATGGAATCACTCCGTACTAATCTGCGGAGATATGCGATGTTATGAGTTTAGAGTTAACGGAAACGGATATGATCATATAGAGAGAGATAAGCGGTATCGAGCCGATACTGTCGAGAAGTTGTCTGGCGAGTCCGCAAACGGATGAAAGAAATCGAATAAGAAAGAAGTCCATTTTTTGTATAAATGCATAGAAGAAGGCCCCCCGTTCGTGTGTTCAATGATTAATGCAGCCGAACTTACAGTGACGTTGGCGTGCCAAATCAAGATACATGGGAGGAAGAGCCCACTGAGATCTCCAAGATACCCGGGCACCACCAGAAGAGCAGTCAGTGATTGGGCTGCACCGCGGGTCACGTGCATCCAAGGCCATGACCTCGACAATGCTCTCCAAGGAGCTGGTCGAGCTGGTCATAATATCCGCGGGTCCTCATTGGCGACGACTGCCTGTGGTCCGGATTCTGGAGATTCGAGCTTTGCTGGATCTGCACTTCTGCTCGGCTCGGCTATTCGAGTCCAGTGGCTTTCTCTATACATAGAACTGAGCTATATAGCACCAGACCAGACCACAAGCCTCTGGTGCCTCCAGCCCGAGAGCCAGAGCCAAAGTTCCCACCCCAACCCGCTAAAACCACCTCCATCCCACCTTTTCGCCCAGACCGCCTACCTGGCCAGCTGCTTCGAAACGCGCCCCAACCAATTCATGTCGAGCGTCGAGTGCGGCTTCTAGCCTCATTGTCTAGAGCTGCGCAAGGCTGACGCGTGGCCAGAGGCGCATCCCAAACACCGTCACCATGAGTCGAACACTGCCCGTGCGGCAGGCCGAGGAGCTGTAGGTAATATGGCCACTGTTTACTTGCTGGGGCGGAGGGGCATGTGGCGTCTGATGGATCGAGGGCGTGAGGGACTGAATGGACGATGAGGAGGAGGAAGAATAAGAAGAAGAAGAGGAGGAGGAGGAGGAGCAGGAGGAGGAAGAGGGCCAACGACAACATCAAACAACCCCCCGGATCGCAAGAAGCTCTTTTCTCATATTTGCTAACCCATGGCGCGGCGGCGGTAGGCACAAGTCCATCATAGCATATCTCGCGGCGAACAACCTGGCCGAATCCGCCACGGTGCTCAGGCAGGAGCTGGGCCTTGGAGAGGATGTCTTCGATGCGGCGACGACCAAGAAGTACGAGGGTCTGCTAGAGAAGAAATGGACGAGCATCGTCCGGCTACAGAAAAAGGCATGTCCGTTGAACCTTGGCTGCCCAGCGCTTACCCGACGGCTTGTCTAACAGGCGTAATGTTTTTTTGCGACCCCCTCAGATCATGGACCTCGAGACCCGGAACGCGGAGCTGCAGTCCGAGGTCGACAACGCGACGCCCTCGTCGCTCTCACAGAAGAACAAGGACCCCGTTTCCTGGCTGCCGAAAGCCCCCTCACGACATACTCTCGAGTCGCACCGCGCGTCTGTCACCTGCGTCGCCTTCCATCCGCGGTTCACGTCGATAGCCTCGGGCTCCGAGGACTGCACAATCAAGATCTGGGACTGGGAGCTCGGCGACCTCGAGCAGACCATCAAGGGACACACAAGACCGGTCCTGGACCTCGACTACGGCGGCCCCAAGACCGGCATCCTGCTGGCCTCGTGCAGCTCCGACACGACGATTAAGCTGTGGGACCCGGCAGATGGGTACAAGAACATACGCACGCTGTCGGGCCACGAGCACAGCGTCAGCGCCGTGCGCTTTATTCCTTCTGGCGGCACCGGTTTCTTCTCCTCGGGCAACATGCTCGTCAGCGGATGCGGTGACAAGACGCTCAAGATATGGGATGCCAACACGGGATACTGCGTGAAGACGCTCAACGGTCACGCGGGCTGGGTGCGAGACGTCTGCCCGTCCCTCGACGGGAACTATCTGCTGTCGACGGGCGGCGACCACACCGGCAGGCTGTGGGAGCTCACAGTCGCAAACCCCGAAACAAAAGTCACGCTGATTGGCCACGAGCACGTCGTCGGCTGCTGTGCTTTCGCCCCGCCTGCCGCATACGAGCATCTTGCTGCTTTAGCAGGTTTAAAGAAGCCCCCGCCTGCGAGCAGCACAGCGGAATTCATGGCAACTGGCTCACGAGACAAGACGATCAAGCTGTGGGACGCCCGAGGCAACTGCATCAAGACCCTCGTCGGCCACGACAACTGGGTCTCAGGCGTCATGTTCCACCCGGGAGGCAAGTATCTGCTCTCCGTGGCCGACGACAAGTCGCTGCGATGCTGGGACCTCAGCCAGGACGGAAAGTGCGTAAGGACGCTGTCCAACGCCCACGAGCACTTCATTACCTCGCTGAGGTGGGCTCCGGCGAAGCCCAAAGATACCCCTACAGGCAACGGCACGGCGAACGAAGGCGAGGGCACCCCCAGGAGGGCGGCGGCCGCGTTGGATATATCAGATGCGCAGATCCGTTGTGTTATTGCGACGGGCAGTGTCGACATGACAGTCAAGATATGGGCAAACTAAGGAGGAGGCGGAGGGAATGGGCAGGAGAAAGCCGAGGACACACTATATACAGTGGAGGGAAGTGAAAGGGGGTGATGACGAACCAGTCCAAGTGGCATTGCCCAAGGCGTCATGAAAACGACAAGCCTAAGTCCACAAACTACAACACCCAACCATACACACGCGGGGCAAGACGAGCAGACAAATGGTGGGAATCGGGGGCAAAGGAGTGAAGGTGAGATGAGCGGATAGGTGGTATTATATAATCGATGAGTTGGCTAGCTGAGCGTGGGATCGGGGTCAGGTATTTTCTGGTGGACTAGATAGGGGCGTGTTAGCTGTTGGGGGGTGAGAGGGGGAGAGAGGGGCAGAAAGCACAAGAGCGCGGGAGCTAAAGAAATTTACTAAACTTTATTGCATGCCATTTCCAACACACTTTGACACTGTACGGCTGTTATCCTCCTGTTGTGTGTTGCTGCTATATCTCTACCTTGTCGGCATGTGCTTTGACGTTATTCATATCGCTTTCAGATCAGTGGCCTTGGCGCAGAGTTTCCTTCATGATACGTAAGTATAACATCAAGTCAATGCAGATCAAGAGACACAAGCGTGAGATGGATACACGTGAGCTCGTTTGTAAGTGACACCACCATCACCAACAGCGACAGCACAAGGACTAGTATTAAGAAATGCATTCAGGTATGCAAAATGGGTTGCAAGTATTATGTGACCCCTAACACTCATAACCAGAACAGTAATCTCTATAGCGGCCACCTATTGAAGAAATTCCTCACCCCAGCTTGGCGATCCAACTCTGAAGCGTCTGCTGAATCTGGTCACTGTTCTTTTCCATGAAGAACAGGTGGCCATTGCCGTGGAATCCCGCCTTTGCAAGCTCAAGGTGACTCGTCAGAGAGCAGCCCGCTTGCTTCAGGTACTTTACAGTGCAGTAGTCATACGGCGCGTGATACGACGACTCCGAGGTGACAACAAGAATCGGCTTGCTAGCCAGGTTCGTGAGCTGTTTCGGCGCCGGAGAAGAGGCCTGGAGCACACAGTCGGTATGGTTCGCATCAGGAGCAGGATAGACCTGCTGCACAAGGTCCACAGAAGGAACATTGACAGGGGGCGTGTAGGTAAGCTTAATGTCCGCCAAGCCCCAGGCGCGAGCGGGAGTCGTGCTGAAGATGGCCTCTCGAAAAGGAGGGCCTGTGGGCTCAAGCAAGACGAGGGCCTTGGTGAGCTTGGGGCGGGCATCGGCAATGACAATGGGCATGATGCCGCCCTGGCTGTGGCCGACCAGGATGACGGGCTTGCCAATCTTGTCCAGCAGCGCCGCGCCGGCGTTCTGGACCGTAGTCTGCTGGTAGGCGGCGTTGCTGATGAACTGGACATTGGAGCTGTAGAACGTGTCGAAGATGGGGTCGCCCATGGAGCCGTTACCAGGCCACTGCGTGTGCAGGCCAGCTTGCGGCCAGAGATTGTAGTCCTGGACAGCGGTGAACCGTTGCTGGATGATCTCAGCTGAGTAGGTAGACGGCAAGGCCGCCATGTAGGCAGGCTGCCATGGGGATCGGGCTCGCAGCGTCTGATCTACGATGTAGATTTCATATCCCTGGTCCAGGAACAGAGAAGCCCAGCCTCGGCTACCGTCAGGCTTGTTCAAGAAGTTCTAGATCCAGACGAAGTATCACATTAGCGAGTCGGTTTTTTTTTCCTCAGTTGGCGCAAAGTAGTCAAGGGGCGGTTCAGGGATCTGTCTGTCAGAGCCAGCAACACGAATCGCACACACACACAGATACGACCTGGCCCGCATATACGCCTCGGCCCAGATCACACAAGAGACAAACTCATTAATGCATCAGGGATACATGCGGCTGAGGTTATGTGCGGATGAAGAGAGCAAGGAAACGTCAGGAGCTTACGGTGCCGGTCTGGGCCTGGCCGTGGATGAAGACAAGAGGCGTGGGCTTGCTGACCCCCTTGGCCGGCTGGAGCCTCTCGACATACATCTGCTCGCGATAGATGTGGCCGCCAGCGCCGTCGTCAGCATAGCCGCCGCCCGTGTAGAAAAAGGTGCGGATAGCCGCAACCTCGGACGAAGCCGGCGACACGCCGTCGGCGCTGGAGATGTCGGCGGCATAAGCACGGCCCAGGAAGGAAGCCAAGAGGGTGGCAGTCGTGATGAGGCGCATGGTGGTTGGTCGGTTGGTTGATTCGATGTGCCTCGGATGCTCCAGTTGGGATGGAACGGTAAAACCAGGCTGTCGGTGTCTGGCGGCTGGTTTGATTGGCGTCTGTCGGTGAAGCAGCCACGAGAAGTTGCGGGAGGCTGTGTCGAGGTACTTCGTAGATGCACAGATCAGGAGCGCATGGAGGTATAAACGAGGCCGTAGCAGGTGCTGCGTAAGGTACCTTAGGTAGGTAGGTAGGTAGAGGTGTCTAACGAGATATTGCTCTGTATCACCTACTCGGTCTGCATGTGATGTTTCACGATCGAAGGATGCAGGTGCGAGGGAATCCACGTGGAAAGACCAAGGCGAGGCGAGGCGAGTGGCAAGCCTTTGAAAGCAGGAAGGAGCGCGGCAGGAGGAGGAAAGAGGCGAGCCCGTCCAGCCAAGAAGAACGCGCGAGAGGGAAGGAGAGCTGCACTTGCGTGAATGTCATTATGGACCTGGTTGTTCTCTGCATCCCTGGCGCTCTCTCTTTCCCTGGCTGGGGGCTTCATACCGGCTACCTGAGCCGTTGTCAAGCTTGTCAAGCTTGTCTAGAGGTTGAGTAGGTAGTTGCCAGGGGGGGAGCCTTCCTAGTGTTCCTAAAGAGGGCGGTGTTGACACGGCTGTTGGTGGAAGATCCGGCTCCACGTCCCCACAAAGAGTGCCGGGTTTTGACGGAAGGACGAAGCGGAGGCCAATAACACTTACAGTATTACCTGCTTGGGTATCCTTGATAGAAATTGTGGTGTTGCCGCCGGCCCGCTGCTTACCTTCCTCTTTGTATGGCTTCATACTCGCACATACCTTGTATGAAACTTAGAAGCAAGTCCTCGATCGCCTGAAAAGAAAAAATGACCATCTCCTTTTCTCTTCACCACCGAGAGATCGCACGGCCCAGTGACACAAGGGACAGAAACTCTTCTCCGTGCAAGTGGCAGGGGCTGGCATTCATGACACCGGCTTCAGGAGCGCCTTACTAGGCTCACAGTACTATCGACCGTCCAGACCTGCGCAAGCCGCCTAAGATGAGCCAAATCATGCGAAAAGCAAGCCACTTGATGCAAAGCCTAAGCCAGTAGCACCGACTATCCCTGGCGTCAAGATGCTGCCTGGTCGAGCTGTTGTTAGTAGCTGAGAACCCTTGCTGATATACTAGTACTACTTAGTAGCTTTCCTAGGAGAAGCACAAGTCGGATCTATCTCTCGCAAGCGCACGAACACTGCCAAAACGCACCACACTTTGCGAATGGAGAACTACAGGTCATCGACGCTGCGAAAGGATGCCACTTCTTGCTGCGAGAGGTAAGCACGACGACAATTTCAAGCACACAAAAAAGCCTCCACGGCCCAAGGCGCCAGCTGCAGTCTTCCCGGTTTCCTCGAGTGCTGCCGTCCTGCCGCTTTTTCCAGGCTCCTGGATCGATCCCCTGACAGCTGCATACCTCTCTCCCTGTCAGATTTCTGTCACTGCAGCCGACGGCATAAATCTTCAAGCCCCATGGATGCAGACTTGTTTTTGGTCGCCAATGGCTGGCGGTGCTAGCTGTTTGGGGCTGGTGCCAGACCATCCCCTATCACGGTATCCCACATGAATGCTACCCTGCTTGAGACGCACATGAGTCCACTTACACGGGGCATCCAATGGGATGGATCCTGTTAATTCGAAACATGCAAAGAAACCTGGCCATTACTTGCATCAAGCTGTCAAGGCAAAGGTTCAACATCCCCTCTTGAAAGCTGCCAAAACACCATGAAGATCCTTCGCTGGCTCCATACATCATAGGGAGTAATACCTATTCGTCGAGATGGAGAAAGGAAGAAGTCTGCTCAAGCAGCGGTGGGAACCACGCAGTCTCGGACCATTCATCAACGGCTACGGCCCGTAGTAGCTTGGTTGGGCTCTTGATGCTTGACTCTGCCCTGCTCCGTATTGGCCAAGTGCTGGTACGGATAGTGTCCTAATGGGGTCCGGTTCTCGCGGGGAAGCTGATGCCAGTTTCCGAGAAACACTTCTTTAGGCGTATCCTAGCAGCACAAGTTACGGGGGGCATCATGTCGACACTCTCTGTTGGAGTCCCGCCCTCGATGAGAGTCATGCTCAGCTACGGAGTACGACGAATGGCCCCCCCGACTATTCCTACAATTACGTGAGCTTCCATGTTAAGACGTTTCCCCATGTTTCCCTGCTTCAGACAACCGAGATCCCTGTCAATGCTACTGCCAAAGGGTATCATTCTTAGCAATGGCAATTTCTCGTCTTATGCTGCGCAGAGCCTTGCTGATCACCAACCACTCCACTCTCTTAACCCTCCGAGCCCGCTGCCAGTTGTTGATCGAGTCGATGGGCTTTATTCTCTTATACCATTCAGATCTACGTCCTTTCTCGTGTTCTTTTGGGTGTTTGTATTTCCTTTTCATTCCATCGCATCACCGCCCTTGATCGCTGGTCGACGAAGTAGGATGCTTTTCGCAACTTCACCCACGTAGCCATGGATTCCACACTCATCATCCATTGGCTCTTCAGCTGGCTGGCCCTCCTCATCATGGGCGTGAGGCTTTGGGGGAGGAAATACGTCCGCCAGACCTTCAACACAGGCGACTACCTCACTATGGCGGCCTGCGCCTGCGCCCTTATTCGCCTCGGCATGATTCATGTCGTCCTGACCTGGGGCACGAGCAATATGACGGCCGCGCAGCGCCAGGATCATCACTTTACCCCCAACGAGATCTATCAGCGGGAGATCGGCAGCAAGCTATCCATCGCCAACCGGGTCTTCTACAATTCCTAGTCAGTATACATACATACATCCGACCCGCGGCCTACCTTAAGCGAGGGAGCAGAGTGCCTAGCTAACAGCTGTCTGTACACAAACAGCCTTTGGTTGCAGAAGCTCGTGCTACTGGATCTCTATCGACGCCTTATTCGAGACATGCCCTATGAAAAGTGGCTGATCCGAACCTATCTCCTCGTCTTCTTCGCCACGTACACGATTGTCCAGGTCTTTACATTTAGCGAGTGCAAGCCTTTTCATCTCTACTGGCAGGTTCTCCCTGACCCTGGTATGTCAATTTCTGCTCTCAGTATTTAGTAACATGTGATCTGACTTTCGTCAAGGCCCATGCGCACAAGCTCAGATGCAGCTCATTGTACTCGGCGTCCTCAACATCATAACCGACTTCATGCTGCTCATCATGCCACTCCCCGTCATCTTCAAGCTCAAAGCACCCACGGGACGTAAAGCCCAGCTGGTAGCGCTCTTCACACTTGGTATCTTTATCATCATCATCACCATCATCCGCCTACCGATCAACTCCTCGCACCCATACAGCCAGGTGAACCGCACCACCTGGGCAAGCACCGAGCTCCTGACGGCCGCCATCGTCGTCAACGCGCCGACTCTCTACTCCTTTTGGAATACGAGCCGGCGGAACAAGTCAACGCCCCGAGAGCAGGAGCAGGGCGCTTCAGACAAGGCAAAAGATGGCATTGTTCTGGAGACGATAGGCGGCAGTACCTTTTCTGGTACCGGGGGTGGGAAGCGGAAGCCAAGTGGAGGGATATTGCAGACGAAGGAGGTCATTGTGTCTGAATACAGGCATAGCGGTGAGTATATCAAATTGGCTGATGAGAGAGATCATACGTCGCAAAACTCTGGCGGATAGAAGGAGGGTTTTGGGAGGATGTATTTCTGGGCTGTATTTTCACTTCATATTTGCGCGTCTCTAAGTACTATAGGGCTGGATTTAACGGCTGAATGACATGAAATCACGTATAAGCTCCCCGCAAACGATAAATAAGACTGCTGAATGGTATTTTGTGCACAGACAAGAATGTCTTCACGAAAGAGTTCAACAGATACAGACTCTTAGCCTCTACCGTATCATACCCTCCCCCAAGCCTGCCTCAATGTTTTCTACTCCTCGTATTGCCGCCTTTCCAGCGCAGCTTACCAACCCACTCGGCGAATTTTCGAACCTCCTCCTCCTCCAGTAACAGCTCGACCGTGTAGTAATATCTTGCCAGATCCTCATGATTTCTAAAGCGGTGCACAAATCTGTGACACGCACCGCAAAGCCACGCCACGTTTTGCAGATCCTCCTTGCGGTGCCACCCGCGCTTCACAGCCTTGTCATGCACAAACCGCGGAATGAGGTGATGATAGGACAAGGGGATCCAGGACCGGTCACAGAGCTCGCAGGCGTCTGTGCGAGTGGACGCCGTGGCTGGCGGCGGCTCGATGAGGGTAGTGAGATAGCCTGTGAGAATGGGGACAAGGAAAGCTGCTGGCGTACTGGGCAGATGAGAAGACGCAGTTGGGTCCGCGGCGATGAGGTTATACGTGACGAGCGTCTCGCAGATGGAAGGTGGCAGATCGAGCTGGGACAGGCTGTCATGGGTCAGGGGCAGAGAATACTGCGCCTGCAGCGCCTCCGAGTCCCTCCACGAGCGGTAGTCTAGCTCCTGCAGCTCGTTGGGGAGGTTTTGGAAGATGCCGTCGGCGAGGTAGTCGATGAAGTCGGCGAGCTCCTCGGCGTCCTGGTGCGGATCCGGATCCGGGGCCGAGGCCGAGGCCGGGACGGGAGAGGATGATGATGGTGATGATGATGGTGACGGTACCCGCCCCGCCTTGGCTCGTCGCCGGCGCTTCGGCTCCGCGGCGGGCGGCGGCTGGAGGATCGTTGCGGAGAGACAGTCGCGGAAGAGCGGGTAGTTGAGGCTTTCGGTTTGTTTTGCCTCGTCTGACATTTTTTTGGGGTTTTGTGGATTCTTTGCTGGGATGTGTTTTTCCTCCGTGATCAATCTACTCGGGAGCCGTTCAATTATGCAGCTGATGCTGGGATGATTGACAGGATACTGACGTGATTGGGTGCTCGGTCGCTGGCTGCCGGATTAAGGAAATGCTGGTCTGAGGGGGGGGGAGGCGGGTAATTGTTCTACAGATGAGACTGGATGGATGACTTCATGTGTAATCGTGGGGTAGAGAGAGACTGGGGATTATATAACATGAGCGTGAATTATCGGATGAGGAAGACCTGAAGCCATCTCTCCCTACCTACAGAAATTCCCGTCACTATTCGCATTCTGCGTGCTGTTGTTGCGCTCACCAGCCGAAAACCACAAGCTGGAGCTCAGTTTGCATCCTGTATATGATCCTGCTGCCGCCTGACTCACCGGCGTTCATCTAGTGCGCATCAACATCCTGGCCGCCTGAACAGCTGAGGCCATGGCTCCCACCGTCATTGCATTCGATCTCTACGGAACGATTCTATCCACCGACTCCATCGTCAAAACCCTGGCCGGCATATTCGGAGATGAAAAAGCCAAGACAATTGCGACGCAAGCACGGCGGTACCAGCTGGAGTACTCATGGCGCATAAACAGCATGGGTGAGTCTTTGTCCGAGACATGCATGACCTGGCAGCGCCATCTCCAATATTGAAGTGATACTTACTTACCATCTGATGTCAAACAAAAAAAAGGCATGTATCAGCCGTTCAACGAGTTGACCCGGTGGTCATTCCGGCATGCTGCCGCAGAGATTGGCGAGAAGCTGTCACCGGAGCAAGAGGATTCCGTCATGAGTGCCTACGACGGCCTAGACGCGTTTCCAGAGGTCGAAGCAGCGCTCAGCCTCGTCGCAAAGACGCCAGCAATCGAAGCCTACGTGTTTTCCAACGGCACCGAGCCCATGATTACTTCGTCGCTGAAGACCTCGCCGTCGCTGGCCAGGTCTTCTGGATCCATCTTCCCGGCGTCGCGCATCGTCAGCGTTGATCCCTTGAGGGTGTTTAAGCCAGACCGGCGGACGTATGAGCACTTTGCCAAGGTGGTGAATTTGGAGTCTCGGCCGGACAAGATATGGCTTGTGTCTTCGAACCCTTTTGATGCTGTCGGTGCGAGAGCGGCGGGGTGGAGGAGCGTTTGGGTGAACCGGAATGCCAGCGTGGGCTGGGTCGATGGCTTGAGCGGTGCTGTTGGGCTGCAGCCGACGAAGATTGTGAAGGGAGTGGACGAGGCAGTCGAAGAGATTATCAAGACTGATGTTCAAGGCGAATAATAGGGCTCAGATCGCGCCGAGGGGAGGACAGTCCTCGAAAGTGATGATGCCTCCGCAACTGAAGCACCTACGCAACTTGTCCCGCATTCAAGGTCATACAATCGCAGCAAACAAGTGACTCTTGAGCTGGACGGACATGATTTTTCTGTATTTCCTCCATTGAGCCCGAGTTCACGAGTCTGTCAATAAAGATGTCTGTCTTTGATTTGACTTCTTCGATGGGAGTTCCATACCGTGTGAACTCGAAACCCCACTGGCTTGCACTTGCTTTAATCGAAACGCGACGTAATAATCCATGCTCTTTCAACAGCCGTCTCCATCATAGCTCTGCCATACTTTTCCAGCTCTTTCATCGACACATCAACAGCCTTCCACGTAGATTCGCCAAGTTCTTTCGGCAGGTATCCTTTCAGTTTCTGTTATTTTGCGACTTCACATAATTACGCCCGCGCTCGCGCTCGCAGCCATGGCGTCAAGAGAAGACCACGGCGCCTCTCATAAACATCGAGACCGCAATGGCGACGGTAGGAATCCCCCCCAGCCGGGCCCGCAAGGATAGCAAGTCTTAACAGTCGGCAATTCAGCTTCCCGACGCGACCAGGACGAGAGCCGAGAACGGACAAGACGCCGCGACCGGCGCTCGCGGAGCCCCGATCATTCCTCCAGAAGACCTCGCAGCCGTGAGAGAGACCGAGAAGCGAGACGATACCGTGACCGAAGTCGTGATCGTGACCGTGACCGTGACCGTGACCGTGACCGCGACCGCGACCGCGACCGCAGACACAGACGCTCGCCCGAAGAACCAGATAGCCGGCGCCGCCGACGCCGAGACCCGTCCGACGATGAAGATCCGAAGCGTGGCAGCCGCGCGCTGGCTCGGCATCGCAATAGCCCCCCCTTGAAGAGGTCCGGGCCGCTACCGTCCCAGCAAGAGTCCTTTGCGGTCACCACCACTCAAGGCGGCGGCGGCGGCGGCGGCGGTGAAGACCCCGAAAAGCCAAAGGAGAAGCCCAACATCGGAACCACAGGCCGGTTGGCTGCCCTGTCCAACTCGGTCGCCCAGGCGGACGGCTCGACCATTGTGCTCAAATACCACGAGCCGGCCGAGGCGCGGAAACCACCGCCCCGTGACCAATGGAAGCTCTTTGTGTTCAAGGGCAAGGACATTGTCGACACGGTCGAACTGAGCGCGCGGAGCTGCTGGCTGGTGGGGAGGGAACTGGCCGTTGTCGACCTCGCCGCGGAGCACCCGAGCATCAGCAAGCAGCACGCCGTCATCCAGTTCCGCTACACCGAGAAGAGGAACGAGTTTGGCGACAAGATTGGCAGGGTGAAGCCGTACCTCATCGACCTGGAGAGCGCCAACGGCACCATGCTCAACGATGAAAAGGTGCCCGACAGCAGGTATCTCGAGCTTAGAGACAAGGACATCATCAAGTTTGGGCACAGCACACGGGAATATGTCGTCATGCTTGCTCCTCAGGATTAGAGAAAACTCTGGGGCTAGGATCCCTGGAGACGATTCTACACGGCCAAGGCCGCCAGGGCCAAGCACGGCATTCCCCTGCATTTGAAAACGGACCCTACCGACGTGGGCTTGGTACCAAATGTTCAGGATTATGGCGGCGTGCTTCTCGGATTGAACAACTGCAAACGCCTGCCAGCCCTATCATGCCAGGCGCATTGGCCATCAAGCTCATCCTGTTGGATTGGGGCTGCCAAGCTTGATGAGAACGCATTGTCGCGGGACACTCCCAGTCAGTCTTATCCACGCTTCAGAACAAAGATTGAGCAAAAGCCCAGACAATCCACGAGGTCCAGACCTGCAGATCATTATAGACCGCTCCGCTCTTGTCGTCGCCAAAGGTAGCCGCCGGGCTGCTATCCATCCGACTCGCTGCTGCTTCTCTGCAATGAGAACTGACTCCACACAGGAGGATAATTGATCATTCATGTGTCGTATCTGTAGGCCCGTCTACTGCCGGCTCTGCCCTATTGTTTTTTTTTATTACCGCTACCATGAGTATCGAGATGGGTTACGTGGAAGCATCGCCAGCAGGAGTTTCTGAGATTTTTAGAGTGACAGCTTGGCGTGGCGCTGTTTGACGTTAATAACTCCGAGCACAAGGTGCGCAAGGCAACAGTTGCGCAAGCAAAAGAAATGGTCTGAACGGAAATACATTCTAAGAAAAAACTTATAAGAAAAAGCTGGCTCAATCATGCCCCGTTATCCAATTATCGGCGACTCGTTGAAGTTGTAATTTTTTTTTTTTCTTGATGGAAATGTTTGCTTGTGAAGTGAACTGGATGTACTAGTAGTAGTATTCGTCTCAGAGTACATCTTCACATGCCAAATGTCGACTTTGCCGAATGGCATTCTTCTCTCAGACTTGGCAATCAAGACCAGGGGTGGAGCGGGTCGGCTGCGCGCACGGTGAAGACGATTGAACCAGGTCGTCGGGACCGTTCAAGTCTTGAAGAGGCAGTTGGAAGAGACATTGGCATGTGATGCACAAGGATTCTGAGGTAAAACCGACTTCACTTAGCAAGCACGCATTGAGACCATTCATTCATCCCAGCAAAGAAAGATAAGTCATCAAAGAAAGCAACGCCATGTCTTATTAGGTACCGCATTGTTAACCAAGTCTTCTATTGTGAATGCAAACCAGTCCTCAACGCCGACATACTCGCTCAAATCATAGCCCAAGCACTAAACGTCAATGTCAAATCGAAGAAAAAAAAAAAGCGCCGGATGAAAGCGTTCTTCAAGCAAACCGTCCTCTACTCCACGTCTGGCTGCCAGCTAAAGATGATCTTGTTGAACCTCTCCAGCTGGGCCGGATCCGTGGCCCAAGTGGTCAGCAGTCTGACCACGGCAAACTCGCCGTACTTTTCCCATACATAGAATGAGAACTCCTGCTGGAGAGCCTGGACGAGGGCCAGAGGAAGAATGGCAAAGACCTGGTTCGTCTCCGTCTTGGCGCTGAGCTGGTACCCGGCTCCGGTGATGGACCGGGAGAGTTTCTCGGCCGCCAAGTTGGCCTGCCGGGCAAGCTTAAAGTACAAGCAGTCCTCCTCTCGGAACAGCTCTGCAAACTGCACGCCCATGATGCGGCCCTTGGCCAAGAGGGAGCCACGCTGCTTGACGAAGAACTCAAAGTCCTCGGCCAGCTTGGTGTCCTTGACCACTACGGCCTCGCCCAGGAGAGCGCCGTTCTTGGTGCCGCCGATCCAGAAGATGTCGGTAAGCTCAAGCATATCGCGCAGGGTCATGTCATTGATGCTGGCCGTGAGCGCAGTGCCGATGCGAGCGCCGTCGGCAAACAGCAAAAGGCCGTTGGCTTCGCAGATGCGCTTCAGGGCAGTCAGCTCGGCCTTTGTGTAAATGGTGCCGACCTCGGTGGCGTTGGAGATGTAGACGAGACGGGGCTTTGCCATGTGAGGGAAATGCCAGTTGTCGTCGAGGGCCTTGGTGAGGGTTTCCGGCGTCATCTTGCCGTCCTTGGGGGCGACGTTGATGATCTTGTGGCCGCTGGCCTCGACGGCGCCCGTCTCGCGCGTGACGATGTGGCCGGAGCTGCAGGCAATGACGGCCTCATGGGGGCGAAGACAGGCGGCGATGGAGATTGCATTGGCCGAGGTGCCGCTGGGCACGAAGAAGACGCCGACGTCGTCGCGGCCGAGATGGCGGCGGATCAGCTCGCGGGCCGCCTCGCTGTAAGTGTCGCGGCCGTAGCCCACCTCCTGGGTGTTGTTGCTCAGCAGCAGGGCATTGAGCACGTCGGGGTGGGCGCCCTCGCTGTAGTCGTCGGTGAAGCTGTACTTTGGCTTCGTCGTTGCGGCGCCGGTGGCAGGCATTGTGTGAGTGAGTGATTGCTGGAGATGTCGTTGGGAAGGTGATGGGAGCAGCTTTCGCTGAAGGCAGGATCTGGCGGCGAGTCTCGCTGGAGCGAATTCGAGTGAGGATTGGAATTATCGTCGACGGTGATGTTAGAAGAGAAGAAAACCGCAATTGAGGAGCAACAGTAGTAGATCAGAAGGAGGAGAATGGAGAATGGAGGAAAGAAGCAACGCGAGATGGAGAGCTGCTTCCGTTTTGTCTTACAAGGAGGAAGAACAAGAAGGAACAACGGACGAGAGCACGGAAACTCTTTCCGTACCCTCTCTTCTTCACCAAACTGGGGCAACTACCTTCTAGATTATCTAATAAGAACAGAGCAATTCTATCCTGACAAAGAGGCAGATGATCACAAAAACAGAAAATAAATATGGCCCCAAAGTCAATTCATACTCAAAAGGTCGAATTCCATTACGAAACCCCGAAAGGTCGAGCCCCGAAAAAAAAAAAAGTTCAACTGGGTTCAAGGTTCCTTTTTTTTTTCTGCAACTGCTCCGCCGGCGCCGGCATAACTACCTTAGTTTGCTCGCCTGTGGCGTTTGCCGACGCAGGCCGGCCGTCAGATTGAGGCTTCCCGACCATCGGAAGCGGGATCCCGGGATGCTGTCACAAAATAGAGGAGGAAGAGGAGAAGAGGAGATAGTACTATTGTGATACCTAGTGATAGCGGGATTGTTTAGGGCTGTTGCGTGCTACTACTGTGATGGGGACTGCATCTGCATTGCAGTGATGCTGGTGATGCGGACGGAGGTTCGGACAATGATAGCTTACAATACAGTGCCACAGGACACGGGATACGGGCTGACAAGAGGCTTCAGATCAGTTAAAGTTGGCCCAATCGAAGCATCGGACGAAGGCGTGGACGAGGAAGCTGGAGTAATCACACTTATCACCCCTCATCTCAGCACCGCCAGGGACGCAAGGACCAAGCAGAGAGATAAGACGAGCAGCAGAAGCAAAAGGAAGATGAAGCAGCAGCAGAGGAAGGGCACCACTCTCCCATTAGCGGCCCAGTATCGCCGCTTCCACGGCCCCACGTTGACAGCTAATCAGTCCCATAGTAGTACTACTACTAGTATCCATCCATGGATATCAAAGGAGCCCATCGAAGAAGAAGAAGAAGAGGAGGAGGAGGAGCTTGGGGAGCCAAGGAGGAGGAGGAGAAGCCGCCGCCAGCGAGGGACGCTTCTCGGCCCCGTTTTCCGCATTGAGCCGCAAAGGCTCAAAGGAAGAAGCTCTAGTATTCTATCCTGTGTGTCTCTTTTCATCAAGAGCAGAAAGTTCCATTGTATCAAGAGGGTGATAACACGGCATTCCATCATTATCTCGGCATAGTAGTTCGGTGTGTTGATGGTTTCCCCTCATGCACAAAAGCACACTACCTTACTGGGAATTGTAGGGGCTCTGCAAGCCTAGCAGGCTTACTTAACTAACACTAGGCTTGCAAAAAAAGCTATGCCTTGAACCTCGTGCAAAGGTTGCAGCCTGTACTAGGCTTGCAGAGTGGCCTAGGCTTGCAGAAGATAATGCAGCTTTCTGATTGGCTGGTTTATAAAGAGAAGAGGTACCTAAAAATACTAGTGAAAAGCTGTTACATTACTTATATCTATTCTACCTAACGCCACGCCTCCAGCAGCTAATCCAGCAGCTAATCCAGCAGCCAATCTGACCAATGGCAGCGGCGCTAATAGCAGGTGTGTGTGTGTGTGTGTGTGTGTGTGTGTGTGTGTGTGTGTGTGTGTGTATATATGTATGTAGTAGGGCCTGTAAAGCGGCGCGAATGTTAGTACCTAGTATTACAGAGTGGCTGGATATAAGGCATTGACTGACCTTATGCTATATGCAAGATGATAATAATAATAATAAAGATAATAAAGAAGAGGAAGAGGAAGAGAGAGATTAGGAAAAAAAATATAAAGATAAGGCCTACTAGTGCCTAAGGCTCTAAAAAGATATAAGCAGAAAGTAAGAGAGAGGGCAAGAGCGATATAAGCTTAGTAAAGGGTATGTATCTTACTATAGGTCTTACTATAGTTATAATTTAACTCGCCTACTTTTCTAGTCAGTCGCCTACTTTTAATATATTAAACTAGTAAAATTTACAGGTTACTATATCTTATACCCTATTAATCCTAGTAACAGAGGCTAAACTATAATTAAATCTTATTATCTTACTGCTTTTAAACTAAATTTAACTTTAATTAATAGGTTTTTTATATTTTAATTTATAAATACCTTAAATTATAAAGTAATATTACTATATTTTTTATTACTATAAGCTAAATATTAACTATTTTATTATTATAAATTAGCTTATTATTTAGCCTAGTTAAATAGTTAAATAAATATACCTTTTACTTTCTCTCCTTACTTTTTAAGGCTTACTAGGCTAGCCTTATAAATTTAATAAAAAAAGTATACTTATAAAAAGGGCTTTAAAGTCTCCTTTTATATTTAATTTAGCGCTTTTTAAAGCATATTTAAAAGTATAAAAGTATAAAAAATAAGTATTAATATTTAAAAAAATACTAAAGGGTATTTATAGCTATTAAAAAGATCTTTAATATTATATATAATTTTAAAATTAAAAAGCTTTTAATAAGTAAGTAAAATAAAAATATAATTATATAATAGTATAGCTTATTAAGGTATTAAATTATTATAAATAGCCTTTTAATTAGTAGTAAGATATTATTAAATAACTAGTAGAAGGTATTTTTAAATAACTTGCCTATTAATAATAATATTATAAAAGTAAATAATAAAGCTGCCTTTATTATAAATAGCCTAAATATAAGTTTAAAAGGTATTATTATTTATAAATATTTTAATAAAAAAGTAAAGGATTTAACTTAGCTTATTATTAATAATAAAAAAGCTAATAATTTTAAAGTATTATTAAAAAGCAGTAATAATAATAATACTAGCTAGCTAATTTTATTATTAATATTATTAATACTACTGCTATTAATACTACTATTATTATAGCTAAGGCTATTATTACTATTACTTTTAATACTATAAGCAGCCTTTATTAAATTATTATAGCTAAGGCTATTATAACTAAAGCTATTAATACTACTGCTTTTAATACTATAAGTAATATTTACTAAATTATTATAAGTCTTATTAATACTATTAGTAGCTTTTTAAGTAAATAGTATTATAGCTAAGAAAAAAAAAAGGCAGAGAGGTTAATTAAAATAGCTAATAGCTTTTATTAGCTAGCTATTATAATAATAATATATAACTTATCTTTATAATAAATAAAGTATTATATTACTTATAATTAATAAGCTATTAAAGTAAAAGACTTTAAAAAGGTAATTAAAAATTACTTTTTTTTTTATAAAAAAATAAAGGATATTATTAATTACTTAATTAGTTTATTAAATTTAAAAAAATCTGCTAAATTTATTAATATAAAATTTAATATTATTTTAAAAAGCTAAGGATATATAGTTAAAAATATATTTTTTATTAAATTCTTAATATTTTTATATTTAATTATAAATAGCTTTAAAATATACTATTTAGCTAATAAGTTATTAATTTTCTTATATTATATTTACTATAGCCTTATATTTATATTATAATACTAAATTTAACTAGCTTTAATATTAAATGCCTGCCTTAAGCTTTTTTTTTATATTTTTTTTTTTTTTTTTTATATTATTATTATTATTATTATTATTATTAATTTTATTATCTTCCTTCTTATTATTATTATTATTATTACTAAGGTTAATATCTTTATTATACTTTTTTAAATACTATTAATAATATTTTTAAGCTTATAAAGTAATATGCTTTTTTAAAGCTACTTTATTTAATAGTAGAATAACTTTATTAGTATATTTTAAGGTAGAATTTATAATATTTTATTTAAATTTTATTAAAGTAAGTTACTTTTCCTTATAGTACTGCTTTAAAATCCTTCTCTTAAGCTTAATAAAATTAAATAAACCTATTATTATATATATAATATAAATCTAATTAAGGAATTTATATTTAGCTATATTATAATAAATAATTTTTTACTTTTACTTATATTTTTTAAAAATATACTTAATAATAATCCTCTTTTAAGTATATTATAAGTTAAATAGCTTTTATTAATTTTAAAGTTATTAAAATATTATTTTTTAGTTTTATAAATAATAATATATATTATAGTTATAAAAAGTAATAATACTTTTTTATAGCTTAAAGCTAGTATTATTAAGCTAGTATTTTCCTTTTAATATTAAAAATAATTTAGTTATTATATAATATAAAAAAGTTAAGTTATTAATAAATCCTTTAATACTAGTAAAAATATAATTAAATAGGCTATTAAAAGTAATAATAATAAATATATTTTATATAATATTATTTTTTCTTAATTAGAATTTTTATTACTTTTTAATAAAAATATATACTAAAATTAAGGTTTTATTAATAGCCTTAACTATATTATTAAATATTAGGAATTTAATATTAAGCTTAATAGCTAGTAATAAATATATTACTTTTAGCTATTAAATAAAATTTATATATAACTACTATATAAAATCCTTTAATTTATAAAAAACTTATAATATAATAGCTTAACTTATTTAAAATCTTAATATTATATTTTTTTATAGCTTACTATATATATAAATTTAAAGAAATACTATTACTTTTTACTTTAATAATTATTACTAGTTTTTATAAGTATTAATATTAGTATTAAGCTATTAGTAAAGGTTAAGAAATATAGCCTTTTTTATATAAAAAAGTATAAGGAATTATAAATTTAATAAGCTTATAAGCTATATATAGTATTTCTTTAAGGCTATAAATATACTATATTAGTATATATTAATATTATTTTTATTAATAGTTAATATTAACCCTGCTTTATTAAATAGTAAGTTACTAAGTAAGTTAATAACTTTAATTATTAAAGTAATATATATTAATAAAAAAATAGCTATATTAAAGTTATTCTTAGCCTTTTAATAGTTAATAACTATATTTAATACTAATTAACTAATACTTAATATATTATTAGTAATTAAATTTATAATATTATAAAGCTTTAGCTAATTTTTAATAAAGTAAATAAATAAATTATACCTTATTTAACTAGCTATATAAATAGTTTTTTTTTATATAGTTTATTAAGCTAATTTAGTAAAATTATATTTAATCTTTTAGTAACTATACCTTTTATAAAAGTTTATATAGCCCTTACTAGTATAATATATTACTGCTAGGGTATATATAGGGGTTCTCCTTAATAAGGTATTTTCTACTGCAATTATACTGTAAATCCTTACTAATTTAAGTAAGGTATACCTTTTTATGCAGTCAGGCTAGGCAATAGATAGAGAAGTAGGCGAGTTAAATCACAACCTATAGGAAGCTACATTTGCCTTGCAACCTTAGCGACCTCTATAAGTCTAGAGGCTCCCGCAATCCTAGCAGCTATTCTGCAAGCCTAGCCGTGGTCTTGCAAGTCTAGTGCCCTTACAGGTTTTCCCAGTAAGGTAGTAGAGCAACATAGGTTACGATATGCCCTGAACAAGGGGACATCACCAATAAGACGTCCGCCCGACACCACCATGACAAAAGCCCAACAACGGCATTCGAGCCATGAGTTTTAGTCAAAAGTCTAAGCCTGCAAGGGGGGAAGGGGGCCTAGAATTTCAATTGCCGTACAGTATAGTGATGCTTCATACATATCTACCTGCCCATAGAGGATCACTGTATTGCAACCATATGACACAGACAACGGGGAATATATCAATGACATGCACATACACACAGACACACATGTATGTAAGGTAGCATCACAAGCACTTGGCATGCCGTAAGGAATTGCCTTCTCCTCCGTCTAGACCGAAAGTGAAAGAGACGCAAGACCTCCGCCTTTTAGCCCTTTCCACTTCGTCGTTGTCCCCTGCTGATCATGGGATCTCGCGATATGCAAAGTCAACCTCCGATATCGAAACCGCCGCACGCCGCTGTTTCCCCAACACTTCAGTGCGCAGTGGTGAAAGGGGGAGACGAGGGGTCGATTCGACGAGGTTGAGGCCGGGATTCGACGGCTTTAGCTTGGGCGGCATGGGAGCCTAACGTCTCCCTCAATCTCTTCCATAACATGATCGCCCGCAAATGTAGACAGCGATGGTTTCGCCCAGTGAATATCAAGTCATATCAAAGAAAGTGTCGCTCGCTCAATAAATATCCCTCCCATATCCAAGTCCCTGTAAATCGTCCAAATTTCCAACATCATGGCGCCATCCAAGTCAATCACAGCTCTCCCGCCTCCTCAACAACAATGTCCAACTTGACCCTACCCAGCAGCAAGTCCTCCTCACTCACAGCGCCAGGAACAGTCTCGCGAGAAATGCCCGCCGCATCGTCCACAATGAGCCTCGCCACGTTCATGCCCATCAGGGCGCTCGTCTCCATCGTCGAGATGAAGCTCTCAATGCCCGACGTGTAGTACAGCCCGCGCCCCAGGATGGGATCCTGAAACGTCACCCGCGGGAGCTCAACCGGATACGAGTAGAACCAGTGCGGGTAGTACCACGAGATGGGTTCCACAACGTCGCTCGTCTTGCCGTCTCCGCTCTCGCTCCTGCTCCCTTCCGTCTCGGGAGCCGGACCCGTAAAAGTATCGGGCACCTGGACGCCGAGGAGGTCCGACAGGAACTCTGGAGTCACGGGCTTGGGCGAGAAGATCTTGTACACAAACTCCGCCTTGTCGGTCTTGGGGTTGACTGCCGTCCTGAGCGTGCTGATGGAGTAGAAGCCTGTCTTGCCGACGCCGTCGGCCCCAACCTTTGGCTCCTCATCCTTGGCGAGCGTTGTGTAGACGTTGCTGGGCGCTTTGCTTCCCGGGGGAAGCTTGAAGAAGCCGGGGTGTAGCTTGAAGGGGGAGGCAAAGAGCGTGACGTGGAGCTTGGTGTAGGGAATCTCCTCAATGTTGTGCTTGATGACGCCCTCGCCGGCTTCAATGTTGCTAAATTGCCAGGGAGAGGCGATGATGACATCGTCGAATGTGGTGTCAACAAGCTCCGGCTCAGCAGAGGCTGAGCTTGTAGAAATCTCATACTTGGGGGCGGAAGACGACGACGCCTTGCCTTTGGCGAAGCGGATGGAGGATACGGTGGCGTTGCGTAGGATGGCAGCACCGCTGGTTTTGACCATTTCATCAAATATCTGCCAGTTGCCGCCAGCCACAGACATGGCGCCGTCCGTGGCAAAGGAGACCTAGTGATTTTATCATCTTAGTACACTGGAATTATTCACATGAAGTTGATCCTGAGGATCTGGGGGCTTACCATGGTCTCCAGTCCATGAATATACGCCAGGTTCGAAGCGTAATTCACTCTCGTAGCAGCCTGGATGATGTGCCTCGAAAAGGCTTCATCAATCTAAACACGAGCACCTCGTCAGCTTTCCTCCCTCCCTCCCACAAATCGTCTCCGCTACGATCCTCGCTCACCTTGTGCAGCTTGAGGAACTGCTCCCCCGTCAAGGCCGTCACCCCCAAAAGCTCCAACTCATACGCCCTCGCCGTCAACGACCGAAACGGAAAATACGGCCCCTCGTACAGCTTCAGAAACTTGCCCACCACCTCCTTGACCAGGTTCACCGCGCGATAGGGACTCATCCCGTATCGCCACCACAGCTTGCCCGCGTCCCACCACCAGGCCGTGCCGTCCGTCGTCTCGTAGACGAAGCTGCCGTCGCTGCCGTCCCAGATGGCCGTCACGTCATCCGGGCTGCCGGCCTCGCGGTAGTTGGCCGCCGTCGACAGGTTGAAGTTGCGCGTGCCGTTGTACAGGATGTGGTTGATGGCCACGAAGATGGACGCCCCCAGCTCGATGGGGTGCCGCGCGTCGTCGTAGGCGTTGACCGTCAGCGTACGGCCGCCGATGCGGTCCGTCTTTTCAAAGATTGTAATGTTGACCTTGACGTCGGCCTCGTCTGCGTACTGGCGCAGGTAGTAGGCGGCCGAGGAACCGGCAGCTCCAGCACCTGTGATTATCGCGTCAGTCAAAGGTGTGTGTCATCCATGATGCTCTCTGGGAGCTTGAAGCGAGCATCATCAAGTCCAGAACCAAGTCCCAGCTCACCGATAATCGCAACATTCTTGACTCCCTTGGTCTCCGTCTTCACCTCTGCCTCTGCCACCACCACCTCCCCACCAAGCGCCAACCACGCCACCAACGTCGAGCCCAATTGCAGCCGCATCGCTACCTTGGGCACCCTACTACACAAGCAACACACCAAAGGCTCAAGAGCAGCAGTTCAGAAAGCGAGCGATGACGATTAATGAAATTGCTAACTTCAATATCCCCCTCAGAGCCTTCAAAGAGGGGAAAAGTAAAGAGTTGGACAGGATTCAAAGCAGAACGCAGCCCCTCGGCTCACTAATTTATAACCTCAGCTTCCGGATGATGAAAGCAGAGGCGGCGGTGCTCCGTGCAGCTTGCAGCTTGCAGTGGTCTGATTGCGCAACTCCTCAGAAGTACCTACCTACCTTAAGCAGTGAGACGCGGCATATCACGTGTTTCCCCGACCTCTTGGACAATAGGTACCTCCATCACGATGCAGACGTGCAGCTTTGCAATTGTTTTGCTTCTGCAACATGTTCAATTGGAGCAGCTGCCGTACAAGTCACCCCAGTTAATCCACTGTTGCTGTTTGTTGCTCTCCGCTTGACTGGATTGATGGCGTTGATGGATGACGTACAGTCCGAAGGATTGCAGAACACACGGGCCGCAGACTGGTTCCGTACCAGTCTCACAACATGAAGCTTCATCGCTGCAACAGCTCCCGAATGCGCAATTCTCGTAGTTGAATTCAATGATAGCCAGAAAGTGCTGCCACTCGCGCAAGTGCTAGTACTCAAATGTCTCCATTGGATTTTCAAACGTAAACATACAGGATATCTAGCATCTATATACTCCCTTGACCCAAGCAGCAGGGGGAATTAATGCAACACTCATCAGTACAACCTCTCTGTACTGGATATACACTGGGTAGGTAGTAAATACTAAAACAAGGCTGTGGTACAATCGCGCGCATCGAGGGAATCGTACTGTTTCCCCTTTTCGTTTTGAAAAATAAGTCGTCAACTATGCCCTCCTGACACATACTGGGGTATTCAAGAAAAGAACGTCAAGGGAAATCGTTTCGACATGAAACATCTTTGGGCAATGGTCAGCACTCCACAACCTCCATTGACAGATCTGCCGCCCACAAGATGCTTGCTGGTGCTTTCGTAGCTCTCTTCATATCCACTTCCACCACGCAACAAACGTGCATCTGCTTTTCTTCAACTGCTCTGGTCGAGGCCGCTGTGGTAATCGCTCTCAAAGCCTCCTCCTGCAGTGGCCGCGGAACTCCCTCCGGCAGGGAGCATACCGTCCACATGAGGGCTGGTGCTCCTTCCACCAATAGTCCCTGGCACAGCCTCGGTGCTGCCCCGAGAGTGCAGAATTCGGCCAAGGTTCCGCGGTGGAAGGTCGTCTAGCCCACTGCTGTCTGCCTCGTCGTTCGGCATAGCAACATCATCTTCGGGTTCTTCTCCATCCTCATCGGCGCTCGTGAGGACGCCGTCGGGATAGCCGTCCGATAGATGCGGGTTTGCTCGTCGGCTCATAAACTCTTCCGAAGAGTTAAGCTCATCGTCTCCGTCCGATCCAGATTCGTCCTCGGACCATGAATCCGAACTGAAAGGCGGAAAGAAAATGGCAGGCGGAGGGAGCGGTACGGGTTCCAGGCGCCTGATACGACCCGACAGGTACTCGATCTGGAGCTTCGGTGGTTCATCCTGCATCCGTAGTCGGCGGACGAAAGGACGCGGTGACGATGTGGACATTGTGGCCAACCGGCCTATGATGTTTTCTGTGGCCTCTTCGGACAGCTTCTTCCGCTGGCTCTCGTATGCGTCGAGCTTTGACCGCCTAGTCGTGACCACCACCATGAAGTGATCCTCAGGCAGCACGCCACCCAGGCCACAGGGCTCGAGGGGACGCACTTCGAGTATCTGGGGCGCATCGCTCCAGCAAAGATCCATGTTGAATTCACTCGAATCATCACCAGAGTCCGTCATGAGATCAGGCACGCCGCCTTTCCCATCATCGACCTCCATTTCGGACATGGAGCGAAGATCAAGGTCAGCGTCACTCAATGGCAGCCTGGCGATAGAAGAACCGGATCCGGATCTGAATGGAATCGGGCGGTCAAAATGCGGCGGGGATTCGACCTTGTCTCTGCTGCTCGAGAGCATGTACGTCGTGGGCGATATATCCCCCGGGTCACCCGATAGGTCGGTGCAAAACGGAGCGCCGCTGTAGTAGATGATGGCGCCATCGCGACGGCGTTTGCGGCGGACGGACGTACCCGAGCCGCTCTGGCCCCATCGCGAATCTGCAGCATTGCTCTCCTCGATAGGGCCAAAGGACGACAGAGTGCCATCCTCCATGGAGGATTGCTCGTTGGGCGACTGCTGATGGAGGAACATGGGCTTGTAGTGAAAGCTCTCGGTTGATGCTGAAACTTGTGGCCCATAGTTGGACAGGTGGTTTGTCGGGCTCCAGGAGTCACCCGTTGAGCGACCCGTCTTCTGTCTCTTGCGACGCTCCTTCTTTGTGATTTCCGTTTCGTCCGTCTCCGGGCTCCGTTGCGAGTGGTCGCCCGAGCTGTCGCTGCTGAACTTGGTGCCGTCTGTACCACCACGCCATCGAATTTTTCGACCGTCTGGCGAAAGCTGAAATTTGGCACTCAGGTCGGCGACGGCTTTGCGCACAAAGTCCGGGGTGACATTCATGATGTGTAGTTGCGCCATGTTGCAGAGGAGATTTAGATACACCCACCCATCTTCGTCAATGTGAACGTCGTCATAGGTCCGTTCTGGCGGATTGGGTAGCAGCTCCGGAGGGACAAGACCCAAGTGTCGAATGTACTCCATGTTTTCGGAAGGAATCTGGACGCGATCGGGATCAAGGTCCCTAGGCCTCGTGGGCCGCTGCTCGGGAGGCGGTGGCATTGGGGGGGAAGGGTTTGTGCCTGAACCGCTGTTACCGTTGCCGTGGGCGGTACCGCTGCCGCTACCGGTCCCCCCAGGTTCGGTTTGATCTTCATTCGAGTTGGATGCCGAGCCCATGTCCTGCGATCTGCTCTTCTTTTCCCCTTGACCGGAGTGTTGTTCCGCGGCAGAGAATCGAGCTTCGCGCACAGGTTCCAGGGGAGGCTTCATGTTAGAGCTACCATGAGTGCTAAGCTTGGGCGTCGGTATTTGCACCAGAGATGAGCGCCGGGGAGAAGCATGGCCCGGAGTTGCCTGAGCTGGGGGCGGGGCGGATCCGGGAGGTGGTTCGCCAGTTTGATTCTTTCTCGAATGCTTGCCGGAAATCTTACCCGTAAATATCTGCTCAAGGCGTCGGACCACGAGCTTCTTCTTTTCCTTCTCCGTCATGGGAACAAGCCGGGGATACAGTCCCTCGGGAATCTCGCGCAAGTAGTTCTCGACTTTCTGGTCGTTCGTCCTAAACCGCGAGCCCCCTTGTGGCCTGTTCAGCGAGGTCCCGGAGGAGCCCGCCCCGGTGGACATGGAGGCATAGGCTGAATCGACGGGTCGCGTATTGGACCCGGACGATGACGAGGCATGCTTAGACTGCGACAGGGAGTTCGAGCCCGAGTACATGCGCTCGCGCGTGGCATGCCTGGAAGACGACTTGTTGCGCTGGGACGAGGTGGTCTCCGGAGAATCTCCCGATAGACCCGCTGCGAAATCCCGAAGCGTAGCCTCCAATTCGCGTTTCTTCCTCTTCGGCAAGCCATGCATCTTGATTTCAAAGAGCTTGTCTTTACGAAGCATATCCGGGCCACGCTGCTTGTAGCGCTTCAGTTCTTCCTTGAGCTTCTGAATCTCAACAGTGAGATCGTCAATGACGCTTCGGTAGTCATCGGCGCTGCTGCTGCGGGCATTGGACAGGTTTCGGGGCACGGGTGGTGGGGATTGGCCTGGCTTTTCTTCATTCGAAGAATCGGATTCCTTCTGGAAAAAGGGCGGCTCCACTGTGTCGAGAAACATGAGTAACTACTCTATCAGCGTGTCATCCCACAAACACACACTTACCATCCATGGTGTTGTTGTCAAAGGTAGCTGTTGGGTTTTGGTTGGACTGGTCGAACCAATTGTTGGCGTCGCTCTGGCCGGTCTCGTGGCTCTCCCCCGATGAGGCTCGACGGGGTGACGAGGTGTCCTGCTTGGTCTGTTTCGGCGGAGCCGAGCCACGACTCGCCCTTAGGGAAGCATCGCGAGCGAGCTGATGGTGTCGTAACGTAATTGAGTTTTCCGGCGATGTTCGTCGGGGAAGAGGGTGGCCGGTCGACGATAGGAGTGGTTCTTGAGATTTGCCCTTTTTCGGCTGCATTGTTGTCAAGTTGGAGAGCACACACAGGATCTGGCGACTGTTGTGATCAGTCTAGTCAAAGAACCATTCTCCGGTTGCCGAGCAAGAGACTCTTGGCTCAAAGTAGGCGGTTAGGGCGTTTATTTCTTCAAGGGTCCCAAGTAGGTGAAGCAACGGAGCTTGTGACGTAGCCACGCAGCAGCACTCCGTCAGTCGCCTTATCGTGTACTGTAAAGGCACTGTCAATAGGTTAATACTCGTGCAGGCCGAGTGCCTATGACAGCAGATTTGGCTATTACTGGGACCTTGTGTCAAGGCCAGTTGTGTCGGGCAACAAGAAGTGGCGTGTTATTGCCGGGGCACCGTAGGCGATCGAGATCGATCGAACGGCATAAGCAAGAGAGGGTCGCAACAACTTCGGGCAACTGACCTCAGAAACAAAATGAGCTTTGGTAGAAAACCCAGGGATGCGCAATGAGGAGGAAGAGTCGCTTATTGCGCCAAGAGATGAAAATGAGTAAAGGGGCTTGAAGCAGAAAGATGAGGAGAAGAAAATGTCGGCTCTATCCAAAATTCGTGTACGGATGGAAATCCAGCGAAAAAGGCGAAGCTTCGAGGCTTGAGTATGTGGCAAGATACGAATGCGTGACAAAACTCTGGTTGAATCAGAACCAAGCCGCCGATTGCTGTCGCCTTGGATCCTGTCGGTGGCCGGAGATCGTGTACACCAGCGGATTGGATGATAAAGTCAAGTTTGCGTGATTGATGAACCGGCTCAATCCAGCTCTTTGCAGCTATTTGCGTCGCCAATCCGTGGTACAACTGGGTTGACAGGCGAGAGTGCGGGTTCGGAACCGGCTCCGCCAGTCGGGCAGCCTCTCTCTGTTGAAATCCGTGGAAATGCGACTGCCAGAAAGGCCTGTGCGTTGGGCTCACGTCTGCTGAGCTCGGTCGGGGCGATGATGATGTTGTCGCCGGATAGATATTCAGCGAGGAGGAGCGTAGAAGCGAAGGGAAGAGGGATGATGAAAGCAAGGTAGCAGCAGTAAGTGGTTCGAGGTATGGTTGAGGGAAGAAGTGGTTCGAAAACGGCCCCGTAGGGTATCGACGGGGCCAGGCGATGTATGCACTGTACAGATATGATTTGAGGTTTGATCGCCGTGGTGAGGCTGTGGATGAGGAAGAGGGAGGAAAGGGGAGGGGCGTGTGCGTGTGCGTGGCAGCCGGTGCAGTACGAGTACTGTGCCTAGAACCTAGTACCTAGGCGAGGGGGGTAGCAGGCCAAAAAGGAACTGCAAGGAAAAATTTTGAGGGCTCGACGATGTACATACATATGCTATCAACTCCCCAGGCCAGCCCTACTGCAGTGGCGCTCGCAGGGTCGACGGGAGGCAAATGCGAGGTGCGAGTTACCAGAGGGGGTAAAGTTGGGGTGGAGGAGACTTTGCTGGTTCTGTCCGCTGTCAACGGCGAGGATGGAAGAAAAAGAAAATTGTAACGACGTGTTGGGTGGCGAGCCGCCGTCGGTGCGGGCTGATGGCGCGGCGAGGCTTCGATTCGCTCGCCGGGACGCAGAGCGTTGGGATCGGTGCAATAGCAGCAGCATCAAGGCACACCACGCAAATCAGGGTCTTGCTCACTACAGCATCTGCTCCGTCACTCCCAGAGGGGCGTGTCACTAGCGAGAAGCTTGCATTGCGTCCCGGTGCACGGTGCAGAGCTGGGAAACGGCATATGTACGCAGTATGGTGTGGTTTCGTTCCTTGTCCACAGGCCCTTTTTCTGTCGCTTCTGCAGCCTCGCGCTGGTGATGGAAGCCGCGTCGGAGCTTGAACCCTGGACGATTGAACCACTGGGCTAGGTACCTACAGTAGTAGGTTAAGGTAGGTACCGTGTAGTGCTATAAACTTAGCCCGTACCTTTTGTATTTGTAGCTGGAGCTGTACTCGTAGCGGCCCTGCCTGCTAGGTACTACCACTGGAAAGCAGGTAAACCGAAGAAGATCAACCGGAAGATGTCTGGTGATTCCGTCTGGGTGATTCCTGTAGCAGCCCATCCGCCATCCACAGCACCTCAAGAACGAGTCAACTGCAGTCATAGTCTGATGCTCTCAATCAGCAGCGGTACTGTCGTCTGTCTGTATTGCCTACTACTACCTAGTAGTAGGTAAGGTGCCTAGGTAGTCACGCCAGTCACAGTAGAGAACAGGTGCTGGACGGTGGGTTCCGACGTCCTCTCTTCGCTTCCAGCCTCTCTCTCTCTCTCTTGTCTCTCTCCTCGTGCCCGCCTAATAATAATCCCTGTGCCTTTTCCGGCAGCGTGTCAAATTCGCGAGTTCCTTGGCCTGCCGCTCCTCCACTGGTGGGACGCCCATCCATGGCCAACCGCCGGCTTGCGGGGACGCAGGTCGCAAGGCTTGGAGGGTGTAGATCTTGGTTTTTGGCTGGCATCGAACAGACCGTTTCCTGGGGTCAGCCCTCGGAGCTAACTTGTTCCGAGACGCGGTACTGCACCGAACAGCCATTACGAGTACCTGAGCTTCCCGTTATTGCTGCAACAAGTCCTCCGTACAGGCTGAACTCTTCTTCTCGCTGCCAGCCAGCTCCTCCGCTCTTCTCTATGCTCATGCAGCCATCGCCGCCAGAGTCACCGCCAGCCTCCTCGCAATATGTAATATATCGAGCACGGCCGCATGGGCTAGCAAACATGGCTGCTCATGCAGAATACTACTCGTATTACAGGTACTTGTTCCAGCCATGCGGTCCAGAGCCCTCCAGTCGCTAGCGAGCCAAGCGCTCATCGAGATGCATCGCTCTCCCGCGGTCGGAACCCTTGACTGGTCCATCCACCAGCACCTCAGCCAGGAAGCCAGTCTCGCCAACGGGCTACATTTGTGGCGCCACTATGACGTCTCCCGCCAGACAAAGTCTCTTGTCTAGAACCTATGGTTGCTGCGCTGCAAGGGTTGTCCATGGGTCTGGACGGGCCTGTCTCGCAACGCAAGGTGATGGTGGTGTGGGTGGTCCTGGCGCTCCGTCGACGGCGCCCGGTGCCAATCTTGTGCTAAGGCAGTGCGGTTCCATGCCTCTCCATCGTGGTCCTCACGGGCGCTGCCTCCGACCCAGCTGTTGACGGCAGAGTACAAACGAGTAAGGTAGGGACTGCTGCGCGGCATGGCACGGCAGGGCATGGGGCTCACCAGCTTCAAGCGACGAGTCGTGCTCAACATCCTCAATTCCCCTCTGGCCACTTCCAGCCTTGGCTTCGCACAAATACTCGCCAAGGGAGCAATGCTCGTCCAGTGCTCATCCGCATCCTCAACGACGGTAATGAGAGAGACGCTCTTCGCACGGAGACCCTTATCGGTGGTTCTCACCCTTGAGCGCACGCATGCATGATGAGCGCGCCCGCAGCGGCATGGATCGGCCTCGTCCCTGGAGGAAGCGCACCTCACGGGCTGCCAAAACTCCACCGCTTCCCCTGTCCACAGCAAGTTTGCTGCCGCGTTTAGGCCACAATGACGCGGGACCGTCGCCTCGCCATCCGTCGAAGCGCTTCCACTTGCTGGAGCCAGAGGCGGCGGATCACGTGGCGGCATCGCCGACATACGGCCCCGCTGACCAACTCGCAGTCAGACGCGCCGGCGCCGAGAATGGGCTCCGCTTTGGCAGCCCGGAATGCCCTCAGACGACGGAAAGTTGGCAAGATGGCAGGATAATGGTCGAATGAGGCGAAGCCCCTGTGAATCCTGTTGCCATCCACTATCGCATCTCCATCCTCTCCATCTGCTCAACTTGCGTCCTCCTTCTTCTCGAAACAGACAAGCGGGCCCCCCCTGCGCCCAGGGTCCAAGGGCAGCAGCAGGTTCTCCGCAAAGGCCTCCCTCTCCCCATCTCAACAGCTCTCACACATGGAATACACGCGGTGCCACAGTCGCGGTATCGTGTCTCTGTCGCACAGGCAGTGCTTCTCTAGAGGCCACGCCTTAGGACAGGACCGCCCTTCGATCTGAGCTAGCGGTGCAGTTCGTCAAGATCGAAGGGCGGCCGTCCAGATCTAAGACATGTCGCGGCTGGCGAAATTAGTCGAGACACACAATAGTCGCATCCTCACGCGTCGGTCAGGGCCCCCAGGAACCGCCCCGATTCGTCAAGAGGTTTGCGTCCAGCGGTCCTCCTCAGAACAGGGGAAAAGCTTCGCCATGGGATGGAGCGGCGCTATTGCAATACGATTACTATTCTGGAATATCGCAAACTCCACGCGGACAAACTTCGTGATTTCGCATTCTGGCATTTCTGTTCCCGCTGCCTGTTTGCTCGCCACCGGGCCCTTGTTTGCCACCTCTTTTGACATGGCAGGACCCTGATTGACCTTGCACCAGACGATCGTCGACACGCCGCCACCCGTCACCCGGATCATTGGGAAGAAGACAGATCTGGGACGATGGCGGCAATCTCAAGAAGAAAAGCTTAGCTGGACCACTTTACAAAGCTTTGTTCCCATCGCCAGAAGAGTTGGTCATCTCTCTCCCTCGCTTCACCCCCACGCTACTGTACGAATATGTACTGTCCGCCCACCCTTTGTTGGTACATACAGTAGCTGCAGGACGGGCAGTCTATCCAGCCTCAGGCATGATCTTCCTGGGCAGCTTCCGTCTCCACAAGAGGGAGGCTATTCCCATCTTGTTCCTCGACGCCCAGAGGTGCTTTTCCACACTCCCTTGGGGATCGCCGGAGGAAATGCTCCTGGAGGCAATCACGACAAGCTGGTGCATGCAGCAAAGCTTCTCTTCCCAAGGGTCCAAGGGTCCAATCCGAGATGCCACATGGACAAGGTAAGTCACATGCTCAGCATATGATAGGGCTGAGATGCATGGCACCAGGAACAGACACGGCTAGGTATGTACTTGTGTGTGTATGCCCAGCTGTCGCTGCCTTACTATACCTTGTCATCTTACGACAATCACCCGCAGCAGAAACCCCGGGGCCCATGTCAGTACAACACAGTACAGCACCGCCACACATGAAACTTGATAGTGATATTCTCTGATTTGATGCTTCTGTTTCTATCCTAATATATGCAGCCTGCCCATCTTATTCTATTCGTATCCTCTTTTCAATCATGCCCGCGTAGTCTCTGTATCTGTCAAGTCTTCTTGCTGTAGTCGTCTCTTCCTTTGCTTCATCCGCCTCGTGTCATCGTCATAAAAGTAGGTAAGCTCATAACATGCTTACTCCTCAGCGCTCCTCTTGAGGTTCTTCTCAAGGAGCGACTCGCCCGTCATGTCCTCAGGCTGGGGCAGCCCCATGGCGGCCAGAATGGTAGGGGCGACGTCGCCCAGGACACCGCCCTGCTTCTTGAGGCTCCAGCCCTCGGGGGCATTGGCCATGATGAAGGGCACCTTGTTGGTGGTGTGGCTGGTCTTGGGCTTTCCGTCAGGGAACTTCATCTCCTCCGCGTTGCCGTGGTCGGCAGTGATGAAGAGGATGTAGCCCTCCTTCTTGCAGGCTTCGAGAATCTTTCCGATAGCCTTGTCGGTGGCGGCACAGCCGACGATGGCGGCCTCGTAGACACCGGTGTGGCCCACCATGTCCGGGGGAGCAAAGTTGTTCATGACAAAGGGGAACCTCTGCTCCCCAAGGCGCTTGACAACCTGGTCGGCAACCCCGTCCGCAGACATCTCGGGAGCCTGGTCGTAGGTCGCAACCGACTTGTTGGAAGGCACAAGGTCCTGGTCCTGGTCGCGGGTCTCGAGGGGGAAGACCTTCTCGACACCGCCGTTGAAGAAGAAGGTGACGTGGGCGTACTTCTCCGTCTCGGCGATGTGCACCTGCTCCACGCCCTGCTTTCCGAGCCACTCGGCCAGGACATTGTCCATCTTCTGGGGCTCAAAGGCGACGTCGAAGGGGTAGTCCGTCTTGTAGCGGGTCATGGTCACGAGCTTCTTGATCTTGGGGTAGGGGAAGTCGGGCAGGACAGATCGATCGACATCACCGAGCAGCTGGGTGATTTGACGTGCGCGATCGGATCGGTAGTTGAAGAAGAAGACGGTGTCGTCGTCTGTTCCTCAAGTGTCAGCCCTTCTCTCCGGAAAGACAAGTATTTATAACAGTGGCAGACTTACCCTTGATGCGGCTCTCGTCACCACCGACGATGATGGGAGTGAGGAACTCATCCCTGTTGTTGTTGCCGTCCGTCTCGTATCGTGCCTTGACAGTAGCGACGGGGTCTTCGCTGGCCTCGCCCTCGCCCAGAACGAGGCCCTTGAGAGCGACCTCGACGCGCTCCCATCGCTTATCGCGGTCCATGGCGTAGTATCGGCCAACAACGGTGGCAATCTGGCCAAGGCCAAGCTCCTTGATGAAGTCGACCAGCTCCTGCATGTAACCGGCACCGGACTTGGGGTCGGTATCACGGCCGTCGCCGAAGAAGTGGATGAAGACCTTGGGGACATTGTACTTCTTGGCGGCCTTGAGGAGGGCGTACAGGTGCTCCTGCTTCGAGTGCTGTGCAGCGTGTTAGTATGTTCCGAGGCTGTCCGTCACGAGTTGTTCGAGTTGTAGAGCCAACTTACAACACCGCCGTGGGAAACCAGGCCGCAGAGGTGCAGGCGTCCGTTGCCGCTAGCCGCGCCCTCAAAGGTCTTCTTGATCGTCTCGTTGGAGTCGAACTCGCCCTTCTTGATTGACTGGTCGATGCGGACGACGTCCTGCCAGACGACGCGGCCGGCGCCAATGTTCAGGTGGCCGACCTCGGAGTTGCCCATCAGGCCCTCGGGCAGTCCCACCGCCAGCGACGAGGCCTCGAGCTCGGTGAAGCCCGTCTCGCTCTTGGAGAGCTCGTCCATGACGGGGGTCTCGGCGGCCGCAATGGCGTCGCCATCCTTGGGGCTCTCGTCGGACGGGATGCCCCAGCCATCAATGACGACTATGGGAGCGCAACAGCGCAAGAGTTAGCCACCCAAGCTCGAGATAGATCAGGACGAAGCAGCAGGTGAGGATGTAATCTGGGCGACCGGGCGACGAGCCACTGCGGAGTGCTGCAGGCGCCGAGTTGACACGCCGCAGGCTGGGGCGCACAACTGGCTGATGGAAGCCAAGGGCATGGCTGGGCAATGGCTTGTGCTGAGGCTGGGGTCGTCGAGATGGAGAAGAGGGCAGAGATGGAGGAGATGGAGGAGGAGACGTACTGAGGCAGGCCTTTTGCTCTGTCTTCGACATGGTCAGGGCAAGATCAACTAGGATTTAATCTCAATCAATTGTCTGAATCGGTAGGATGAGAAGCGAGTCGTAGAGAAGAGGAGGCTGTTTAGGTGCGTGATTTGAGGGGAGAGACGAGGTCAATCTTTTTGACGCGGCAGAAACCTGGAAAACATCCCACCTGGACTAAGAGTCTTCGGATGGTGGGGTTGATGGTTGATAGGCTGCGAGCCGCTATCGATGTCATTGCTCACTCACTCAAATCACCACCCAACTTCTGCAGCGATAACAGGAAGCAACAGCTCCTATCTACTGTAGTAGTACCTATTACTACAGCACGGTTACGCTAAGACAAGGCCCTCCCGTGCATCGGCCCGTTTTGCTCCTTTGGCCGCTTTTCTCTTAGGCAGGCCAATTGCTTGTCCTGTGCCGTTGCTTTGCTTTGTTTTGCTTTGCTTTCCATCGACTCTCCTTCGTCAACCCGCTTTCGGAGCATTAGAGTAAAACTCGTCCAGAGCCAATCAATCAGCCGGGGCACGCCGTTCCCAGCCTTGCCAGCCATTATTATCAATCACCATTCTTAACTCGTCCGTTCAACTTGGTACCTCTCCGTCACTCTCCCTGCCGCATTGGTAACATCTCCTCGCAAACCTCCGATCTTGGCAGCACAACCATCGGCCGTTCGTTCAATCTCTTCGACTATCACCACCACCAGCATGGCTTCAGAACTGCCGGCGCTCGCCCTCCCTCCCACTTTGTCTCCAGACGACCTCGACGCCCTGTCCGAGCTGTCCATCGTCCTCGCAAAGGTCCGCGCCGGACTCCAGTCCTCGTCTGGCATCACCACAGGAGCTACGCCCGGTGGGCCAAGCAGCAGCGGCCAGCAGCTCTCCTTCAAGGACGTCCCCGGTGCTACCGACAAGCTCAAGCACAAGCTGCAGCACGCCAGAGCCCAGGTGCGCGCATTGCCAGACATGGATCGCTCCATCGAAGAGCAAATGGCCGAGATCAAGGAACTCGAAACACGCATCGGCTTGCAGCGGGCCTTGCTCGAGAAGCTTCGCGAGAACGGTGTACAATTCAGCAAGGATGCCTACGCTGGTGGTGACAAAATGGAGCTGTGAAGCGTCTCGCTTGGATCGAGCTTCTTGAATCATAGCGCGATATATTCTTCATTCGAGCTGCTAGCTATTCGCAATACCTAACTTACGCAGGGCTCGACGATACAATAGCCCGCTTCCGCTTTTTACAACAGCTTTACTTTGGCGGGATTCCAACCTTGGCCAGTACTTTCTCGACACCAATGCCCGGCTGGCCCGGCACAATCTTCGTCCACACTTCGTCGGAAAGCCGCTGGGCCTCGGAGAGGGTCGTCCAATTCGGACTCTGGCTAGTCTTCAGCCACTTAAAATCATCGACTTGATCCCACTGATTCTCGATCGATTTGTCGGCCTCCGTCAGCTAAATCGAGAATGTCAGCACGATGCAATCGCTCTACGAACAAGGAAGTCGACGGATCGTCATCACGTACATAATACTCCGGCAAAGGAGCAAAGCGCATGCCCGAGCAATCTTCGATGATTGGGTGGCTGGCGCAGTGCAAGTAGATATCGACGTTCTTGCAGTTATGGATCCGAACCTGTCGCGCTACAACGACGAGAATGCTGTTGGTCACGTCGTTGATATGGATAGGCCCGTTCACTCTGCCTGCCACAATAAGACACCTGTCGATATCCTTCAATATAAGACCCGGGAATGGTGCGCCCTGGGCTGTGGGTATCGAAAGGTCAATGACACAATTTTTGAGGTTTCGCAAACAGCCCGCTGCTGTGGCCCGCGACGCCGAGGACGGAAGAATGATGTGGAGGCCGTCATGGTCAGAGATGTCGATGCTCTGCGCGGCAGAGAAGCTGGGCTTTCGGATAGATGCGAGGTCTGGCTTGGCTAGCTCCTCGTTGTAATTCTTCCCCGTGGACGGCAGATCGCCCACGATATCCCGGTTCTCCTCTGCCATGCTCCTCGCTGCACCCGGAGCAGTCGTTGGACTACGCGGTCGTCGAGACAGACTGCCCGGGTTCAAGCGCGGATCATTCTCCGGTGCGCCCATGTCGATGTGGTCTGTTCCAGTGCGCCTAAACTGGAATCTCGTCTTGGGTGCAAACTTGGCAAGAGTCTCGTTAAGCTTATCCTGTAGGCCTTTGATTGCCTGTAGCACGAATGGCGGTCAGCTCAGTCTAGCCTCTCTCACACAACAGGAGGTCTCATGGAGGACAGACATCTGAATACTGACGTCGGTCGTATGCGGGCGTGAACTCGGCGGCATCGGCGACTTCATTCTGGAGCTTGCTGATGCCCGCGAGGATGTTGTCCGTGGCATCTTGACGCTCGCCACCGATGGAGGATAGCTGAGTTAATTGATCAATCTGATCCTGGAGAGCTGCGAAAGCAAAATGGAAGACCCGTTAGCAACTGTGCGATATGTGACGAACGCGCATTGTGTGAGCGTGAAGTAGGAGCAGAAGCAAGAGCAGCCTACCGTCGACGCTGTCACGAAAGTGACGATAGAACTTTTCCTTTGGATCCATGACTGAAGCAATCGTCGCGTCGATTCGTCGTTTCCCTAGTTAGCATGCAATTGGCCGCCGTCAGGAGACAAGGAGAAGAAGAAACGAGAGGTTGTCTGGTAGCAAAGAGGAGACGATGAAAGTGGAGAATTGAATGAGAAGAAGTAAGGTAGATAGGTAGTATTTATGTTTTCCTCGTCCAGAGTGATTTTGGCTGGTGCTGCCTGAACAAGCTTCTCAAGGCAGCTGCGAATTCTGGATCGCTTGTGTCTCCTCACACCGAGGCGCAGAATCGTCAAAAGTGAGAAAGAGGAAGAGTGTCGTAGGCCAGGTCAGGTGGTCTTTCCTCTCTGCAACGCAAACACGCGATCGAAGACGGAGAGCTCCGGCCGGTCGGTGCTCAATTACACGGAGCTTGCAAGGGAAAGGGGGGGGTTTTCTCGATGGTATGGCAATTGGGGGGAAAGAAGTGCAAAAGTCCGGACAATTCGAATCAGATGACACTTTTTGTCCTTTTTTTGCCAATGACGCGATATGAAGCTGCGATTGAAATTGAGTTTGGGGAAGGTGAAGTGGAAGAAGGAACCAAGTTAGAAGTGGCAAGAAAGCTGAGGGGAGCTGCTGCCGCGGAGATTTATTATTAGGAGGACCCTGTAAAATAGATGGAATCGATAGCTTGACGTGCCGCTGCTGCAGCAGGATGAGCGTCATGCGAAGGGACTGGAAAGATCGATTGCAACGCAGGGATCATGAGGGGTTCAACGCTTGCTTACCTATTCGTACGGCTGGAAGAAGCTTGTGAGGGGCCAATCGAGAGCTCTGCGGTCAGGGGCCTCTCTGATGCCGGCTATTAGTGGGAAGCTATGTACAGTACGACGCATGGCAGAACAGACGTCATTTGCGGCTGAGGCTGCAGACTGGATGCGACAATCTCGGGCCTCGTGTGGGAAAGGTCTGTTTGACGTGCTGGTGGGATGTGCGTGGCAAGTGTCACTGTGTGACAGCATGTTTCACTAAATTAGGTAACTAAGGCAAATGATCATGCATGGTAAATTTTGATGCTATTGTCAATCACGAGGATGCACATGAGAGACGTTGCAGTGCTTGCGAGGTGCGTGCAGTTTATTCGACTTGCACCGGGTATCCGAAGGAAGAACCGAGACCTATAATACTACCGAAGCAACGAAACAACTTGACGCCCTCTTCTAGTTTCCCTTTTTCGTCGTAATGCCAACCCATCCAACCCATCCAACCCATCCAAACCCCAAACGCCCAACAAAAAGACCGCCAAAATCAGAACACACCTGACAGAGCCACAATAGAAACTCTCTAGGAAGGGAAATGAGAGTAAAGGCAATTCAAAGACAGAAAAGAAGTAGGTGAACGGGAAAACAGAGAAAGCAGGGCCATCGAATGTAGAGATAGAGAACTGCTGTTGAGATGCAAATGCCTTATATAGCTACTCTTCGTTTCCCTAGGTGCCGATAATATGTAATATTTATCCGAAACCAAATGAAGCCGAATCCAGTGTGGTTGCGGAAACTCGATAATAGATTACTTGTCGTACAAGTTGCTATGCAATTGACACAAGGAGAGATTTTTGGTGCGCCGTTGTATAGCTCTTTAGTCCCACGGCAGAGGATCCCAATCACCCTTGCAGGCCTTGCAGGTCTGATTCCAAGCTGGATCACAAGCACATGTTGTGTGCACCTGGGACAAGGTATGCAACTGTGCCGGGTTGAGGTAAATAAGGTCGTCCGGAGTAATAGGTGACTCGGACGAGTACTTGTCCGTCTCAGTGGTTGGTGAGAAATCAAAGTCGCCCAAAATTTCGGCTGACGGGGTATTGAATCCTGAATCCACGGACTGAGAATACAAGTCCATGTACTGCGATGGTGGAGAGGCGTGCATCATCCCGGCCATCTGCGTCGTCTCAGGGGTCCGCCCTTCGGGACTTCCCTCAGGAGTATGTCCCATCGCCAGAGCAGGGGGTGCCAGCGGTGGTGAAGTCGGTACAATGTGAGAAGCTCGATCCATCCAGGGAGACTGCACCGGTAGGCTAGGGGTCCGTTCAACCATGTGGGATGTAGAGATCATGGGCAAAGAAAAGTGTCTTTGCACATCAGGAGAGGAGACCATCTCCGAAGTCTGCGCCGGCGAATGCTGTATCGTGGGCTGTGGCTGGTACCACTGGTTGCTGATGGTCTGTGTATTCATAGTCTGGGCCTGCTGCTCGTACTTGGGAAAGGAGCGTGCAAACAGCATGTTGATGGCACTCTGCCGCCACTCCTGGTCGGACGACGCTATCAGCTCGCACACCCGCTTGCCCGGGTCGGGCTGCGGACCGCCCGCCGAAGAAGGGACACCCAAGACCTTGCGGCGGTGCAGCTCGGGCTCCTCCTCTTCGTACATCTCCTCGTTTTCGACAATCTCGCGGGTGATCCGGAGGGCTTTCCCCGTCCGCTTCTTGTGTATCTCACTGGCATCCAGGGCAGATTTGAGTCGCGCATCCAGATCTCGATCTCTCCGTCGCGAGGCTGCTATGAATGCTCGCTCTCTGTTCTCGTCATGCGATCGCCCCGACTTGGAAGAGTTAGCACGCCGATAAAGGCTCTCTGACGGGCAGCAGAATGAGGATGTACCTGGCGATTGTCCTTCTGCGGCCGCTCCTGCTTGATGCCGACCTCTGTCTTCTTAGTCATTTTCGTCCAATGATAGGTTGTATATGAAGGCACTGTCGTCGAGGTTGTTCGACCAGGTGATAAGGTATGCAGCTCAGAGACTGCAAAGAGGCGGCAACGATTAATGAATTAAACAACTAATAGAGTAGAGAGTATGTGTAAGGTAGATGAGTAGGTAGGTAGTAGAACAAGCTCTGCGTCAGAGATGGAAATATGAGCTGTTGGTGGTACGAGCGAAAGATGGCTGGTGGGCTCCTGCGTGATGCGGCCAGGGAGGACTGCCGCAAACAGACGAAACCGGAAAGCAATGCCAAACAGCCGCTGTCGTTATTCCTCAAACGGGAAGTAGATTAGAGTACTAAGTAGGTATTTCGGGTAAGGTATGAAGAAGCTCGAGCCCGGTATCAACAAAGTGACGTATGCAGGCAGGAATTCGTCCAGCAGAGGAAGATGAAGCAGATGCGCTGAAGTGGACGAGACATAGCTCTGCGCTTATATTTATTCTGCCTCTCGGGGCTAGAAGGTTCCCAGGCCCATCCTGAAGCGAAAAAACGCATGGCCGGGCTAGTGCTTCCACCTCGATCTGTAACTTTTGAATCCATCGGATTCTGAACGGGAGATCGCGATCTCGATGCGGAGAGACAGCCAGCCTGCTAGTGCTAGGGAGCGCGGCCAAGTACCGCCCAGGTACTAGTAGTAGCTCGCCGTGGCGCAGGCCGTGAATCGAGCCGTGGCCGATGCTGAGATGTCTTCACGGACGCACGAAAGCAGTGGCTTGACCATTTCCTGTTTGTGCTCGTCGAGATGTCGGCTGAAAGATATATCTGATTCCAAAATGTCCTTGCAGGTATCTAGGTACTAACCTGCCGCCCGTCGCTCTGTGCCTTGTGTAGCCGGCCCCTCCCCCCGTCAACGGTGATGCTGCTGTTCGTTCTCGGCCGTCTCTGCCTTGGATTGATTTTCGTCTGAGACAGAGACCCAGACTGGCCAACCTCGGGCTTGGAGGTGCTGCTTCTCCCTGCTTCTGCGCGCTTCCTCCCCCTTGCGAGTGCCCACCGCAGCAGCATCTCTTGTTTTTTTCAGCCCTCGGATGCCTTCAGATCGTGATATCGCACCTATCAACCGATGACCAAGCAAAGAGATAACACTCCAGCCACTGCGTGCAGGGCAGGATAAAAGGCACAACGGAGCTTCTGCTCCGCCCCCGTCGCAGCTGGGCCACACAGCGGCGGTACTTGGCAGTACAAGCGTGGCTTAACAGCTGGCGCAGGGATCTGCGCTCCGAGAATGGCAGGATTTGGGAAAGCTTCCCCTGCCAGCCATCCGCGCGCTAGACCCAATGGGAGCGCTCCGCATGACTGTCCACTTGCGTCAGAACCCACGGCCACAGCCTGAGCCTGAGCCTGAGCCTGAGCCTGTACCGGCTGGATGCAGCCCTCTGGGCAACAGCCTCGACGGAAGCTCTCCTTTCCAGAAGCCACCTCCCGAGGAACTGGGTCGTCGGTTATGTCACGCAGCAGCGCTCGGTCAAGGAGGCTTTTGGCCTGTCCCTTTCGGAAGACGTGGCGAGCCGCCTGTGATTGGCCCGGGTCAATAGACGACCCTCGACCGGGGATCCAACCTCCCGAAGATGCGCGCTTCAGCAGTCTTTGTTCGGCCATCGACGCTACCAGATGGGAGGGCTTAAGCCATTCTTGCGGCCTGAGCCTAGGGATCGACGACTAACTACCAAGCATTTGTTCGCGGGACAGTCCATACATACATACCTTACCTGGCCGCGGTGGCCCTTGCGTGCGGCTGTTCTTAGTCGCGAGCGGTGCCTTGCTTCTCGATGCACGCAATGCCAGCATACATACATACTTAGACGCATACCGATGGGAGCACGCCTCTTGGCCAACATTGGCTGGCTACCTATACCCCTATACCCCATACTCGGTAGCTATGACACAATCCCCATCGATCCTCTCCAGCATGAATCTCTAGCTCACCTTCTTACCCAGCTTGAACTCCAGTATTTCGGGACCCCACACTCCGTAGATATGACATAATTTTCGTCAATCTCCTTCGACACATGCACGTGGTGCTCACACGGCCCATTGCCCTGCAGAAGCCAGCTTTACGGCAGATCAACCTTGGCAGTATTTTGTGAGCTCATTCATACCTCAGGTGCAAGGACAATCACGACGCTCACCGGAGGAGCTGTCTGATCCGTCTAAACAAGGCAACGCTTTTCCCTCTCCTCCCCGTTCGGGATGTACAGTACGAAGTCTTTCCACTCTGACTCGAACTTGGCCTATTTCCGACAACATATCCTGATTATCAGATTCACGGTATTATCAGGCGTTTCTACTCCTTGTCGCTATCGAGACTTTCCTCCCCTTCAACACAACCGTCTCAACCGGTCGAGTGGCATGGCGAGGATGAATGAAACGGCCAGCGTTCACGACACGTGGTGGCTTCGCCTGTTTTGTGTTCTCGATGTTTCTTCGATGTTTCTGTGCATGTTCCCTCAATCTGGTGGCGCCTCGCATGAATGACGTTGGGGTGCGTTCTCTTCAGCTGAAGCCACCAACAGCGTACACGGGCCGTATAGGAGACCCATTTTGTCGCAATCGAGGTTGAGCTCTTCCGTAACCTCCGCGCATCGCAGAGGGCATCGGGGCCAAGGTGAAGCATCGGAGAACGGCATACCGAAACACAATAGTCCTTCGATGCATGGCCGTAGTTGGTTGTGAAAATGTCCCACTCTGCAAGATATACTAGAGGGATCCGCCCTTCTTCGGGCAATTGGCTGGCGGGACATCGCGAAGCATTCCGAGCATTCTTGTCAGAGAGCGGCCGACTTGACTGCCTTATTTCCGTAGGTACTCTTTCGACGACCTACTGGGGCACGAAGATTTCATCTGAGATTCAGATGTGCCTGGACAGCTGATCGACCAACGACGACACCTTTCCCCCCCATCGCCGCTTGTCCATTTTAGGGCCCTGACAGTATGTAATAGGAAGCTCAGGGTAATGAGGGTGCTTGGGCTCATCGTCTGGCTGGTGATTATGACCTCACGCGCCAAGGCTGGGCCGAACCGGGCGGGCTCTCCACTTCTTTTTAGCTGATCAGATGAAGTGGTATCACAGCTTCGGATGATCAGCAGCCCTTTGTTTCGAGGAACAGAGCACAGAGATGCGTCTGATGTCCCATTTACACCAAAGACTGCCGGGTAGCTACTGTCCCGGGGTGCGACGAGTGCCACGACATCCTCATATAAGACAATTGTAAGGATCGCACCGCACCGCATCACAGCAACTCATACAAGCACATTTCACTCAAACATGGGTTCGGCGTCCTGCATGGTACACCCACGAAGTCGCAGCACCCCGACGTTTCAATTGAAAAGCATGCGCAAAGAGAGGCCAAGATGATGCCTCCCTTACGAGTGAGCCAAAATATCGTTCGAACTTATACTCCGCACCTCCAGTGCGCGCCTCATGCACGCTTATCAGTCCGAAGGGGGGACATGTCTTTGATCATTTGCAGAAGCGAGCAGTGGCATGCATGTGGCCAACTCGGGCCACGAGGTCCGGCCTTGCGGCTTGACCTCGCCATGCGGCGTGTCTGCAGTGCCATCGCCAGCCAGAGGGTTGGCCATGTGGGCTGATGATTGGTCCGTCGCCATGTTCCGATGCATGGAGGGCCTACGAAGTGCTGCGACCTTAGCCCGGTCGTCTTTGGTTCCGAGCCAGGTGCCGGGAAATCGCTGGCATGAGGGTAAAACAGAAGAAAAAAGAGAAACAATGGTAGTATGGGGGAGGGCGGAGGGGGTTGAGATCCGCTGACATATCGTCTCCGGCAGCTTCAGAGCCTTTACAGTACCAAGTATCTTATGCAGGAGACACTCACTGGCTGTGAGGCGTCCACCTCTCAACCTCTTGTTATCGTCAGCATCGTGCTTATCGTTATCGCCTCGACTTGCACCGCATCCAATCGCGAGATTCTATCCGGCACTGGAGCGCATCGCGGCTTGGCGCTCAAGCGGTTGCGGGCTGTTTAGTGGTTGCCGCTGCCCTGGAGGATCCCTGTCCCTGGCGCTGAACCAGCGAAGCAGCCCCCTGTGGTCCCTCCGCGTCCCCTCCAAGCCGCCCCCCTGTCCCCTCTTGCGCCCCTCTGAGACGCCAAACCACGGACGGCTCCAGACTTTTTCCTTATGCTGGCCGGGGCCTGCGTGGCTTGCAAAGGCGATTTCCACTCTCTTCTCACCTGCTTTGCCTCAGGCCGGCAAGAGGCATCAGTCAACATTTCTGCATCGTGCCTCTCCAGGTTCAACCGTTTCCCTCTTCACTGCTTGCAACTTCTGCCTTCTCCCGCTCACCAGGCAGAGGCGGCGCATATCGATTAGCCCAAGCCCGTCCTTTTCTGCAGCGATTCTTCCAGAAGCCCTCGCCTTGGCTGTCTTACTACCTACCATGTCGTCATCACCGCCATCACCGCCAGCCGTTGCGACGCCCGAGGAGGGCCACAACGAGGGATCAAAGCTGCGCACCTTCTTGGGCATCCTGAGGAAGTATGTGAGACTCTTTAGGCACATTCCTGTTGATGCAATCTGCACGCTCGATGGCTGCTTCGTTGCCTCGCGATGCCAGAGGCGAAATCGGCGGTAAAGGCCTGGTGGGGCAATAGAGCCTCGACAGAGAGGCATTGCTTTCAGACGGAATTCCGCGACGAGCCGTGCAAATTGAATCGTGCTGGATGCATACAGTAAACTCGGGAGCGACAGCATGCTAATGAGCACCTTTCCAGGTTCATCGGAGTCACCGACCTCGCCTCTGTTCGATTCTCCCTCCCTTCCCAGCTCCTCGAGCCGACGCCGAATCTCGAGTACTGGACCTACCTCGACGCACCCAACGCTTTTGTCGCCATCGGCACCTCTGATGAGCCTCTCGATCGAATGCTGGAAGTGATTCGCTTCTGGCTCACAAAAGATCTCAAATATGCAAAGGGAAAGCCCTGCAAGCCGTATAACTCGTGTCTCGGCGAATTCTTTAGAGTGAGCATAGTTCCACTATCCCATGCCAGACACTGTGTCGGATCTGGGATCGGTTCTGTGAGGGGTGTCCATATCGCTAACGCTTGTGCTTTCTGCAGTGCAACTGGGAGACAGAAGATAATGCTCCCCGAATAAATACAACCGACCTTCAGACCCCCGGCTCGAGCGCGAGCTCAATCAAGGGAGCGGCTGCCAACTTGAAGGCGGCCGCCAAGAGCGAGAACAGCTCCTCCTCGGTGTCTTTGACCGTTCCCCAACATGGCACGCCTTCAAACGAGGCGGGCAAGCCCCTCCGAATCTCATACCTTACTGAGCAGACATCACACCACCCCCCGGTCAGCGCCTTCTATGTCACCTGTCCCGAAAAGGGCATCACCGCCAGAGGTTTCGACCAGATCACTGCCAAATTTACTGGCACATCTGTCAAGGTTCTCCCCGGCGAGCACAACATGGGCATCTTCATCACCCTTGAAAAGAGGAACAATGAGACCTACCAGCTGACGCATCCCGCTGCCCATCTTGGCGGCCTCTTCCGCGGAACCCTGAGCGTATCGGTGAGCGAGATGGCCTACATCACATGCCCTGATACCAAGATCAAAGCCATCCTCCACTACGTCGAAGAAGGCTGGTTGGGCCGCACAACCAACAAGATTGACGGTGTCATCTTCAAGTACGACCCAGAGAATGACAACAAGACCCGTGTTCAGGACGTTCCGGACGAGGATGTCCTGGCTAGGCTGAGTGGACCCTGGAAGGAGAGGGTTGTCTTTTCGCTTGGCCCTAGACCCATGGTATGTCTTCTTCCCCTTGAACCCCTGCCGGAGTCTACGAACGCGGCTAACTCTGTGTGCCATCAGAAATCCGTACCTCCTGAAGAACAGCATGTCATCATTGATATTCTCCCATTGAACGTTGCTCCCAAGGTTCTGCCCCCGAAGGAGAGTATGCTTCCCCACGAGTCACTTCGCCTGTGGGGTGGCGTCACCGATGCCATCCTTTCCAAGCAGTTCTCCAAGGCAACCGAGCTCAAGGTAGCCTTGGAGGAGGCTCAGCGCGAAAAGGCTCGGAAGCGAGAGCAGAATAACGAGACGTGGAAGCCCGTATTCTTTGAGCACAGCGTCGGCAACGGCGGCAAGCCCGACCTCACTGAAAAGGGTAAGCAAGTTCTCGAGCGGGCCCAGAAGGGCGACTGGAACCTCGAAGGCATCCTATAGAATCTGTGAAAGACACAATGAGAAGAGGGACAAGGCAAGAGAAGGCAAGACTTTGGAAAGGCTTTTGCAAATGTTGGACGGAACAAGGAAATATGGGATGATCATCATATATACATATACCACGCGGGTTGAATTTGGCCTATACGCATAGATTGTGTTTGCAACACACTACAGATATATTCCTTTTTCTTTCTAGATGAGTTTGGGGCCAGGTTATGCTTTTCCTTCATTCAATCGCGCTTTCTTTCCCCCAAACGTGCTTGGCCTTTGGCCGATCTTGCGGTTAATATAGGGGCAATGTCGTCAACCAAGAACCAGAGGTAGGCAGAGCATCACAAAATATTCAACTCCATAGCATCTGATTTGCGCGTTTGTTATTTTCCTGTGATATCAATTATGGTACCTGGTCGGGCAACATTGACCCGTTATATGATACATGAGTGAGGACATTTCCCTTATGAAAGCTTTTCTATCGTTACATTCGTTCCCTCACACAGACCGTAACCCAAATGGTCGAACGTTAAAAATCATACATTTTCTCTCTCCCAATTGCCTAATTTTTTTTCTTTGGTCCAATCAGGCCTTACGCGTCAACAAAGGTCCGGACGTTCTTGAGCCATCGGAGGTACTCCTGCTGCTCCTTGACATCAACATAGTCGGGCACAAAGGCGGCGAGGGTCTCGTTGATGCCGCGCTCCTCGAGGAAGCGCTCCATGAGGACCTGGAGGTCCTCGTCGAGGCTGCCAAAGGGCGGGCCGGGGTAGACGTCGGCGCGCTTCTGGGCGGCCTCGGGGTTGTCGATGCGGGCGACGGTGGCGTCCTCGTAGAAGAACATGTTGTCGACGACGATGTCGCCGTCGCGGGCGGTGGCGTCGATGTTGAGGGCGCCGGCCGTCTTGCCGGGCTTCTCGATGAGGATGGAGAGGTTGATGGGGGCGCCGGCGTCCTCGTCGAGGCCCTCCTCGTCGCCCTCGAGGCCGTCGTCCTGGTTCTGCTGCTGCTGCTGGGACTGCTTGTCGGAGGACTCTTCGGGGAGGTCGTCCTCGTCGAAGAGGTTCTCGTCGGCGTAGGGGTCGAAGTTGGTGATGTCGGCGATGGAGAAGCTGATGGTGATTCTGGCAGGAGAAAGAAAGAAAGAAAAGGGTAAGTCAGTAAAAGTTTTGCTCGTGGATTGGAATTGCTCATATTTGACTTCAGAAAAGGGGAAGGGGGGGAGGCAAAGACAAAGAAAAAGGACTCACTTCTCATCGCCGTAGTTGCGAATCAGCTTGACAACCTCCTGGCCGGGAGTGTCGACGAGCTCAAACGGGCTGTTGTCGAGAAAGTCCTTGATGCTGGCGGGCTGCTGCTCGTTGGCCTTGATGTCCTCCTCGATCTGGATCTCGCTCTCCAGCTTGGCGGAGAGGGCCTCGTCGACCTCGACATCCTCCTCCTTGCTCCGGCGGACGGTCGTGGAGAAGGCGGCGGCGGCCCGGGTCGGCAGCAGGGCCTTGACGGCGGGGGTTCTGGCGAGGCCGGGGCGGGCGATGGCGGAGGAGCGCAGGGAAGCGCCGGCGGCACGGCTGATGGTCCGCGGGGCGGCGCGGGTGAGGGCTCTGACGGAGAACATTGTGAATTGATGTCGCTGCTGCTGCTGCTGGTTCTTCTGCTTGGTGGGAAAGTAACACAAGAGAGAAGGAGGAGTAAGGAATTGGATGTTGGAAGATGGTTTTGGTGAGAGGGAGTGATGTAGTCGTAGTAGTAGCTTGGAGGTAGCGCCACTCTGCTTTTTTTTCATTCGATTTTTTTCCAAGCTGGGGGTCCATTGATGGAGCTCTACCCACCAGCTTTACGCCTGCTGCCCCACGTGACTGACGTACTGGAATGCAAGCACTTTAACTTTACGAGATACCGAACTTCAAGCATCTTGGGCATCTTGGATACGAAGCAGTGAGGCGAGATTTTGCGGTTCGCTGGGATCTCTTTAACATGTGATATGGCCAGAACACTAATTCAAATGAATTGACCTGAAGATCTCTATGATTTCGCTCTTTAATGTCCTATGTACCAGCTTTGCACCAAACTCCGCCTCAATGGCAATTCATATGAGCGAGGGGTAGAAACAGGCGGCACAGCTATTCTAATGCCTGCAGTGCCGCCCAGCCCTGCATCATTGATAGGCACAGCTCATTGATTGTCGTAATGGATCCTGAACTCCAAAGTAGTGCTGCCTGCATAGCGCATTTGTAGTTTCTTGTCCCACCAAGAACTAAGTGATAGTCGTCGCCCGAATGAGTTCGTTGTGGCAAGCCGTTTGTGGTGGCGATGGGAGCCTAGCTCCCGGGATACCTCTTTCAAAGGGTGACTTCCACGTATGGTTTTCCTGCCACAATGTAGAGACCCCGTGTCTTGCTACAACCTCCTCCTTTGCTGGTCGCTGGCCCGCACTGGGAGGAGGCATAGAGGGAAGATGTGCAAGTGCACCGTTAACAGTGTCGAGTGAGTAGCTTGAGAGAGCAGAGAGTCTCTCAAACTATAGCTTTTGAAGGCAGTTCAGCTTTACGGACGTTGCCTGCAGCCGTGACCTTGATCCAGGGGAGACTGCTAAGGTAGGCCCAGGAGCCCTCCCAGGCGTCCAGGGACTTGACGCTTTCGGCTGATGTGATGTCGGGGATCACTATGTAATGGTTAGTTGGATGACATCCCAAGGTGAGAAGCATGTCAAGAAAAGACTCACAGAATCCCGCCTGGTACTCTTTCTCGAGCGCGGTAATCTTGATCTTCAAGAGATCTTCCTTGGTGCTGGCGGGCCGTCCAGCCCGGCGAGTCTTCTTCACAGCATCATACTCCTCATCGTACTGGTGGACGTAGCTGTTCTTAGAGTCAGCAGCAGCTCAAAGAATCATTCAAATCCGAAGCGAGCCAAGACTCACGTGTGAATAAGCGCCTGGATGGCGGACACTTCAAGCGGTTCTGAGCCCTTCTCCCTGACTTTCTGCTGGAAAAATGTGACTCGCTCCACTACACGCAACAGGTCAGATATGGCCAAGCAACATGATCATCTCATTCCCGAGTTTCATACCGATTGGCTGTTCCCTCTTGTTCCTTGCCGCCGCAAGTTTCTCCAGTCTTTGGTCTCTTACACCAGCCTTGTGCAATCTCAGGGAGTCTCTGGACTTTTCATGTAGTGCGTTGACCTCTCCATTGCGCTTCTTGGAGATTTGCTTGCGTGTCTTGTGAAGTGTGCTGGGCATTTTCGGTGATAGTCTCTCTTCTCTTCGCAATGATCTGATGGCTGGCTGTCGTATCGCTGCTCAATCGCAGGTTTTCTTGGTTGTCTTGCTGGTGAGAGACGACCAAAGTCAAGGTTTTTTCATTGAGGTGAGCAGGGGTGTAGTCCTCGATTAGGCAAGGGCTGAGGTCAAGAGCCGTGACGGCTATAGCTCGGATAAAGCTCTGACTGCTGGCGACATCAAATGCCACTTGCTGCTTGTAAGACGGCATGTTATGGATTCTCTTCGCTGGAAGTTCAACAATTGTGTGTCAAAGGCAAAAATATTCAATGCCTCTACTCTACCCAGTAGTTCGTGATTCATAGTTACTTGATGTCTTCTCGATATTGGCGGCACAATAGGCAGCCCATCTAAGACAAGATCACCCGTACTTTGTCCAAGTCTCCATCGCTTGGCTCCCGCCCCACGATCTAGAATATCACCTATGGATCGTTTGTACCTTTGAAATGGACAATAATGCCTTGCTTTTCGAAAAATTATTACAAGGTCGGCCCAATTGCCCAGTCAAAAAGGGCGATGCAATAAATCTGTCAAGAAGTATGCCGAATTCCCTCTTTCGTATGATCACGGCTCTGCGCGGCAGATGCAGCAAGTACATTCCACAAGTAAACAGACTGGTTGCCAGGCCAATCTTGCCGGCTTCAGGCATTTGAACCCACGCCAACAGCGCTACGACACGCGCTCCAGGCCCATTGAACCACCCCCGGCGCGTCTTGTCTCAGCAGCTACAGAGCCATAAGCCCGCTAGCCGAGATGCAGCTTGAACCTGCACAGGCGTGAACCTCCTTCTCCTCAACCCGCCTCAGCTGCTACACCAACAGACGTGCCTCCTCAGCCGCTCCTCAGTCTGCCCGGACCGCCTCGACGACGCGTGGCCCGTCTTCCTACAGCCGTATCATTGCCTCCCTTCGACGTGCCTGGCGTTCTGTTGGAGCATCGTGCACAGCAGCAGCAGCCGCCGCGTCACGGGGCTCGGGATTCGCTCTATGGGCGTCTTTGCTGCTGGATTGTGAAGCGACCGGGGGCAATTGATCGTTGATTGGGGCCCTTTGTGGCAGAAGCTATTGGAGACTTGCTCACTGCATCTTTGGACCCGGTGGGATCTTAAGGGTGGGCGCTCAAAATGGGTGTAGCAGGTATGGACAGACGCATCATTCGGCAGCAGATGGCCCGTGGTTATGACTGTTGATATCAGTGGGCTGTCGTGCTGACCCTGCGAGCAGGACTTTTACCGATACTCAAGTCCATCCAGAGGCCAACGGAGCTGAAAAAGTACAATGGCGAGACTCTGGCCGTCGACGGCTACGGTTGGCTGCACCGCGCTGCCTATTCCTGTGCCGTCGAGCTGGGCCAAGGCAAGCCTACCAAAAAGTAAGTGCAGGACACTGTGGGTGATTATGTGCGGTTCACTGACAGTATTCTCATAGGTACATCAATGGGGTTTTGCACCGAGTCAAGATGCTGAAGCACTTTGGCGTCACGCCCTACATGGTATTTGACGGCGATTTCCTCCCCAGCAAGGCCGCTACAGAAGAATCCCGTGCCAAGAAGCGCGAGGAGAAGCTCAAGCTCGCCAATGAGTACCTGAAAGCCGGAAAGCCCTCCCAGGCAGCGCAGGAGTTTCAAAAATGCATCGACATCACCCCCGAGATGGCGTCCGCCCTGATTCAGCAGCTGAAGAAGATGGATATCCCCTACGTCGTGGCCCCCTATGAGGCAGATGCCCAGCTTGTCTATCTGGAGCGTCACGGCTTCGTCAGTGGAATCATCTCTGACGATTCGGATCTGTTGGTCTTTGGTGCAAAGCGACTACTAACCAAGCTGGACCAGTATGGAAACTGCATTGAGATCAACCGACGAGACTTCTGTGCCTGTCGTGAGATTTCCTTGACTGGCTGGAGCGATACCGAGTTCCGGCGAATGGCAATCATGAGCGGCTGCGACTATCTCCATGGCCTCCCAGGGGTAGGGCTCAAAACAGCATACCGAATGATTCGAAAGACCAAGTCTCCCGAGCGCATTGTCCGCCTCCTACAGTTAGACGGCAAGCGGATATCAGAGAACTACCTGACCCTGTTCTACCAGGCGGAACTCACCTTTCTGCACCAGTGGGTATACTGCCCTACCAAGAAGGAGCTGGTACATCTCACGGAGTTAGACGGGACGCGCACGGCTGACGAAATGCCCTTCATCGGGGCCTATGTCGAGCCGGAGATGGCTCGCAAAATCGCAAGCGGCGATGTCAACCCCATCACGAAGCTTCCAATCGTTATGCCGATCTCGCCTTCGAAGCGGAGGCATTCTCAAAGTGCTGCAGCCACCGATGCTCCTACTCGACCGGAATCCAAGCCCATCAGCTCATATTTCAAGGGCCATTACCGGATACCCATGGGTGAGATGGACGCCAACTGCTTCTCTGTTGACCCTCAGCGAGTTGCGCAAATCACCGCAGGGGGTGCCGTTCCACGAGTGTTTCCACTGCCGAGGCCATATATACCGGGATCGCAACAGTCGGGACAGCCGGTAAACGATGGCGCAGATTCCCCTTCGCTGTCACAGGCTGTCCCACGAACCGAACCTCGTTTGTATCGACGACGAACTGAGCCAATCACGAACCTGTTGGCAAGTGTTTCAAACAATCACGCACCCCAGGCAGAGACCTCGACCAGGCCGCCAAAGAAGGCCCGCCTGTGCGACGACTCGCTTGATGCTGACACAGAGGGTTCGCCCAAGAAGAGTCGCTTCTTTCCCGCCAAGAAAGCGGCCAGGAGGAGCCCACGAAAGGCAAAGAGCGATGCGTATCTGTTATTGTCGGATGACTCTCTGGATGAAGCACTCAAGAACTTGCCTGACATTGAAGGCTGGGCGTCTGGACCACCTTTCAAGAAAGGTGTGTCGATATTCTCGGACAATAAAAAGGAGCTTCCTCCTTGCCAGCCTGAAGGCAATAACAGTCAACAAGATTCTACTCGGACGGACACCAGCCAGCTGGAGCGTAGTCAACAGGATACGACCCAACCCTCAAACACGAGCCAAGAAACAGAAGTCACTACTCCAGACGCCAGCCAGCAGGAAACCCTCGACGTCATTCCCGAATCTCCGGCTGATGCTTCTGTGCCTCCCCCAGAGCTGCCACCCGCGACACCTCAAGCCACCTGCACTCCTCCCCGATCCAGTCTTACACGCTTTGCCTATTCCTCTACCTCTTCAGATACTCCAGCATCAAGTGTGTCGCAACCTTCGTCAGTGTTCAGTGCAAAGTCAACAGCATCCACCGCGCCGTCGACAGCCCGAACGAGACAGACGCCCCTACAGCGGATGAGAGCGTGGGCTTTGAAGGGCCCAACGACCCCAACAGGGAGCGCGCCGCGGAAGACTACAATTGAGAAACATGGCGTCAAGGATTCGGTTGACGCTACGCATGTCCATCCTCCCAAGGTCGACTTGAACGAAATGGAGGCCCTTGATAATCCATGCGGAAGCGAAGACCAAATCATACCCGATAGCGACGGGGAAGAGGAGGAAGACGACGCCGACGAGATCCAGCTGCCTGCCAAGAAGCTCAACCTTGCACGTTTCGCCTATTCTTAAGAGACACTGCCTTGTCTTCACATGCCAGCGGCTTTTCCTTTCTGTTTACCCTCTCCCAACTACCTACCGTCCTCTTTGCCGACCTCTCTACAAACTCATCAAACGCATTGGAAGCTGCTGTTGCCGTTAAACCTTAATGTGTTAATGATGTCACCACGGGCAGGCGTTTGCTTCAGGACTCATTACCTTGTTTCTGTCGGATCTTTCGGCGTTTGGGACCATGCCTCCTCTTTTTTTTTCTTCATGATGTGTGTGGAACTTGTGAGTCGGGTCTGGCGATTTGGTTTGTTTAAATTTCTCTGCGTCGTCCGGGCTGGGTATTGGCTCTTGGGCCCAACTTGACAGAGATCTCCCCCTTTTGCGGTTTCGTTACGAAGTATGAAAAAGTGTCGTATTTTCCTGTTTAAAGACCAGGGTCATGGGATGGTGACGGTGGGAACTGGAAATGAATAGCAGAGTGGGAGAATAGTGGCAAAAGGCATGGATAGGCAGTTTTCAGTAGATATCATGGATACATCTCTGAACTCCATGTAAGAGCTTTCATTGTCCGATTTAGTAGTACATTGCACTTATCTTTACCGATCAAAAAGTCATCGTGGATATATGTAAGGTATATATGAAGCTGATATGTTGGTCTTTTGCGCTATTGACTTGGTATAGTATGTATACATGCTCTTTACGCTAACAGCCTCGAGATAGCAATATAAAAGGCAAAACAGAAAAAAATCAAGAGCGAGAGGGGGAGAGTGCTGTAGAATTCTGTTTCTTCAATGATCCATTGTCCCGCTTCCCACGGGTCCACGGTGCTGCGTCCATGCGGAAGATTCCTCGTCTTTTGAAGAGTGCATGCTGCAACCATGACGCTGGATGAAAACAGTCCCGTATATACTGCATACATGACTTGGAGACAGAGAATAGAGGCGCATGCCCCTAAGAGAGAGGGGTGGAGGGGGGCAAAGAAGAAAAGAATGACAAGTGGGAAGGAAAACAGGCATCAAGAGCCAAGTGAAACCGCGGAACCCGTCCGTCCTCATATACCGTATCCGTTGCCGCAAACGCCGTGGTCAAGTCGTCGAATATCGTTAAAAAGAAATGCAAAACACAACCAAGTCTATACTCGAGAGAGAGAGAAAGAGCGAACATTGTTGTCGCTTGAAATGCAGTCGCCCTTTGAGTGGCGCACTTCGTCGCTGATGGATGTGAAAGAGACCCAGCTCGCTGTATGAAGTTGTCACCCTATGATGCGCATGGGTATGCATCATGCGCAAGTGAGTACTTGTCCCTGGCCGGTGGCCACAAGGCATCAAGTCGTAGGCAAAAACTGAACGGGGTGGCAAGAATCGGCTCGCGGAGTCGTCTCATCTCGCCCACCTCTTATAGGCTGTGAGAAAGAAGCGCAGGGGAAGTGCCGCTCCAAGATATGGACACGACGACAGCATGTACCAACGCCTATCGCCAACCACATGTTGGCGGGTCCCATCAGCCAGGACCGTCGCGTTGCTCTCAACGTTTGTTGAGCAACACAGTTGATCCGCTCATAAGGTCAGCGTTAAACGTCCATTTGCCTATAGGTTTTGGTCAGTGGAAAATCGTAAACTAAAAAGGGGCGAGTTGCTGTCTTACCCTTTGCAAGATTCTCGGCAGTGTCCTCGAGCAAGATGACGCGTCTTTTGTTACAATAAGACGTCTTATCCATGATATCAACCTTGAGCTTGGGGTCGGCCAGCTCCTGAATGGGCTTTTCGAACATCTCAGACAGATTCTCGACGGCCATCTCCAGATCTTTCTGGTTGTCCTCGAAAATCGACGTCAGGTTGTTCTTGGCCAGGTAGAAGGCGAAAGCGTAGGTCCACTTGAGAGTCTGCCGGCAGGTCTGGAGCGCCTGAGAGGCCGAGTTAAGATACTGCACTTCGATCCAAGACATGCCTGACGTGGTCTGAAGCTGCACCATCTTCTTCTCCGTCTTCTGTGCAATGTCCTTGTCGAGCTTCGCGGACTGCTCATGGTTCGCATATCGGTTGTAGTAATGCAAGTAGCGCTCCAGAGACGTGCGAGACTTGGTTTGCGCATCTCTGGCTTCGGCTCCGCTCTTCTCCTCGTACCGGTTGCAGTTGTACCAGCTCGTGCCGTGCTCGGACCAGAGGCCCATGCACATCCAACAGAACTCATACTTGCACTTGCGGCACGTCATGTGGTTGCATCCACCGTTCTTCTCGATCGTCGAGCTGCACTTGGGGCACTCCTTTGTATGAGCCGAGATCCAGTTGGCCGTCTCTGAGTCGTCGGCACACTTCTTAAGCCATCGCTTCACCAAATCGCAGGGCGCTGGTTGATGGTCGGGATTCGGGCACCCAAAGCAGAACCTGTAGCCACAGAGGCACTCGACGGTGGGGACGATCCTATCCAAGTCCTTCTTCTTGACGCCGCATTCAATGGCGTTGGGACAGTCCGGAGCTGGGCACCACTTGAAGGTGTCCTTGTCCTCCACGTACGTGCGGTTGAGCAGTTCGTGGTAACGATCAGTCAGCTCGGGCGTAACGAGCAAGTCCAGGGATCGTGCATCCAGAATCCGACCACATCCATCGGAAGGGCACTGGATTCTAGCAGACTCCCCTTCGTCCTGGATCTTCTGTGTGAGGTAGTGTCGGTAGCAGTCGACGCAGTAGCGGTGGCCGCACTTCATGGCAAAGGTTTGGAGGCCCTCCTCATCCTCGCAGCAGATGTCGCAGACAAACCCGGGGACTGCCTGTAACTTTGGCTGCGAGGCAGAGTTGCTGCTCAGCCCGGCGGCTTCGAGCACCTTCTCCGGGTGGTCCATGTAGTCTTCCAACAACCGCTCCTTGTTCCATCGGAAGTGACGCAACAATATGGCGGCATCTTCCTTGCTCATGTCAAGGATCATGTTCACGTCACTCATCATTTCCTCCTGCTGGCGCCGGATGTCGGAGGGCTCGTAGACTTTGAAGGATACCGTGTGGGCGGCGACCTTCTTCTTATCCATGTCTTTCGCCGAGAGGCCGAAATCGGGATCGGGCTCGTCGAAGTCATCCTCGTCAAAATCTACAACACCAAAAGCATGGATTAGTAAGGCTGACAAGCAGGTGCCCGAAGGGCCCGATCAAGGGACGGCAGAAGAGACCCACCTTCAGCGCCAGAGACTTCATCTCCGCTGTCATCAGGCATGATCTCGTCCCCACTAGACATGGGAGACATGTACTCTTCCTCGGAGTCCATTTCTCTGAAGGTGACGGGCGTTGGAGGTGCGGCAGGGACACCAGCTGAGGCGACGATCCTCTTTGGGGGAGGGTTCTCGGTGTTGTTAGATGAGATCGTCGCCTCGGCAGCCTTTCGCTTTCTGGTTATGGGAGGAATCGTGACGGTGGGTTGCCGGGAGAAGCAGGAGGCCTGCCGGTCGAGGACGCGGAGGCTGCACAGGAGACGGCGATGGCGGCACGCTGCAAGAGGGGCCTCGACGATGACGATGCTTCCGTCGTCTAAGGCACAGGGACACGATAGGGCGGGAAGGGGAGTGCAGCAGGTTGTTGCTGGTACAAGGCGTGCTGGGCTTTAGGCGGGCAAGGAAAATATTGTACAACTAGGACGGTGAATGAGAGAAGAGAGGCTTCAGGGCAGATGCAGACAGTCCTTGGTCAAGTGCTTCAGGCCATGACAGTACAACGGGACAATGTGAAGAAAGTCGAGTTGGGCAGGCTGAGGCGTGAACCGCAGATAAGGCGCCGGTGTTTCCTCGGCAATGCTGACTCAGGCAGGCAGCTGGCCAGGCAGCGGGTCATTGTCAGGTGGCCAACAGCTTGCAGACAATGGCTTGATTATTGATGCCTGGAGGCGAAGAAGAGTACATCTACATCCCTGGAAGCGAGCAGGTTGGCTGGTTGCGGGTGTTGTGCCTCTTCCTGCCCAGAAGCTTTGCACATGGATATCTATGACAACAGTGACGATGACGATGTCTAATCGACGTCCTAGTACGTAGGAGGCTTGTACGAAAGAGGAGTGGCTAGACCGATAGGCCTAGCATCAGAGCGACTACCACATTCCTAAGGTATTTCACCTCAGGTGTGGTTTTCTTACAACAAACTCGACACTACCTTACGAAAAGATGATGTTTACTTTCTGTTGAGATCAATAGATTCTTCTTAACCTATTTCATTTCATGTCTACATCATCACGCCTGGTTGTAGGTAGTCAAAATACGGCGACGATAAACCGATGCACATGAGGTGGGGAAGATCCATGAAAAAGGCAGGCTCCATGAGCCCAGGCAGCATCTCGTGAATTGAGGTTCAATAGCTTGGTCATCGATGCACAGCGTAAATTCGTCGTGGCCTACTAGTAGGTAGGTACATACTGACGTGTGTTCATGAATGGAATAAAAAGCACCGTCTCATGAACACGCTATGACCCAGGTATTGCCCCGTGCTTTTGCAAGTAAGCTACCTGGCCTCATCTCGCCCTCTGGTCCTTCCCCTTAGCTGAGGACCTTGTCGGCCATTGAGACTAGAGCAAGCCGAGTCAGAAATCTCGTTCAGATGCCAAAATGGGAGGCTCGAGGAGTAGATGAGAGGAGAAAATGAGGAGAAAACTCACCGGCAGTGCCCGTGTTGTCCGGCTCAACAAAGGCGGCAGCGACCTTGCCATCCTTGATCTTGAGAGCATAGCGCTTGCTTCGGGTGCCTCCAAAGAGAGCAGCAGCTTCGTCAAATCCCACGTCCAGAGCCTTGGTGAACTCAGCAGTGGGGTCGGCAACGAAGCGAATCTTGTCAATGGTCAGCACGATGATGATTTGGCTGTGGTGTGTGCAGTGGCGAATGGACTCACTCCTGACTGTTCGACGGGATCCAGCTAGTCTGCCCAAGCCTTCATGCTGTAATGTCATTCACACGGATCAGTGTCTCCTCCTCCTCCTTCTTCTTCTTTTTATCCAAAGGTGCCCGGCCACTTACACAAAGGGGTCGTTGACAGAAACGACAAAGACCTGGCCAGCCGTCTTGATGTTGGGGTGGTTGATGTACGAGGGGATGTGCGTAGCCGAGCAGGTACCGGAGAAGGCTGCAGGGACGCCGACAATGTATCCGTCGCCCTTCTTGAACTCGTCGGCCAGGTTGACCTTTGTGGCGGCCGACTTCTCGAACAGCTCCAGGCTCGGGACCTCGTCGCCGACCTTGACCAGGACGCGGGGCGTCGAGTGGAAGCCACGCGCAACGGTGGCGGGGCGGGCCAGGGCAAGGCGACGGAGAGGCAGACGGAAGGCCATTGCTGCTGAGGTTTAAGCTTTGGCGGGTGTGTGATGAGTATCAGATGTCAGACGGAGCAAAGGGGAGATGAGAGATGATGGCGGCGAAGGTGCGGTTCCAGAAGCCACGACGAAGCTTACAGCTTGGTTAGGGTAAGGTAAAGTAAGGTAAGGTAAGGTAAGGTAGGTACAGATTAGAGCGAGAGCTTGAGCGTTGTTGGGGTGGCGTCATTGAGTTTAGCGGTACAGTCAGCCGTGCCCCGCGGCTTAGCCAACGCCAACCAGCCCCCCGCCCAGCTTGAGCAAGAAGCACGATATATTACTGCGTTTACACTACAGACGGTTCACGGAGCCACCCTATAATACCTAGTATTATTTGAGATGAAGAGGCTCCTGTCTGTAATTGAAATAGAGTAGGTGCATGATGAGATTATCAGGTGGCCGTTCCTATTGTTTATTCTTCACAAAGTACCTAATTGACATCTAGGGTAGAATGGTGCTTCGGCCGTGAAGCCATTGTTCATCTCAGCGCATCTGATTCTACCTACTATACCTCAGGTACCTGAATCAAGGTATCCATGGGCTAACCCACGAGCCTTACAGGTTCGTCCTGCTCAGCCCGACAAAGCTTCCACAGAGCTGGGTCCACGCTCACAGACTTCACAGCGTCAATGCTTCATCACTCTGTTCTCATCGCGATTTACAACGAGATTTCTGTCATTAGTGATATCGGCAAGAGAGTTGGCGCATAGTTCAGTTTCCTCGACGTTTCGCCTAGCAAGCAATATGTGATTACACCTGTGATACGAGCTCACAGAAAGTCTAATTGTGCATCCTCGTAGGTACCTACCTACTTTTCGTATGTGCTACGAAGTGATACTCCATCCCTGGCATTATGATGCGGCCGTTGGTCATGGACTACGAATATGCTTCGTATGTGTCATGATCTTTCAGAGCTGGCAGCATCTAACAAGAAACTCAAGGATGCTACATCGGATGTGAGAACAGATTCACTCACATACACATACGCGATAGAGTTCCACATCCCCAGACTCTCTCTCACTCCAGACAAATTCCCTTCAGCTGGGTGGCGATACGAGAAACTCGTCGGCAAATAGGAGTCTCTCTCTCTGACGTAGCAGCCCGGCAGAGAGCAGAAATCCTCACTCGGCAGCCAGCAGATCACAGGGGGGGAGAGCACGGGCGAGGCGGAGGGACGTGCTTCAATGATGGGCTTGTCGGGAAGGGGGGGGGGTGGCTTCCTGCCGGTCTGGGAACACGGCGAGATTGAAGGACTGCAAGGAGAAGGGCCGCATCAATCACCCAGCAGCCAGGCAGGCAGCGCGCATGAGATGCATCCAACGTGATTGCGGTTGTACGGGCGCATGTGCTGTGTAGAAACGTCGCATTGAGGTTGTCTTGCTGTTTGGCGTTGGTGTTGTTGAAGATGGTCTGAGCAGCAAAACCACCCCATGCATGCTGTTGTTGTTGTTGGGTCTGGGGGGGGATTTTATTAGAGAGGCGTGGGGGTTCACAGCTGCAGATGTGTAAAACGTGTGGGTGGTCCTGCTGGGCACGATTTTCTCTTACGGAGCAGCTGCTTAATCACCGCGCATCAGCATACAAAAGAAGCGGGCTTTGGCAGTGTTTTTGTATACCCAGGAGAGGAGGGTCTTGTATTGGGCCAGGGTTTATGCTGCTACTACCTGTAGTATGTATCGCACGGCCCCGTGTCACGACGGGCTCCCTTGCCTCTCTCTCTCGGGGATTATATCGACCCTGACGACTCCGTATCCCGTTCCTGGCCCTATTCCGCATCTGGCCTTAGCTGCGCAGCATTCTGGCTACTAGCATCAATTTCATCTCACCTTTGGCCGTTCAACCAGCGCAGCCCGCCGACGGTCATGGGACCCCTCGACGAGAGCGGGCAGCTTTCGAGTGGGCTCTTTTGTTTTTCTGCGCGGACAGACAGGCAGGGAGGGCTGAGGCCACGAGTTATCGCTGGCCGGGCTGGCGCTCATCATTTCCAGGACGGCTCTGTATACCCAAATCTGCTAGGCGCACAACGTAAGGTAGGTGTGTATGTACATGTATGCAGCATTTCACAGTGCCTACCTTGAAGTTGAGCCCATACAACTCTTCAAGGGTACTGATCAACTCGCAAGGGGGGGGCCCTCAGAGTTTCGCATCCAGAGCCGTACTCAGCAACTCTGTACGGTGATCCCCCAGCGCGCGACGTTGAGTCTCGGCGGAGAGGGGCAGCGCCGTGTCGATGCAGCATCTGTGTCGTTTGTGCCGTCTCCTGCTAGTATTAGCACTTATTACTATTGATGGACCTCCACACAGCGCGCCGTTCGCAGCAGATAGGCAAAATCATCGGGTCCCGCAACGCTCCACCTGCCCCTGGCGCCTCACCCATGCGACTCCAGACGAGTGACAGGCAGGAAATGGTGCGTTTCAGCGCCGTCGGTGGGTGTTGATATGCTGATACACTTCTGAGGGCATTGTGTTACGGAGTAGTAAGGTACATACTTGCGACGGAGTACGAGGTACTTGTACAGGCCGGATCCTGAACCTCTCACCAAGACAAGCCAGGTGTCGTTTGCCTGCACCAAGCAATAGAGGTAGAGATACAAGTTCACCCGCCACCTCTGGTGTCATCGGTGGCGATACCCAGCACAAGCGTCTGCACATACATACAGACACCACAATGCGCAACGGGGGACCAACGTCACTCCAAGTGTTCTCGAGCCGTGTTCGGCGCAAGAGTCCCCTCCGTTGTAGTAAATGGATATAGGTACTGAGGAGGTTACGTACCTAGGTTTCGAGACGCGGCATCGACGGTTTCAAGCTGGGCATTGGCGTTGTGATGCGAGCAAAGAGAGGATTCAAGACCCAGCAAGTTGCCTGCGAGGGCAATGAGAAGCACTGTGCCAGGCTTTTTACTTCTCGATCCCCGACGATCGAGGAGCCGAGCCTCGTTTGCTTGCTGCTTGCTCGCTTATTGCTGCCGTACTTTGCACATGCGAGCATGTATACAAGTACCTACTGGCACCTGGCGATATCATGGGGGCCATGCTCGCATGGCACCTCTGGTTGCATGAGGTTGGTCGAAGCCTTTATCCGGTGGCCAGAGTTGCCAAGACCTTGAGGGTATCATCGCTCACAATGCCGGCACACAGCATGTGCTGATTGCCTGATTGTCTGTAAGTCAGGCAACGAGACGCACTCAACTGCGTACTCGTAGGTGACTCAATACTGCCAGCTTGAGAGCGGGCACAGTGCTGCGAAAGCTGAAAGCGCAACATGAAGCAAAAGAAAAAAAAAAAAAAAAAAAAAAAAAAAAGCACCTACGTACCTGTAGGTAGTCAGGGATCTCTTGTCCTGCGCCGCGAGTTAGTAGTCGCAGGTACCGGTTGGTGGCTCGGCGCTACACGCAGCGTTACCCCGCCGCCCCTCTGGATTGCACCTTGGATCAGCACCTTACTCGTGGTGCTTGCAATCAAAATGATGTGCCCTTTTGCTGGGGGCTAGCGGCCTGTTGGAGGCAGGGGCTATGCGGAACTATCTTTCTCGTGTCTGGGACGGGATGACGAGGGGTTCGAGACGAGCAGGACAAAGAGGAGGAGGATGCAGAGTCAGGAAGAGAGCGAGCCAGCGAGATGGAGAGTCATACATACCTGTATTACAGTAAGACTGTGATGGAAAAACAGCCTGGAGGTGACTGACTTGCCAATACCCACCGAGAATACCTAGCAACGTGAGGTCAAGTTGATAGTGGTACCTGCAAAGCACCGGCTCGGAGGTACCGTCGTCTGTCCTTGCATGTACGTACTTGTACCTACCTACGTACCTCTCGTACACCCTCCTCTCTCGCGAGGTGAAATTGATGGCACCGCAAAGTCACATCATTCGCTGCGGCACAATGCATGCCTTGGCTTCTTCAACGGCGCGGTTGCCCAATGCCCGTCGAGTGCTGCGCTGTGATGAGCACCTAGGGCGTGCATGCGGCAGACGTCGGAGATGGCTGCATGCAATGTGACGAGACCAAATGTTGGAAGCAGGAAGAGGCAGAGAGAACATGAAGAAGGCTGGAAGAAGTAGTAGCTTGTAAATGTAACCGGACACAGGTTCAAGTTGCTCGCAAGAAAAGGTACCTTACTCGTACCTGCCGGTGCAAGGAGGTACTGTCGATGTACAGGGACTTGGCCATGTTGCGCATCATTGTCCGCTAGCGATGGTGGGCACACGCTCGCACACTCACACTCACTGCTCCCACTCGCGCTCCCACTGGCTGCACGCGCCATTGAATACCCCTGGCCGCCGCCCTGACAAGTGCGCAGCCTTTTCCGATAGACGGGCGGGTACTCCGGCCTGTCCCTGAACAAGGGCCTGGCAGCGCTACCCCAGACCACTGCAGGGCCGTCGTACGGCAGTCTGGCGCCTGTCCGGATGCGGCTGCGCTACCAGTGCGGCCAGGTACCTGAGCCCACCGCGCAACGTGGGTGGCGCTGCAAGTACTGTTAGTATTTTGCTGTACGAGTATTACCAGGTAGTCTAGGTCGCATCGACGTTCGTGCTGGCTCATTTTATCGTCTGCTCTGCCTCTCTGGTCTGGTCGCGCTTTGCACATCGCTTCCCAGTCTAGCCTGTTCGGACCGGCCGTGTGTGTGTGTCTAGGTACCTAAGGTAGTGCCATGTAGATTGTCCCAGCCAGTTCCTGTGATGGGTTTTTCTCTCTCCAAAATCCAAGGTACCTCAGCAGTACCAGGCACAGGCTCCTACAGTACCGTAGTAGGTACCTCTTCCTGTGAGTGTCTGCAATCTGCAACCCCTGGAACCGGCGCTGCTTCCCCTCTCAAACCTCCCCCAAACAAGGCGCGCTGCTCCAGTTTTATTCCTGCTGTTGCATGTCCTTGTCCTCAACCTGGAACTCGATCCGACTCCAAACCATCGCCAGCCGTCGCAGCCACAAACTCTGTCGCTGCCGTGCCTCGTGTCTCTGCCGCAACTCAACGCATCTCGACTCTCTCTGGCCCGCTCGCATTGGCCCAGCGCTCGACACTATTCGGGCCTCGACGACTTTGTCCAGCCTTCCCTCTCCCGCGTCCGCCGTCTGTCCGCCTGTCGAACCGAAATTTGGCTGTGTGTCCGTCGCTCGGCTAGCGACGCTGCCCTGACTTGACGCTCTTCGCCTTCTCACCACCAGCTTCTTGTCACCGGCGCGACAGCCTTTTCATCCCAGACGCATTTTCCCTCTCACTCTCCCTTTCTCTCGCCCCGTTGGTGGTGTTCGACGCGTGTGTTGCTGCCGTTTACTGCGGCCCTTGGATGCAAGCACAGGCAGATTCTCTTGTCTTTGTTTCTTCACCTGATTGCGCTTGACAGGCACAGAAGTCTCGGCGCTGCTTGGCTGGGAGCGGTTTCTGGCATCAATCACCGTCTGCGCTCCCGCTGCCCTGGCCCTTCGCCGACCTGCACGGGATAACCTCGATCGAACCGTTACACCATCGCCAAATCGCTTAAGAAGCTCTCCCGAAGCCGACGCAAATTGTACCACAAGCCTGCCTCTGGCGACTGCACCTTTGTTTACCTCTCTCGCCTCTCTCATCTTTCTTGTCTCTGTTTGGCGACACTGTCTTTTTTTTCCTTCTTCCTTTTCTGACCAGCATCCTCCTTCTCTCGCCTTTCGATCCGCGCCGACGACGCAAACTATACGAAACAGAGGTTCAACCATCTGGGACGACTTTCGATTGCACATTATTGCGCTAGGTGATGAGCATTGTCGCTTAACTCCGCCTATTCCTCTCTTTCGTTGTCGACGAAATCCGAGGTTCTGGGGCGACAAGGCCCGACCCTCCCTCCTGTCGCACAGCGCCAAATCCCCATAATGCCTGTCATGCTCCATACCCCCTCGAGAGCCTCCACAGCGTCAACCTCTTCCTTTCAACAACTCTCGCGACAAAACACCATGTCGACCTACGATGGCTCGCGCTCTGCGCGCCAGTCGAAGCGGTACTCCATGTCCGCGCTGTACATGTCCATGTCAGCAAACGAGGGAGAGATGCAAATTGAAGACGACCTCGCTAAAGGTACATGATGCAGCAAACCCGGCTGGCGTCCTTTCAGCCCCTTGGAGCGCACAACGACTGACTTGCCCAACCTACAGCCCAGAAAGCCCTGCGAGATCTCAAATCCAAAATCTCCTCACAGTCCAAGAAGAACTTTGTTCTCGAAAAGGACGTTCGCTATCTTGATTCACGGATTGCGCTGCTGATCCAGAACCGCATGGCTCTGGAAGAGGTACGTAGGGAAGAAAAAACGCGGTGTGATGCTGTGCGATCCGATGGACGCCGTGCTAACGCCCTCGCAGCAAAATGAAGTAGCCAGCCACCTCGATGACTCCGAAATGGAGCAGGGCTTCTTCCCCAACGACGACAAGACCCAGAAATACGGAAACCTCTTGTTCCTTTTACAATCTGAACCCAGGCACATTGCCCACCTGTGTCGGCTGGTTTCCATGTCGGAAATCGACTCACTTCTGCAGACAGTCATGTTCACAATCTACGGAAACCAGTACGAAAGCCGAGAAGAGCACTTGCTTCTCACCATGTTCCAGGTACGTTGCAGTCAAGAAGCCTGATGCAAATTCTCGTCTCCCTCCGGCTAACAGCGCCCCCCTTTTGTCTCCTTTAGTCCGTTCTCACCTATCAATTCGACAACACACCCGACTATTCCTCGCTGCTCCGAGCCAATACGCCCGTTTCTCGCATGATGACGACCTACACCCGAAGAGGTCCCGGCCAAAGCTTCCTGAAGATTGCCCTGGCCGACAGAATCAACAGCTTGATCGAACTGCAAGACCTGGACCTCGAGATCAACCCCCTTAAGGTGTATGAGCGCATGGTGGAGCAGATTGAAGAAGACACCGGCACGCTGCCGCCGAACCTGCCAAAGGGCATCACTGCCGAGCAAGCAGCCGAAAACCCTCAGGTCCAAGCCATCATCGAGCCGCGACTGACGATGCTTATCGAAATTGCCAATGGATTCTTGTCCACCATCATCGACGGCCTGGAGGAGGCTCCCTACGGTATTCGCTGGATTTGCAAGCAGATCAGGAGCTTGACCAAGCGCAAGTATCCCGATGCGAACGACCAGATCATCTGCACCTTGATTGGTGGATTCTTCTTCCTGCGCTTCATCAACCCGGCCATTGTGACGCCCAAGTCGTACATGCTCATCGACGGAACGCCCGCCGAGCGACCTCGCAGAACCCTCACCCTGATCGCCAAGATGCTGCAGAACTTGGCAAACAAGCCTTCATATTCCAAGGAGCCCTACATGGCCAAGCTTCAGCCTTTTATTCAACAGAACAAAGACCGGATCAACAAGTTCATGCTCGATCTGTGCGAGGTTGGCGATTTTTACGAGAGCCTGGAAATGGACAACTACGTTGCGCTGTCGAAGAAGGACCTGGAGCTCGAGATTACGCTCAACGAAATCTACGCTATGCACGCACTGATCGAGAAGCATCGCAACGAGCTGTGTAAAGATGAGACTTCGCACTTGTCCATCATTGTGTCCGAGCTGGCGGCGGCCCCTCCCCAGGTGCCTCGCAAAGAGAACCGAGTCATCAACCTTCCCTTGTTTAGCAGATGGGAGACTGCGATTGACGACTTGACCGCGGCACTGGATATTACACAGGAGGAAGTGTTCTTTATGGAAGCCAAGTCCATCTTTGTGCAGATCATGCGAACCATTCCTCAGAACAGTGCCGTCTCGAAGCGACCCCTGCGGCTTGAGCGCGTCGCGGACGCGGCCGCCACGAGCCGCAACGACGCCGTCATGGTGCGCAAGGGAATTCGGGCCATGGAGCTCTTGTCTCAGTTGCAGGAGCTCGGCGTGATCGACAAAGCCGACCAGTTCGATCTGCTGAGAGACGAAGTCGAGCAAGAGCTGCAGCATCTGGGCTCGTTGAAGGATGGCGTCATTGCCGAGACGGAGAAGCTCGAAGAAGTCTTCAAGACCATTCGGGACCACAACGCGTATCTGGTCGGCCAGCTCGACACCTACAAGAGCTACCTCCACAATGTGCGATCACAAAGCGAAGGCACCAAGCGGAAGCAGCAGAAGCAGCAGGTTCTCGGGCCCTACAAGTTTACGCACCAGCAGCTGGAGAAGGAGGGCGTAATACAGAAGAGCAATGTCCCGGATAACAGACGGGCCAACATCTACTTCAATTTTACCAGTCCCTTGCCGGGCACTTTTGTCATTTCCCTGCATTACAAGGGTGAGTTTCCATTCCGTCTCCTGTTTTTGCTTGTCATCCCATTGTCTATTGATCACGCGCTAACAATATGCAAAGGTCGAAACCGTGGTTTGCTGGAACTCGACCTCAAGCTTGACGACCTGCTTGAAATGCAAAAGGACAACCAGGACGAACTGGACCTGGAATACGTTCAATTCAATGTTCCCAAGGTCCTTGCCTTGCTCAACAAGAGATTTGCTCGAAAGAAGGGGTGGTAAAGCAACATTCCGTTTGACCATGTCACAGCCGCCATCTGTTTTGCCGCCTTATTGAGCGCATACCTTGTTCAGCAAAGCCACGACTCTATGCGAAAAGGGGATGGGAGGGGGAAAAGGAGGGCGTTTTGGAGCATTATGGAAGCTTTATTTCCCTTGTTGAAAGGCGTCGCTAACTAGTCGCTGCGGCCTCTTTGTGTGTACGCTCCCAGTTTTGTTTCGTTTTTCTTTCTTTTTTTCTCTTTTGCGTTTTCTTGACTCAAATATTCGCCACGGTTTCACTCTTCAAGCGGGTGGACGGCCTGTAACGATGCTTGCTTTTTTTTTCTTTTCTTTTCATCTTTTTTATATACCTTGGTAATGATGGGAAGGAGAGACGCCGTTATCATGTTATTGTCCCCCAAACGAGCTGGTTCTTGATTTGGGGAGGAAGAATCTCTTTATGCGAATGAATTGTTCGTGGCTTTCACCATGTTCCCGTTTTTGCAGTCTTCCTGTTTTATGTTTTGCTTTCATCTTTCTGGCGGTCGCTGATAATGACTACGTTGGTAATGCAATACTTTCATTGTCTCAAGCCTTGGTTACTCCTGTATGATATGTGTTGGTATTTCTTAGTATCGCTATGAGAATGAAATGGTGTGCTGTAAGAGGCATTTCTATGCATCCAGGCTTTGTCTGTCTCTGAATTCGTAAGGTACCTGATGTTGTTTGACAGGCGCTGTGTAAGTGACGTTCGTCCCGATGCTATGTAGGCAGGCTTGTCAAGATGTATGACAGAAATCCGTGTAGCTCTTCGTTTCTGGTGCTGGGGAGTCCTGTCCTGTAGTCAATACCATTCTAGTAAGCGAGTACCTGATGCGTTAAAAAAAAAAAGAAGGTCAAACATAACAAGGCAATTTAATGAAACGATTCGACCTTTACTACACTCTCCCCAAGTCATTCTCCTCCCCACCAGCCCTCCTCTTCCTCAGCCAGCCCCAAGGCCGCCTCCACGACGAACCACCACCACTGGAACCCCCTCCTCCGGCAGCAGCGCTCCCGCCATGTCGCCTCAGCCTGAGCCTCCTCTTGCGGCCCTTTGGCGACAAAGAAGCGGAACCGGAGCGGCTGTCCTGCGCGGAGGAGGAGGAAGAGGAGGGATCAGGCTCACGGCATCGAAGGAGGAGGAGGCGGAGGAGCTTGGCCGGGAGAAGGGCCAGGGAGTTCGCGGCGCGGTGGAGGGCCTGGATGGTTTGGATGAAGGGCCGGGTCTGGATGAGGTAGAGGAGGATCATGAAGGGGACGCAGACGAGGACCATGGTGAGCGGGAAGCGCCAGTCCGTGACGGGGATTGTGAATTCCGTGATGCCGAAGACGGACTGTGTGGTTTGTTTCACCATGTTAGTTTCGTCCAAGTCTCGTTCTGTCAATTGCCATCCGGTGTTTTTTTTTTTTTTTTTTTTTTGCTTTTATTGGGATGTCTGTTGACTCACGGTTACAAACGTCAGGGGCAGGAACAGCATGCTAATCATGGTCAAGATGCGGATATTGTCCCCCTGATCGATGGCCCTCCTGCTCTCCTTGATGGAGCTCCCGCTGAAGAGCTGGTCGCGCAGGTTCTCAATCTCCTTGCGCGTGCGCTCGTTGCGCTTGAGCACCTCGCCCAGATCGCTGACGACCTTGTCGAGCTCCCTGCGCAGGACGGCCATCCTGGCGGCGTAGTCGGCCGCTGCCGCCGCCGCTGCTGTTGCCTCGGCAGACTGCTGCGAAGAGGAAGGGAAAGGCCAGAGGAGGGGGTGCGCGCCGGCCCAGACGTCGTCGGTAAAGGTGTCGACGTAGGCGGCGACCATGGCCTTGATGCCCGTGTTGATGACGGCGAGGGTGTTGTAGGCCCAGAAGTAGCGGCGGATGTAGGTGAAGTGCTTGTCTTCGAAGAGGAGCTTGTCGCGGAGGTGGTGGTCGAACATGAATTCCGTCTGCCAGAGGGGTTAGTTGTTGGAGTTGGATCTGATGAGAATGACGGGGAGGCAAAGATAGTAAGAAAAGGGGAGGAGGAAAGGAATTACGAACAGGAGGCGTGATGAGCTTGGTGATTCGCTCATGCAGAACCTGATTCCTCTTCCCGGCATCACGATACTCTGCAATGAGCAGCTCCAGAAACGCATACGGCCCGCTGCAGAAGCTCTTGAGCTGAAAGTCGTCGCCCCTGACCGTGTGCTCATCGTCGGGGAAGCTCTGGATGCTGAGCAACTGCCAGGGCGCAAACGTGTCGAACAAGAAGCCTTCCTTGGCGCGCTCCCTCCGCGGCCGCATCTTGAGCGTCTTGGTGGGCTCGCCGCCGAGCGAGAGGGCCAGGACGGAGCCGCACTCGGCGATGTCGATGTGGTCGTCGAGGCGCTTGTCCGTCGGGCGCTTCTCGTACAGCTGCCAGGGGGCCGGGTCGAGCCCCGGGCCGAGGAGGGTGTAGTATTTAAAGACGAAGAAGAAGGATCGTTGGCGGAGGTGGGCGAAGGACACGGGCGGCGCGACGCCGTGGGAGGGCATCGTAGGGGAGGACGGGTAGGCCTGGGATGAAGGGGTTCGCTCGTAGGCGCGGTGCATGAAGGCGTGGGTGCGGCCGCGGTTGGGCGTGTCGGAGAGGAGGTGGTGGAGGAGCTCTGTCATGTCGAAGTGAGGCGACATGGTGAGGTGGAGGGCGGCCAGCATGAGAGGTGTCGGCTCTTGGACGATGCTAGATAGTGGACAGAGTGAGATTTGGCTTCCATGAGCATATGGATCAAGTGTAGGGAACAGGGACACGTAGCACACAGGGGACGAGGGGCGAAGCATACGTGATACGGCCGACGGCTTTGCCGCTGGTGTTGACATGCCTGATGGTCTCCCACACCGTCGGAGCCTCAACGATGCCATCAGGGGGCTCTACCAACTCCTCCACCCCGTACTTCACAAAGCATTGCCCGTCGACTTCTACACGGGCATTCGCATTCAGCTTGGCCGCCCTCCCATCCTCGCCAACCTCATACACCTCAAACGTCGAGTTCCCAAAGCGCTCCCACTCAGCAGCAGCGGCCTCGCGAAACGCCTGCGCCGAATCAATTTCCCACGGCGGCAGCGGCTGCTCGTCCTCGTCGACAAGCAGGCTCGAGAACTCGGGGCAGAACTCCGAGTCGCGCAGGTGGCGGAAGAGCATGTCGTCCGAGAAGCTCATTGGGGTGATTGCCTGGTGGACATGTGACTGTGCGGCTGAGACGGCGATGGTAGCAGCGGTTGCCGTGTCGGAGCGTAGATGGCGCGAGTCGCCGCCGTGGACGGAGGGGGACTGCTCCAGGAGAGGGATGAAGGGGATCTCGTCATCCGGGACGGCATCGCTGCCCTGGAGATTTGGCGTCAGGGGGAGGAACTTGGGGGATGGATAGCATGACGGGCGGTCGTGCGTGTCCGGCGTGTCGCGGCGGAAACGAGGCAGCACCTGGAGGATGCTGTTGGCATCGCTGGCAAAGGTGAAGGCGCGCAGGGGAGGCGTTGCGAGGCCCTGGACGGTGGTGCGGCCGCCGTCGCTGGTCTCCCGCTCTCGTCTGTAGCGGTTGAGGACGTCGTGGAAGCCGTGGAGGCTGCGCAGGTATTGCTCGTGGTGGTGCTCGACGGACCTAGCCAGCTCCTCGAGGCTGGTGTTGGTGCGTGGTTGCACGGCCATGGTGCTGCGATTTCGGGGGAGACGACGAGAGATGTAGGTAGTTGCAGTATTAGAGCTACCCCCTAAGCAGATGCCAACGACCAAGACTTTCTACAACATGACAAGACGATCAATAAGGTAGATAATCTCTACCGCATGGTATCTTACAACAGGGTGTCGTCTGAGGGGGTACATATACTTCCAACACATACACACAGAGATGCAGTACTAATCTGAGGCACTCCGATCTGCGCATCTTGGCATCACCAAGTTCGGTTGCCTAGATGACGCATCTCAGAGCCTCGAAAGCCATGCAGTTGGACAGCACGAACCCGCCCATGGTCTAAACAGAGCCCCTGCTGCTCTCTGACGCCGTAGAGGTTGCATCCGAACAGATGAGCGATATGATATCTGATGGGCGTCGACAAAAAACGCCGCACCACGTGCAGCTCGCTGTTCCTGTCTGTCTGCCTGTCCGGTTCAAAGCACGAGCACCTGGCCAAGCCTCGGGGAACAGGGCCGACGGTGTTGTCTCTCTCTCTCTCTCTCTCTCTTTCTTCTTCTTTCGCTTGACCCAAGGCAAACCCTTTCGCTCTGTCATCCCCCGGTTGTCCCGTCATAACCTCCCCCATGCGAAAGGGGGAAAAGGGGGAGGAGTGAGGGTGTTGGCGTGCGTTAGCTCGGTGTCTTGGTGTGGTCAAGACTCGTTTGTCGTGGTTTGTTCTGGGGTTGATAATGAGGCGAGGAGAGAAAACGAGGCTGAGCTGTGCTGGGTGGTGGGTTGGTGCGGCTGGAGGCGGCCGGAGCCGCGGATGCCAGCGAAGAGGTTGCGAGTCACCGAGCGTTTTCGAGGTTGGTGGATTTCAGGGATCCTACCTCTACTCGTACTGCCTCAGCTCACGTGTTGGTCGTGGGATGTGACGCATCTCGCGATCGCATCTTTCCCCCATTGTGCGGAGTCCAAAGAGAAGCTCCGCCTCCGCTGCGAATGACGCACATCAGCCCATCCTGGATCTCAGCTCGTGGGATTGTGCCGAGGCAGTGCTTCGTGAAGTGCTAGGAGTCGGGGATGGACAACTTGGGCAGACCCGGCTGCTGCCTTGCAATAGCGCGCTCGACATATTCCCGCGCATAGTGCTCGTTAGTCAAATTCATTATCCATTAACACCGCAGCGGGCATCATCGTGTCCGTCATATACTAGTATTTTTCCTGCCATACAAGGGTAAGATATCACCAATTACACCGAGCCGCCAATAGCCTCCAGTCCGCCAGTCCGCCCCTTCCGCCGAAACCGGTGCCATCCAATCGTGTCTTCGTTATACCATCGCCCGTCTAAATCCTGCTGCACAGGAGGCGAATGCTCAGTGCCAGCGCACCAAAGATGAAGGGGGGCAGAACCCTGACCTGACTCAGGTTGAGACTTGGCATCGATCAAGACATGACCGTCACAGGCTGGTGAGCAGCGTGCTTGTCGGCATCGTCGACCTCCATAGCATCGTCATCGCCCTCCGCCTCGCCCTCACCCTCTTCTTCCTCCTCCAGCTCGTCCTCACTCTCGCCTTCGATGTCGACGCTGCCGTCCTCGGACATCTCCTCTTCCTCGTGATCGTGTCCGTTCTGGTGCTCGCTCTCGACGCCAGCCATTTCCGAGTCCTCACCCTTCTCCTTGGCGGCCGCTGCTTCTTCGGCAGCCTCCTCATCGGCCTCGTCGGCGCCGTATTCTTCCTCGTCCGCAACCAGGTCGGCCTCGGGCTGCTCAGGGGGAAACTCGGGGGGTGCAGAGGCCTCGGAGTCCCTGGATTGGTTGCAAGATTAGATATTGTTGTCGGAGGCATGATGACGGGGACAGCAAATGCTCAATACTCACCATTTGATGGCGAAGCGGGTCACACGGGGCTTCTCAGCGAGGACGTTGCGTCTCACCCGCTCAATGATCGGCTTCGTGGGGGGCTCAGCATTGAGCTCCTCAGAATCGTACTCATTGTTGACGTAGTATCCAACTCGCACAAACTCGCGTCCGTCGTAGGCGCACGTAAGGAGCACGACGGTGACGCCCAGAATGTCGGCGTCGGGGATGCGAGCAGTGTTGGGGGCCTCAGCTTCGAAGAGGAACTTGTTGACTCCCACGGGGATGGGGCCGACGAGAAGGGAGTCCAGTTCTTGGTCGTACTGGTCCCTGCGGTGGGTTAGCGATGGGAAAACGGCATGGTGCCCAACGAGATCGGCCGACTTACGAGGTAGCAGATCCGACATAGGTCAGCTTCCATTCGAGATCTAGGCGTTGTCAGTCAGGCTACCGCATCTAAACACGTCCGCAGGCTTCGACTGAGGCAACTCACCCTTCTCGAGTGGCTCGAGGCACTCGAATGTAATCTCGAACTCGTACTTGTCGGTGAACTTGGCGGGGTTGTTGACCACCTTGACCCCAAGAAGTGACACGACAGACATGGTGAATAGTGTTTACGAAGGACGACGGAAGAAGATGGATCGAGTCGTACGAATATGCTTGCGAGGAACAGTCCCCTGCAAACACGCCGCGTAGAGAAGATTGCGCGAGAAGACCCAATCGTCGAGGCGGTATCGAGGCTACTTATAGCAAAAACCGTTTGGAGGGGCAAACAAACACGCTCGGTAGCGGCTTGTACGATTTTCTTCAGCTGCGAGAGATCGAAGGCGCGGTGCAAATGCAGATGCAAAGGGAACTGGCAACTCGCTGGCTGTTGTGCAGAGAAGAGAGACACGACGCGGCTGCTCTTTGAGGGAGGGAAGAAGGGGAAGCGTAGGGAAAAAAAAAACAAAAGTCGAGAGCACAGAGAGGCTGCACGAAAGTCGAGGTTGAAACAACGTGGTGGCGGCTGGCGACGCGACCGTAGCGCTGCGCGTTAAGTGGTCTCCAGGGTGTGTGGCGCCTGTGATTTCAGTGGCAGTCGCTGGGCTGGGGGAGAAAATCCGCTACCAATTGGCGTCTGGGTGGTGCTGATGCGCGGGCAGGTAGAGGTACGGCTGCGGTACTTGGTAGCCTTGTGCGGAGGACAATGGGAGCGCTGGAGCTGAGGCCAATCGCCCTGGGCTGTAATGGATAAGTAAGCCGCTAGCCAACAGCCAAACAGTCAAACATGTCGGCGCATCAAGTAGCCGAAAGTCTCTGAACCTCGAGGCACCCCAAGCCACCTCGTGCTGGTACCGGCTCTCAAACTCCAGCCTGGCCAACGTGCAGCCTTTCCCCAATCGGGAGCTTTGGGCGACTCTATTTTTCTGAGCTCCAAACTCTGACCTCTGACCTCGTCATCGCATCATCTCGCCCAGACACGCTCTTTGGTCGGCGCTTCCGAATCTCGACACAGGCATCACTGTTCTGCTCTGCTGCAGCTGGACGGAGGCTCTCTTTCTCCTTTCGCACCAACATCCCTTTGCCGTCATTCTGGGCAAGGCGCTGTGGCTCCGATCTCGATCTCGACCTCGACCTCGACGCTGAACAACGGCGACGCGATTTACCGGTCGGCGATTCGGTTCTGCATCCATCGCTGGATCGTGGATTGGATTGGCATTGCGTGACTTGGTAAGAGTTTCTGAATGACCACGATGTACAGCAACTTGATTCAATTCTAACTCGAGGTTAGCATTCTCCTCACAGTCGATCGATCCGAGACCACCGCGGCGCTTTGGCTTCTCTGCCGAGCAAGAGCCCATCGAGTTTGTCCTACCCTTTGTGTCAGCCATTGACGCACCTCCATCGTCCGAACCGGACCTGCCGCCCAATAGACCTCCACAGGCGCCACTGTGGTGTTCCAAGTTGAACATACAGAAAGCCTCTCAAGATGGCTTCTGAAGAAACTTCGTGGGGCAATGAAGGATTTGCGGCCGCGGAAGGCGATCATACTCAGCATAGCGACGAACAAGTTGATAACTTTGCTCAAGACTCCCATGTGTCAGGTGAATCAGCGGATAATGGAACCGAGGATGGAGGGGATTATGATCCCGAATATGTCCCCGATGAATCAGTTGTCCCAGACCCTCCAGTCCCTGAAAAAGCCGCCCCCGCTGTCCCTTCGCAACGTCCTGCATCATCCAAGCCAAAAATGTCGGGCGGCTTCTTAGTGGAAGCCTCCGACGACGAAGACGAAGACGACGACGAAGGAGGCAATGCAGCAGGCCCTGGCCAGCGCGAGCCCTCGGCATCGCAGAGCCAAGCCGGTCAGCCCACCGAGGCCAAGGCCTCAAGTGCCTCAGTCCCTCCTGTTCCCACCAATGTCCCTTCCAATGTGACTGCAACACCAGTGGCTAGCCTGAATCCGGTAACGTTGCTCGAGGCTCGCATTAAGGAGGATCCTCGAGGGGACATGGATGCGTGGCTCAATCTCATTGCCGACCATAAGCGCAACAGCAGGCTGGACGACCTTCGCAAGGTTTACAACCGGTTCCTGGAGGTCTTTCCCCAATCGGTAAGTTGAATGTTGCTTCCGTCGAGCTGCTTGAGTCCTGTTGTGCGAGACTGACGATGAACAGGCTGACGTGTGGGTCGAATGGATCGAAATGGAACTCGGCATGGACAATTTCGTCGATGCTGAACAGCTCTTTGGGCGATGCTTGATGTCGGTCCCCAACGTCAAACTGTGGACTGTCTACCTCAACTACATCCGCCGACGGAACGATCTCAACAACGATCCTACCGGCCAAGCCAGGAGGACCATCACGCAATCATACGAGTTCGTGATTGATAACATTGGCGTGGATCGGGACTCGGGCAACATCTGGCAGGACTACATCCAGTTCATCAAGAGCGGCCCTGGCCAGATTGGGGGCACCGGTTGGCAAGACCAGCAAAAGATGGACCAGCTGCGCAAAGCCTACCACCGCGCGATAACCGTTCCCATGTCCACAGTGAACAATCTGTGGAAGGAGTACGACCAATTTGAGATGGGGCTCAACAAGGTGACGGTGCGTCTCCGGCTTCTTTCTTCTCTCTCTCGTCAAACTGTTCTAGTGCTGATCTTGCCAGTAGGGACGCAAATTTATCCAGGAGCGATCTCCTGGATACATGTCTGCCAAGAGCGGTAACATCGCCTTGGATAACATTACCCGAGACTTGAAGCGCACGAATCTTCCCCGGCTGCCGCCGGCTCCAGGATTCGAAGGCGACCAGGAGTTTCGGCACCAGGTGGCCCTGTGGAAGAAATGGATCGAGTGGGAGAAGGAAGATCCGCTGGTGCTCAAGGCGGACGAGCCAAAAGTATTCGCACAGCGGGTCCTGTACTGCTACAAGCAGGCCCTCATGGCCCTGCGCTTCTGGCCAGAACTATGGGTTGATGCAGCCGAATGGTGCCTTCAAAGCGACATTGCCGAGGTCGACAAGGAGATGGGCGTCGAGTTCCTAATTCAAGGAATCGCCGCCAACCCAGAGAGCGTCCTGCTTGCTTTGAAGCACGCAGACCACATCGAAGCCACTTCGCCGCTCAGGGAGGGAGACAAGGCTGAATACGCCAAGGCCGTGAGGAAACCTTTCGACGATGTTTTGAACAGGCTGTATGCACTGGGAGACAAGGCGAAGGAGCGGGAGAAGCTGGAGATATCCACTCTAAAGCAGGCGGCGGCACAGGAGGCTCCCCTGCAGCAGTCCATCGAGCAAAACTACGACGACGACTACGAAGATGGAGCTTCGAAGAAGACTTCTGTCGAGGAACGTATTGCTGCTATTCAAAAGGGCTACGCTGCCGAGACCAACATCCTTTCTCGCACAATTTCGTACGTGTGGATTGCCATGGCCAGGGCGATCCGTCGTATCCAGGGAAAAGGCAACCAGACAGATGGTGGACTGCGCAAAGTCTTCACCGATGCTCGGCAAAAGGGACGCCTCACCAGCGACGTGTATGTTGCCGTTGCCTTACTGGAGTCTGTTGTGTACAAGGACCCAGTCGGTGCCAAGATTTTTGAGCGTGGAGCCCGCCTGTTTCCCAATGACGAAGGCTTTATCGTCGAGTATCTGAAGTTTTTGCATTCCAAGGACGATACAACGAGTGAGTTTCCTTTCTCTCCTCCTTCACTATAAGCTTCGGACAGAACACAGTCACTAACAGACGGCTATCCAGATGCTCGGGTGGTTTTCGAGACTTGTGTTAACCGCCTTATCGCCAATCCAGAGACACTTCACAAAGCCAAACCTCTATACGCGTACTTCCACAAGTACGAGTCCCAATACGGCGAACTATCCCAGATCCACAAACTCGAGGCGAGGATGGCAGAGCTGTTCCCTGAAGACCCGAAGCTCAAGAACTTTGCGGCTCGCTACTCGTCTGACAAATTCGATCCGATTGCCGCCCCCGTGATCATTTCGAAAGCTGCCCAAATGCGACCCAAGCTTGCTGCCCCCCTCATTGAACAGCCTGCATCATCCCGCAACAGCTTCCCCCCACAGAGAGAGCAGAGCCCCCGACCACAGTACGTCAGAGCCACTGCGTCTCCGAAACGGCCCCTTGGCCCAGATGACGAGGAGCTCAACCCCCCAAAGAGGCTCGCTAGAGGCGCCTCTCCTCTCAAGGGGGCAGCTGGCCGACGACTTGACCAGCAGCGCCGCAATCAATCATCAGCCCTCCATCGGGACATTACGTTCCTCCTGGGCATCTTGCCTCCCGCCCACACATATGACTCGCAGCGACTGAACGCAGCTGCCATGGTCTCACTCCTCCGGGACACGCCACTTCCCGATTACGCTACCTGGAAAGCACAGACCGGAGGGCAATATCGGTTTACCGCCCCCGTCCATGGTCGACAAGCTTCGGGGGACTTTTCCCGGCCAATCAGTCCATATGGACGAATCGCCCCTGCTTCTAACGTCTATAGACAATCGCCTCTTCGAACAGAAGCTGGAAGTGCGTTTCCCACGGCCCCATACGGGGGGACTGATGCGAATGCGGCTCCGAGTCAATGGCCGCCAGCGCCGACGGGAGGATACAACGCGCCGGCGCCTGGTCAGTATGGAGGATATCGCTTTCAGTAGGTGAACGGTGTGAAAGCTGTACAGCGGATGGCGTTGCCATCTTTTGCAAGTTGGACAACCACCCCTGGAGTGGGTGGTGAAAGGGAAGAGAGCGTTGGAAGGTTTAACTTGATGGATAGTAGAGGACGATGAATACTTGCTCTTCTTGATGCATTCCCAGGGCGTTTGGTAGGAAATAGGAACGTTGGACAGGTTTGCCTATTTACACTAGATATCACGGGCAAACATCTGTTTGCATCTTCTCATGGAATTGCAAGTCGGTGGGTTGTCGGTAAGCCAGGCCAGCTGACGGTAGGATACACCTAGTATGAATATCATTTGTGCCACAGCAACAAACATGCGTGACCCGTCTTGCAGAAGCAGATGCCAATCAAAGTGTCATGGGACATGGGCATTCTAATGCTTACTGGTGATGTACGTTGCAAAGCTGGAGCTACGGGAAGCTGCAAACCGGCGTCTCTTTTCCTGTACGCGAATGCCAGGCCCTGAGAAAAGGGCATTCTTAGGCGCAAGCAAGCAAAGGCACTACCGTAGAAACTCGACTGATCAGTGACGGCTGATTCGACCGAGCTGCATTTGTCCAAACAGCCTCGCTCACAAGAACGGGGTGCCGAATCACAGTCGTGGATACCAAGCTCTGGAACACGGATCATGGCACGTCGTCACGGCTGTCATTGCATCTGCTGAGACGGTAATCCAGGTGCATTCACATCGACTCGTGGTTGTTTGAGCTCAGAGATCAACGTGGTATCAACGTGGTATCACAGCTCTGTGTCGATGATTGCCTGGCGTACCTAAAGCATGTTGGCTCAAAGCGGGCTGGGAAATGCTACCTAGGTAGTCAAGGCTTGTTTCCTCAGAGATATTGCCATCTTGTCTTAGCCTGGCTCTCTCACATACTCTTGTTAAGGAGGTTCCTAGGTAGGCAGAGGCTAGATTCCCACGCAGGTAGCTCTTGATCTCATTAGTCCCTACCTACTTACAGCATCGCTTGCTCCTTCCTCTCTCCTCCAACGGATCAACACTCCCAACAGTTTGAGATCAAGCCTTTGCCCCAACAAGCAGATTCTCCTTGAGCAGCAGCACGAAGCCGCCTTGCAGCCATAGCAAAGCCTCCACATGCGCCCAACCGCCGTCATCTGCACCAAAAGGGCGGTGTCGTGGCAGAAAACAATGACACCATACACGCATCAATACAGAACTCCGTACTAGATACGATCTCGTTACTACCTTATTCTTCTTCTTCCTCATACGACTACCCAAATTGTGCAACTTGCCCTCCACGCAACCACAGGTCAAGAGCCCGCCGAGCTGCATGGCGGCGTCTGCTCGCTTCACTACAGTCCTCCGCAGCTCGCAGATGCTTCTTTCCGCCAGCTGCTGCACACACTGGCAGACACCTCCCGCCCTGCTGCTCTTCACCGTGATGCATCAGCTGCCCAACAGCTGCACTATCAAGGCAGCTGTTGCTCACGTGTTGTGAATCACGGCTCTATCCTCCTCTGCCAGCTGCCTGAGGCCGTCAGCGTCTATTTAAGGGCTTCTCCTCCTCCTCTCCCTCCTCTCTTCTTTCTTTCTTTCTTCTTCCACACACTCGCAGCATCCCTGCTCCACACGCCCTCTTCTCTCTCTGTTTGTGAGAGCTTCCTTTTCGATCTTCTCTGGCCTTGAGCACTGTCTCGTGCCGAGCCTGTCGAGGCTTTCTCGATCGTCAACTTCGGTGAGTGGCCTTTGTTGATTTCTACACTCTCCTCCATTCCTCGCTACTCCTTTGCAGCCCTTCAGCATCTCGATATACCTCTGCACAGCATCAATAGCATCGTTATCTCCATTTCCTAGCTCTTGTGCATTCTTTCAGCTCCTCTACCTCTATCACGTCACATCTTGACGCAGTGTTCTGACCCGATGCAGATTCATTTCGCAGACACTACCTAACAGTCGAGATTCAGCTACGGCTACCCTGTCTATATCTACACGCGGCCATCTCCAGCAACGTCTAGTCAAGATCTTCGACTTCGTCGGGTACGTCCATGTTGCAAGACCTTTTCTCCTTCTCTGCTCTCAACCGCGCAACTCTGTTCCTCCATAAAACACAATTTTGCTGACACTGGAACAGACATCACCCGAGAACACACCTTTGCGGAAAACATATCGAGTTTGACAAACGTCAGAAGTAAGTCGGTTGGCCAGATTCTTTCATGCTGTTGTACCCTATCCTCGACCCTTGCCTCTTGTGTTGGCAGCGTCGGTCAGGACTTGAGACGCTTCTATGAGGCACTCTATAGCTCTTACCCATTTCTGTCTACTCCATTTACTAACTCAACTTCCGTCACAGTTCTCAACATGTCTGAGAGAGGTCGCTCTCCTGCCGCCTCTGGGCATGGCACGCCTAAACAAGGCAGCCCTCACCAATCTCGTGGACCCTCGGTCGCAGGTTCTGCAAGAAGCCGTGGTGCATCTCCAGCACAAGGCCCTCAGAGACAAGGCTCACCAGCACAGGGCTCACAGTCGGGTGGTCCGAGACCTGGCTGGGCTCCCAGCATGGGATTCGATCCTGCGAAGCCCGAGAGCAAGGACCGAAAAGGCAATACTCGTATGGAATTGCCCGCTGATGCCTTTCTCGACAATGAAGACCAGAAAGATGTGTTTGCTGTTCGCGGCAAGAACCTGAATACTGAAGGCCGCCCTGAGATGATCGAAGTCAACCAACTTCGAATGACCAAATTTGACTTCAGCAAAAAGATCTACCAATACGACGTGAGTTCCTCTTGATCCCCTCAGTCGGAACGCCTCATCACTAACGGACACTTGGATAGGTGGTCCTCTCTCCTGAGCCTGACAAACGCGGCCCTGTCCTGAAGAAGATTTGGGCCCATGCCAACCTCAAGGCCGCCCTCGCCCCGTACAACTACCCGATGTGGATTATGGACGGATCTCGGTTGGCGTGGTCCTCTTCCTTGGTCGAACGCGGCGAGATCCGAGTCACAGTCGACTTGGATGACGGCAAGCCTCCTGGGCGCTCCGGGCGCTCAAACAAGTTCTATGTCATGCTCCGCAAGACCACGGAGATCCAGATGAGCGCTCTCCGGGGCTATCTGGAGAGAAAGATGCAATTTAACAACAGCGTTCAGGAAGCACTCAACTTCATGGACCATCTCATCCGCCAATGGCCATCTGAGAATCTTCTGGCTATCAAACGCAATTTCTACAGGAAGAACGAAGCCGGAACCCCCCTCCTCCGAGATGGAGTGATCACCGTTCACAAGGGGACTTACGCTTCTCTTCGACTGTCTAACAATCTTTCCAAGGGAGGCATCGGTCTTGCTCTGAACGCAGATGTTACCAACACTTGCTTTTGGACGGGTCGACAGACCATGGATCAGTACATGATGAGCTTTCTGCGGACGCTTGATAAGCGCTACCAAAGAGAGGAAGTTGCCACCACCAAGATCTTCAATCCGGTTCGAAATTCCAAGGGAGAATGGCAGTCCTCGGATGCCTTCAAGCAGCTTCGCAAGATGCGCAAGCTCAAGTTCACCATCAGGCACATGAACCGTGACCCCAAGCTGGCCGAGAAGGTCTACACAGTGATGGACTTCGCATTCGACCAAAAGTATGGACCGCAGGGCGGTGCCAACGCCGTGACAGTCAAGTTTGACTACAATGGCCGTGAGATCTCGGTGGCCGACTATTACCGGGAGAAGTACAAGGCCACGCTCAAGTACCCCTTCTTGCCCCTTATCGCGACGGGAAAAAATGGACACATTCCGATGGAGTTTGCCTTTGTCGAGCCGATGCAGCGGTATGCTTTCAAGCTGAACCCTGAACAGACTGCAGCAATGATCAAGATTGCTGTCACTCGCCCCAATGTTCGCAAAGGTGACATTATGAGAAACATTGGAGATCTTCGCCTGCAGGAGGATCCCTATCTCAAGTTTTACGGAGTGGACTTGCAGCACCAGTTTGCAAAGACCGAGGCCAGAGTCTTGAACGCCCCTCTTGTGAACTTTGCCCAGGGTACAGCAGACCCCAAGTACTCTGGCCGCTGGGACCTTCGTGGCAAGAAATTCTTCAAGCCGAATGTTGCGCCTCTGACCAACTGGGGCTTTATTGTCATGGACGACTGTGTCCAGTTCCCTCAACTCCAGCAGTTTGCGCGCACTTTCAAGACGACCTTCATGGGACATGGAGGCATTTGCAAGAGCGACCCTCTGTTGATCAACGTGCCGGGCAATCTCAAGAACAATGTTGCTCAAGCACTCGCCCATGCGCACAATCAGATTACTCGTGAGAAGGGATACACTCAGCTCATCTTTGTCGTTGTCCAGCACAAGAACAGCCCTCACTACGAGCGGCTGAAGAAATCTGCTGATTGCCGCTTCGGCGTCCTGACCCAGGTTGTGAATGGTGCCTCTGTTGCGTCCAACAACGGCCAATATCACTCCAACGTGTGCATGAAGGTCAATGCCAAGCTTGGTGGATCGACATCTCGCACAAACCCTCCATGGAAGTTGCAGGGGACCTACTTCCCCAAGGACCGGCCTACCATGATTGTGGGCGTTGACATCTCCCACGCGGCTCCCGGCGGCCCGTCTCCCTCTGTGGCTGCCATGACGATGTCGGTGGACCGAGACGCGACCAAGTACGCTGCCATGGTTGAGACGAATGGCTACCGAGTGGAAATGCTCAGCCACGCCAACGTCCACACTCTTTTCGGCCATCTGTGCAAGGTTTGGATGAATGGGCACGACCGCCAGTTCCCCAAGCACGTTATTTACTTCCGTGATGGAGTCGCAGAGGGACAGTTTGCTCATGTCATTGAGCAGGAGATCAAGGAGATAAAAGGTTACTTCAAGCAGGCGGCTCCCAGCCAACAGCTGCCCAAGTTTACGGTGATTGTGGCGACGAAGCGTCACCACATCCGCTTCTTCCCTGAGAAGGGAGATCGTAACGGAAACGCCTTGCCCGGAACTTTGGTGGAGAAGGAAGTTACTCACCCATTCATGTATGACTTCTATCTCAACTCGCACGTGGCGATCCAGGGCACGGCCCGGCCAGTTCACTACCACGTGCTCATTGACGAGATGAACATACCCGTCAACGAGCTGCAAAAGATGATTTATCATCAGTGCTACTCATACGCGCGATCGACAACGCCGGTGTCTCTTCACCCGGCCGTCTATTACGCCCATCTCGCCGGCAGCCGTGCCCGGGCACACGAGAACATCGCGACGAGCGAGGGATTTCGCGCCGGTGCAAAGGGCCATGAGATGATCCGTGACAAGGTTGCCAAGGGCGAGTCGATGAGCGTCCCGCAACGGGGCAGCGATGCCCCGTCTCTTCTTCAGCTTGGCGGCAAACCGGAGAATAACACTCCCATTGACGGAGAGATGAGACAGAGGGAGTTCTTCAGAGGCACTATGTGGTACATCTAGGCGGCTGCGATGGCGAGCGGAGTGGTGGTTGACAGCATGGACTTATTGAGTTTTCGGGGGATTTGGCAGCGGCTGGTGGTAATGGGGGGAAGACAACAAGTTTGCTTTTCTTTGGGGCGTCTAAGAAACGAGCATGAAATATGAACAAAAGGGGCGACCGGATTGGCGGGAGATGGCGGTGGAGGTTATATTTGCTACCATAAAAAAGCCCAGATAGCCTAGGTAATCGACACGCATTGATTTTGACCTTTTGAAGCCTGCGTACCTAGTTGTGATGCTATGAACGTGCTGCAGAGTCGGAACGAGCTGAGTTGCAGGGATGAGTGAAAGTGGCTGCTGCGAGATGAAGCAACCTGAGATGTCAAGCTCAAGAGATGCAATTTCACAAGTAGGTTACTAAGGAAGAAGAGAAAGTGGCTGGAGTTGACGGCTGACTAGATGTAAGCTCCAGAGGTTGCCATGAATTGCAGAGCTTCAACTGACAAGAAATGTCATGTCGGGTGTATGTGGCACGACAATATTAGCAGTGATTCAGTCCGAGTATGTACTCGTACGCCTCGGAGTTCAAGAGCTGCCAAGAACCCCGCTATGGATCCCGCGTGTTGCTGAGCTTGTCGTCTAGTAACAGCTGGAGGCCCCTAAAGCAGAATTCCAGTCAACCAAAAGCACCTTTCAACCTGAACCCCTTATGCTCTGCTCTCCCTCCGCTCCCCTTGCACCCTTTAGCCACATCCAACCATGGCGAGCTTTCTGCGGAGCAAGCAGGCGGGCATCCAGAACGACCTGTCGGGCAGCATCCGGCCGGAGCTGTTTGCGCCGGACGACCACGCGCGATACGGCCTCAACTCTCAGATAAGGTGAGCGAGCTCTCTCTTTGAGTGCGTCGGCCAGATGTGGGCTATGACGCAACTGCGCCCCGCCAAACGCGGGAGGAGGGCGAAGAGCCGACGAAGGGCGACGACGACGATGTCGCGGGTTTGGCGGTTTGGCGGACAATGCCAGTCACAGTTTTGTGGTGGATTATCGACTTACTAACCGCCGCGACACGCACAGCTGCTTTGCCTACGATCCGGTGCAGTCGCTGCTCGCCATCGGAACCGCCGAGAGCAAGTTCGGCGCCGGCAAGATCTACGTCTTTGGCCAGCAGCGCGTCGAGAAGACGTTTGAGCCGCCGCGCCGCACCTCGTTCAGGAGCGTCCAGTTCAGCGCCAACCGCCTCGTCAGCCTCGACCGCAACAATGAGCTGGGACTCTGGGACCTCGACACGGGCGAGCGCGTGGCCGCGCAGGTCATTGGCGGCCCCGTCAGCGCCATGGTGACGGATCCCATGCTCGACTGGGCCTTTATCGGCATGCACAACGGCGACATTGTGGCCTACGACCTCGACCGCCACATGCTCGCGCGGGCGTTTCGGCTGCCCAACTTCTGGAAGGCGAGGGATCCGGTGCAGCACACTGTTACCTTGGTCACCCTGTCGATGCATCCCCGAGATGCCGGCAAGCTCCTGATCGGGTACAGCCACGGTGCCGTCATCTACTCGTTCAAGCAGAACCAGCCGCAGCAGTTCCTCGAATATGTGCTTCCAGTCGGCGCGCCGGGAGGAAACAGCGTTGGCATGGACACGGTGCGGCGGCCTCGGTTGACGCACGCCCTGTGGCATCCGTCTGGCACCTTTGTCCTTACTGCCCACGATGACGGAAGCCTGGTCTTCTGGGACCCTAAAGAAGCAAAAGTCATCATGGCGAGGACTCTCACCGAGATGGGCATCCAGCATGCGACCCCCAGCGCACCGACCACGGCATACTCCGATCCATACGTCAAGATCGCGTGGTGCTGCAAGCAAAACTGCGACGACACGGGCCTGTTGATTGCCGGCGGCCAGGCTCCCGATGCGTCACCGAAGAGCTTGACGTTCGTCGAGCTGGGAATGACACCGATATATGCTACATCTACCTGGCAGGGCTTGGAGAACCACTTCCGCGGCAAACGACACATTCCGCTGAATCTGCCGCCGGGAGCCCAGGCCGTTGATTTCTTGCTGTTTCCGAGGGATTCTCCTTACTTTGGTGGCGCACAAGACCCCATTGCCGTGCTTGTGCTATTAACATCTGGAGAGCTGATCACATTGAGTTTTCCGTCTGGATATCCAATCAGCCCTACCAACCAACTCCACCCATCAACCTTTTTCGTACACCCCTTTGTCACAAAATTCAACGTATCGAGCGTCGACCGGCCCAGGTGGCTGTCCATGGTAGAGAAGAGAGACCAAGGCGAACCGCTCTTGAAGGGCGGAGCAGCTGGAGTGAGGCCAAGAAAGAGATTTGAAGATCGCACAATCATCCAGACGGCGCATGCAGACAGCATCATCAGGCTTTGGGATTCTGGTCACGCCGACCAGATCGAGAACGAGATCCAGCTGCAGGTCGACATGGCGCGGGCTCTGGATCGCTATGACGATGTAGAGGTGACGGCGATGAGCATGGCCGGGACCACGGGCGAGTTTGTCGCTGGGACGAAGACTGGGGAGGCCGTGGTATTCCGCTGGGGTGTGAACCAATTTTACGGCAAGAATCAGCCCAAACAGCTGGACCCAAACCCCATGGGGCTCTCTGATATCAGCTCCAGGGCAGAGCCAAACCTGAAGGAAGGGCTGCAGCCGTTTGTCCTCTATGAGATGATGCAGGGCCCCATCACTGCCGTGCGGGTCTCCAACGTCGGCTTCGTTGCGGTTGGCTCAGAGCTCGGCTTCCTGACGATAATCGACCTCCGTGGTCCAAAGATCATCTTCCAAGCTCCCATGACTGATTTCGCAAAGCCCGAGAACCGAAAGGGGTTCCTCAAGGGACACTCTAGATCCAGCTCAGCGCCCTTGAAAGAGTGGCCCGTGGTGATGGAGTTTGGCGTCATGACGCTAGACGACGATAAGTACTCTTCAATATGCTGCTTTGTGGGGACCAACTTGGGCAAGGTCATTACCATGAAGTTGTTGCCCGGAGCAGGCGGGTCGTACACGGCTGAAGTGGCGGGAATGGTGGCATTCGATGGGAGGGTCGTGTCTTTGAACCCGATCCAGGCCGATACTGGCAAGCCTGCGCTGGCCACTGGTCAAATTGTGGCTGGGCTCCGAGAGGGGCGTCAAGTTCATGGCGCTCTTGTTGCAGGCAAGTATTCCCGTTGCTCAGTTCGCATCCAATATTTAACTAACTAGGGGCACAGTCACCGAGAAGGAAATAAGGATACTCAAGCCTGCCCACTCAAAGGGCGCCTCCAAAGAGTTTGACGATGTACTGTGTGACTCGGCATGTGTAGCCGAACTTGAGCTCCAAGGCTTTGCCATTGTTGCCGCCTTTCGAGATGGAAGCGCCCGGGCATATAGCATCCCGGGCATGCGAGATCTGGGCAGTGCCAAGCTCCCGATGGTGGACCGCACGCGCAGCACGGCGACCATTGTGACGCAAACCGGCGACATCTTTGCCTGGGCCGGACCCGCGGAGATGGCAGTCGTGCATGTCTGGGGCACGGGCAAGGAGCTGCAGCAATCCCCGGATCGTCTGATCAACCCCAAGATTGACATTCCCCCGCGCCCAACCATCTCCAACCTGCAGTGGATTAGCGGAACACAGCACGTATCGCCGCTGGACCTCGATCTCCTGGTCGGAGGCCCCAACAGGCCGCCCAGCAAGAGGATGATGGAGGCCGCGGCGGCGGAGCAGCGGGCCGCGAGCAACACTTCAGCCGCCGGCGGCGGGTCTTCGTCGCAGGAGGGCTGGGGCGATTACCTGACGCGGCAGCTGAACGAGAGAACGGAGAAGCTGAACCTCATGGGGGATACGATGGATACGCTGCAGGAGCAGTCGGCAGGGTGGGCGGACGATGTGAATAAGTTTATTGGGAGGCAGAAGCGGAACATGATTGTAGGGGGGTTGACGTCCAAGTTTTTCTAGACTGAAAAAGGGGGGAATATGGCGGGGGAGATATGGCGGGGGAGGAGCCTTTGTGTGTTTTGAGTTGATATTATTACATGAGACCAAGAACAGATGAAAGATTCAAGATGGCAATATTGTAGTTTAAACAGCTCGCAAATCTTCAGCGAAATTGAATTTTCTGTCAATGTCGATTGAGGGTGGGAAATTTCATGCGATGCCGCTGGTCGCGGTGCAAGGGAGACTAATTCGCGAATTTACGTGCTTTTTTTTTTTTTTTTTTTTTTTTTTTTCCGGCTCTGCGGAGACTCGACGTATGCTCGGGGAGTGCGCGTGTAGCCGTAACATACCATGTTCGAGTACAAAGGTTTTTTTTGTCTTCTTCCCTAGCTGTAGCAGAATGTTCAGTGGAAAGCAGATGGATTGGGAGAAAAGACGTGTGTGCGTGTAGATGCTGATATGGTGTGATGGGTGGGAGCAGAGTTGCGCACGTTTTGAACAGGCGTCTGCTCTTGACTAGACATTTTTGCTTGACATTAGCGGTATTTGTGTAGGCAACGATTGTATACCATCAATCCGCCAAGTGATTTGCGTCGTATGCTTAGTTTCAGCCTGCTCCCACTCCAGGGGGGGGGGGGGGGGGGGGGGCAAGTTGCCGCCGGTCTTCAGGGGAGGAGGATGGTAGAGGCCGATAGTCGGACCACTTCTTGTCGGTACGTGGGAGCTGCTGATTGTTCAGAGGGGAGAAGGGCTGCGAGGAGCTTGAGGTATGTGTTGTGCGTTTATTGAGTTGCTCGAACGCCGTCGCTGCGATACGAGGAGATCTTGTGCTTGACCATCCGAAGAAGGACGACAGCCAGTGTTTAGTTGCAGAAGCGCTTGACTCGATCGTACTTGAGGTATCTGATATCCAAACCAGAGTTTATATTATATGCTCAACTATGTTGTCATTGCCGTGTGTACGGCAACTGTGAATGCACGTACAGGAATGGCGAATCGCTACCCAAACCTAGGCAGAATCCCCCTATTCTTGCAATAATAGGCAAGAAGTGATATTGCACGCGACAGCCATTTTAC